CAACACTCACACCAGACCTTGGTGTCATCATAACCTACATATTGATATTGATCATGCCAAGCTACCCCTGAATGGAGTGTCCACAGAGGTCAGCTGAAATCTATGATAGTATATACAACAAATGCCACCTGCTGTCATCATGCAACTTGATAGTCGCCAAGTGACATAGCTCATTGAGACCGATACTGAGACAATAGCTGTCACACAGTTTGATAGTCACTGAGTATCTCGACAGACCGACCTGGGTTTCAGGCGCGAGACCCCTGACACATCCTACCTAATGACAATGTACAGATCATACTGTCAGGCCTAACAATTGTTGAAGGTATGCAAGTCTTGGTGCAGTGAGGGGCTTGGTCAGGATGTCTGCAAGGTTCTCACTGCTTTGAATGGGGGCTATTGTGAGTCAGCCATCAGCAACCTCATCTTGTAAGAAGAAGTGTGTGATGTTGATGTGTTTTGTCCTCTTGAAATGCTGTGGATTGTTAGCAATAACTTGAGCTCCAGACAAGTTGCTATACAAGATTGGTATGGTCAGGGTGAGTGCTAGTTCCCCATTGCACAAATGCAGTACCAAGGTTTCGCCAGTGACATGGATTGCAGATGTCCTTGGTAACAACTGGTTCAGTTTGCACAGGAACATGGGATACCCATAGCATTTCCCTTGCCACAGCTGCCAGTGCAACATATTTGGCTTTGACCAAACTGTTTGCTGTTGGTTGGAGTCGGGAGGACCAACTGCATACAAACCCATCGATGGTGAAGATGTACCCTGTCATTGAGCAACGACATTCTTGTGATCCCACCCAGTTTGAATCTGTCCAACCTGTCAACATCTGTCTGCCACTAACCTGGCTCGCTGCTAGGCTGACTGTAAGCGGTCGCACGCCTGAAACCAGAGTTTGACGATCCTGATTGATCTCGGTGAGATCGATTGAGTAAGTGTTAGCGGTCCCATGCCTGGAACCCGAAATCTATTGTAAAGGTTGACTATAATCAACCTAGGCGAAATCTACTGTAAAAGCCTTCTATTATCTTTCTCACTGGAATCTATTGTAGAAGCCCTTTAGGATCTTTCTTGCTCAAATAGATGGTAGCTATGACTTATAATGGATTTTGACTAACTGCTGTGGACACTCTGTCCAGAGGTAGTGCAGCACAATCATGGTCTTAGAGAACCTCTTGAACCACACCAGGTGTGTGGCAACAGCATCTGTTTGGACACAAGCATCCATAGTGTTGACAGTCACACAAGTGAGCTGATTGATTGAGAACTGGACTGCAGTGGACAACTGCCTACAGTATGAGATCAAGAGTGCCAGACTGCAGAGACTGCCTTCAGTGTCAATTGTATCTGGACCACAGTAGAGTACTGCCTTTGGACATTGTCAATAGCAGTGATACAACACACACTCTATGTTTAGATGCAATGGCCTGCAATTGCAACTTGTGACAGAAAACTACTAAGTATATGATTTGGTGAGATATAGCTAGTAAGGTGTAGAGTGGATGAGGATCCACTCGACTCCTATGAATAGAATGTATGTTTATATAGACACCCTTGCAGTGTCGCCTGCGATGCTGCTCCTGCTCTGTCAAGAGGTGTAGGATCTCCTTCAGCACTGCCTCTTCTCCTCTTGGCTTTCCTACAACCCCTATCCCCCTTAGGGTGTATACTCTTCTTTGGGCACTGCCTCTCATGCTCCTTGCAGTTGAGGAGGCCCAGTGCCGCTTCATCATTGCTAGGGGTCACCCCCACTTCATCCAAGTGGCAAAGAGCACCCCCTTTTATCTTGCCCCTGATGATGACACCCATCTTCTTATGCCAAGTTTATTGTTGCATAGGGCCCCTACTTCATCAGGTGGTGAGCCCTTCCTCAGCTGTTGTCCTTCTATTATGAGATTGGTGAGAGAGGTGTCCTCAAACCAGTTTCTACGAGATCTGTTGTATGGGCATGGTTCTACTGATCCCAACAAACTTTGTGTAATCGGTTGCGTGCCTGAAACCAGGTTGGGTGTTTCTGGTTGATTTCGATGAGATCAACCGAGTAAGCTCTCTTTGGTATGTTTCGATTGAAAGTAACCAGATGGCTGAGTACTGGTAGGTTTTCGTCCCCCTGAGTGGTAACCATCTGCATGATACTGAGCTTGGTCCTCTTCCTCCCATGCAATCATTCTGTATGCTTCCCTTGCCTTCCAATGCTGGGAACCCCTTTTTCCATTCCTCCCATTGCCTCATCATGACAAGCAACCCATTCTGTACCAATGGCTTTGGTCAGCACACTTTGGTAAAACATACTGGCTAGGCTTGTTCTGGTCAATCCCAGTAAGATTAATCAAAACCCTAGGTTGCAGTTGATCTCACAAATTACACACACAACTAGCCCAACCAGATTGTCAACACCCAATGCTTGCTTTCAGATTCTTTCTGCACAAGACCTTCTGCGCAGACCCTGTGACACTCTGTAGTAAGATCTCGCTCCTGCCAATCCCGACAAATTCTGTTGTAGGACCTCAATCCTACCAATCTTGCTGAACTCTGTTGGAACTCTCTCTTTTCCCAATTCACGATTCCTGCATGAGGAGGTCTCCAGCACTGGAAGGCAAGGGAGTCATACAGGAGAAGATCACATGCAAGGAAGGGGACCAAGCTCAGCGTAGAAGGGGACCGAGCTCAGAAGCATGCAGTTGGTTACCACACAGGGGGACGTGCTCATGATCACATGGAGCTAGTCACAAGGAAGACTGCATGGACAGGGAGCAGGACAATAAGGTTGATCATGTGGTCAGGGGATTCACAAGGTAGGGGTCAGGAGAACAGTCACTGCTTAGGAGGAAGGAGAGCTGTTTCAAGGAGACCGGCATATAGGTCATGAGGAGGAGGAGCAGTGTCGAAGAGGTCGACACACAGCTCAAGGAGAAGAGGAGCAGTGACAAAGAGGTCAATAACACTCCTCAGGAGGAGCAGGAGCGGTGTGTCAGAGGTCTCGCGCCTGAAACCTGGTATCGGTAATAGGAACGCATCTATTACAGTTCCTGTTGAGATATGTGGTAGAGTGCTGTGTATTATTATTCTTGTCAAGAGATGTTGCAGAAACACCTCTATGACTCTTCTTGCTTGAAGATGTAATAGTGTGTTCACTATTGCAGGTTTCGACTGACTGCTGTGGACACTCCATCCAGAGGTAGCTCAGCATGATCAATAACTATGGAACTTTGTATTGGCACCAAGATCTGGTGTGAGTGTGATTGTTGGTGGTGCTGACATGAGTGTCCAGTGTGTTGACTGAGTGCTTGAGGTGATCCCCAGACCACAGTGGACAACTGCCTTTGGTTCTAATTGTTATCCAGACTGCTGGTTTACTATGAACTGCCTTTGGACATCAGTGAGTGGTGATATGACACATGTGCTGCAATGGAAGCAATCTACTTGTGATTGCAACTTTGCTGACTGAATACTAAGTATACTTATGTGAAGTTATAGCTAGTAATGTATGGTGTAGAGTGGATGGGGATCCACTCAACCACTTATGGCAAGAAGGCATGGTTTATATTCATCTTTGCAGTGTTGCCTGCAACTCTGCTCCAGCTCTCTCTCCAGAGGGTACCTTCTTCATTGAGTACTGTGGTAGAGGTCTCTACCGAGGCATCTCCTCCTTTCTGATCCCTGCTTCTCCTGCTCCTGGGTTGAGGAGAGCCAGCATCATCTCATCACTGATAGGGGTCACCCCACTTCATCCTAATGACAGTGCATGCCCCCCTCCTTCATCTACCTCCTGACTTCAGCACCCATCTTCTTATGCCAATTTCATCATTGTGTAAGGCCCCTACCTCATCCAGTGGTGACCTTGACTGTCCTTGCCCCTAATCTCCACTGGATCTGTCATACAATCATCCTTGCCACTAATCTCTGCAGGATGTGTCATATGATCCTGTTTGCTACAGATCCTGGCAGGATTTGTGATTCCATCTTTGCTTGTGCTGATCTAGGTGAGATCTGCCATAGAGCTGTTTCTTCTACAGATCTTGGTGAACTCTTCTGCAAGTCCCATGATCTGCCCAATTCCTCAATTCCCATGCTCCCTTCATATGACTTGACAGGTCTTCCTGCTTCCTGCGCATCTGGGCCCATGACATGGTGTTGCAGGCGACACCAAACAAACACATAAATACTCTCATTTCGCCATAGTATATGAGTGGATCATCATCCACTCTACTCTATAATTTGTTTACCCTTTACTTGACTCTTAGTTATGTATCATTGCAATAGCAGGGCTTTGCAACAACAACTTGAACATGTGTGTTGTATCACCATTGGATGTCAGCTGTAGGTGGTGTTCTTCAACACTTGCAGTCCAGTCACTCACTGAAGGCAGTGTATAACACCTGTGGTCCAGTACCTCTCTCATCTGCAGGTGATAACCTTATTGTGGTGCAGATACCATTGAATACCAACAAGCAACAAGCAGCACTACAAACACTTGTGCTGATATGGGATACTGCATCATATAGTATTCCCATGCAAGTTTTTTGGAAGTGCCACATAGCCTCTGAATGGGGTGTTCAAGGTGGTCAGTCAGAACCCACCCAAATTAAGCCTTCTGTTTCTTCCCACTGAGACAGTTTGGAAAGAGCTTACTCAAGTTAAGAGGTAGCTGCTGTTGTCTGCAACAATGGCATGATGGATGGGGAGAGTGTTTGGTTGTGTTTTCTAGGTTTTAGTAAGGTCGGTTGGGTTCGGTGTGCTTGGCAACATGTTTGGATCGTATGTCGGTGTTTTGTTTTACCCGACTTCCGGGCATGGAGATGTTGGATAAGATGTTGGAGATGGTTTGCTTCATGCTTGTGTATATCATCACGGTCACCACTGCTACAAGGTCTATACCAGTCGAAACAAGATTCGTTAGGAGATCAGAAACAGTTTGGAAGACTAGAGGACGGAGGGTTTGTTGACTACTAGCATTCATCAGCGCACACAGATAAGCTGGGGAGAAACAGGAATGACATTCAAGGCAGTCATCTTTGACATTGGCGGCGTCGTGGTAGGTAGTCCGCTCTTTGCCATCAATAGGTGAGTGAATAACGACTCGGAAGCTGGTCGTGCGGTGTAGAGATGCTGATAGCCTATGTGGCTTGGTCGTCTGCACTTGTATGCAGGTATGAGAAAGAACATGGGCTTCCGTTTCAGTACCTCAACGTGGCGATTACAGCTCAAGGTCATCGCGGAGCTTTCCAGGTGAGTTGGCAATCCGAAGCAAGCCTGTGGAGAAGGATTAGCTGACATTGGGATGGCTATGTTTGCGCTCACAGTGCTTCGAGCGGAATGAACTGGACCTGTATACCTTCTACCGACGCTTTGGCGAGCAGCTGAGCAACGTCGAGAACAATAATGCAGCTTACACCAAGTTCTGCAAGAGCCGAGGCCAAGGTGAGCATATCATAAGCGCACAGTGGATATCGGCGCTGTTGAAGGATGAGTTGCTAATCCAGATCCGCCGTTCTGCAGAAGTGCCCAAGCTACCGACCAAGCTGCAAGTTGATGGGAGAGAGGTAAGCATACATTCGCACAGCATTCTCTAAGGCCATTCTAAGGCTAAGCCATGCACTCTTTCTTCTTTGGGGTTTGGTTCGCTTAACAGCTCTTTGGACAGATGATGCGCTACTCGACTCAGGTAGACCCGAAAGTGCGTATTGCCATCAACAAGTTGAAGGGTGAGCATCATCTATCCCGCACCTCGACTCACAGTGATCGACGCAGCTTACCACAGCATTTACACCAAAGCGATAGAGTCGCGCAAGTTCACCATTGCCGCCTTGACCAATAACTTTGCACCTCCAACTGAGATGGTAGCGGATGCACAAAGCAGTGCGGTCAAAGCGCCCTCGCTGGAAGAAGAGCTCCAACACCTGGGCCTTGGTGAGTCTCAGTATGAGCTGCGCAAGATGTTCGACCACTACATCGAGAGTGCAGTTGTCGGCAAGAGGTAAGTGACGATACCAAAGCTCTGCTCGGTGTGGGTAAGTTTGCCATCTATCTCGCTCACTTGGCGCATGGTGTTTATCTTTGTCAAAACAGAAAACCCGATCCAGAGTTCTACAAGCATGCACTGCATCTGCTCAACCTACAAGCCTCCGAGGTTATCTTCCTGGACGACATTGGTCCCAATCTCAAAGCTGCCCAGAAGCTCGGCATTACTACCATCCGTGAGTCTCGCGAGATGAGATGCAAACTTGCCCGCTGGCCAACGCTGTCACCTTATCCTCACTCTTACGAACAGGCGACTGACCGAGCTTGCTTTCTTTGTTCAATCCGAACATCTCAATTTCTCGTTCCTGCTGACCAACAGGCGTGGATTCGAGCGATTCAACGCCTGCCTTGGCACAGCTGAGCAAGTTGACCGGTGTGCCTCTGCTGGATCATGTCCCCAAGCCTTCCTCCAAGTTGTAGTGATGCCAAGTTGCGAATAGACAGCTTTGCCCAACAATGTAGCCAGCGACGGACGGAGGAACGGTCGAGCCATGCGACCGAATGCTTTGCAAAATCGATCTAGATTGTCTTTCCTCCCTGAAAAAGACGGCGCATGTGAAACAAGAGTCATGTGTGTGTGTGTGTGTGTGTGTGTGTGTGTGTGTGTGTGTATGTGTGGAACAGCGAGTTATAGTCAGACCTATGCGGACTGAACGTGACCCTTGCCCTGGTAGTTTTCGCTCGAGATACCGGTGATGGGGTTCTGCTTCTGTTCGATAGCGATCCGGTTGGAAGCCTCTTGCCACTCCTTGGTCATGGTCTTGACGGGAGCACCACCTGTCGGAATGTACGCAAAGGTCGAGGTCCGTGGCAGAATGTGCGAGAGAGAGAGATCAGAAATATGTAAGCATGTGCGCAGACCTCATGAGCCATCTGAATTGGAACGAGGGCAGACTTACCGTTGGCGCGCATGAGGTAGTAGACAACAGTCGTAACACCGAGGAGGGCAACAACGCCAGCGAAGGTCTTGGCACCCTGACCGGAGGCAGTGATGGGCTTGCGCGGACCGTGAGGACCGAAGGAAACAAAGTAAGCTGTAGAGATAGCGCAATGCAATGATGGATGAATGATCAGCGGCCTGTTGAGGGGATGCAGCTATTTTATCTCTTGCCGAACACCAGCAAGGGGTAGTTTGATTGTTGTCGGTCCCAATGAGATTGTATGCGGGAGCGCGGCCTCAGGATGTGACGGGTGCTGTCTAGTGCGTGTATTGCAGAACAGTGGACTGGATCAAGTGCCAGTGTGGTGCGGTGTGCTTTTCTACATGTCGAATGCTTGTTGAATCGACTGCCTCTCATTATCCCTTGCTGGCGAATGCTGTTGGCGACAAGACTGTGATGCTGCTGCAGATACTTACCAGCCTTCTTCTCGTTAATGCTAAGCTCCTTCCAGTCTTTCCTCTGGAGCTCTTCCAACTGACGGAAAACACCGTACTGCTCCTCCTTGGAAAGAGACTTCCAGCTGGCCTCGATGTTGGGGACGACGTGACTGAGCTGAACCTTGTTAGGGCCGTCAATGTAAGAGCCAGCATTGCGGGCCGTCTCGAGAGTCCATCGCTCCTGTTGGGTGACCATGGTTCGTCGGCCAAGGAGAGTGGCAGTGCGGAGGCCGCTTTGAGAAGCACGAGCAACGTTCTGGCCGATCATGATGAATGTGCTGACGCGAATGTCGGAAACGTGTCGATCGAGATGGTGAGGATGACGAAGATGATGATGATGATGGTGATGATGGTGATGATAGGTGTAGATTAGAAGTGAGGGTAACGATGATGTCAACGAGAGAGTCTTCTTGACTGGCCTGGCTGACTGAGATGCGATAGCAGCTAAGAAGAAAATCGCGAAATGCTCTCTTCCCTGAGAAAGCCTTGCCTGGATTGACCCGTCAAGTAGCCTTTTGCAAGAGCGGGAGAAATTCGAAGCACTATTCCAGCTGTTTGAGTAGAAACCTTGCTTGAACCTGAGCCTCTGTTGAATTCAACCTGGCAGATCCGATTTGGCAAGTTTGAAGTCACTTGGACGCCTTGAAAGGGTAGAAGCCAAGTATTCGAATACAAGGATTCGAAAATGAGACTCGGATTGGTAATCGCAACGCTGCTGTCTCCTGCCTGGGAAAACATTTTGAAAGGCTTTGAAATGTCAGAGCTTGGACTCGTCATCCCGATCCCTTCCTTTTCGACCCGATTGCCGGAAAACTAACAGCGGAACCGATTTTCGCATTTGCCTTACCAACAGTCTCTTGTGAACAGCTGGCTCTGTTCCCTTTGCCACTGTCGCCCGAGACGAAAAGATCTTCTGGAAGGGTCTCGCTCGGCTTCTTGAGCGTGTGAGCGTGTCAAAAGGTGTCGGGGTGGAGGAAAAGTGAGCTGCATGTATGTAACACACGGCCCTCTGCCCACGCCAACATGGAGCACAGAGAACGAGTTGGTGGTTGTACAACGCAGTGTCACTTTCGTGTTTGTGGGCAATTGAGGCTCTACAGCAACATCATAGCAAGAAGCAAAGCCAGTCTGCGATAGCTGCCATCGACAAGACAGCCAACCTCGCAGGCTTTCAGAGAGGCCAGGTCGACAGGATGGTGGGTCCCACAATCGAATTGTTTAGCACTTCGATCCTGTCCAACGTCAAGGTCCGAACACGGCATGAGCGCTTTACTTCGGTGCTTGCCATCAAGAAGATCCCCTATATCTACCACGATCTCGCTTCGGACGATGATGCAAAGAGCCGATGGCGTCGCAAGGCCAAGGATCCGCAACTTCCGGGCATTCTGGTCAACAACGAGTGGGTAGGCTCGTACGATGAGTTCGAAGAGGCAGTCGAGTTTGGCGAGCTCGAAGTATTGCTCGGCGTCTCTCCAGCAGCTGCACAGGCTACGCCACCAGCACCACATCCTGCTCAATCGGCAGTGAGCTCCAAAGATCCTAGCTTATACCCAACGCTGCCCTACGCAGCAGAAGGTGCAGGACGCTGGAAGGAGCCTGATGCGGATCAGTTCATATCGTCTCTGAACATCAAGGAAGAGGAGCTGAACGATGACGACGTCGATGCGTTGCTAGCTGAGATCGGCAAGCTACCAGCCGAGGCAGCTACGAGGTCGGAGAAGAAGTATGTTCCATCGAAAGAAGCAGCCATCAAGCCGCTGCGATTGGCCAAGATGGGAGCAACAACATCACACCAACGAATGCCATCGGGATGGCCAAGTCCATCTGCTGCAAGTGCAGCAACGCGAGCTTCGCCCGTGGCTCGCTATTCGGCTACGCAGCGCTCCACTCGGGCGCTAGCTGCAGAAGCGGCGGCGCTTACATCGAATCGGAAGACCTCGGGAGCTTTGCTGCGCGATGCGGTCTCGCAAGGAAAGACGCTAGATGATGCTATGGAAGAGAGTCGCATGAAGCACATCGTAAGCCAGGACAATATGGATGAGCTGTTTGCATCCCTGGGTCTCAGCAATGTCGATATCGGTGAGGATGAGGTGGATCAGTTCCTGGAGCAAGGCGCTATCCCGCAAGGCCTTGGCTTGGGTGGCGAGCGTGTTCATCGACCATCTTCAGTAGCGGACAAGGCGAGAGATGAAGCGGTGGCGAGAGACTTGGCGCTCAAAGCGAAAGAGAAGGGACATGGCTCTGCTCGCAGTAGTCTTGCTCACGAAAGCACTTCAAAGCTTACTGCTCTCGCTGGTCCTGCACCAGCATCTCAGATCGGAACATCCGTTGACGATGCGTCAGCAAAACGTTCGACGGCCTCAGGAGGCACTTCAACCTTGTCGGCACAGCCGTCGACCGTGACTGAAGCCACTTTGGAGACGCCCGAATGGAAGGGTGACGAAGCAACTGAAGCGGTCGAGCGAGAAAAGGAGGTCGTCAAGCTAGAAGCTGAGGCACCAAAGCAGTCGTTAGCTGCTGCGCCCGAAGAGGGTGAAGAAGAAGCAGAAGCCACCAAGGTTGTCGGTGATGAACCGGCCAAGAAGGCAGACGACGAGGATCAGAGCAGCGAACCGGCCGAGATCAAGGCGAAGGTGGAAAGGCTCATTCTTGAAGAACCTTCACCTTTGTCCACAAATGCTGAGATGAGCAAAACTGATGTCGTCGACACGGAAGAAACCGAAGAGGAGAAAGCTACGCCTGGAGCAAGCACGAGCAATAGGAAAGTTGATGTTCCACCTCAAGACAGCGAATCAATACCAAAGGAAGCAGAGGAAGCAGAGGAGGCAGAGGCAGCGTTGCCCACCTTATTGCCTGCCAAAGATCATGTCTCTGGCGACGAAAAGCGTGCAGCGTCAGAGCCAAACAAGGATTTGAGAAGCGTAACATTGTCTTCTGACGCCAACGAGCCTGTCTCGTCGCGATCATCAAAGTGGGAGCAATCAGCCCGATCAGGTGCTCACGATTCTACGACAGCTTCCAAGGAACTTTCTCTCAGCAGCAGCACTAGCAATCAGATCCTCGACAAAGCTGACATCGATCAAGATCCAAGACCAACGAAAGAGATCTCGGCAGATCCGATCCAGCTGGAAGGCGAATCGATTGCGAAAGCAGAGACAAAGCGACAAGAAGCGGACAAGGCAAAAGACGGCGAGGCTTCCGAATTGGAATTGGCACAGAAGGCAGCAATGACTGCTTCACAATACCAGAATCGCAAGTCGGGACTTCCGTTGCAATTCCAATCGATAGTGACAGTAGATGAGAAAGACGAAGAAGCGCCACTTGAACCTTGGACAATAATCACCAGCCGCAGCAGCAGCAGCAGCAGCAGCAGCAGCAGTCTTTTATCAAAAGATCCCGAGGTCACGAGTGCAGCCAAGTCGCCATCATGCTCAGCCGCTGCAATCACATCGCCGGTGCGCATTCCAGTTTGCCAAGAGTCGAAAGAAGGCAGTTGCTCGTCGACAAGTCCTTTAGCTCTCGGTTTGGGTGCACGAGGTCAGCCACCATCACGCCAAGCGGCTTCGGGTTCAGTCTCTTCCTCTAGACGTGCCATAGATGTTTCTCGACCCATCGATCCATCGATATCGCCTACATCGCCACTTGCGCCCCCATCTAGCTCAGAATTATTCATGTCGCCAGAGACACTTGCAAAGAAGAAGCGAGTAGGATTGTTTGGCCTTGGCAAAGATAAGGACAAGGAGAGGGACAAGACAACAGCGAACGACAAGAACAGCAAAGCAGCAGCAGTATCAGGAGCAGCAGCAGTATCAGGAGCAGCAGCAGCGTCAGGAGCAGCGTCAGGAGCAGCGTCAGGAGCAGCACCTTCAACATCGCGTCACGAGCGAACCATCTCTCAGATTCTTCGAGAAGCCGATGCAGTGCTGCAAATGGGAGGCCAAGGTTCGGACAACGACCAAGAAGATGAAACTGAAGATCCCACCATGTTTGGCAGTTCAAGTGTCGACATATAACGATTGCCCTCGCGCCTTGCTTCTCTTTTCCAATAGAATTCCAGCAGAGCATACAAGAAGAGGCTTTTACCTTTCCGATCTCCATGACCATCTGCGTCTGACTGTCTGATGAAGCGGCGATCGACTTCTCTGCCCTCTTTCCAGAGTCAGAGCCGAAGCGAGACGGGAAGCGCACAACACCTGAGCATCTGAGCATCTGAGCGTCTGAGCATCTGAGCGTCTGAGCATCTGAGCGTGGGAAGGCTGTGACAAGGAGGAAGCGAGACATATCGAGTGTGTGCTCTCTTTGCTATAATCACAATCACAGTTTGGCGGGAGACGCGGGCCGACACAGCCGAATCTGGAGGAAACTTTGATAGACACAGGTGATGAGGCTATGTCGTCGGACCTCATCCGAAGGCTCCCAACTCTCAACGATCAGAGGCCATCCCTCTCGACACGGTCTCTTCTTGCTTCTGTCACATTGTGATCTCGACAATCTCAATTTCGTCTTGTCACAAACTGAGCCAAAGCCTTCTCTTTTGCTATCAATGAAGCACCTCGACTTGCTCCAACAGCGCTTCGTCGCCACTCACCGCCACTCACCGCCATCCACATCCATCCATCCAATTTGAGCGAAATGAGTGGCAAAAACCGACGAAAACTCGAGGCCATCGGTGCTGCACGAAAGAGCCTTTCAACGGAGCGCATACACTCATACACCCATTCACAATGGTCGACAGCTCCCTAAGCTGTACATACGAATAGATGCCACCCTCCTCTACCCACTCTACCCACAAGAAACCTCGCTCTATGGACACTCCTCAATCAAGTCGCCGACTCGTGCCTTTCTCCTGGCAGCAACGCGAGAAATGCTCGACAGCCTGACTCAGCCCTCAGAGCAGGTGCTTCTTTCACGCTGATTAGACAAGTCTGGCCTCTTCGCTTCCCATACCATGCGAGCTCAAACACCGGCGATTTCTTCAGGTCCAGGCTTGAGCCTCGAATGCTAAGTAGGCGAGTCACATGGAGACCACAGTGCACCTCAGCTCTGTATGGCGACGAGCACCAAGCTCGCCTCCTATCTTGCTCCAGCAGCGACCTCGAGAGAGCAAAGGACAGAGTTCTATGCAGGAATCCTGGCTGTATGCGTATTCGAGTCTGTGAATCCATACCAATCCTTCGCTCTTCGCACGTTGCCAACTGACGAAGAAGAGGACCAGTTCGCTTAAAAGACCAGGTCGGTCTCAAGTCTCGCATTCTATCTACCGCCGTCGTCTTCTTCACAGCACGCAAACGCTCTTTCTATTGCCTCATCTCAACCACCTCCCTCCTTTCTTGGAAGAAGAAAAAAAGGAGACAAAAAAAAGAGGCTGCCTGCTAGCACCCCCCTTCCCCCCCTTTCATCAGGAACACCTGCTAGCTTTACTTCTTCGTTGCTATTGCATATGCTGCTTCTGCTGTACCTTATCTTGCATCAACAGAGTGCTGCATCTCTCTCGTACTCTACCTCCCTCGCTCATTGCTCCAAACCGCATTTCAACTGCTTTCAATGACCTCGGTCGTGATCGTCTGCCGCCTTATATAAAGCACAAAACATCTCAGAATCAAGCTATATTTCGGCATTTGCCTTGCAAGTAAGCTCAACAGACAGACGAATGTCGTTCTCTTTCCAGCCGGTAATGAACCCAGGTCGCGATACAGTGACACCAAGAAACGTCGCTCAAAACAACTTTTTCGAAGAGCAAGCGTTCAAGCCCGACATAGCGAGTCAGAAGCTGGCAGATATGTCGCGAGAACCTGCCTTTTCAACCTCTGGCGCTGCATTTGATTCAGACTTGTACAAGACGGGAGCACAGTTGCCTCGCCCTTGCAGTCACTATAGTCACGCTTCCTTGGAACTGCACTTGCCCACCAACTTCGACAAGTACATGGGTCTAGATCGCAACGAAACCACGAAAGGCGACCAAGCATACAGCTTGGCCGCCTGGCATTCTGAAGAACATCAAATCCAGCCAACGGTCGGCGACAAGGCCGCTTGGCCATACAAGCGCAATCCTTCCGAGCCGCCGACCGGACCAATTGCCGCGGTTCGAACTGACTCCAAGATATCCATGCATCAACGTTTGCCTTCTAGCTCATCTGGTATCTATGGCGAAGAACGACAGGTACCAGCATCTGAACCCGGATCGGATCTCAGCTCGGACTACTCTGATCCCTTCCAAGTCTCAGGTCTTCCTTTCCCTCCCATCTACCCCTCTGAATCCGGCCAAGAGACGCCGCCCAGTTTTGCCTACATCGAGCCTCAGCACAGACCTCTGCCAGACTATGTAATGGAAGAGCTCAAGCGCCTCAAGCTGGAGAACATGGCTCTTCGACGCATGGCGCAAGAGGTAGTCAGGATCAACATCAGTCCCGGCTCCCTCGAGGGTCAGAATCTTGATCGGCCGGCCCCCTTCTGTGCACACCACCCACCTTTGACATCACCGCCTCGTCTTCAGCGCGTTTACGATGGTGCTGACCCAGTGCAGGTATATCACGAAGCTTCGAGGCCCAATGCATCCGCATTGTCTTGCTCTGCTCGCGGGGGTGAGCGTGGTACTGCTGCATCAGTCTGGGCTCAAAGCAGCCGCAATATTGATTCTTTCAGCCAGCGTGAAGCCAGCACCCCGGCCAGCAGCGTTGCCAATCAACCTTTCAGGGCGAGTGATATCTCGGCTGCCGAGCTTAGTCGACGCGTCGCGATGGCTGAGACATGTTCGACGCCTCTTGCTGGCTCTCATACTCTGACTGGTACGATCAGTCCTTTCGACATAGTCTCTGCTCCTGCCTCTCTTCCTGGTCATGTCCGCTCAAAGGCTTCCCTTACTGGCACCTCTTATCGCAACTCGCCCGGTCTGACCCCGCTGGCTCCATCCAAGCTCGAGTCGACTCCCGCTTCCACGCTCGTTGGCACGATCCTTGACAAGCGCGGCCAAGAGGCAAGCTTGCTACTGCAACAGCAACTCAAGAACGGTAGTCGCGAACGACAGGAAGAGATCTTTCAAGCCATCTGCGCTAGGCTTGTTGCACTTTCGCACGATCGTCACGGCAACTTCTTAGTCCAAAGTGCCATCGAAGCTCGACCTGAGATGGTAATGCATCTTGGAGGCGCTTTTGTTGAGCTGACCATGTCGCAGTTTGGATGTCACGTTGTTCAGAAGGCGCTCGAGTGCGAGGAAAATGTCGGCCAAGCTGTTACTGAAGAGTTACTTGGTTCACGACTCGACCAGACTCTCACTTCTCGACACTCGATTCATGTCTGGCAGCGCATCCTGGAGACAGAGTGGAAGGAACCTCAGTTCCGCGAGCAAATCTTTGCATCCATTAACAAGCAACTCAAGGGTCAGTGGGCACGCACTGCTCGACAGGAGACCGGCAGCATCATTTGCCAAAACATCTTTGAATCCGCACAGTCAACGGAGAAAGCGGAATGCATGCAAGAAGTACTCGAGCAGCTTGACGAATGTGCCACGAATCAATGGGGCGTTTGGGTGGTACAGCACATGATCGAACACGGTGCCCAAGAAGAACGCCGTGCTGTCTTGAGTCGCCTTGTACGCTCGGCTTGCAAACTAACTTTATCTCAGTACGGCCAGAAAGCGGTAATGAGCGCACTCAAGACGGGTGATGGGCAATTCCTTCAAGACTACGTCGAAGCCATGTGTCATAGCTCGCAGCCTCGTCGACCTGGCTTGATCGACGTCTGTCTAGCTGCCCATGGAATTCAGGTTGTTACGCAGCTCTTGACGACGGTGGATCAAAAGACTCGCGAACGAATCATCTCAACCGTACGACGCAACTCTGTCTTGCTCAAAGGAAGCAGAGCGGGCATGAAGGTACACCAGCTCTGCGAGCGTGCGCGCGCTTTTACTGGCTACTGAACTTGGCTACTGAACTTGGCGCCATAACCAAATACCAAGCCACCGCTCTGCCATCTACTCGGTCTCAAGACAAAGACAGCAACACAGGAGAAGCTCTGCTCAAGTTGCCATGTCTACTAGGAAAGCTACTAAGTTATGTCAAGTACAAATACAAGGGGAAGACTTGGTGTGCAATGCAGTGCCTCAAGTTGATGATGATGAGCGAGCGTTGTGCAGCAAGGTGGCCAGCTGTTTTGCTCTCGCATGTGCTCTGTCGATGCAAGTTTCAAGATTCTCTTGATCTGTCGCTGATCGAGACTGATCAGAGCTGCAAGTGGAAAGATGACCTGAGTGATGTAAGAATGAGACGACCGGTTTCGTTTGCGATGACTTGGAGATGCTGGTAGTGTTGATCGAGATGGCGATTGTGAGGTGTGAAGAGGCTAGTGCTGCTTCGAAAGCAGTGGGGTCACTGAGAAGGTGTGTGTTTTCGAATATGGCAAAGGATGAAGCGAAAGGCATGTCGTCAAGCTGCAATCGAATGCGATCGGCGGGCGAAGAAGAAGATCGAACTTGTTCTGTGTCTGCATCGTAGCATGCTTTCGATAGTTTGGCTGCAGAATCAGATCAAAGCAAGAAGCAGAAGCAAAGTCAGATAGGGTTCGTAAGCGGCATGCTTCACCTGTCCGAAGCAGACTTACTATCCGAGAGAGCAGCAACAGCGGCCAACACAGCAGCATCCATTGCATTACCATCAAAGCAAATGAAACTAATGTCAAGATAGAGACACCAAACAGCCTTTGCTGATTCGATACGCAGTTGCTCTCGATCGAGCAGGTTGGAGCTGTTAAGCAATGCGAGTAGCCTGCTTGTCAAGACCTGAGCTTCCTCACCAGGAGCTCCAGGTTTGAACTTGGAAGAGCAGACGGCTGGAAGCTCTACGTTGGGGATGAGATATCCATCATTTGGACGAGAGAGCTGAGGTGGAGCGACTTCAGCTTTGATGGCAGCGATGCAGGATGTCTTGCCAATGCGGACGAAGCAGGAGCCATCAGCGGTGGAGATGGAGCCGAGTGTCAAGGTTGCATCACGGAAAGAGGAAAGCGAACGACCATCTTCTCGAACTGACGAGTCGAGAAAACGCGAGAGGTACGAGATGGGATGGAGGCGCTTGAAGGTGGTAGCGACAAGGTCGGCGTTGGCAGCACTGTCCGATGCCGTTGCTGATATTGCTGTTGATGGGCCTGCTACTAATGGGTTTGCCACTGATGGATTTGCCACTGATGGGTTTGCTTTTACTGCGCTCGACATGCTGACAAATCGAATTGTGATCAGAGAGAGAAAGCGAGCGGTGATGGTGCAAAGGAACAAGGTTTCCATCGGAAAGAAGCCGAGCAAGCACCTTTTTGCTGAAATCACTCGTGGGAAATTGTGGGACGGAAAACGGGCCGAGTAAATGGAAGAGCCGACGGGGGGCGCAAGAGACGGTCAGGTGGCTTGTGTGTGACAGTTGCAAAGACATCTTTTCCAGCTTTCCCTCTCCCGTTCATCACAGTTTGGCTCTTTGTCAGCAGACTCGGATCAGCCATGGCGCTCTCAAGGCCTGCTGAGCAGTACGGACCATCCGATAATGCTGCATCATCATCATCCTCGACCAGAGCATCGGGATCAGATGCGATTGCGGCACTTGGCAAGTGTAAAGGACAAGCTCAGCTCGCAGCTTGGCTCGATCAATACGCCACTAGATCACCATCGCCATCGACTCAGCAAAATGAGGGCACACCAGCCGACGCCATCAACATTACTGCCACCAACATTACTGCCACCAACGTTACTGCCACCAACGTTACTGCCACCACCACTTCCAAGCTCCAAGATACGTCGGCCGCTCTTCGCGATCTCTCACTTTCGCTCTCATCAGTCCGCGATGCATCTCGCACAGAACTCGATCAGATTATCGCCTCGCTTGTATCTACCATCCCCAAGATAGGCATCGAGCTCAAGCTCATGTCTGAGACCGCCACAACCCTTCAATCGCGCCTACATGCTTTGCAAACGCAGTCTTCCACCAAGGACACTTGCGCAGACACTGCACTTGCCAGCATCGCAGCTCTTTCCAAAGCAAAAGCAGGTCTCATCGAAGCTAGACACGCGCTCAGGCAAGCGCAAGCATGGTCAACGCTCGAAAGCCAGGTCACCGTGCTACTCTCCGAACAGAGCTGGCAGCAAGCCGTAGATAGAGTCGCCAAGGCTGCCGACTCTTTGCGTCTTTTCAGCGGCTCGCACAAGTCGAATCAAGAGAGAACGGCATTGCTACAGAGTCTGACTAGCAGAATACACGAACAGCTCCTCCCCGTCTTGCAGCAAGCAATCACAGCAAGAGAGGCGGAAAAGGTATCTCAAATGGCAAGCTTGCTCGCTCAGACGCACAACGGAGTGTCTACCTTCTTTCAGGTATACACCGATACACGCTCACAAGCTTTGCTTTCGCGTTGGGCGCAAACTGCTTCAGAAACAAACGAAAAGTCACTTCCAGCACAACTTACACGGCTCTATGCCGATCTGCTAGCCTTGCTTGGAGAAGAGCGCCTCGCATCCTCTTCGCTCTTCACAGATCCCAACAGAGCAACACAACTTCTCACTGCCCACATCCTCTACAGCCTCGACCCACCCATTCACGCTTGCATTCAGCATGCCACTCGTGCACCCGACCTCGAGACCTTCCTGGCTGCCCTCACAGATGCTTACAAGGCTACCGAAGATGCTGTCCGAGCGGTTCAGTCCATCTTGCCCCAATCGAGATCAAAGCAGCCAAGCACAGACCAAGAGGCCGACACATGTACATCTCTAATCGACAGCACCTTACTTGCACTCGAAACCACCGAAAAGCCATGGCTCAGGCTCATGATCGAGCCCTTCATCCCCTACCAGACTCGTCTTGCAACTTTCGAGGCCGAAGCAATGCAGTCTCGATTGCAATCCTTACAAGCTTCCACGACTTGCACTTCTCCCTCTGTCTCCGCTGCTTCGACACAAGCATCTCAGGTTGTAAAGGCAGCTCTTCGACGATCCACTGCGCTCACAAAATCACTCGCTACGCCCTTGCTACTCCCATCCTTGGATGCTGTCTTTGAGACCGCCATGTCGTCTGCCAGAAGTGAGCTCGAATTGGAGCTTCAGCGCACCCTCACATCAACACAAGGCAGGATACGCAGAATTCATCTTTCCGCTGGACCAGGACAAGCTGTATTGACTTATGACGAGAGAGGCGATGTGCTTACATCAGCCGACTGGGATGAGTTCAGAAAAGCCACCGAGAAGCTAAGCGCCTGCAGAGATGCGATGGCTGCTGTACGAGGCTTGGAAGAGGCTATCGCATATCAGATCTCGGAACTTGCAACAATCGTCAAACCCGCGGCACAGGGCAAAGATCAAGATGTAGTCGACTTTACAACACCCACTTCTGCTCTAGCAACATCTTCGCTCAACTCAAGCAGGCTGCATGAGCTGATTGCAAAGTCGAAACGCTTGCTCTCTGCCGCTTCTTGGAACACTTGCTCCTCCGATCATGTTCTGTTGCCCATTGCGCGTGACTCGGTGCTTTGGATCGCGTCAGCAGTGCAAACTTTCCAGCATCAGCTCGTTCTCTCTCAGTTCCTCCCCGAGTTTGAGCTCTACCCATCGCTGCAAATCTGGAGGTCGAATAAGCATCCAAGTATCGTCAACGAGTACGATCTTGCGATGCCCAAATTCAGTCTTAGTCCGACTGAGGCAATGGCACGCGTCGGAGAGGCGATGCTCAATTTGCCCAGGTTGTTCGAAGGGTATGCAGACGAGGCACTTCTTTTCTGTCTCGACAGCAGCAAGAAGGGCGAGGGCGGCGAGAACATCAGGAACGTGGAGAAAGAGATGGCAGTCAAGGATACAGCCTCAGCAGCGGAGACTAGGTCGAGCATGCACCGTCAAGCGTTTTCGACCACTACTGTTCCTTCTTGCCTCGGCACTTGCTCCGACACTACCGCTGCCGCTGGCGAAGAGAGTGAAGCGGACGCAGGTGTGCTCTCACAGTACCTTCGCTCCCTGCTCACGCAGTTGCTTACACACTTTCTCACCTCTGTACTTTCCTCTCTGCCACTGTTGAGCGACATGGGTGCCGCCCAGCTCGCAGCGGACCTTGACTACCTCTCGAACATTGCTTCTGTCATTTATGCCGAAAGTGAACGCATTCTGCGGTTCTGGAAGAAAGCAGCTGAGCTCTCCACGGACACAGGCAAAGTACTCGTCAGCACCTACCTTGTCCACACCGGCACGGAAAAAAACGAAAAGCCAAGCGACCAGTTGGACGCATGGACCAATGAACAGGTACAAGCATTCTGTAACTCACACGCTTTCGCATCTGTCGCCAGACTCAGAGGGTGGATGTGACTCTTTCGCACCAGCAATCGTTCATTTTCTCGCCAGAAAGCAAGGTTGAATTCGAAAACCTCGGTCTGTTAAAGTGTCGAATATGGTTGGAAGCATGAGCGAACGCGAGTGTGCATTGCATTTTGCGGATCTTGACGTACAGTACTGTACTGTATTGTACAGGAGATGCAGAGGTTGATGTTGATCAGGCATGAGGCAGATGAGGTAGAATGCAGGTATTCGAACATGCCTCAAGTGGAGGTATTGGTGTTCAGTGTGCCGACTGTTGGCTAATCTGTGAGCTTGAGAAATTCAAAATGCCAGCCTGGTCGAGATTGCGAACAATCTGTTCAGCCTGATCGACGTTGATGCTAGCCAGGACCTCGTTGACGCGAATGAGCTGCTTTGTTTCAAGAGCCTTCCTAAAATCCTCTGGGAAGCTTTGGAAGATATCCCATCTCCTCTGAAGCCAAGCTCTGACGTCTTCTGGGTTAAGATTCTCCTTTGCCTCACCTTGCAATTCAATAACCTCTGGCGGGGGTCCATCTGGGAGATCGAAACTGATTGTCGTGGTATCATCTTCTGCGACCAACTGGATCTGCTCTTCTCCCTCTCCCGCGTTCTTTTGTTGTTCTGCAAGCGTTTTTGAACGATCCCGGATACGAGCGTAGGTGGCAAGTACGTCGTTGAGATAGACAACACTGGCACGACCGTCTTTGGAAGCGACCATGCGACGGAAGAAAAGATTGACACCATCAGGACCAAGCTTGTTGCAGTACTGAATCATGAGTGCTTTCTCAACACATCGACGAGCGAGCGAGGATTTGGAGGCCATTTGGGCGTTGAATGCTTCAAGGAGGAGCGAGTCGGTGGTGTTGCTGGATGGATGGAGGAGGAGTTTGTGTTTCGAGAGGAATTGAAGGGCTGTTTCGAAGGCGTTGATGTTGAGCGATTTGGTTGGGTTAAATTCGGATGGGATTGTCGAGGCCGAGAGAGGGATTGAGGAGGGAACGCAGCAGGGCAGGTCGGCGAATTGGCGCTGGATGTCGTCTGCTTCGGGGATGTCGTCCTCGTCATCGTCACTCTCTGCGGCGGCTGCGGTTGGGGTGGAGGAGGGAGCACCAGCTGCAGAGATGGACGAGGAGGGATTGTTGAGCGTCTCGATGACTGTTTCGGCTTTCTGCTCTGCTTTGCTTGCGGATTTCCGCTTGAGCTCTGGCTGAGGTTCGGCTTTAGCAACGTAGCCCGAGTTCCAGGCGTCTCTGATGCTATCGCTTGTGATCTTTTTCGAGTCTTCCTTTTCCATCTGTTCCAACTGGAATTGAATCTGTGTCTGTCTTGCCCCGAGCTTCTCTCTGTGTCGTTGGAGTTCGTTGAGCAGCGCCTCATCCAAATCGTTGCCTGTCTTGCCCTTAAGGTTCTCATGCTGTTGAATCTGAAGCAGAAGACTAAGAATCATATCGTCGGTAGTCGGACCATTGGGACCGTCCATGTTACCACGTTGCTGTCTTCCAGCACTGAGCTTTGCCACTTCTCTGGAATAGTAAGCCGAGCCTTGCTTCTTCGTACTACCAATCAACTCGTCCAGGCGCGGAGAGAGAGCATCGTTCGTATCCATCTCGGCCTTGATAGCGTCCTTTTCGGCTTTGCGTTGATCACGCTTTTCGTGAATGTCACGTTGCTTCCATCGAATGAAGGATTTCTTGTCAATGTTGGGGTGGACCTCGATATCTGAGTCGTCGGAGAGCTCGAGGTTGTCCCATTTGGAGTAGTTGAGTGGCATGTTTGCAGCTGTTCCAAGGTATGTGCAATGGTTGGAGAGAAGGAGATGAAAGTGAGTTGAGCAGTGCTGAGTTATTCAACAAGTCGCTCTCCTGGGCAACATTGCCTCCTGGACAACATTCCCCACTGCCAAGATTCGAGAAGTGACATTTCTCCCCTTTTCTCCTTGACAGTTTTTGTGCGTTCTTCAGATCTAACAGATGTCATAATCCAGGGCCTCCCTCTTCGAAGCTTTGCCGACATTGACAGGCAGGTCGCAGACCGATAGAAGCACGAGCAAGAGTGCATCGAGTCGCTGAGATAGTGTACAAGTGTGAGCAACAGTCCGTCTAGACTGCGCTAGACTGGCTAGATGATGCAGGTAAGAGCGAGAGCGAGAGCGAGGGCGAGTTTGGTGCTGGCGTGTCGAAAAGCGGTTCAGATTGCAGGTTCCCAACTAACACCGCAGCCACAACCTGCTCCTTTTGCCTGCGGGTTGTTCTTGATGGCAAACTGCGAGCCAATAAGTTCTGTGACATAGTCGACAGTGCTTCCTCGGACTAAGGCCAAGCTGACGCTGTCAACCAAGATGGAAAGGCCAGGATGAACTTGGAATTGGAAGTCATCATCTTCGATCTCTTGGGTGATCTCCATTTTGTATTGGTAGCCGTGGCATCCGCCTGGTTCGACAGCGACCCGCAGTGATAAGGATGAATTGTTCTCGCGTTCAGCTACTTTCTTGAGTTGGGAGATGGCCCGATCCGTGGCGATGATGGTCGGTTCGCCATCGCGATAGACTTCGGGTTCTTCTGGTTCTTCGGGCTTGCGTATGAGCGTGGCAGTGGTTCGGGTTGATGTTGTGCTGAAGGGCGCTGCAATCGATGTTCTTCGAGGGATGGTGGGTGGGGAGCGTGCTGATGAGGAGGACGACAAGGTGGCTATCCCTCTCCTTGGGACTTGCGCCGTTGCGAGTCGTACTGCTGATGTTGAAGCCGCTGGCTTTGCGCCACTACTGGCTGTGCGAGCCAAGCTCGACTCGAATATCGATCGAAGCATGTTCTGAAGATGTGATCCGAAGTGATTGGAGTGAGATGGTGGTCTGAAGTCGAATCCAAGTCGACTCAGCTTAGAAATGCATCGGAAGGTGGAGGTATCCGAGACCCGATCACCACCAATCTCGATCTCGATCTCAATCACAATCACAGCCGATCTCACTCACAGCCGATCTCACTCAGAGCCGATCTCACTCAGAGCCGATCTCACTCAGAGCCGATCTCACTCAGAGCCGATCTGAATCACGTGCTGCCAACTAACATTGGAAATCAGACAAGAAAAAAGAAGACTGCGGTGAATAGTAATGTGTGTTGGAAGATGAATACAAATCGCTGGTCTACTCTGTAATTGCCTGTGCCAGATTGATTAGAACAGGAGAAGGTAGACACACACAGACCTTGTACCTTGTCCTTGTCCTTGTCCTTGTCCTTGTCCTCCTCGTCCTCGTCGTCAACCACCATCTTGCTTTCTTCTTCTAGCAACTACTTTCTCCACCAAACCAATCATCAACACACAGTACGCATCAACAGCTTCACCCGGACAACGACTGCATTCCTCAACCGCCATCGACTGCCATCGACCGCAGGAAACTGACCCAACAGCTTTTTATGACTCGCCCTTCTATTGCCTCTCTACCATTCTACAGCCCAAAATGTCTGCTACCATTGAAGAGATCGCTGACGACGTTCAGGACGTGAGTTTTGACACCTTGGTCGGACAAGGCGCATCCGGATGCAAAGCATCTCCGCACGAACAACCAAGCTGACCCATCTTATCTTTTTCGCAACACGTACCAACCCCTTCGATCTTGTCGTCTCAACTGCAGCTCAATGTCCAGGAGTTCGAGTCTGACGACGCTGGCGCCGATGTTCACGCTTCCGACAAGGTTGCTTCTCGTTCTGAGCGCAAGTCGCGCAAGGCTCTCCAGGGTATCGGCCTCAAGAAGGTCGGTGGTATCACCCGTGTTACCATGCGCCGCCCCCGAGGTGTAAGTTGTGTCTCGAAGTGCTTTAATCCACACTCGACCGACATCCCAACTGACCTTTCCAACTTGCTTGCTTGTTGTTGTTGTTTTGTTGTTTTTTTTGATCTCACACCACCATCTCGATCTTACCGCACTCTACAGCACCTCTACGTGATTGCCCAGCCCGAGGTTTACAAGTCTTTGCACTCTGACGTCTACATCGTTTTCGGAGAGGCCAAGGCTGAGGACATGTCGCAGCTCGCCCAGGCTCAGGCTGCTCAGCAGATGGCTCAGGCCGAGGCTCAGGAGCGTTTGCTCGCCGAGTCGCTCCAGTCTTCCGGTGCCGAGAAGAAGGTTGAGGAGGAGGAAGAGGAGGAGCAGGATGACTCTCCCGTCGACGAGGAGGGTGTTGACGCCAAGGACATTGACCTGGTTATGCAGCAGGTCAGCTGCTCGCGAAGGAAGGCTGTCAAGGCTCTCAAGGAGTCCAACGGTGACCTTATCAACGCTATCATGAACGCCAGCTAAATGCGTCCCCCCTCCCCGCCTTTCAATATCGGGATGTACTGATGGCTCGTTCGCCAACATCTCAGCCGTCATACGCTTTGTCGTGTCCAAGGTCACTTAGCAGCAACGAGAGGTTAAGACATAGAGATCCTTCTGCAGGATGTTCTTGCGCCTTGGCTCTGCTATCGCACCTCGATCCATGGCATCAAAAATACAACAAGAGCCGTTTCCACGCTTGTAATGCGTCTGTCCAGTCCATGTTTCCGAGCTTTTGAGCTCCTTGGCGTCTTTTTTCATTCGGCGTACAGTACCGTAGTCTTGTCTTTCGAGTGCACCACGTGAGAGTGAGTGAGAGATGCTATGTGATCGCGCTACATCAAGAGATGGTCGGAAGGAACTCGAGCAGGCGTCCGTTGCTTGCTGACGATGTAACATGCTGATGATCGCTGCAGCGCACCACATCTGGGTTTCTTCTGTTAGATCTTTAATTTACACACCTTAGTGGGATAATCCGCAGACAAAAGAATTTTGCCGCCCGTGGAGATGAGTTGCCATAAATCACAAATTACAAATCACAAATTACAAATCACAAATCACAAATCACAAATCACAAAAACATTTGTCCGCAAGGATTGCCCTCCAGAAAATCACGTCTTTTTCTTTTTCTTTTTTGGTGTGCTCGGTGCTTTGTATCGCACGAGAGAGAGAATTGATAGCCGTGACTGACCAGCTCTTGCTTCACATTGTCACCTTATCAACCACCATCCCTCTCGATCGTCACATCCCTCTCGATCGTCACATCCCTCTCGATCGTCACATCCAAAGCTTGTCGGAATATATCCGATAGCTGTGGCGAATCAGGTGATCCTTTTCAGCCCAAGATCAGCTTGGCTTGCTCCCCAGCTTATCTCTCAAACCACCACAGAGGCGACGACGATGGCCGACACATCATATACCACAGCATCGCCAACCGCGGATCCATCGGCGACGACGACGACTTCTGGCGAGTCTCAATCGCAGCGCAGGCGCAAATCTTACATGCAAGGTCTCCTTCTCCTCCTTATCGTCGTCTTTCTATGGACGGCTTCCAACTTCCTCACCAACGCGCTATTGACCACGGGTGGATACGATAAGCCATTCTTCGTCACCTATGCCAACACCTCGTCCTTCGCACTATACCTTCTGCCTTATCTTGTCAGCAGCAGGCTGAGAAAGAGGTGGAGTAAAGCTGCCCAAGTCAAGCAGTATTCTAGGCTGCCACAGGAAGATGTCGAGGGAGCAGTAAACCGAGACCAAGCAATCGAGCATGACAAGAAAGCAATTCCTCGCTGGCTCAACACTCTGGGTTTTGACGTACCAACAGTCACGCATCAAGTCGAGGTAGCAGGTCAGGCAAGGATGATTGATCAACCAGCTATCACACCTTTTGCCCTCATGGCCGAAGAGCAGCAGCAACAGCGTGGAAGAGGTGGCAAGAAGCCTTGCCAATCCAATCTCAAGCAGAAGCCAATCCCTCTCACGCCTTCCTTCTGCAATGCACAACAACAGCAGCACACAGATTCTTCAACAGCGTCTACACCTTTGCTTGCGCCAACACCACCCGTCTCCCGGCCCAGGTCGCCAGTCCCTCCTTTCCTCGTTTCAACTTCGGTACCACGTCCATCATCTATCGACGGCAGACGGCCTCGCACCTCCATCAGTATTGTCCGCTCACCAACAGATTTTCCTCTCTCTTGTTCCGCCCCGATCATTCCCTTACCACTTCCACCATTGACGCTCAGGGAGACAGCCGTGCTGGCATCGCAATTCACGCTTGTCTGGTTCGGTGCCAACTGGGCCATCAATGCAGGTCTGGGGTTGACATCGGTTGCGAGCGGAACGACGATCGGCTCGGCAAGTGGTTTCTTCACCCTTGCTCTTGGAGCAGTGCTTGGAGTCGACAGATTCACTTTGCCGCGTTTGGCAGCGGTTTGCATCTCCGCACTCGGCGTAGCTGCAGTCACTTTGGCTGATCGAGACACCGCTACATCCACCACCATCACCCCCACTGCCGAATTTGTCCTCGATGGCCTGTGGAAGCGTTGCACTGCTCTCGCATCTCGCAGCAGCCCCTCGGTGGGTCTTATGGCTAGCAAAGCGCCCAACGCACCACTCGGAGACATGCTTGCTCTCCTCTCAGCCTTGCTCTACTCTCTCTACGTCATGCTGCTCAAGACTCGCATCGGCTCTGAAGATCGGATCTCGATGCCTCTCATGTTCGGCATGGTTGGAGCTATCAACATCCTCTGTCTCTGGCCTTTGCTTGCCATTCTGCATTACACTGGGATCGAATCTTTCTCTCTCCCACCATCAGCGCAGATTTGGGCAGGAATGGTGGTGAATATGTGCATCACTTTGGTTAGTGACTTTATCTACCTCTTGGCTATGCTGAAGAGTTCGCCTCTGATTACTACACTGGGGTTGTCCTTGACGATACCGCTAGCGGTTCTGATTGATGCCTTAAAGGCTAGTCACACGGGTGGCTTGGTTGCCGTCATTGGCTCAACAGCTGTACTGAGCAGTTTCGGGTTTATCGGATGGGACGATCATAGGAGTTTTAACGAGGAAAAGCGTCAAGCTCGAGCTTTGGCGCAAGCAGAGCAAGCAGAGCAAGCAGAGCAAGCAGAGCAAGCAGAGCAAGCAGCATCCGCTTCGAACACCACAGGGCGTGCCTCGTATCGTGATGATATGGACCAAGAGGATGAGCAAGCAGCAGAGCCAGTAGCACGGTATGGTTGTCGAGCGCCGCGAAACAGAGACTCGTTAGCTGTAACAATACCCTCTAATGCTTCATTTACTTGTTCGTCAGCATAGATATCTGTCAGTATCTGTTCAATGGACAAATTCTTTCCATGCAACGTATCCATTTCCAGTCTGATGTGTGTTATGCATGTAATGCGATACGAGCTTGCCTTCTTCCCACGTTTATCCTTTTCACCGTACTTGTTTTTGCCTTGTTTGCACCCGCATGTCTGGTAGAGTTATCCCGGCGCGGGGGTTCGTCTTGCAGTTGTCGTTGTGGTTTTGTAGCTGACTGTGGATGCCGGTGAGGTTTGGGAGGTTGGAAGAAGGTCGAGTTGATGGGTAGAGAGTGTTGTAGGTTTGCGCATGTATAGTGTTCGAAGCGGTGTGAATTTTTTTTAGTGTTCTCTGGGGAGAAGAATTAGTTGTGCAGAAGGGAGAGACGAGGAGATGTTTCCAGATGCAAGATGCTATTGTTCAACAAGTCAGTAGCAATACACTATGTACACATTCCACTGCCTCCACCAATAGCAACATCTACCGCAAGAGAAGCTCTAATAAATATTCCAGCTTTTCCTCCACTTCAAACCCTTGTGTTTGTTAATATCGCCCTGAAAACCGTAGCTATTGTTCCTAAACCACCAAAAAGCGGTGGCAACTGCTGCAACTGCGGTTGCAAAAGCTACATTCTTTACTCCTTGCCCGAGCGGTTTTCTCTGTCTACCACCAAAGTAGTAGACCGCAGTCGTAGGCCTCCAAAGGAAATGATCCATCAAATGAGCCAGCATCAGCACGGCAAAGTAAAGGATGGGAAGGTAGTGGTGTAGGTAACACACTCTCGCCATGATCAAAAAGGGAAGATAGTGAAGAGCCCATCCAAAGGCAGCTATTTTACCAACGTAAAGGAAATGAGCCCAATCGTTGGGAGAAAGGTCTTGAATTCGACGCTGACGACGCATCATATAGTATAGCCAAGTAGCGCCGAAGACGACAAGGGAGATGGAGGAAGACCACCAGATGACAGGATTACCAAGCAAATAGTATTTGATCGTGTTGTCATCCCACGAGTTCATTCGGAGACCGTTCCAGAGGAAAGGCCAGTCGAAAGGTTTACTTGCCAAGATGTCTTCCTTGTCAGCGTCAGGGATGAGGGCATTGTTGGATGTCATCATTGCAACGTTGAGGTGGATAAAGTCGCGCAGGAAGGGGGAACGGTAGAGTTTTTCGTCACCGGGAGGCAGACGGTCGTTCCAGTGATTCTCGATGTTCCACCATGTGTGTTCGTCCTTGGCGTTGTTCTCTTTGTCGCACGAGACCTCGACCTGCTTCCAGCCCCATTGTGGAAGCACAGCGTTGGCAGCACGCAGGTAGCAGCCAATGTTCTTGTGTCGCAACCTGATACGCGTTGTGAGAGATCGAACAGGTCCACCACGGTAAACCTTGCCATGGACCATGTCATCGACGACCTCGACAATCCAGTGATCGTTGTCGTCACCAGTGTTCTCGTCGCCGTAGCACGAGACTTCAAGGTTCTCCTTGGTGACGGGTGCAGCGATGTGATGCGAGTGAATGTTGCGCTTGGTCTGATCGTGGACGAGACGGATGATGTCGTTGTCCTTGAGCATACGGAGAGGCTGATCTGAGCCCGAGTAGTTGGCAGGCAGTTGCTCCTCGTTCCAAGGTGGAGTGATGATGAACTCGTTGTTGTTGTCACGGTAGTGGTAGCAGGTGACCTGTTGCTGCTGCGATCCGACTGGGTAGGTCTGAACGTGCGAGTGGAGGAGGCCACCACCGTAGCCCATGTTCTTGAGTGTGATCTTGGAGCCGAAAGCAGCTTCTGGAGGCGAGAGTGCAAAGTCGTTGCCACGCAGGTGACTCTGGAAGAGACTGCTCATCTGTGCATCGCCTGGACCCGATCGGCTAAGGATGATAAAGTGAGCCTTGAAGCTGAGCATGTAGATGGTGAGAGGCAAGAAGATGAGACAGAGAATGCGGGCGCACCAGTGGCGAGCATAGGCGCGGACGGGGATACGAAGGTCGCCAAACTTGTCCCAGAGATCCTCGACGGTGAAGACACCGACAAGGGCAGTGACAAAGAGGCCGACCCACTTGACGGAAGAGACGCAGCCAATGGAAGCGCCAGTGAAAGCGAGCCAGAACCACCATGCTTTGGAGAAAGGAGCGGACTTGTACTGCATGAACTTGACGAGACCATGGACGGTGGTGAAGGTGAAGCATAGGAGCATCGAGTCGAGGAGGATGAATCGCGAGATGACGAGCCAGCCGTTATCGAGGAGAACCATGATGGTGAGGAGATGGCGAGCACGCCAGTTCCAATGGAGACCTCCACTGGTGAACCAGGCGAGCGGGACCATAGCAACACCGAACATGGCGAGGATGACCCTCATACCGATGTAGTTGACATCGGCAGGGTAGTTCTCGCCTGACTTGAACTCAAACTGACCGCGGTAGCCGCTGATGAGACCAGCAAGACCTACGAGCATCTTGCCAAGGGGAGGGTGGACATCAAAGTAGAACTCCTGCTGGAGATAGTGTGAGCCGAATTTACCGAAATGCGCTTCGTCCCAAACGACGACTTTGCTGAGACCGATTGCCCAAAGACGTGTGATGAGAGAAAGGATGGTGTAGATGAGACCGATGACTTCCTCCTGACGCAACGTCCATGCAATGAGATCAAAATTGGGAGTGCGGTGCTTGTGGACTGGGATGAGATGATCGTACTTGTTGACTCTGGCGCTCTGGCGATGCGATGGCTGGGATAAAGCAAAGCCAGCCTGGTTTGCTTTGAGTGCTGCCGAGTGGGAGATGGAATGAGCCAAGGTAACATCCGAGTCGCCAGTGCTGGAAGCATATGGGTCAAAGCCAGCGGCAAAGCGGCGATTGCCAGCTGGACTGGTCATCCTCTGTGGCGAGTCGTGACTGAGGTATGCGGTGGAAGGTGGAGAGTGAGTCGGCAGCAAAGAGTCGTGGCTATCGATGTAGCGTTTGCGGTAAGGAGGAGGATTGTCGAGCGAAGATTCGAGAGCAGAAGAGGTGGAGGCAGAAGAGGAATAGCCAGGGGCGTGGTGAGGTGTGTTGGGAGTCGATGGTTGGTCCCAATTGACGGTGGCGTAGCAAGACCTCTTTTCGGCGTCTCTGCGCGGGGTGGGTAGCATGGAGTGCAGCTTCGAGGCGCGTGGCTGAAAGTGGGGGGTTTTGGGGGGGATATTGCGAGTTGCGTCAAGCGGCCAAGTTGTCTGAGTGCAACGGCCGAAACCGTTGAACGAAGCGATGGGGCAAGTTTGAAGAACGAGGATACCAACGAGCGGAGACAAAACTGATATGATGGTTAGCGAGACCAAGACGATGGCGAGCAAAGATGAGCCAAACTTACCTTTGCCACTGAGCTTGGCTGAGTCGTTCGGGTCTGCCGATGACGCTGACTTTGCTTCGGTCTTCCGAGCACTTCTTGCTACAATCACAGTTTCACTGTGATGATCGAATCGATTGTGATGATCGAATCGAGTGTGATGATGAAAAGAGCAAGAGCCTTTCTCGCTCCCTGTCGGCCAAGCCGAAGCTTCCAACGCGCCTTTTCTTTTTCTTTGTTTTTTTTGTTTTTTTTTTTTTTTTTTTTTTGTTTTTTTGTTTCCCTCCAAGTCCGGCACATCTCTCGCAGTCATCATCTTCGGCAGCTCCGACGCTTCGGTGTCATTTCCTCGGCAGTTTCAGCAGGAGGAGAAGCAACAGAAAAGCCATCTTCTTTATCGTCGGCTCTTCCGGGTCTGTTGACACACAGCCACGACTTTTCATTCGAGGTTAGTCAGAGGGATTGGTCAGGATGTTAGACCGACACTGTCCACACGGAATCGAATTGTTTGGATTTCTTGCCACCCGACACGCACGTCGTTGGTCGTCATCATCGCCTCCATCTTTTCTCTCCTTCACCAACACAGCACACGCACAATGTCGCACTCGTCAGCCACTGACACAACCCCTTCCGCCCAGGTCGATGCTGCCGAAGCAGCTCGTCTCAAGCGCGAAGCACGCAAAGCTCGCATCCTCAGCAAAGGTTCTCACCGTCTCGCCCGAATCACCAACACTGGTCGTGGTGAAGGTGCGTCCGCCTATCTCAAAGACAACTCTCCTTCCCTACCCTCCACTCCTCAATCCAACACAAGCCCTGCCGATCCTCTCGCAACAAGAGCCGATGACGAAGACCCTCTCGAAGTAGACGTCTCCACCCTCCCTCTCCAAGCCGGCGCACCACGAGGAGAAGAAGCCACCAACCCATTCGCAATGTTCGGCGATGCACCAGGACAGGGACAGCAGCAGAACCCAATGGAAGCTTTGATGGCCATGATGCAAGGTGGTGATGGTGGTGGTGGTGGTGGTGGTGGTGGTGGTGGTGGTGGTGGAGGACCATTTGGAAAAGGAGGACTTGGAGGATCTGGATCAGATGGACAACAACAACAACCCGATATGTCTGGCCTCCCACCACAACTCGCAGCCATGATGCAGCAATTCGGTGCTGGCGATACAACGGGTCCAGGCACTCCAACAGCAACGCAAAAAAAGTCGATCTCAGAACGCGCATTCGACCTCCTCCAAGCTATCCTCGTCCTCGCCCTAGCCCTCCTCGCAGCCAAATCATCTCTCTTGGACTTTGACCGATCCTCGCCCGCGCCCGATGCAGTCGACGATGCATTCGAAAAGATCACTCCCAACTGCATCTCTTGCGCTCCCACAAACACATTGCGTAGATGGGCAAGATTAGGCTACCAACGTCCATCAGCTGAAGAATGGGCTTCAGTCTCTCGCTCATCAACGACCTCTTTTGTTACTTCAGCTATGCTGCCAGCTCGACTTTCGACTTTGCCGCTATTTTGGATCTTGCTTTCGCTCGAGATTGTGCTTCAAGCAACACGCATTGCTATCTTCTCACGCAAGACTCGTCCTCCTCCGAGTATGTTGGCTATGCTAGCAGGCATGCTTCCAATTCCGAATCTAGGCTTGATGATCAGCTTGCTCAGCAGATATCTGACGCTGGTCAATGCGTTTATTAACGATCTATCCTTGTTGGTGTTTGTGTTTGGTGTAACGGTGTTATGGAGCGGACACAAGTTGGGAGGTGTGGCTATGTTGCAAGCTGATCTTCTACCGGCTTTTATACATGATGAGTTCTAGAGTACACTGGCTTGATTGCAAACATAATGCAGACACTCTACTATCCTCATTCGAGATTCCATGCTACTGCGCTATTATGCTATGATTGCATTCGCCGGCGTCTCAACCTACGAAAAAGCTCGTGTCTCGGACGAAGCAATAGCAAACCAAGAACTCTTATCTGAATCATATCCCCCCTCCCTCTTCCTCTTGGGCACTATGGATGTTAAACAACCTAATCTCGCTATCACTGCACAAGGCGTACGGCAGTAATGCAGAGACATAAATTGTTCCCCACAAGTAAGTTGTTAAGCAGACAACTGCATTGTCTGTCCACTGCCAAGGTCTGATATGTCTAACTGTTTCTGGTGGTGGTAGATGATTTGAAAAGTTTTCTTGTTGTAGAAAGGCTAGTATACGTGTGTTTGCGTTTCCGTTAGTAATCTCAACTCCAGTAGTGTTGGTGTAGACACCTTCGCCAGCAGCAATTCGTTCAACTTGCCTCAGCAGTCGATCAATTATAAGACGTGGTGTGGAGAGCGGCAGATGTTGATGCCACGACTCAACCCATGCTTGCGTGGGCCGGAATGAGGTTTTTGAGATATATCGCCCAACTATCAGTTCGATCCTTTCGAGAGGGTATTGTGAGAGTTCCGATTCTGGTTGCGAGCGAGTAGAGCCATGGTTGGCGCGAGTGGCAAGACCGGTGGATGAGGTTGACATTCCTCGACTTTTGCCTTTGTCCACTGCTTCCTCCCTTTCCCTTTCCCTTTCCCTTTCCCCTTCTGCCGTTGCTGTACCGCATGCTTCCGACGAGTCCGGGGCAGGAGCCAAGCCAACTTTGTCCAAGCTCGGCACATGCTCAAACCAGTCGCTCATATCCAAACCCCTCTCTCTCCTCCTCCTCCAAACATGCTCCACCGCGCTGCTCAAAGTAAAGCTCTCCAACCGATCGATCAAGCTACTCGCGAGTAGCAACGAATAAACCAAATTCACATTAGCACTATAGCCAAACGTCAATACCGCATTGATGGCCTGCAAAACATAAAACAACAAGCTCGGATGTCGCTCGTCGGACAGCAAAAACGCGGGCTGCGAAAAGGATCGCAACAGATGAACAACCTTGGTGGAAGCAGTGATTGAGAGCGATTTCCAAGCAGGGGCAGTATTGGATAGAGAAATGAGCAAGGGAGCGTATAGGTTTGAAAGTCGACTTTTAGTTGTTGTAATCAAGACATATACACCTTGCACCAAGTGATCGATTGCCGTGTTGCCAGCAACCAGGCCGAGTCTTGCGGGGAGGTGAATTTTAGCAGCGCTACCTGGTCTGGCAAGGTTAGTTGCAAACTCTGGCTGGCTGGAGATGTCTTGTAGCATATACGCACATAATCCTACTAAGCCTTGCAGTGCAAGGTTGTCTTTATACGTGAGTGAGAAATAGAGCAATATCGTCATCAGCTCAGGTGCACGTTTGGCATCATCCAACACATACAATCGCAACTTATCATTGTCTTGCAGTAGACGCCAGAGCAAGATGAGACGTTCGCCTACCTGGCCAAGTTGCCAGCTTGTTTCCGCTGCTCTCCTCCCTTGACCTCTAGTCGCGATGGCAATAGGGATGGCGAGGATCTGGATTGTGGAGCTCATGTGTTGGTTGAATGAGTCGGCGAGACCGGTCCAGATAAAGTCGAAATCTGCTGTGCGGTGAAGCTTGCTGAGATAGAACCGAAATACATTGCGTCCACCGGGGCTGGGTAGAGGTCTGCCGCCCGTGCTAAGGCTGATGGTGTCTGCTTGGCCGGGCGATGGCGCATCGTAGGTGAGCAACACGTCGAGGATCTGTAGTGATAAAGTGACGAGGTTCGTTCGAACTTGGTCCTTTGTGCTTCCGACCAGACCGCTCACGCTGGGCAGACCGAGCCAGGCGCGAGTAGAGTTGCGTGCATTGGTGATGCTAGTGTTGATAAGACTGCAGAGTAGGGGGAGCATGATGGATCTGTCCAGATCTTGAACTGCAAAACTCAGTGCGGGATCGATGACTGAATTTTGCTTGTCCGCTGGAATGTAGATGCTTTTGGAGAGAAGAACAAGGAGTAGCCGCAAAACTTCGACTCGGTTGGAGAGGTGCAATCGAGTAGTGCCTGGTAGATCGACAGAGCTACCGACACCTGCTTCCCAGATCGAGTAGTTGATGCGTCTCGGTTGATTTGAGTGGTGAGCTTCTTCAATCTGGTCTTCGGTCCAAGGAAGAGTGAAGCCGGAACAGAAGAGGAGGTCTACTGCAAGCCTGACTAGACTCTCACCGAGCGCCATTGGAACGGCTTGTTGCTCCTCCTCGGCTGTGGAATCTGCTTTGCTATCAGCCTCGTCTTCAGATAGCTTGAGAGGGTGGTCATCAGTCGCAGATGGCTTGCTGGCCTCCTTGTCGTCATCATCGATGACAAACTGTGCCGAAGTGTCAAGTTTGCTTGCCGCAGCATCGCGATCCTCTGTCTGATTCGGTGTGAAGCTCTGCTCCGGCTTGGTACCTGCATAAGCTTGCCGAGTCTGCGGCCACAAGACATGATCCTCGAAAGAAGAATCATGAGCTTCCATAAGAGCCGGCAGCGTTCTTGCCAGAATGCGAACAACATTCAATGCCTCTTTGACCCTGTCCCTCTGCTGCACACCCGGTGTGCTCTGAGTCGAGTCCAAAGCGATCATCGATGCTGCAGGTAGCTTCCATTTGGACACATCTGCAATGCCTGTGATTCTAGTTGTCATCCGTTCTTGGCTTGTAGATGGGCCCTTCAGTGGTGGCGGTTCGAAAAGGGGATCGAGCAAGAGGCTCTCGAGATGGGCTACCATGACCCTTAGCAGCGTAACAACATTCTCCGGCGCATCTTTACGGGCTCTTCTGAGATCTGCTAGCGAGAGCAGGGAGAAGACATCGGATGGTGTGTCGAGTTCGAGGTATCGAGACCAATACTTGGAGTCGTGATAGGGGATATGACGTTCCGAGTAGAGCCTTGCAATGCCGTCAAGTTGCGAGACTTTGAAATCGATTTTGGCTTGATTGCCAAAGATGAGCCTCTTTGGTAGCGAGAGCATCGCTGCGGATAACCTCTTTGGTTCGCTTTCTGAGTGATCCGCGCTCTGGGAGTGTAGTATGATGGATGGTGATGGTGTTGCGGATTCAAGAGCTTAAAATCCAGGCAGGCCCGTGCACCTCAACCACCACCGCCCGATTTTGTTGGATTCATCGGGGCTGCTGTTGCCCGATAGGACAAGATCCCATCCATTCGGCGCAAAGTCAGAGGATCGTCGCCGAAGACGGTAATCGCTGTCGACTCAGCCTTGCCATCCCGCCACCACCAACACCATCCGAGCTCGAGCATAGACTGCCACCATGCCAGCCTCATCATCATCCTCATACATGCATGCTGCGGTGGCATTCAACAAGCTGGCTGGAACCCTCTCCCTCCACTCCGACCAAACGGTAAGGTGGACTCCATCTACTGCCTCATCCAGTGTCACACCCTTCCAAATCAAGTTTGCCGATATTGCTGGTCTGCAGACTTCCAAAGCAGGTGCTGCTACCATTGCTCTCATGCTTGTCCTAGCAAATGGTGTACAAATCTCAGGCAAACCAAAAGTGCTGCTCGTTTTCAACGCCGCACAGCAGATCGCCATGGATGATCGCGAAAAGTTCAAGAACGAGTTGGCCGCCGCAGTAGCCAAGAACCGGGCCAGTATCGATGGCGCCACCAGTAACTCAGCTACCCCTCCAACATCCGCAGCTGCAGCCCCATCCTCACCCATGCCAACCACCGGCGCTGCAACACCAGACACGCGAGCAGCTACACCCAACCGCACCAAACGACTCCGCGCAAAAGACCTGCCCGCACCCAAAACGGACATCGAACTCCGCATAAGCGTCATCAAATCCAACCCACAGCTCCGTTCGCTCCACAAAGACATGGTCATCTCCGGCCACATGTCCGATTCCGAATTCTGGTCCCACCCTCAACGACAGCGTCTCCTTGGTTCAGAACGTGCAAAACTCGAACAGCGTGCTGGTCGAAATGCGCGTCTGGCCGATCCCAAACCCACCCCGAACGAAGCCGGAGAACTGAAACTGAGCATCACTCCGGAACTCATCCGGGATCTTTTCGAACAATTCCCCATCGTCGCTAGAGCATACGAAGAAAACGTCCCCTCAAAATTGGACCAAGCAACTTTTTGGTCTCGTTATTTCCAGTCGAAACTTTATCACAGGTTGAGGACCAGTGCGAGATCCGCTGCTTCCGAACACATTGTTCAAGATGATCCGATCTTTGATTCTTATCTGGAGGAGGAGGATGATCGGCTGGAACCAAGGAAGCAGTTTGACCCGCACGATAGATTGTTGGATTTGCAGGCGACCGAAGAGGATCATGGCGACACGGGCAATCAGAAGGATTGGACTATGAGGGCCGGGGCCGAGAGGAGAACCTTGCCCTTGATGAGGAGGTTTAATGATCATTCCCAGTCTTTGTTGGATTCGGCCTTGGGTGGACAGGAGGAGCACGGGGGGAGGTGGAAGAGGAGGAGGATTGTGGGTGGCGTCGGGCAAGAGTATCCTCCCGGTTCGGTGGAGGTGGGGGAGGAGGTGGGCAATCCGCCGAAAGTTGGTGGGATGAGAGGGGATGCCGATGGGCAAGATGCAAACGATTCGGTTGATTGGATTAAGAATCATTACTATAACGAGATTGTGATTGATGATTTGAATGAAAAGGAGAAAACGGATGGGGTACGATTGAATATGAATGATCTCGAAGGATTTTTCTCTGGTACTGCAGATCCTTCCTCCACCACCGCCACCACCGACACCACCGACACCACCGACATCACCGACATCACCGACAGCGATTCAAGCTCCAACGGTGTTTCTTCAGCAACAACAAGATCTTTCGATCCAACGCCTACTTCTCTTAGCGAGTATTTGAACTATGTGGAAAAGTTCAACAACCAAGTTCAATCCTCTTGCATCACTCTCGGTTCCTTTCAACCGAACTCTAGCGGTACGGAAAAATCATTGTCTCGTATGCTCTCCAACCTCGGCTCGCGCTCTGTCAACCGCAGGTCAGCAAGCGATTTAAAAACACTGCCCGAAGCAGTGCAAAAGTCGTTGGTTTCGTTGCAAGCTTCGACGAGCGAGTTTTTGAGACAGTTTTGGAACTCTATCGCTCCCGGACCTCTCGATTTGAACGATGAGCAAGGTGAGCGTGCCGTTTGCAACGCCAAGAATAGCACACCGGTATTGACGCAAGATGAAAGAAGCAAGAGAGAAGAAAAAGAGAGAGAAGCGCAAGAGAATAGGTCGATCGCAGCAAGGAAAATGGCTATGAATCTAGCCAAGTTCGCGGGTCGATTGGAAACGTTGTTGACAAATGCAAGTACCGGCTTGGATGAGGTGTTGGAGGCCAAGGTGAATGCGTTATTGCAGCCCACGAGTAGGGCGGTGGAGAAGGCTGTGAGGATTGCCAAGGTGAGAGGGTTCATTGCGTAGATTATCCCCAACCGAACCTTCTTCTTGTTCGGATGTGATGCAATTCTCGAATGCGTTCGAAATGAGATGGTGATAAGCAACTTGGGTTTGAGCAGCCGCAGAAATAGCGTCCGGTGGGAACCATGCTTTGTGTATTGTCTCTGTATGCGTGCTTTTCTACTGTGCTCGAGTGAGGAGTCAACGACCATGTGAAGCCTTGAAGCGTTCCTGTCGATGCAGATAAGTAACGTATTCGACCAAAAATCTGACCTGTTCTGCCGTTTCTATCGCTTTTGGACTTCTCCTCCTCCTTATCGTCTCAATTAGACATTTTACGGTATCCAGAATGGCATGGCATTCTGCTTCCGCTTCTTCTTCTCCATTGACACCTTGTTCCATTGCCTCTTGGTTTAGTATCGCATGGTGCGATTCTGTACTTGTAGTTCCCTTGACCACTTCTTTACTTGAACCTATGCCCCCACCCACTTTTACATTGCCTGTGTCAACTGCTTCTTTGCTACCTTGACCGACAAAGCCCATCTTCAACAACCAAGCGCAAGCAATCAAGCCGGCTCTCCCCACTCCACCTCTACAATGAACCAAGACGCTTGTACCACGCATAGTGCAATCAGTGACGATACAAGTCATTACCGCATCCATTTCTTGCACGTTGGTTGGCGCAAAACCTTCTGCCATGGGAAGACGGTAAATGGCAAGTCCTAATCGATCTGCTTCACGTTCATATTCAGACCATGGTGCTCCGAGGTAGGATAACTCTTCATCGTTCAAGCAGCATACCACCGCTCCAACGCCAATGCTGAAGATTCGGTCCAAGTCCAGTCCTAGATCGCGACAGATTGCACCTCGTCCGCGAACAGGTCCCGAAAGGCGGACTTTCTTCCCCGGACAGGAAGAGAGTAGAAGGTTGCCGATGGAAGGACCGGTGATGCTAGATGCCACCCCATCTTTACCCTCCCCATCTCGAGAAGAGGATAGAGTAAGGGCCTTCTCTTTGGACGCTTGCTCGGCGAGTTGGGGTTGGGAAAGATAGTCCGCGCTAGCGTCTGTGGCGGTGATGGAAGCAATGTCGAGCATGTTGCGGAGCCGGATGAGACGGTCTCCTTCAATTTGTTCTCGGGAGTGTTCGGTGAAGTACTTTTTGGTAGCGGCGGTGATGGCGGCTTGGTGGGAGAGGGGGGTGGAGGAGTCGCCGTTGCTAGAGCCGAGTTGGACGACTTGGTGCTCGGCGATGGAGTGGAGGCGTCGACCGACATCGGAGAGAAGATCATCGGGGAGGATGGGAGAGATGTGGATTGGGTGCGTGTCTGAGGTTTTCATTGCGAGTTGGTGTTGTTGGTGTTGTTGGTGCTGTTGTTCAGTGTCGAAACCGTTGCTGTGGCCGTTGCCGTTGCCGTCGCCGTTGACATTGCCATTGGCGTGAGAGTTGCTTTCGGTGTGGTTGAGAGGTCCAAGTGAGGCATCTTTGGAAGGCGTGCCGTTGAGATGAGCAGGCTTCTTGGTCGCATCAGCTTCCTCCATCTCTTGTGCCATTGTACATTCTTTGTCCATAGGTCCGCCAAGTTCGACGTTGCTACCAGCTTGAGAAGAGGTCATGAGCTCATCGGCCATCTGCTCGGTGTGCTGTGTGCTTCCATTGGCACCCTTGCGCTCTGTTGTCGAGTTGCCAATCTCGACCATCCTTGTCTCTTCGGGCTTGGGCGGCGTGAGGTCGACGCCTTGGTTCGAGCAGGACGCTTCTCGTGAGCGAGGCGCGAGCACTTGGGTCGGTGGAGAAGGGCTAGCATCGATAGAATCAGTCATTGCCTCACGGAGATCGCGTTCGACCTGACGGTTCTTGAGGTCGACATCAGTGCGGAGGAGGGTTCTGGCACGACTTTCGGGAGGTGTGGTAAGCGAAGCAGGTCGTTTTGTGCCGACGTTTGATAAAGATCCGTTGGTTGCATTGGATGCACCATTGGTTTGCTTGAAATTTTCAGGAGGCAAGCTTAGCACAGGAAGATGGTCATCGCTGTCCATGGGCGTGGCACCATTCAAGGTCGCGTGACCAAGCCTCTGTTGATGTTTTGCGATCAACCAAGCTTTGGCTTGCAGCTCTTCCTCCCTTTGTCGCAGCATCGTGTTTTCGACAACCTCTGGCTGTTGCAATGTGATGGGGATGTATGCAAAGGGGGAGCCACGAGGGCCAAACTTGATCATACTATACGGGCTCGTGTGATGTTGCGAGGCGAGGTGAGCGAGATCCATGAGTGCGACCCAATGAAGGTTACCCGAACGAATTGCCGACTGCTGTGCACTAGCAACAAGCTTATCACGTTGAATGTAGTTGTATTCGCTGGCGGGAATGCGACCGTTGTGATCGAGTTGATAGCTGCTCAAGCTGTCAAAGCCTTTGAATTGCGGTGGTTGACGCAGCAGGCTAGGGTCTCGGTCTTGTGGCTTGGTAGCGATCGAGAAGCTGGCGCGAGGTGCTTTGGCGATTGTAGAATCGTTAGCTGCTTCTACGCGCTTGTTTACGGTGTGGTGATGGTGACCATTGCCGTTGATGTGCCTGCTAGAGGAGGGTCGATGGCGGGTGCCATTGCGATCGGAAGTATGGCCGTTTGGGTTGGCTTGTTTGCGAGCCTGTTTGATTTGCTGGGTGTGATGAGGGGTAGATGATGGGTGTCCATTGAGAGTGAGCGTCGCTTTGCTTGACATCTCTGAAGTGGGAGACTGGATGATAGCAGTGACGCTACCGCCGGCGGGCGAAAGAGGTGGCGAGAGGGTAGGAGAGAGGGAAGGCTGCTGTACTGCTGATTGAGCCATCTTGGCCTGCGTAGTCTATCACAAGTGTAGAGGCGAACAGAGGGGGGTTGGGAAAGGATTGTGTGCTGGCAGATGTGATGCGGAGGAAAGGGAGGACAAGGTTCAAGTGTGCACGAGAAGAAGTGGGTGGGAATGGGTGGCCTTGTAGAATGCTGTCAAGGGACAGCTTGGGATGCTTCCTAGGCCCTGAGCTGGGAGGCAATACTAGAAGAAGATGGTGGTCGGGTTCTATAAGCACGACTGCTGCTTGATGCGCGATGCGAGTGTTGCGCCTGTCAAGGATATGCTTTCGTGGATGAGCGGAATTGAGATATGCGGCGATGAGATGGGAGAAAGCTTGATGAGGCTGAGGCTTGGAGGAGCGAATTCTTGAGCCAATGCAGTCAAAGTCGATCTCGGAGCTAGATAGCGGGTTGTAAGCAGAGTGTATCTATGGAAGCGAGGGCCTGCTTCTGAGGGGCGTTCAGAGGGTATGTGATGGGAAGAAGCTATACGAGTGATGCAATTGGACGCTGAGGGTGCAAGTTTGGATATGGTTGCTTTCGGGATATGAGTGAAGCCACGGTAGCCCCACAGCTTGGAAACTGAAGGTGGGATTATGCGAAGAAAGAGTGCCGGTGTACTGAGATGGAGCGTGTCGAATTCGAAGGATCGATGAACGCGCTTTGAATGGTGGTGAAACGAGGAGATGTGCGAGAAAGTTGTATGCCGAGCGAGAAACCGAGACCAATGCTAATCCGGGGGTTAGAGAGAGAGAGAGAGAGAGAGAGGGAGAGAGAGACAGAGAGAGAGACAGAGACGATGTAAAGCTAGTTCGATGCGGAAAGGGGGCCTGACGTGAAAAGTGGTTTCCTTTGAGATGGTGTTGGTGGCGGTGATGGTGGCGGTGTTGGTGGGCTGAATGAAAGCAATGATAGCCACTCGATCAGACCAGAAGGAGGAGCAGAAGGAGGGAGCAAAGGGGGGAAAGGCAAAGGACGGCGAAAGGGTCCAATTGGCATTCGATTTGCAGTGGAAACAGTGAGGAGAAGAGAGCACACACACACACAGTACGGCAAGAGAGAGAGAGCGAGAGAGGGAGAGAGCGAAAGAGGAGTCGCATTTTGCATTTCTGATTGTGTGTGTTTTGCATTATGTGTCAGGACATCGGATACTCCGAAACGAGAGAGGGGAGAGAGCAACAGGCACACCATCTGTCTTCTTGTTCCACTCGTACACAGAAGCAACACTTTTCTCTCTCGGATGTGCCGGTTTGCAACATTCACCATCGCTGTTCTCCTCTCACAACATCACACTTGTCACACTTGTCACATACGCCTTTCGCATTGCTCAGAGCCGCCGAGTCGGCCAGTTTTACGGGTGATCCGATAGCTATCTACGACATACAAGCACAAGACCTGACCATTCGTGGCTGATGATGGTCATGAGCTTTGACGCACGAAAGAGAGAGGAAATAGTATGTACAGACCAAAAAAAAAAAAAAAAAAAAAAAAAAAAAAAAAAACGACCCTGCAAATGTCCTCTCGCTTTTCCATCTCACTTTAATCGACAGCCGCAAACGAGGAGGACCCTAAAGTGGCAACAAGCAACTCGCCTGTCGAAATCGGACCCTTGACATCCTTGACATCCTTGCCTTGCTTGCCTTGCTTGCCTTGCTTGCCTTTCGCTTTTCGTTTGTCGCCTTTCCCGTCTTTGCCATGCTATCAGACCGCTCTCGACACTGACGATCGCTGTATACAATTGAAAGCTCATCTGTCTATCACCATCAAGATGTCGAGGAGAGGGCAGCAGGCTAGCTTGGCACTCTCCCTTTGCTCTTTTGCGTCAAATCTCGACTGAAACTGCAAAGACAAAGAGTAAGAAAGCGTCATCAGGTTTCGCTGGATGTGCAAGCGAAACTGGGCAAGGCGATCGAGAGTCGCTCTAGAGACGGCAAAGTGCGCGTGTAATTTCAGCGCGTCGTGGGGGCGACATTTCATGCCTGTAGAGAAGCGAGAGAGAGAGGGACGAGATGCAGGAAATCCGTCAGGGTCCATAGACACACACACATGCGAATTTTCTATTGCCCGATTTTGCAGCGAACAAGCAAGAGCACTGGATACAGCTCTTGAAAATCGGTAGCAAGGGTGTCTCTCGCGATCGCAACTAAGACATGGAAAAGACCTCTCTTGGTCCATGCGCCACTCAGTTAACCCGCCTTTCGATCCTCCTCAAAATTTCGCTTATTGATGCTGACACTTGTTTTTTGGTTCGTTCAGCCAAGCCTTGTTGGCAGCTGCATGTCGGCATCATTGACAGATCTTGCTCCGTCGGTGACGATTTCCGATCGTGAAACTGAATCGGGGCCCTTTTTTTTTATCCCAAAGATCAGCGATTCTCGCACCTTCTCTGAGCTCTAACACACACTTTTTGGCTTTGCAGTTTGGCACTCGAAACTCGTCACGACCCTAAGAGGGAGTGTGTTGCTGGCAAAGCCAAGAATTCAAGTTGGAGGATCGACAACGTCAGGCTTAACCGAGAGGCCGCACCTTGCAACTTGAACAAGAAGCTTGATATGGTTGCCTCTGCAATCACTGCTCACCTTCCAACAGCGGCGTCCCTACGCTCGTTTACTTTCGCTGTGCCTTGCACGAGCATGCTTTTTCGCGAGACCTATGGATGCAATCCACATGCTCTTCCCCTTTCTTTAATCAGACCAGACGATCAGCCGGTTGTCAACGCTCTACTAGATTCAAGATGAGCGACAGTCTCTCCAACGACATCCCTGCTGAACAGGCTTAGGCTTGCCAGCATTTGGCCGTGCGATACCGTAACATGTCGCTTCTATCCGACGGTTTCCGACGGTTGCAACAGAAACACGGGCTGTGTGCTGCGCAGAAGCTGAGCCCTGAAGCTAGGACCGAGCCACACCGTCGGGATTTGCGATGCTCCAAGTTAAGGCAGCAGAGCGCGCTCGGGGAAGCCGACAATGGACATCACACACGCACATTTCAATAGAGGATAAGGTTAGAAGAGACAAGGAACAGCTTAGGTCGAGGTTTCTATCTAGTCTTGCCTTTCAAGGAGTGGCTCGGCGAATTTCGAAGCTGATCTACAAAATGGCTTTCTTCTGCAAAGCGGCGATGCAAGTGCATGTAACTATTTCAACGTTCAAAGCCGAGACTCGCCTTGGTCTTGCCTTCTGAAAGTCGGACTCTCCGAAGGTGTCCCCTATCGGAAGTTGCCGACGGATGGAGCAGGAGCGTTCACTCTCAGCCTTGAACTGTCATTCCCCAATGTGTTCCCACGCCAAGCCTGCTGCTGATTGACACTGTCGGTTCAGAGCCGACATCACACGGCTGAGCAGTGTCAGATGGATGGTGTGTGTGTGTGTGTGTGTGTGTGTGCGTGTGCGCTTGTGTGGGCTGTGTGAGCAAGTGGCTTCACAGTAGCACTTGACGCTAACAAAGGAGCTGAGATTCGACTCTTGCACTCGGAACATCCCCGCGCGTTGGTGTCACTTTTGAAATTTCCCTTTCTGAGAGCACACACGCACGCCCCCTGCCTGCCTGCTTGCTCGCTCTTTGCTGGCATGCAAAAAGCCTCAGTTTTTTTTGGTTGTTGTGACTGCTTCGCGGTGACACTCTCTCCAAGACATCACGTTTGCAACTGTCACTCAATCACACACAAAGCACGCTGAGCTGTGGTGATTCGCCCAAGCTGTCCATTGGCTGCTGTTGCTGTTCATCCTTTCATCCGACTCTCTGCTCACCACCATCTCAACTCACCACCATCTCAACTCACCACCATCTCAGCTCACCACCATCTCAACTCTCACTCCTTCTCCTCTCCCTTCGGACTTCATACCCTTCCTCTTAAACCGCCTTTTAGGTTTCTGCCATCTGCCTTCTGCCTTCTGCCTTCTGCCTTCTGCCTTCTGCCATCTATCTTCCACGATCTCGGCAGCAAGCTACCAGGGGATAGGATCGCCTCAACTCGCATCAGGACAAGCGATACTAGGCCATCAGTCTTCGCATTCAAAGGTCGACTGGCTTGATCTTTGGCTCCCTCTCTTGCTCTTTTCCTGTCAACTCGATCGCCTCACGCTTTGCATCGCATCTTTACTTCTTGCTCCTTTCATCCATCTGCTTTCTTTCACTCGCACACCCACGTATCCACGCTCTTTACTTGTCCAATCTTCTTGTCGCTCGACGCGCTCCGGATCTCACTCCCAGTAACGGCCACTTGGAAAGCACTCTAGCGCACACACCTACAGGCAAAGCAAACAGCTTTCCTCCTTCTGCAATAGTGCCAAATCAAGCTCTCATCACCGCATCAGATAAGCTAAATAGTTCCGGCCCAGACATACCTCTACCTGTGCAAGCTGACCCTGATCGACAAAGCTGTTGACGCGCGACAGGTCAGCTCTATAGTAGCGGTTCACTTGCAGCTTGCCAGTCCTTCTGCTCAGCACGCCTGACGCCACAATGCCTGCCATTCAGCGCAACGCAACTTTCACAAAGACCTTCATTCGCAAACCAGGTCAGCGAAATGATCAGTCCATACCACTTCACACAGAGGCGCCCCCTCCGCTTCGGCAGCCTACACGCATCGCACGCGCCAAGACACTCACCCGTCCCGAGCGAAGTCAACCGCAAGTCCCACTAATCAACCCTTCAAGCGGCGGTCCTGGCTTTTCAGCAGCTTCCAGCTCAAAGAGCAGCTTCTCTTGCTGGACTGCCTTTTCGCTTGTTGTAACCTTCTGGGCCCCTAGCCCAGTTCTCAGCGCATGCGGTTTCAGAGACAAGGCCAGTCGGCAAGCATGGCGTGAAAAAGTCTCGCTCGTCTTTGTCGCCATTTTGCTCGGTGCCTTCATCGGTTTCATCACCATGGGTCTTAACGCTTCCATGTGCCCATCAGCAGACAGCAATTCGCCAAAGACCTTGATCGGCATTGGTACCGGAGGCGCCGTGCTCGGTGTTCAGGGTTGGGCTCTCGACATCGCCCAGGCTCATCACTTTCCCAACACAGAAGCTTCTAATCTCTTCTCGCTCTCCACCACTCGTTCCGGTTCCGATATCTCATCTCTCTTTGCCAGGACCTCTAGCGTCAACTTCCCTGCCTGTCGTGGATTCACTGGTGCCTATGCTGCCGATCCACCGTGTCTCGCTCTCAATGGCACCCTCTTGCAGGAATGTCCGCTAGGTCCAATGACCCCAGCCAGCTTTGCTACCTACGGCATGCGCAACGAATCCAAAAGGATCGGCTACGGCTGGCAAGATATTGAGAGCGGTAACTTTACCAACTTTATCGTCCTTGATGGAAGCGTGCTCAACATGACACCTTACCTCAAAGCCAACCCAGCACCCATCCGAGGTGATGTTGTTGATCTTGCGATCCGACAACAGCTCTCAACCCGTGTCAGAGGTGGACGCGACTCGACCATGATGTTCTACACCAACCCAACAGCTCGAAAAGCCATCAAGTGCCTGGTGCAAAAGTACGAAGCAGGACACATTGACAAGATCACCCCCGGCTGCTTCATCTCCAATCTCGTCCTTTACTGCTCGCTTGTCATCATCTTGGCAATTGTGCTTATTCGCTTCTTCATGGCTGTATGGTTCTCGTGGTTTATGGCTGGTAGGATGTCTTCACCACCACGTCCATCTCGTCAACGCAAGATTGCGCCCAACATGTTGCCGGATGGTGCCATGACTACAGTTAACTCGTCTGGCGCCGCACCATGGGCCAACAAGCAGCGTCCACCACCTTCGCAGCCAGTTGGCCGCAGACCTGACTCAACATCATCCGCCACGCCCTCAGTTCTGGAGGGTTTGTCGATCCAACACATCGGTACCGAGCCCTATATTGTCTGTTTGATAACGGCATACTCCGAAAACGAAGACGGTATCTCGACAACACTCACCTCGCTCTCGGCGACAGAGTACTCGGATCAGCGCAAGTTGCTCTTCGTTGTGGCCGACGGTATGGTTACAGGCTCAGGAGAGTCGATGAGCACTCCCGACGTTTGTGTGTCCTTGCTCGAGGCGGATCCACGATTCGGCACACCAACGCCCATGAGTTTCATCTCGATCGCACAGGGTAAGAAGGAGCACAACATGGCTATGGTCTATGCTGGCCACTATACTCGAGCTAAAGGACATCGAACACCTATGGTGGTCGTGGTAAAATGCGGTGCACCTGAAGAAGCTGGCGACTCGAAGCCAGGTAACCGTGGTAAGCGTGACTCGCAGATGATTCTGATGAACTTCTTCCAACGCGTTACCTACAACGATTGCATGACACCGCTCGATTACGATCTCTTCCGCAAAGTGCACACGCTGATGGGTGTCACACCGGACTTTTTCGAGCTGTGTCTCATGGTGGATGCCGATACCATGGTCTACCCCAAATCCATCAAGACGTTGGCCAACTGCATGATGGGCGATCCTCTCATCATGGGTGCTTGTGGAGAAACGCGGATCGCCAACAAGACGCAAAGCTGGGTCACCATGATCCAAGTTTATGAGTACTTCATTTCGCATCATCAGGCCAAAGCGTTCGAGTCGGTGTTCGGAGGTGTTACCTGTCTTCCAGGTTGTTTCTCCATGTACCGCATCAAAGCAAGAAAGCAAACTGACGACGACTGGGTTCCGATCATTGTCAAACCCCAAGTTACTCGCGAATACAGTCAGAGTGTAGTGACAACTCTGCACCAAAAGAACTTACTCTTACTTGGAGAAGATCGATTTTTGACTACAACGCTACTACGAACTTTCCCCAACCGAAAAATGGTCTTCTGTCCGCAAGCACGTTGCAAAACCGAAGTGCCTCACACCTTCAGCATGCTACTATCCCAACGTCGTCGATGGATCAATTCGACCATTCACAATCTGATGGAGTTGGTCTTGGTTCGAGATCTTTGTGGTACTTTTTGCTTTTCGATGCAGTTTGTCGTGTTTATGGATTTACTAGGTACAGCGGTTCTGCCGATTTCGATTGCGTTGACGTATACTTTGGTGGCTACCTACTGCATCAATCCACCGCATTCGTTCACCGAGGCGATTCCGTTGATGTTGTTGGTGGCGGTCATCGGGATGCCAGCGTTGCTTATTTTGCTGGCAACTCGTAAGGTGGTTTATGTGCTTTGGATGTTGATCTACCTCATCGCTCTACCCGTGTGGAACTTTGTTCTTCCCGTATACTCCTTTTGGCACTTTGACGATTTCTCATGGGGAGAAACACGCAAAGTCGAAGGCGAAGGAAAACAAAAGGGACACGGGGACCAAGGTGGTCTAGGCACGGGTAATGCCGTTCCACTGCGAAGATGGGAGGACTGGGAGCGATCTAGATTGCGCAAGAAGAAGCGAGAGGAGAAGCGACGACGTGAGTTGGAGAGGCAATTTGGTGTTGGCTTCCACAACGACAATGGATCGGATGGAGATCAGGATCGGAAGGAAGCGGGGATGCCATTGTCGAGACGGGAGAGTGATTCGTTTAGCGATTCGGTTACCGTCAGTGATTTCGATGACGATAAATGGGGGCATCAGATTGGTGGCTATGATGAATCCTTGCCTCCGCCGGTTCAGATTGTGAGGCATTCGGTTTGGGTGGCTGATCAAGAGGTGATTATCGATACGGAGGATATGGAGAAGATGTTGGAGACAGGGTGGGATGATAAGGCCTTTCGATCCAAAACGATGGGTGTGGGTGCCGGTGGGCTTGTGGGCAGTGAGGCAGCTTTACAACCGCAATTTCCTTCGGCGGTGAATAGGAATAGGATGTCTCAGATGGGCATGTTTCCGGTGAATAGAGATGCACCGGCTGTTCCCGAGATTCCTTCCAGATATGGCGCTCCTGGTGGTGGATTGACGAGAAGCAATGGTGGTGCGGGAAAGACGCAAGGCTACCAACCAGGAAGCTACGAAATGGAACGCACTCCTAGTCCAGGCGAGTATGCAAGCTTGATGCGTGGTGCTCCTTCCCCCTCTTCACCTAGTTTCCCACCTATGCAGCCCTATGGACATTCGTCGGCCGTGAGTGGACAGCAGGGTGCTACACATACGAGACAGAGGTCCGGGGGTGGTGGTCCACCACCACCGCTCAGAAATGGACCTAGCGGCAACGGCTTCCCGCCTCCTGGTCGTGGTCAAGCTGGACATGGTCAAGCTGGTGGTGGTCAAAGAGCAAGGCCTGGTGCTAAGGAGCCGATTAGTCGCAGTTACCACGATCGATTTGGGTAAATATCGCACTGTCGCACATGCTTCACTCGCATTCATTATTGGACTGTTGGTCACTTTACAAAGCACTCTTTTCCACGCTCACTACACTCGTAGGCACACATACACACCCTCTTCGTATACTCTAGTTACTACTAGCAAAGACAGTTGTTGTGTTCACAAAAAGCAAAGACTGAGCAGTGAAAGGGCCGAACCTGGGAGTGGTGGTGAATTTCTCGTGCGAAAACAAATGCGAACAAAGTTGACGCGCTTGGTGTGTGTGTCTCTCTCTCTCTCTCTCTCGCGTGTGTTGGGCGCGTTTGGTATGCGGAAAGTGTCGATCGCGTTCTGACTTTGGGGGGATTTTGCATTTAACCTCTGCGCCACCAACATCATCGGCGCAGGACTCAACAAGTCTATACGTCTGTTTGCGCATTCTCGTCGGCTCGGAGCTCAAAGCTATCCAACTTTACCAACAGCACGAGCAAGCGGAGGAAGATGGTGGCTAGAGAACAGACTAACGATATGGGATTGCATTGTTCGTCTGGCTCTAGCTCTTCTTCTGGTGTTGTAAATCTCGAAGTTGGTTTTTTCGAGAGAGAACGATGTAGGTTGATTCAGGAGATTTCCAAAGTATGTTATGCCTTCTTCTGATGTGTGATTCTTTCAGCTTGCTTTGTACTGACGCTGTATTTTGTTTTCTTGCCGGGTTTAGGGTGTTGAGGCTGTGCTGGGTAGTTCGAATGATGTTAATCGCAAATTGGAAGAGAGTATTTCGGTGGGGAAAGAGTTCCATCCTATCTCGCAGCTTTGGAGTAAGTTCGAACGTATTATGGTTGCTTCTGGTATTGCTAGTCTTGCGACTGCTTCCGACGATTCTTGTCCCGACACCGCTGACGCTTTGCGAGTGGGAGTGGAGAAGGAGCGTGAAGGAGAGCGGGTGATAGGCGCAGGTATGGCTACGCCCAAAAACAAAGCCCCAGACGACGAGCAAAAGGGAACCACTCAAGAGGCCGAGGGAGCAATTAGGTTGCAAACGACCAGCTCGAAATTGCCTCCTGGTGTCGCTCCCGGTGGTGGTCGGATCTACGCCTAACGCGCGGTTGCAACCTCCCTTTCTCTGCTTGATGAGCTCACGAAGCAGCTTCACCTGCTCGCAAGACTGGAAGAGAAAGAGGCAGGTTTGATTTCGGTGGCTTCTTGCATCTCTACCTCCTCCGTTGATTGCACTTGACAAGCTTGCTATATTCTCTTGGCTGCGATGGTGTGATGCGATTGATTCTAGAAGCTCGGTCATGACATACTCAAGATGTACGCCAACACCGGTGTAGGTGACGTCCAGATCGCCATCCAACATGAGCTCTGGCGAGGACCGACAACACACCGCAACGCAAAGCCAACATGTGCACTCTTCAACAAGATTGACTACATGTCCAGAGCATGACAACTGCTCGACGACTCGGCTTGATCCCTTGCTGCCCTTTTTCCTCACCCTAAGGATCCAAAGACGGTCGCTGGTTAGGAGGAGAAGAGCTCTGTTAAGGAGACCGGCGTTTAACCACAAGGAGGAGGAGCAGTGTCAAAGAGGTTGACATGCATCACCAGGAGAAGAGGAGCATCGAGGCAAGTGGCAGTGCCAAACAAACCAACACACTGTCTGGGCAGTAGAAGAGCAGTGTCAAAGGAGTCAGCACACAGCTCGAGGGAAAGAGGGGTAGTGACAGAAGGAGTCAATAACCCTCTTCAGGAGGAGCAGGAGGGGTGTTGCAGGGCGACACCAAACAAACCCATAAATACTCTCTTTTCACCATAGCATATGAGTGGTTCCTCATCCACTCTACTTTACTCTTACCTACTCTTTACTTAGTTATGTTCACATCATTGCAATAGCAGGGCTTTTGCAATGACCTCTCAATCGCATGTGTTGCATCACCATTGCAAGTCCACTGTAGGCAGTGTTATGCAACACTTGTGGTCCAGTGAATCACTGTAGGTGGTGTTGCTCAACATCTGTGGTCCAGTGAATCACTGAAGGCAGTGTATAACACCTGTAGTCCAGTAGCTCCTGTCATCTGTAGGCAATAACCTTATTGCAGTCCAGGTAATGACAAGAACATCAAGCAGCAGCACTACAAACACTTGTGCTGTATCAGGAAGTGTATCTTATACCAATCACAAACCAATGTGTTACAAACATGCTGCATAGCCTCTGAACAGAGTGTCCAAGGTGGTCAGCCAAAACCTACCAGAACTCAGTCATCTGGTTGTGTTCATTGAACCCTACCAAACAGAGCATACTTGGTTGATCTCATCGATATCAACCAGAAACACCAGCTGTTACATGTGCAGGCTATATGTGCATTGTAACAGTGGAAGTAGATGTATTTCAGGAAGGAGGAGATCTAGGTGGAAGCCTGTTTAAGTACTAGTTTCCATACAAGCAAAGTTTTGCATGATGATATCAAACTTTCCTGTGCAACATGTATTCAGGCAAGAGGATATCGATCGAGTATTCTCGTATGGTTGGTATTTGCACGAGAGAGTACCCAGGCGTGACATTGGCCCCGCTGAAGAATACACTACAAGGCGAGCATGGAGCGAGATGAAGAAGTGAGACAAGACAGTGGGGAATGCGGTCTGAGAAGGAACAAGAGTGGGGGAGGAATTCGGAGCGGGTATGGGTGTGGCCCACTGAGTCTATCTATAGGTAAGCGAAAGAATACCGGAGGATGCCGGAGAGATGTTCCGGGGAAGCTAAACAGGGGGGTGGGTTTCGGTGGGCCTGGGTGGGGTGAAAGCTTGGCGGGCACACCAAGTGGTGATGATGGTGGGGTCAGTTATGGTGTTTTCTGGCACCCACTTGTTGCAACCTGCATGGTCAAAATGAACTAAGTATTGACACCCATGGCAATGGGTGTCACAGTCCTTGAGAATGGCCATGATTTTCTTGCTGGTCACTGGTTTTTCCAATGGAACATAGGGTTCTAGGTGCTGGATGGAGATTACTGGGTGGAGCCTGGTGCTGTGGGGGAAAGAGAGTTCATATGTGAGCTCGCTTACAATGTGTTTGATGGGGTAAGGCCCCACCTGCTGCACACTGAGGTATTGATCTGGTGGAAGCAAGCTTGGAGGTACTGAATACCCATCATGGAGCTTGAGCCAGACCCAACCCCCAACCATGAGGCAGGGTGGCACAGCATGAAGAGAGTTGTAGTGCTGGCACATATAAGCCTGGACCAGGGCGAGATGTTCCAGAGCCTGCTGGCATAGGGCCACCTGGCAGTCTGGTAGTGTAAGGTTGCCAAGAGTAGTGACTGGCTGCAGAGCCATGAATGGGTCTCGCAGCTGCAAGCCAAAGAGGAGATCATTCAGAGTGGTGTTCATAGAAGCATTGATGCAATTTGCAAGGAGGAGTTCCACCAGGGGCAAATGGGTGGCCCAGTCATCGGACCAGGCATTGCATAGACCACAGAGGAGAAGCTCTACCAACTGGATAGCTCATTTGCTCTGACTGTCGCTCTTGTGGTGGGCCATGGAGAATACCAATTCACAGCCATACCAGGTGTTGAGACTGCACCAGAACTGCAATGTCAGGTGAGAGTCACAATCACTGATAATCCTGAGGGGCCACCCAATATGGGGAAGGAGGCAGTCAGTGTAGCATAAACTCCAGCATTCTGCACTCCATGTGGATGCTCCTGATAGGAGGTAAATGTGATGCATGGCCATGTCTGTGAGGGTGAGGACCATGTCAATGAGATCAAGATCAAATGGTGTCCAGACAAGGGGGAGGCATATGATAAAGTTGCAAGAGATCATTGTGAAGGGCATATCAGGTGCAGGGAGTGGCTGTAGCACACCATAGGGGTGGTGCCAAAGCATTTGTGTTTGCTGGCATTAGGAGCAACACTTGACATAGTCCTCAATGTGGTGCAAGAGTCTAGGGGTGTAGGCTATGGTCCTGAAGCAATCAAAGGTAGCCTTGGCACCTAAGTGGCTGGTATGTGCAAGGCCAATGACATGAGACAGTGCCATTGTGCCAATGCATAATTGCCAAACACCATTTGGCTCGAGCTTGCAGAGCATATTGTCAGCATTAAGGCTGAAAACACTGTTATTGAATGGGTGGGATCTGTTGGTGCTGTTTTCCAGTTTGTCATGTACCTGTTTCAGTGACAAATCGGTTTGCTGGGATTGCAGCAGCTCTGCAAGTAGCCCTGGATTCAGTTTGAGCTCCTGGACATGAAACATGATGGATGCACCTTCTGACATCTGGATGTGACTGAGCACATCCACATGTGCCATGTACATACCTTTGCAGTGCAAGATATGGAGTTTAGGGCAGAATTTGGCCAAGATGAGAGTAAAGCAAACTAAGTGGGGGTTCCTTGCAGTGGGGGCAGTTGAGAAGGGCTTGGTGTTGGCAATTGAAGTTACTGCCAAGTGGTCTGTGAAAAGGAAATGCAGGCTGGGGGAAGCATCCAGAAAACACTTGACCCAGAAGAGGGCCCAGACTGCAGCCATGGCTTTGAGCTCAGTGGGCCAGTAGGATCGCTCGGCCGGCTTAAGGGCACAAGAGTCAAACCAAACTGGAACTTTTGCTGTAGTATCAGCTGAGTCAGGATGGATAGCATCCAAGCAATGGACATCCTTATCAGTATCCATCCCCAGACGATTTTGGTGGAGGGCTAGGGCAAAACCATGTTGTTGCAAAGCATTGACATAGAGCAGAAACAGCTGGGTGTAGTTTGGAAACTGTAAGGCCCAGTCCTGTAGGATAGACTTAAGCTTGGTGAGGGACTGCTGCACACTAGGGTCAGCAGGTATGGATGTTCTGGTGCAGTATCACTTACAGGCATGACCAGTTTTAGGGGAAGGGTGCAGGAGAGTAGTCTTGAGTCACTGGAGAGGAGAAATAAGAGCTGAGAAGCATGGGACATAGTTCTTGTAGTAGGAGAAGAACCCAACTATATGCTCTAGCTGGGTCAAGGCTGAGGGGTAGGGTATGGACTGGATAGCTTGACACTTAGTGGGCATGGTCTGAGTGCCTTTGCTGGAAATGAGGTGACTGAGAAGGGGTACTTCCTTGCAAGCAACATGAGCCTTGTCCCAAGCTAATGTAAGACCCAGGTCCTGGATGACATGTAAAACAGAGTGCACATGCTGTTCATGCTCATCAAGGGTCCCAGACCAGATTCCAAAATTGTCAACATAGACAAAGGCTACATCAGACAAACCCACTGCCTTGAATGCAGTTGTTAGGACATGCTGCAAAAAGGCAATGGAATGTGACTGACCCATGATTGTGCAGGATAAGGTCTCTTGTCCTCTGTGAGTAAGGACTGTTGCCTTCCAATGATCATCCAGGTGCAGTGGCATTTGGTAGAATGCCTTACACAGGTTGAACATGGTAATGTAGTTCACACCTGCAAGGCATTCCTGGAGTTCATCCAGCATAGGTAACAGATAAACATCCAGATTGATGATGTCATTAAGCTGGTGGAGGTCCATGACTGGTTGGGGTTTACCCTCCCAGTAGATGACAAACACTGGCCAGCCACATGGCATACCTGGGGGTCCAGGTGCAAGACATCCCTGATGTGTGAGTTTGTCGAAGACGATGTCGATGGCTCAGCAGTCCCATGGTGAAATGCAGTATAGCCTGGGTTTGAACAGGTGGGGGTTTGCATCCAGCATGACAGACAGCAGGTGCATCGCTTCGCCAGATTGTAAGAGGCTGAGTTTGGGCCACCAGACATCAGGGAATTCCGAGAAGGTGTCGAGGAAGTGCTGGTGGAAGGTGTGAGAGACACCATCATCAAAGACTGGCAGCTCATCGGAATGGGGCTGGTCTGGCATGACAGTGAATGGTAATTGGTGCCCATCCATATCTGGTGGAGCTTGCATGTCTGGTGCCAAGACATTGGGTGACAGAGGAGTGGAGACATGGGTGATGACCAGGTTAGGCTCCAGATTAGGTGTTGCCACCATGCTGATCACTTTGGTATGGAGGCCACAAGATTGGAGGGTGACAAAGCCCTTGATGGTGTCATAAAGAATGCCATGTCAGAGAATGAAGTCCATGCTGAGGATGATGTGTGGAGGGAGGTGCTTGATGACATAACATTGAAGGTTTACACAGGCTAAGGCCTGTGCCTGACAGGGCACATGCAGGAGGAATGTGGCACAGCTCTCAACCTGGGTTGGAGTGCCAGCCATCTGGATGAAGAGGTCACTGGGAGAGAGCTTGTGCTCGAAGAGCTGCAGTGTGGCATCATCAATGAGTGATACAGAGGATCTGGTATCCAGACAGGCTGAGAATGGTTCTCTGCCTGGTGGTTGGACATAAATCATCAGGTATGTGGGGGCTAACTGAAATGTGAGGGGCAGCATCACAGCATCTATGACCAGTAGTGCCAGTCTGGAGACATGGCCAACAAAGGGCCAGTCAGGAGGCATTTTGAGCAGAGAGGGCTCATGTGAGGGCCTCTCCTCGAGGTCCTAGTTGGAGCCAAAGGAGTCATCACTGGAAGCTTCTGGGGAGTAGGTCATGCCCAACACATCATCCACATCCAAGTCTCCTGGTTGGCCTGCCTGGCTAGCCTCAAGGTAGTGGTATTCCAGGGCTGCATAGTCTGAATCCTCATAGCCAGTGGCATCGACATGGTGAGCAGCCACAGCAGGGTTAAATCGCACTAAGGGCTTACTTGCCTTAGTACAGTCAGCATCCCAGTGGGAGCCATTGCAGTGCTGGCATGGGTGAGGAGGGGGCTGTTTAACCAAATGATCAGCTAAAGACTGGGGTCAAAAGGGTGGACCAGGAGCAAGGTGCTGTTGTGGCCAAGAAAGTTGAGGAGTCTTGAAGGTAGGAGGAGGTGCCTGGCATTGCTCTGAGCGATGCATAAGGAGTGTAGCACATTGCACCAGGCAGCAGCAATAGAAGACATTGAGGTCCCCAGCTTTTTTGCCCTCGAGGCTGCTGGCAAGAGCATTCCTCATGTCAAAGGGTAGACCTGCAAAGAGGGATTGGATGATCTGCTCTGGAATGGTGATTCTGGCAATGCATGCAAGGTGAATCTTGTGTTTGTGGTAGGTGTGGTAGTCACCTGCAAGGTCATAGCACAGGGAGCTAAGAGCACTGTGGGCCTTGGTGATGCTCATACCAAAATGATCATGGAGGAGGTGTTGCCATGCATCAGTACTCACATGGAGCTGAGCATGTTCAACATTGCCAAGGTTTGTGTACCAATCAGTAGCAGTGGAATGCAAGCACTGTGGGAGGGTTTTGCAAACAGCAGCCTGACTCTTGAAGGCCGCTATGTCCTGAATGTGGTGGCAGAAGACTTTGACATTGTCTCTGGCACCCAGGTTGAAGATAGCAATCTCTTCTGGTTTCAAGGTGCGATCCTTAATGAGAAGCTGTGGGACCACTCTGGTTTGCACTTTGCATGCATAGCTGTGATCATCATGAGTGTAAGGATGGTTGTTGCATCTGTCATCAGGGTGGTGAGGGGAGGTTCAATCATAGCTATGTGCCTCACAGTTATGTTTGAACATGTGCTCCTCCCAGGCATAGTTGGAAGGACATGGAGAAAAGGGCAGGTGGCACTTGGGCACCATTCATTTGGGTGCCAATCAGTTTTGACCATGAGATCCTTGGCTCAAGATGAAGGTCTTGAGGAGGTGGAAGGTGGAAGCCTGTTGTTTGAACATGTTGGCCTGTCACTCCTCCATGGCACAGTGAGCATGAGCTTGCTGCTCCAGAAGCATCTGAACCCAAGCTGGGGTGTTGGAGTCATCACCAGCAGTGGTGGAAGTGGCTGTATGCATGCTTCCAGGTTGCAGAGTGTCAGCCTCAGGCATGTTTGGAGCAAATGAGGTTGGAGGAGAGCTTGAGGAGAAGGAGGTTCTTGATGACATTTGCTGATAGGGCGATACCTCAGGACAATCCAGGTTATTGAGTGGTGGCAACAAGGAGCCACCTTGCACACAAGTAACATAGCATGGAGTTATGTTGCTTGAGGTATTGACCATAGTTGAGTCAAAGGAGTTGCTGCTGTCGAAAGACTTGCGAGTGCTACCAATGTTACATGCACAGGCTATATGCACATTGTAATGGTGGAAGTAGATGTATTTCAGGAAGGAGGAGATCTAGGTGGAAGCCTGTTTAAGTACTAGTTTCTGTACAAGCAAAGTTTTGTGCAATGATATTGAACTTTCCTGTGCAATGTGTATTCAGGTGAGAGGATATTGATCAAGTATTCTCGTACGGTTGGTATTCGCACGAGAGAGTACCCAGGCGTGACACCAGCCCTGGTTTCAGGTGCGCAACCGCTTACACTCAACCTCGACATTGTTCATGGGCATCACGCTCAGAGGAATGTATGGCAGTAATTGTGAAAGCTTGTGCTTGTCCTTGGTGCTGATGGCCTCAATGACATTATCATGACCAGTGTGAAGAATTGAATAATCGTCTGAAAGAAGTGCAAGGCTATGTGATTGACAAACCTGATGTAGTCATGATAAACGATTAACTTGCCACCTCCTGTCTCTCGACTGTGCTTCTTGTTACTGCTCTGGTCAATGATGCCTGTGTTGTACAAGTATGTCTTGGCATCATCGTCTGGTCTTGTATGCCAGTCTTGATTGATGCAAGAGGCGACAGGACAGACAAAAAAGGTGGTTTGCTTCCATTACTGAAAGCGGCTGGTGAACAGCACACAGATGTTGTCAAAGTCCAAGTTGTCGATCCTCCTGCTGCACCTTGAGATGAGCATGGAAGTTTTCGAGGAGAGAGTGAGCCTTTTGCTGCAGCTCAGACTCAATATCTTTGAGATCTGGCAAGTGCATGAGAGTGTCATTTATATCCAGTGCCTCTTTGACATGGTCAGAGAATGCTGTGTCAGGGGTACCCGCTGCAGTTGTGCTTCTGGTGCCAACAGGGCCATAGGGTGTTCTGCCATGCAGGAAGATGTCAGTGGCGAGCAATTCTCCTTTCAAGGCCAATGTATGGCTGTTAACACTATGGACACTTGTGTCTGGCCTTGACTGTAAACACTCGCACCGGACTCATGAGGACTGGAAACAGTGTCAGGAGAAAAAAGTGAAAAAAGTGACTGTCCATGATGAAGCGAGTTCTATCGACGATGTACACCACCAAAAGTCAACACTTGAACACCCTTGCCCTTTCCTTTCTTTTTCCTCGCTCCTGGCGTGTCTGGATCTGGCTGGGAGCCATTTGCACTTGCCGCTGGATGTTGCTGAGAGGCAGCCAAAGCGCCGTTGACTGCGTTCAAGTTGGCCAACCGGTCGCGGGCACCTGGCACGGGTGGAGGAGTGCAAGGTGTACTAGCCCCAGACCCAGCACTAGGCGTACCCACCGCACTTGTACTAGGACTCTTGCGCGCAGCAAAGAGCGCCTTCTTGTGCGCGTTGATACTCGCTTTTGCTGCGTTTGTGGGTAGACAGGGGAAGGCGCAAGAGGGATCCATGTCCGCCGTGCGAGCCAGAGAAGAGTTGGAGTGCACTTTTGCTACGAACGGTTTGGGCGTACTACTCCCCGATGCAGTTCCCGAGGCGACGGATGCGGATGCAGCATTCCATTTGGTCAAAGGTGCGCAGGCTCGGGAGGCAGCAGAGTGTGCGATTGTATGGGCTAACGATCCTGGAATAGAAGTCGAGCCGGTGGAAGGATTTTTGATACTTGGAATAGGATTTGCTCCTCCTCCTCGGCGATTGCTTGCTCCTGCGTAGCTACTGCCTGGGATGAGACCGATAGTAGGAGTAGAGGTACCGGCGTGGGACAGGGATGGGAACTGCGTCCTCTCCAGGCGATAGAGGTGCCAAGCTTGGCTCAGAGCTCTCGACTTATCCTTGTCGTCAAGCAAATCGAGCAATCCGTCGACGAGGGGAGCACAATCGTCCATTTCGCCTCCGACTAAACTGTAAAGGGTGGAAAGGAGATCTCGTGGGCTGGATTCACCGTTTTTGAAGAGTCGTACTGCATGGCGGAAAGAGGTGATGCGGGATTGGGATGCGGAGAGGGCGGTGGACACTTTGTTCATATAGGCTTGGTGTTTTTCTTGGGTGGAGCGCGAGTCGGTTGGTGTGGGCGGTGGGTCTGGGCATATAGGCTGAGCGGTGGAGTGGGAGGTGAGGTTGCAAGGCAAGATAGCAGGACGTGAAGCGTGGTTTGCTGGACTTGCTCCAGGAAGGTGTGTACGAGAGGCGAGAGTGGATAGTGGGAGAAGGTCTCTTGGTTCTGAAGGCCCTGGGTCGGCCCGGGATGCTGCGGCAGCGGCATTAGCTCGAGATGGAAGGACTGCTGCTCGGCAAGACTGGTGAGCAGGACCATCGTGAAAGGCAAAATTAGCGTCGATCCTGATGGCCTCCCTTCTCTGCCTGGTAGTTAACTGGTTGGCATGTTCTTGCACCTGATGAGCCTTGAAATCCAGCTCGGTCTCAAAGACAATGAATTTCTTGGCCAAACATTGGCTATGCTCGCACAACCAATGTTGGCTTTTGAAATGTTTCTCCAACATATCATAGTCCCTGTAATACTTCCATCTCTCCTGCTCACCGCCTCTGGATTTGCAGATATGGCACTGTTCGTGTCGATGCCTCATATGACTGAACAGTTCGTCGTCGCTGTAGAACCATGAGCTGTCGTACTGGCATAATCTATGTTCGGCCTTCTGGTGGGCTGCTAGGGACTGTTGGGTATGGAGTGTATGTTCGTGTGCAAAGATGTGTTTGTGTGTGATGCAGAGTTGACAGAGGAGACGGTTGTGTTCTCGTTTGACGTGGGATTTGTAGACCTTCCAGCCGGCACAGGCAATGTGGCAGTCGGGGTGCGGACAGTTGAAGCGAAGGAGGAGAACGGTTTCTTGGAGGGCATCTTTGGTTTCAAAGCTGATGGGAAGTTTTTTGTCGGAATAAGGGATGGAGGTGGGGGCGAAGGAGGAGAAGGGTTTGGAGGGGGAGGAGGTGAAGATGAGACGGGATATTTTGGACTTGCAGAATGTACATTCGTCTTTTTTGTAGAGGACGAGGAGACGGAGAGCACAGATGTGACAGGTGCGATGATCGCAGGGGGTGACCGAGTAGAGCCTGATGGGGTCTGCGCAGATAAAGCATGTTTCGGCTTCGGGGGGGGTTTGGTGGTCGTCGTCGTTATTATCTTGGGTCCTGGTTGGAGTGGTAGGTTGTGAGGATGAAGCTTGATCCTCGTCTGCTGGGGTGGTAGTAAGAGAAGCGCCAAAGTTGGCACGTCGACCAGCGGCCCCTGACATATTACTGCCGCCAGCAGGCAGCGGCGGTGGCTGTTGTGCGGTCCTCATGGCTCATCAGCTGAGTCGAGGATGATGGTGCGGAAAGAGTGAGTGATGAGAGTACAAGATGAAGATCAAGAGACAAGATGCAAATGGGTCTTGCCCAGTTTTCCTCGGCCACTCCAACTGCGCAATTGAATCGACTCGAATCGATCGGCCCAAACAGCCTGATCTCCCCGATTCGAAGAGAAGCAAGAAATATTCCAGCAAGAACAACACTTTCGCTTTAACACTTTCAACAATATTTCTTTCGCCTTAACACTTTCAACAATATTTCTTTCGCCCTCTTTTCCTCTTTTCCTCTTTTCCTCTTTCTCTCTTGAAATGCGTCGATCGTAATCCGAATAGAAAAAACCTTTCCTCCTTCGTTTTCCTAAATCCATGATTAGAAACGAGAACCGCGAACTTGAATACAAATTCAGCGCAAGGCTTTGCATTTTAAAGTCGAATGGAAAACTTTTTTTGATTTTTTGATTTTTTTGATTTTTTGATTTTTTTGATTTTTTTGATTTTCTTTTTCTTTTTGATTTTCTTTTTCTTTTTCTTTTTCTTTTTCTTTTCTTTTTTTGGGGATTTTGCGAGGCTCAGTTTGTGTGCGCGCGTGTCTGGTCGGTCTGGTCGGTCTGTCTTTCTGAGCCTGGAGAGTGAGCCTGGAGAGTGCGCTTTTTTCTTTTCTTTTTTTTTTTTCTTTTTTTTTTTCCTTTTTCTTTTCTTTTTTTTTTTCCTTTTTCTTTTCTTTTCTTTTTTTTTCCTTTTTCTTTTCGATCTCTCGGAGGATATCATCTCCCCGTCCTCGTCGAGCTTAGCATCTTGCTCCTCTGCCATCATCTGCTTTTTGGCAAACCCGCAAGAGCTACTTCAACAAACACCCCATCGCCGGTTATCCCAAAGGCCCCTTTTCGATCCTTTCGTCTTTCTTGACAGCGCTCTTACCAATCCAAATCACCTCGAGCCCGAGCCCAACATGTCCAAGTATGTCGTCAGCAAACCCACCCCCCCCCCCCCTTTTTCCCATGCATGGTCGATTGTCTGGATACGCTTTCTTGATCGCACTTTTGCATCCTCCCATCTGCAAGGCTTGAACACCATGATGTACTGACTTGTCACTTTGATCCCTTTAACACTCTCGCTCTTGTCTTTGCTCCAGACCCGACGATTCCCCCGCTGCTGCCAACAACCTCAACATCGCCGATGGCGAGATCGAGTCGAACTGGGAGACGGTGATTGACAACTTTGACAACATGGAGCTCAAGGACGAACTGCTCCGTGGTGTCTACGCTTACGGTTTCGAACGTCCCTCGGCTATCCAGGCTCGTGCCATCCTCCCCGTCATCAAGGGTCACGATGTCATTGCTCAGGCTCAGTCCGGTACGGGCAAGACGGCTACCTTCTCCATTGCCATCTTGCAGCGCATCGACCCTAGCATCCAGGCCGTTCAGGCTCTTATCCTTGCCCCCACCCGCGAGCTTGCCCAGCAGATTCAGAAGGTCGTCATTGCTCTTGGCGACTACATGAAGATCAACTGCCACGCCTGCATTGGCGGCACCAACGTTCGCGAGGACATGGCTAAGCTCAACGAGGGTGCTCAGGTCGTTGTTGGCACTCCCGGTCGTGTCTACGACATGATCAACCGACGTGCTTTCAAGACGGATCAGCTCAAGATGTTCTGCCTTGACGAGGCCGACGAGATGCTTTCCCGTGGTTTCAAGGACCAGATGTACGAGGTCTTCCAGCTTCTTCCTCAGGACACTCAGTGTGTCCTTCTCTCGGCCACCATGCCTCACGAGGTTCTCGAGGTGACCAAAAAGTTCATGCGTGAGCCCATCCGCATTCTCGTCAAGCGCGACGAACTTACCCTTGAAGGTATCAAGCAGTTCTACGTCGCCGTCGAGAAGGAAGAGTGGAAGCTCGAAACCCTCTGCGATCTTTACGAGACGGTTACCATCACTCAGGCCGTCATCTTCTGCAACACCCGTAGAAAAGTCGACTGGCTTACCGACAAGCTCACCGCTCGTGAATTTACCGTTTCCGCCATGCACGGTGATATGGAACAGGGCCAACGCGAGATCATCATGCGTGAATTCCGTTCCGGTTCTTCCCGTGTTTTGATCACCACCGATCTCCTCGCTCGTGGTATCGACGTTCAGCAAGTCTCCTTGGTCATCAACTACGATTTGCCCAGCAACCGTGAAAACTACATTCACCGTATCGGCCGTGGCGGTCGTTTCGGTCGTAAGGGTGTTGCCATCAACTTTGTCACCTCGGATGACGTCAGGATGCTTCGTGACATTGAGCAGTTCTACTCGACTCAGATCGATGAGATGCCTCTCAATGTCGCCGATCTTATCTAAGCTTGCTCCAAAGCTCTAAAAGTCTCTATCGCAAAAAAAGTCTCGATGGCAAAAAAGTCTCGATGGCAATCTTGGCAGCCAGCTAGTTGCCTTGGACATCTCCTCTACCTCTCGCCCTCTTTAGCTTAGTCGGATCCTCAGCTCCCTCTCATCGCATTCTATGCAGCGATAGAAGCCGGCTGCAGTTCTACTCTGCTGATTATAGAAGAAAAGCCAAGCTGGAAAGAGGTCCTTATATGCTTTTCTCCTCTCTCTCTCTCACACATGTTTCTTTTGCTGCCTATCACGCTTGCAATCGCATCCTCCTTCTTGTTCCCACTGCTCTCTCTCTCTCCATCCCTTCTCCGCTTTAAATCCCCGCCTGTGTCTCTGCGTTGATCCTTTTTTGTTGGCCATTTGTGTCAGCCACTCATGTCTCAATCCTTGATGATGATCGCAACTGTCCGCATTTTGTTTACGCTGCTGCCAAGCCAAGGTCCATGATGACCTATATATCGATCGCGCAAGTCATGTTGATCTATATATACATATGCCTAGGGGACCGAGTATTAGGGCTTTGAATGTGCCCGATCGTCCATATACCACAACACGCTGTTTGTAGTGGTGTTGCTGTTCGAACTGCCGTTCCTTGCCGTCGACCCGACCGTATAAGATGGCTGTAGAGGTACAGCACTTGTCGTCGCACGCTCCTGTAGTTCAAGAGGAACACAAGCCATCAGTGCAGGCGAGCACGCCCATTGCTGTACATTCTGCGTGGCATGCCCGTAGATATGCGTGCCATCGTTGCACGTGTACACGTTGCTGTGTTGCATCCCCATCGACACGACGCATCCCTCTTCCCCATCACCACCAACAGCGCTAGCCGTCGAATGGAGACTCGTATCAAGCCTAACACCAACCGAGGATTGAACCTGCGAGCACATCTGGCTTTGCGACTCTTGCTGCTGCCACTCGAGCGGCTGGGCTAGTGTGCTTGTGTATGCGTTCATCTCGTCGTTGGCGTGCGGCGTTTCAAGGCTGGGCGGGGAGGACGCATCAGGGCTCGATGAGCTCGTGTGTGAGGGCGCGCTTTGCCAGGGCGTAGTCAGCCCTGAGCATGTAGGCTGTTCGTCTCCAAGCTTGCCGAGTCGAGTGATTGTTGCTTGGATATTGGCGCTGTGTTGAGCCCACTTTGAAGCCTGTTGGAAAGATACGTGATATTGAGCTCAGTGTTTCGCGTCCGTACTGCCTTCATCATCTCGCCGGTCGGAGGGGTGGTGCTACTTACAAATCGCTCTCCCACCTCTATTGCTGTTTGCACTGGCTCGGGAAATCCGCCACGAGCATTCGTAGACCTTTGCGGCATTTGCATCAACCAAGCGAAGCTGTTTCACCGTGATGGCGGGCGAGTGAGAATCACATGGGTTGAATCAGTCTTGATGCTCTTCTGGGCGCATCGCCTTTGGTAACCTCAGAAGACTTACGCATTGAGTAGCTCCACAAAGGTCAAAGCATCGTGTGCATGATCACCCAGCCATTCGGTATGCACAAATGCGGAACGATGGTAGGAAAGAGTGATCGAAGCTAATTGCGTTGCGTTAATGAGCCATCGCGAGTGCTGGCGATCGTTGGGACAGTATTTGTGAAGCATGCGTGGGAACAGTCCGTACAGCTGGATACCCAGCTTCTGCCGCATCAGAGCCTGACGAGTGTTGATCGCAACATTGACCGAGGTGACAAAGGAGTCCGATCTGTCGGCAAAAACGTCAGCGAAATGCTTGAGCTCGCAGAGAAGCTTCTGGACGGCGTCGTGCAAGATGTCATCGGTGATGGTGCCCCGTAGCATGGCCAAGAGATGCATCGCCTCATATTCGAGTCGCTTTTGCTCGACATGACAAGCCGCAAGGAAGGTCTGGAAATCACTCTTGGAAGCAATCGCATCAATGCCTTCGAAGCTAGTGCACCTGGTCAGCTGAATGTGTCGCTTCCCGCTCATGATCGCAGTTTCTGTAATGTCGACCGACCGGAAACAATGTCAGCCTTGCTCCAATGTCTGACTCGACTCGAAAGTTACGGTGCAATACCCACGCAGATGCATCCAGTCGTACATGCGGCGGAACGAGATCTGCGAGTGAAAGCAAAGTCGAAGTAGAGGAAAAACGTTAGCGCTCTGCAGCGCTAGTTCAGCGACTCTTTCATTGACGCCGAGACTCACCGGAATGACACCAAGAAGCGCTGCAGGGTCGGCAGAGGCTGCCTTTTCCCATACCTGCATAAAGTGCGTCAGCACATTGTCAAGACGAACAAGCTCCTCCGGTCTGTTCTTGACGACGGCAAGCAGAGCCCACAACATGAGCGCGGCAACCCGTGTCATATCGGTGGCTTCAAAGAGCTGGGTGGCGATGTCTTTCAAAGACACTTGCGCGTCGACGGGGTAGCCATGCGGCGTGGTGACGTGCGAATCTGTTTGCATGTCGCATCCAAGAAGCCTGACAAGTTCGGTGAGAGGACTGTGTTGCGACCGAATTGGATGCGGTCAGCTTCCAAGTGATTCTGTGTTGTTGAGGTGGGATGCTGTACATACCGTAAAGCAATGTCGACAAGAGTCGGCCAGCGTCCTGATGAGGCTTTTGGAACAAGGTTTTCCACAGCAAAAGTGATAGCAGGAGCGACTGCTGGAAAGCAACTCTCGAGCAACTCGACGGCTTTGCATAGGTCAAGCTTGCCGCCAGCTCCCTGCATCTTGTTCTTGCCGCCAGAAGGCTTGGGTAAGCTGATTTTGGGCTTGACGTCAGCCATGGTTGAGAGCTCTACAGGAGAGTTTTGCAGATGGCTGATGTTCATGTACATTAAATTGCCCGTACTCGAGCTGTCGAATGACGGTCAAGAGAATAGAGTAATGTTTTTAGTAGTCATTCGACTGGTCGCATATCTCTGTGCAATTGGAAGTGTGAACCTGTACGAACCTCTGTTGGATTGCCTGTCGACTTGCGACGTTGCCTTGACGCGCATCGTCGGTGAGCTGCAATATACGTAAGGGTAAGGGATTGAGCATTGCCTTGGTCTTTATCAGCGTCGAGCGTGTATTTGAAGAACCTACCTTCTTGACGACCAGAGCGCTGAAAAGGGAGAGATCGTCAAGCACAACAAGACGAGCCATGCTGAGCTCCTCTTGGATTGCATCGATCTGTCGCGAACTCTCCTGCAGCTGATCGTGAAGGCTAGGGAACAAGGGACAGCAGGTCAGGCTCTGAGCAACTCTCTCTAGGCTAACATAGTTACTTTTTCTTTGACTGTTACTTACTGTAGAATCTCCTCCTGCGACTCTGCACTGACTGGGAAGGATTCGCAAGGGACACCGCCTCTAAGGCAGTTGCTGCAGTGCGGTAGTGCGTTATCGCATCGCTGCTTTCGCTGTCGACATCGTGTGCAGGCGCGTAGAGACCTTTCTCGCTTAGAATCGGGCTCTTTCTTGGCGCTTGCCGCTTCGTTTGCCTTCTGCGTGCTGCTGCGGGTCTTTCTCGTCATGGTGGAAGGGGACAGGCGCCACCAGAGAGGGTAGGTGTATGGAGTGAATATCGAACAACCTTGGCCAGCGAGAATAGTAGGGGAAAGGGAGAGGGGAGGATGTTGTAAACACACGTAACACTCAACCAGCTCGTCTTGTTATATGTTGTCCCGAATTGCCACGATCCATGCTGACGAGGTTGGTCGCCAAGTCGGCTTGAAGAGCCTCATGGTTGCCATCTTCAGGCACCAGAGCGATGAAAGCAGTAGGTTGGTACCTCTCATCATCTTGAGATAGGGCTTGGGCAAGATGGGGCGAGCCAAGGAGATGGAGGCGAGACGAAGAGTTGCTCCTCATCGCTTCTCGGCACAGTTGAGCCTCCTTCTCAGAAGTCACAGTTCTGGCGTGAGATTGCACCGCCCATCGGGACAGAGCTCAATCTGTCCACTTTCCACCTCCATCAGGCACATTTGCCCAGGCACCATCACCGAATCTTGTTCAAGCCACAGTGATCTTCAGAAAGGGTCTGTACAAATGTTGTCCCTCTTCACCCTGTGTTTTCCAAGTGTCGAGGCACTGTATCTGTATCTGTATCTGTATCTGTATCTTTTTTCTTTTTTTTTTTTTTTTTTTTTTTTTTTCTTTTTTTTTTTTTTTTCCATTGTTAAGCGGCTGGAACTATACAGCAGAGCCAAGCCGAAAGGCCCATCTAGATATCAAAGTCGTAGGCAAGCAGACTGTCGGTGTTGGGAAGAAGGACCGTCTTTGCGAAGCTGTCCCAGGTTGATTACACAGTGTGACGGAGAAAAAAAAAAAAAAAAAAAAAAAAAGAAAGAAAAAAAGTGTCAAGATAAGCTCAATGTCAGCAAACGTGGGAAACAAAAACTCGCCGCTGTGGCTGTCGGGATCTTGCCGAAAGAAGGTGAAACTCACTTTCGGTGCTCTTCGTCGTCACGATATGCCTCGTAATCTTCTCGAGAGGCAAAGACTGAGTAGAGACCTGTTCGTTGGGAAGATTGTCGGAATGCGTGAGGAGAGCGAGAAGAAGAGAGCGAGAAGAAGGGAATTAGAGGTCAGTTTAGCTGGCACTTGATCGATTTGCATTTGCAGGGTATGGCACTCACCCCAGTTGTAGCCCTCGTTGCGGCCAGGATAGGCAGGAGGCCCCCATTTGATCCGGAGAGCCTTTGATTTGGCAATGGGCAGATCCTCGAGGGTTTCGCATTTCTGCTTGAGTTCTTCAAAGCCGTTGGAGAGCACGGCCTGCTTGAGCTTGACGAGAACAATATGAATGACGGGCATGTTTGCAGAGGTGTCGGAGAGAGCGACGGAGGTGTGCCGAAAGAGTGCAAGTTGAGACGAAGCGTGCCGTAGCAAAGCATGGTCCGGGCACAGTTCAACACTGCCGACGTGGCTCCGACATCCCCCAACTCTGTGACTTGATTTTCCTGACTTTTCTGAGCCACTTTTTGTTGCTCAATTTTTCTGAATAAAATCAAATTGAGAATGGGCTGAGAAGAAAATAGTAAGGGTTCGAATGAGATCTCGTCTTGTCTTTGGTTTATGATGAGAAATCAGAAAGAAAAACAACGCCTCTTGTTCACAATTTCGAGGTCGCAAGACGACGGCACGAGCGAAAGTTGCAGCAGCGCTCTCGCGACAAACACAACTTGTTTGCACCAGCTTTCCCTCTTGCGCACATTCACATTCACATTTACATTCACTTACACCTACACCTACACTTACACCTACACCTACACCTATACAAGTATCGACATCCTTAGCACCCCTTGAATCAAGTTGGCCGTGCCAGGCTCATTCAAATCTTTTCGGCTTCTCTTCGGCATCGATCGACACTCTTGTCACCTTGAGCGATCATCTTCGGATCAGCCGAAGGCGCGGTACAACGTTCGGAGCAGCCGTCTGGCATTGTGTTCGGCCACATTACCTTTGTTCTCACGCATTTCAGTTTGGGCACTTGGAACGCTGAGAAAGCTCGCACGGCTCTTTGCTATCCTCAACCTTAATCTTGAACTTGATCACGACGACCTTCCCGGACAGTCACGGCCTGAGACCCTCGTCGCAACATCACATCTGCAGACCGGGGAGTGCGTGCAGAGAGGCACTGGAAGCGTAAAGAAGGAAAGGAGCAGCGTTGTGCAGATACATTGTCGACAGCTTTGGAAACAGGTAGACATCCATGTCCCCTCGCGAGAGGGCACCTCAGCATCATGCAGAATCACAAGCCAACAATGTGAGCTCAAACGCTCTGCTATCCGGTCACGGCGCAAATGGCGCAAATGGCGCAAATGGCATCGATGCGACAGTCTCGAGTATTAACGACTCAACAGGAGAAGCAGGTCCATCACAACCAAGATCCGTCGGAAGCAACCGAGGATCCGCTTCTGCTCAGCAGCGGAGCAATACGCCCAAAGTGCCGACCAAACGGAGGCGAATCGATGCAGAGCTTGCCTTCTCCAGTCCTGGTCCAGCATTTCAACTGCAACTGCAGCAGCAGCAGCAGCAGAACCAAGCACAGGAGGAGAGTGATCGTGCCTCAGGTCGGGCTCGCCGACCACGCCCAAGTGCCACTTTGCTCAACAGCAACAGCAACAGCAACAATTCGCAATCTCCTCCTTGGCCTCCTTCCGGCACAACACGGCAAGAATCGTCAGGCGAAGCAGCAGCAGCAGCAGCAGCAGCAGCAGCAGCAGCAGCATCAGCATCAGCATCAGCATCATCATCAAACCTTAACTCCATCAAAGCCAACTCGCGAAATGAAAGGGCACGAGATCAGTCTCGCAGCGCTTCAACAAGCTCGGATCTTCCGAATCTACAGCAAAGATCTCGATCACCAAGCAGATCAGCAGTCAAACTCGAAGCAGATCCGCTCTCACTTGCACAAGTAGAGGATGCAGAAGCAGACCAGTGTCCGCCCACAGTTCGCTCAAGCCGCGCCAAGCCAGAAATCACACCTTTGGCTCAGTTTGCCACCGTGGCTCCGCTCTCTGAAATCCTCGACCGTCGAAAGAAGGAGAAAGTTGCAGTGGCGCAGTCAGATCTCGAACAGGTCCATGATGACCACGACATGCTCGTTCGTGAGCTCTTTCACCTCACCAAGTTCGTCACCATGGTTGGATATGATCCTCATCTCGCACGCAACGACCAGAGCGACGTCTTCACCACCTTCAAACATCAGCATGATCTTCGCTTTACTCTCCATCAATCAGGCTCCGCTGCCAGTATATCCACACCAGCGCGTATCACTCGAAACCGTGTCAATGCTAGACTCGAGAGTCTTTCCCTCAGACGTCCTCAGCCTCCCAGCAATCCATCTACACCACCATCCACCACCAATGCAGCAAATGCCAGTCGCGCCCCAGAGAATGACAGAAGCACAAGATCGTCTAGCATCCTCGACTCCAAGTCTCGCTCTAACATGCCCGCTCATTCTCAAAGTGATCCTGGTGACGAGGATGAGGATGATGGCAGCGATGCAGAAAGTGCAGGTTCAGATCAGGATACTAGTATGCGCCCTGCCAGAGGCAAGCGCAAAGGAAAAGCTCGAGAGGAGAGGCTGCATTCTATAGGCAAGCAAGCTCCTTCCTCTACTGCAAAGTCTTCAAGACCTCAGCGCTCGCTCGTTGAAGAGATTTCCTCCGATGCACCCGTCAAGCCTGCAGGCCTTCGCAAGAGCAAAGCTCGAGACCAGCTCGACGCCTTCATCCTACGACATCGACCACGACCTTTGCCAGATCATGTCCCCCCATTGCACATCCTTTCTCCACTCCAGCTTCCATCACTGAGACGCTTCGGAGGCAACCTCGATGCATTGCTGCAATCTTTCCATCTTTTGCACGATGGCGAAGGCTCTTGGCAAGCAGCAGGTAGCGAGGATGCTCATCTCCAAACCTACATCAAGCTCGACCAGAGATGGCGCTCAGGACTACCCTTACATCCGCAAGCTGGATCGACGACTCGTCATGTTGCTCACAAAAAGCCTCGCACAAAGTCGCACCAGGACCATCTACTCGAAGCTGTCGCTGCAAGCTATCCTCAAATCCGTCAGTTCGCCAGGCACAAACAGCAGAATGCTCGCAAAGTCGCTCGCATCGTCGCACAGCACTGGGAGCGACAGCTAGGAACCTCGCAACGCGAGAAGAAGGCAGAAGAGAGGCGCATTCGTGCCTTGGCCAAATGGACATTGCGCGAAGTGCTCAAGCAATGGCGTCTCGCCGTCAATATCGTTCGAGCCCGAAAAGCAGCTGCCGACAAGGCTGAGAAGGAAAAGATGGACAAAGAACAGCTCAATGCGATCCTCGAACAAAGTACAGCTATGCTCAAGAAGCAGCACCAAGTCATGACTCGCGCCAACAGTCTCGTCGACAGCGATGACGAGGCCAGCGACCGGACAAGCTACGGTAGCAATGCAAGTGTCGAGCCTGACGGTTCGGGTGTTGAGGAAGAGGCTACTGAGGCAGACCAAGCTTCAGACGCAGAGATCGGCCTCAGCGAGACCAAGGAGGTGGACACTATCCGACAGATCTCCTCTCCCATCAAGCGTCATCGATCCATCACCGCGACTCCTGCACCTTCGACGCCTGCCACCGTTGACACAGACGATCCAATGCCCAGCACACCAGCACTCCAAGATGCAGATGCAAGCGTCAACGCAGATTCATCGGTCCAGGCAGCAAGCCCACCTCCAAGGTCCAGACCAAGTGCACGAGGTGCAGTTGAGCAGACCTACCAAGCGAAGAACTCCAAGCTCCATGCCGATGATGTTGAGTTCGATGCCGATGCTGATGATGGAGAGCAAGAGGATGCTGAGCTCGAGCGTCAGATGTGGGAAGAGGACGAGCAAGATGATAGTGAAGATGCAGGTCTGGAGGCCGATGCCAATATACCCATTGAAGAGCTACTCAAGCGATACGGCTATAGCCAGGATGCGGAACGAGAGGCCGACGAGGAAGACGATGCTGAGAGCAAAGCTCCTCCAAAGGAAGATGATCAAGATCAACCTGCAACGCCGAAGATGGAGGAGATGGAAGAGGACGTCGATGCATCGATCAAAGGAGAGATGCTCGGAGAGGAGCCTGACGAAGAAGAGCTTGACGAAGAGGAGCCTGACGAAGAGATGACAAAAGACGCTCCCAGCTCTAATACGCTTGTTCGGCCTGCCGACGCTCTGCTCGACGAGGTGCACAGCGACACAGAATCAGCTGCGACAAGCGGTCGTCGCAGTACCAGTCGTCGTTCAATGACACGTGCCTCCTCCATCGTCTCCTCCGATCGTCAGGCAGCTCGTTATCGCCAACCCTTTCTGCTTCGCGGACAGCTTCGACCCTACCAACAGATCGGTTTCGAGTGGCTGTCCAGTCTGTACGCGAACGGTGTCAACGGTATCCTCGCCGATGAGATGGGTTTGGGCAAGACCATCCAGACCATCTCTCTCCTCGCACACCTTGCATGCGACAAAGGCGTCTGGGGTCCGCATCTCGTCGTTGCCCCAACCAGTGTCATGCTCAACTGGGAAGTCGAATTCAAGAAGTTCTTGCCCGGTTTCAAGATCCTTTCCTACTACGGCAACCAGAGGGAACGCAAAGAGAAGCGTATTGGATGGAACACGGAAAACAGCTTCAACGTCTGCATCACTTCCTATCAGATCGTGTTGGCGGATCAACACATTTTCCGCCGCAAGCCCTGGGTCTATCTGGTGTTGGACGAAGCGCATCACATTAAAAACTTCCGATCTCAAAGATGGCAGACACTGCTAGGCTTCAACTCGCAGCGAAGACTCTTGCTGACGGGTACACCGTTGCAGAATAACCTCATGGATTTGTGGTCGTTGATGTATTTCCTTATGCCTCATGGTGTAACCGACCTGCCAGGTGGAGGAGCGTTCGCAAACATGAAGGACTTTCAAGACTGGTTCTCCAATCCACTCGACAAAGCGATCGAAGGAGGAACCAGTATGAACGAGGAAACGCGTGCAATGGTGCAGAAACTTCATGCTGTACTTCGACCTTATCTCTTGCGACGACTTAAGAGCGAGGTGGAGAAAGAGTTGCCGAGCAAGTACGAACATGTCATTACTTGTCGACTCTCCAAGCGTCAGCGGTTTCTCTACAACGACTTTATGTCGCGAGCAAAGACCAGGGAGAGTCTCGCGAGCGGTAATTACCTCAGCATCATCAATTGTCTGATGCAGCTCCGCAAAGTTTGTAACCATCCTGACTTGTTCGAGGTTCGGCCTATCGTGACTAGTTTCGCCATGTCGAGATCTGTTGTAGCTGATTACGAGATCAAGGATTTGCTCGTACGCCGGCAACTCGTGCAGGAAGACATTTGGGACAAGGTCAACCTGGATGTGACCAACTTCAGGATCACGAATGGGGAAGAGCACTTGACAGCAATCGAATCGCGCGATCTGCGCAGACTCAACGCTTCCAAGAAGCTGCCTCATTTCCACTCCAAGCTCCCCGACCCACCCGAGCTGGACACTTGGACAATCGACAACTTCACCCAAACCCGCGAGCAGCGTCGCCTTGTCGGCCAGATGGAGAAATGGAAACATCTCGCCTACATCAACCAATACCGATGTACCAAACGGCCCATCTTCGGCTCCGGTCTCATCCGTATCCTTCTTGAAGCAGGCAAGTCTTGCCGACTGGAACCTTTGGAACAGCAGGAATCGGATCGAAAAGAATACCTCAATCGATGCGATTCTCTACTTCGCATAGTCCAATCTCGTTCGACTAGACGGGAGAACATGCAAGCCTTCATCGACCGTTTCGCTTTCGTTACTCCCCGAGCAGTTGCTGTTGATATGCCACGCTACGCTCTACCCGGTTTCGAACCCTATCAATGCCCAGAGGTACTTGAGCCAGAGTTTGATACGCTGCATCCGGTGGCGGTAAAACTGCATATCGCATTCCCAGACGCTTCCTTGTTGCAGTACGATTGTGGCAAGCTCCAACAACTCGACCTCCTTATGCGGAGACTGAAGGAGGGAGGGCATCGGATTTTGATTTTCACGCAGATGACCCGAGTTTTGGACATCTTGGAGTCGTTCCTAAATTACCATGGGTATAGGTATCTTAGATTAGATGGAGCGACGAAAGTTGAACAGCGACAAGCGCTTACCGAGAAGTTTAATCGCGATCTTCGCATTTCTGCATTCATTCTCTCGACCCGCTCCGGTGGGTTAGGGATTAACCTGACTGGGGCGGACACGGTTTTATTCTATGATTTGGACTGGAACGCAGCGATTGAAGCTCAATGTATGGATCGAGCTCATCGAATCGGTCAAACTCGAGACGTGCACATCTATAGGTTTGTTACTCAACATACCATCGAAGAGAATATGTTACGAAAGGCCAACCAGAAAAGGTTGTTGGATAATGTCGTTATACAGGAAGGAGAGTTTAATACCGAAACATTAGCGAAAAGGATCGATTGGAGGGATATGTTGGATCATGCTAACACACTTGCTGGCGTGGAGGTGAGTGTGCCGGATGAAGGCCAAGGTGGGGATCGGGTGAGTGGTTGGGAGGTTGAAAAGGCGTTTTTGGAGGCGGAAGATGAAGAGGATCGGGTGGCGGCGGTTAGGGTTAGAGAGGAAGAGATGGTGGGTGATGAGGGTGATTTCAACGAACAGCAGCAGCAGCAGCAGCAACAGCAGGGAGGAGGGGAGAGGAGGGAGGTGGAGGGCACTTCTGCGGTTGGTGATCCTTCGAACGTTGCAAATGGTCAAGAAGGAGGCGAGGAGGAAGAGGGGGATGGGGAGGAAGAAGAAGGGGGTACGATTGACGATTATATGCTGGCTTTCGTTGAGCGGGATTGGGAGTTGTTTGCGTAGCTTTACATCTCAATATGCTTTTCTTGATAATATTCACACACTTCTCAAACACATGGCACTGCGTTTAAGAGATGTTTCCTTGCGTGATGGCATTCTATTGAGAAATGAAACAAAAGCAACCTGAGATGTTTCGAGGTTCAAGTAGCAGTATTCAAGTAGCAGTATTCATCGCAACCGCAAGCGCAGCAAGAGCGGGTAGATGATCAACAGTGTTATCCGACATGACATGCTCCTCTGGCTGCTCCTCTGGCTGCTCCTCTGGCTGCTCCTCTGGCTGCTCCTCTGGCTGCTCCTCTGGCTTCTCTTCATTATCCTTCCCCCGGCGTACCATCCAGTGCCAAGTGTGGAGGAGAAGCGAGATGTAATGGTTCTGGTTCTTGGTTTGCTACTGATTCGGCCTTTTGTACGAGACTTACACTTGCTCCTACCCCTCTTGGTTGGCTACCAACCGAGGAAGAGGTGGATGAAGGGTAGGGTCGGTATTGGGGAGAACTAAAACTTGACCTACTTCTACCAGGTAGTCCAATAACCGGTCTGGTGTGGGGTGAGCTAGCCACGCTTGTTCCGCTGATGCCTGTTTTGTGGCAAGTAGATCCAACAGGGCGTAGAACTTCGGGACTTGTAGAAAAGTTTAATAGAAGAGCAGCAGCAGCAGCAGCAGCAGCAGCAGCAGCAGCAGCGGTGGTGGTGGTAGGTGAATCGGTTGCATCCGATAAGCCTGGTGTTGGATTTGTTTCTCCTGTTTGTCTTAGTTCTGATTGTTCGCCGTAGCTGGGAAAGGAAAGTGTTGTTGATCTACCCCTTACTTCACCTGATGCAGTGGTGGCCGAGGTAGGCGGGAAAGAAGGGGAAGTCAAAGAAAGTTGCTTGAACAAAAACGTACTACTCTCTCTCCTTCCTGCAGCATTGGTGGGTAGGGGAATAGCAGAGCAAGGAAGAGCGGAGAATGCTGGAGATTGAGATACGCGAGAGGTGCGCTTGGCGGGGATGGAGATGGCTGGATCGGGCAGGAGGATGGGCGATTCGGCCGAGAGGCTCATCAGGGGGGATGCGATGGTTGTGGCTGGGGAGATGGTGGTTGAGGGGGATGCATGGATGAGGGAGAATGCTGGCGAGACTTGAGCGGATTCGCGGGAAGAAGAGGAGCTGTAGGTTGTGTCGGTTCGAGGGATGTGTGTTGGTGGTGCAGGTGGCGGGAATGTAGAGGTGGTGGTGGTGGTGGTGGTGATGGACGAGGCAAGACGCTTTTTGGAGCGTCGTTCGAGTGGATCATCCTCCTCCTTTTCGCCATCTTGGTCCTCATCATCTCCTTCGACTGGGTCATATTCGATCTGGTCCTCTTCCTCATCCTCCTCATCATGATCATGATCATGATCATCTTGCTCTGCCTTCTTCCCACTCCTCCCTCTCGCCGTGTGTGAAAGGGTAGTCAGTGGGACCGGATGGCCAACCTGATCCTCAACCTTGGCATCTTGCCTGAAAGTACCATCCTTGTTGCTTACTGCGCAAGGATTATGGGCAGTAGCCATGCACTGGAGCGTCTCCTCTGTCTTCAACTCATGGATCTCGGCCTTCAATTCAAAAATATAATTGATCGCATGAGTCAAGACGTCCAACTTGTGCAATCCTAACTCTTCTTCCCCTGGCGCATTCTTTTTTGTATCTGGTCTCTTTCTGTTTCTCTTCCTCTTCGGCTTTCCTGTAGCGGCATCGATGTAGGTTTTGGGGGCACCACCAGCAGCAATGCGAGCAGCTTCATCTTGCTCCTCCTGTTTCTGACGACGTCGGACTTCGAGTTCCTTTGCACAGGCTGGGACAATGGAGCGAAGGGTGACGAGACAGTCGTTGATCTTTTCGCGACGTCGACGTTCGATTTGGCTGTGAGTGGCACGTCGTTTCGAGTCTGGAACTGCTTTCTTGGGTGGGCTCGAGCAGCGGAGTTCTTCGTCAGTGGGGTGGGTGAAGCAAGGTTTGGATGGGCCAAAAGAGGGAGGAGCTACGGGGGGGCGATAGGTCGAGTAGAGCATCTTGACGGAGGTATCAGTAATAAGCAGACCGTCAGTGGTCGGGAGGCTTGCTTGGGTCCAGTTGAGTGTTGATGGGGCGACTGTGCCAGACAGACCGGATGCTCGGTCTAATATGCTGTTGGAGTGCCGTGAGACTACCGAAAGCGCTGGGCAACCGACCGTGGGAATTGTTGCTAGCGGATCGGATGATGCCGAGAGGATGCTATGGAGGAGAAGACACGAGGATCGATGCTAAGATCAAGTGACCAAGTGGCAAGGAGGGAGGAGAGGGAGGAGCGTGTCAAAAGTCAGCCTTGCTCCCAATCTTGCACAGTCACACAGCATTGGCGTAGTCACACTTGCACTTCGGAAAGTTCTCCGAAAAAGTTCCCAAGCCACCTCCTTCTATCTTCGGCTCTTCCGACACCCTTGGCTTGAGCCGACGCTCTAGAAGGGTCAAGTCAAGGCAATCCAAGGAGAGGAAAGCGTGGGAAACAGAGAGAGGTGTGGGAAAAACAAAAAAAAAAAAAAAAAAAAAAAAAAAAAAAAAAAGGACAAAAAGTGTATCGGTCGCACGATCGTGTCCACGTTCAGCAAGGTTACAACGAGACCCTGAAAAGTGTCTTTTTCGCCGCAAAAGATGCGAACGTGGACACGCTTTTATCATTAGAGAGGAATTTGTATTTCGAATTAAGAGAGAGAAAGCAGAAGCGCCGCTCAAACGAGGGCACAAGCAGAGGCTCGTCTCTTCTTTGCCGCTGGTCGTCTGGCTGGGAGCGCGACATCTTGCAGCCGCTGAGCAGAGAGGCCCCCATCTGGATTGCCAGACCCACCCTGCCAACTGTCTCGCTTTCATAGAGCTCCATCCAAGGCATGCTACGCAGGTAATGGTTCACTCTCGCAAATTCACAGCCAACGCATGTCTCGCTTGAGAGGGCAGCGACGTTGAAGAAAGCCGCATCAATGCTACTTGAAGTCGTCATCAAGGTATCGCAATGATGATCATCTCCATCTCAAAAAAAATCAAAAGAAGCTACTCGACATAGAAGCAAGTAGGCCAACTCCAAGACGCAACAGAGACATCTCTCACTGGCTGGTCAAGATCAACTCGATCTGAGATCCGTTCTTCTTCTTCTAAGAGTGTTGTTGCATTTCGAAAGAGGCGCTAGGAGTTATGTGCAAGCCGAGATATGCAGCTTCGAAAGCATCAGATCATCTGTACAGATGCCTGCTCGCTTTTCACTGATGGACGAGTGCTTTACAAGTGATGTGGCTCGGTGACCATGACGACGGATGCCAAGTGTTTATTGCTTCTTGTCCTCGGCAAGGTTGAGCTGTAAGATTCAAGGTGTGCGGATCAAGGTGTGCGGATCAAGGGCAGATGTCAGCGTTGGTGTTCGAATACGGAGGTGCAGCATTCGGCATCTGGCGCGCATTGGCGGCGTTGCACTCCTTCTTCCTTGGTTCCAGTGTTTGTCGTGATACGAGCAATACTGCACGGCTTTGCGTTGGCCGTCTAAGCATACCAGTGCGTCTGCATAAGAAACGCATCCTTTTCTTCATCGAGTGGATTCGTGCCAGTCGAGTAGGTAGAGCTGCTTTGCCTCGCTTAATCTTATCCGTTGTGCAATTCATCTGTCAAGCTGCAAAGTTCAATATACTTACGTTCTCGCTAACTTTGCCATCCTTCCACTCTTGGTATCGGAGAGCCATAAAGCCTCGTCGCTCGGCAGCGGCACGCTCTTCCTCCTTGAGTGCTTGACGGGTAGCACGCGCGCAGATGGCGGTGTACTTGTTGAAGCTGTTTTTGTCCAGAAGTGCGAGGTGAGATGCGAGGTGAGATGCGAGGTGAGATGCGAGATGGGAGAAGGACGGTCGAGTGTATCGGTGCAGAGAGCAGTTCAGATCATGTGTGGCAAGGGACAGAAAGAGCACAACAAGTCAGTCAAGGTTCTCGTCAGGAGCAGTAGTGTCTGCCAAGACCGTTATCGATGCATGCTGTGCTGTGCTGATGCCGGTGTGGGAGTGTGATGGCCGGAAACGTACGTGAAGTGAGCTCTCCAGGAAGCGGCCGACATTTTGAACAGATGTGTTGATGGAGGTGATGAATGTATGATGAATGAACAAGAAAGGGTGTGGAGACGATGAGAACAACAAACGCCTAGCTTCTCTCTCTCTCTATTTGATGCCGACGAGTGAGCGAGGGCAATCTTTGAATCTCGGAAGCGAACCTTGCTTGCTCTCAATGCCAGAAATTGCAGCGCGGGCGGACCTCTTCGGATTCCAATCCCTTTTTGTTTTTTTTTCGCGCGAGAATTTCATCCACAAAATTTCTTGGTTGTCAATTCGCGCAATGTAACATGTCGAAATCGCCTAAGCGTATATCTGTATTAACTCAAGGCAGCAAGGAAATTTAGAGAGCAAGCAACTGGTAAACGTCTTTAACAAAAACAACTATTGAAAATGACGATCCAATATGATGATGTTGGTTGAGGTAAGCAGATACAAAAGGGATACAAAAGGGATCCAAAAGGGATCGGGCAAAGGACGATATGATCGGAAGATCAAAGATCGGGTACAACCTAGTTCGTTGTCAGACCTCGTGATTAAGTAGGATGTACCCACGTTCGGCAAGTGCCACTCACTTTGTATATATATCGAGCGCCCGCCACATTCTTTCCTTAGTCAATTGAGCATACACGTTTCTGTCCTAAAACAGCAGTGACATCGTGCTCCGACTCTCACCGATCGCCAGTCATCGGGACCCGTGCGATCCACATTCTCTCAAGAACGAGGACGCTTGGCATATGCAAGGAAGAGCCAGCCTGCAACAAAGGAAAGACCGCCGAGAGGAGTGATAAGTCCAAGCACTTTGCGGATCGAGTTCTCGGGCTTGGTAAGGCAAAGACCATAGATGGAACCGCTGAAGAAAGTGATGCCAGTAGCGAAAGCGTAGCTGGCTGCGACGACGGGTCCAGTCTTGGGCAAGCTAACTGTGTAAAGAAGCGCCAAACTGTGCAAGAGCTGGTACTGGGTAGCTGTGTTCCATGCTCCCATCTGGTGGGCATTGAGTTTGTTCTTGATAGCGTGAGCACCGATGGCACCAAGGCCGACACCCATGGCGCCCGAAATACCGGCAAAGGAGGCCAGCATCTTGTACACCATCTTGCAGAAAGTCGTTGTTGTCGTTCGAGAGAAGGGTTGTGTTGGTCGTGAAGCAAGGCAGGAATGAACAAGCACAAGTGTGCTTGGCAAGACCAAAAGAACAAGCTTATCAACTAAGCACAGAAAGCTTGTGCCGCAAAGCTTGAGCTAAGAAAGAAACAAGCTCGCAACGCGCTTCCGAGTGACACTTGCGCCGATCTCATCGAATCGGTTGCCAAACTGTATCGGGCGATTGGATATAGAGCAACACAGACATGACAAAGGTACCGATCCAACATGATGATGAAAGGTGACGTAAGCCGATGGTGAAGAGATCGGGACAGGTCGATCTGATCCGAGATTCGGCAGGACCGATCTGACAAGGGATCGGGTGCAACGCAGTCCACTCCCACCTTTGGCAACTGCCACGCTAATGTATATACTGTATATCAAGCTGAGAGCACTAGGCTCTCACTATGTTCTTTTAGTCAATTGAGTATATTTGATTCTGTCTAAAACTAGCAGTGACATCGTACTGAGACTCTACCCGATCGCCAGCTATCGGGACCAAACTTCAACACGAACAAGCTGCCTCGCTGCTCTGCTCCGCTGTTAGATCCAAACTTGTCTCTGAATTGTCGTCAATTTTTCGGCTCGCTTCTCGGATTGGATTTTCTTGGATTTACTTTAGGGTACACTGAAAAGACAGGATCGGGTGTCGATCGGCTGAAGCGAATTGTTTTTGTGGAATTTGTGGAATTTGTGAGATTTTTGTGAGATTTTTGTAAGATTTTTGTGTTTTGCGGTGGAATAATCTTGTTGTGTTTCGTGTTTCATCTCATCCATTCATCTCATCCATTCATCCATTCATCCATTCATCCATTCATCCATTCATCCATTCATCCATTCATCCACCTCTTCTCCTCAAGCCACCTCTTGCACGCTTCACCCTGCAAGAACGGGGTGCAAGTCGATCAACCATCCTCGAAGCAACTGCGATCCTGACATACACTTTGAATCAATCACCACCTCGTTAGTCACCACCACTTCTTGATCGTCAGGAGACTTCATTTGTGTGCACATCAACTCCCGCCCTTGTCATACAGTGGTCCATCGACCAATCAGCACAAAGGATTCCTTTCCAAGCTGTGATTGTACAAGATGGACTTCCCGTCGCAGTATCCCGATTCGCCTGCCAAATCGTTGGCAGGTCCAGCACGCGCTCGTGTCATGGCACGACAGTATCGCACTTCGTCCACCAAACCTTACGCAAGGCCCTCTATTGGTCTCATTGCTTCTGATTCCAGCGCCTCTCTGCATTCAAACGCTCCTGACTCTCCAGCGCAACTAAAACCATCGACCCCAAAAGCAGTCAACAACAAGAGCAACAACAACAACAACAACAACAACAACAACAACACCACCACCACCACCACCACCAACAACAACAACAACAACAACAACAACAACAACTCACTTGCACCGCCCGCCACTCAGTCCTCGCGCTCTACCTTTTCACCCTTGCGCGTCGCTGCTTCACCCATTGCTCTGCTCGGAAGCGTTCGAAAGATGGTAACAAAACCTTTGTCATGGCTCACCAGCGCCGCAGCAGCTGTTGAACCTGAATTAGGCATCCCAACATCCTCCAGCACCAACTCGCTTTCGTCTATAGCTCGTCGACGTGCTGCTGCTCAGGCTTCCATAAAGCCCAGCTCAGAAGAGATCGCTTACGAAAAGGATGCTCCAACTCGTGCTGCTCGTGCTGTCGGCCAACGTCTTGCTGCTGGTCTACGATCTCGATCCAACCTTCACGATGATGAGGAGAGTCAGCTTCGTCCACCACCACCACCAACACCGCCAACGATAATGACATCCAACCCCTCCTCGTCCATGTCCATGTCTATGTCTTGCCTCGTTCCTGGTCCTGCACCTCCTCGACTTACCCGTAAACAATCGCCGGACGATGGAGCTAGCCCCTTGGCTGGACCTTCTTCTTTACCCAAGGTAGCAGACAGTGGTTCGAGCGACAAAGCTATCACATGGAGCAGCCGATCCTCTAAACGTATGCTCCACATCTCATCCCGACGATCCGCCAATCCCGACAACTCTCTCGAGGTATTGAGTGATGCAGATTCAGCTTTACCTCCTCCTCAGGCTCAGCCTTACCATCCCAGGAGCCACTACACACTACGAAGCCCACCTTCGCAGCTCCTCGGCTACCCTCGATCCTCACTTCGACCTGATGATGCCATGTCCGAGTCTGCTTCGACCTCTATGAGCCACTCCAACTCGTTCAGCGCCTTTGGCTATGGCAATCAAGTTCGATACGCCGACAGTGCCTTTGGTCTTCCGCCCTCCAGCTCCCCCTTCCAACTTTCTTCCCGTTCAAGCCGTGCTCCCTTCACCTCCAGCCTTCTTGCCCACGCTGCTTCTTCTGGACGCGCTTCTCGAGCAGGCAGCGTCAGCCTTCGAGGCGGATCACCAGCACCTTCGACCGCATATTCACCAGCTCCTCCTCGCCCAGGCACACCACAACGCCGCAACTGGAACGGTATCAACCTTGCAACTCCTTCCGCTCCCTCTGTTGGTGACGAGATGATGCGCGAGTACCTCTCCTCACGTACACTTCCCGCTATCAACCCTACCATTCGTCGCAGCTTGGGTCTGCCGACAGATGAGCCCATGATCACTTCTTCTTCCGTCGCTGGCGGCAGTCTGATGGACGAGACCGAATCCTTGACTCCCAGTCGGCTCGCTAAGCGAGATATCGATATGAGCGTCGATGGTGACTCGCAGAGATTCGGCACCCCTTCAAAGCGTCGAATGGTCTGGCATCCTGAGCTTGGTTTCATCAGTCACGAAGAACTCAAGGCGCGCGAGCCTAAGTTGCCATCGCCAAAGAACGAAGCCGAGCGTTTGCTCAATGTTCTCGAGACACTGCGCAAGCCCACCAACACTTCGCATGGCCTTGGTACCAGCAAAGCTCCTCCAGCTACCATCAACGTCCCTGCTCCTATCTCTGATCTTCCAGCCTCTGCCAGTAGGAATGCCAAGTCGAACAATGGAAAGCCCAGTGTCGGTGTCGCACCTTACACCAGGTACCTTCGTAAAGCCAAGGCTGTACAAGCGAGCGAGGGACAAGGAGGTATGAGGGCCAGGTTGAAGAAGGTGCAGCCTGCCGCTTCTCGCGCCAACATGATGGACACGGACGACCTCGATGAGGATTCACGTGCTTCTGAGCCTGAAGATGCTGAACAGGCTGAGGAAGAGGAAGAAGAGGAAGAACCAGCACCAGCACCACTCCAGCCAGAACCCATCCGACGATCGCGAAGACTCCAACATCAGGCTCCCAGCTCTGACAAAGTTACACAGACCCCTGTCAAGCAGCAGGCCGACAAAGCTGCTTCTCGCAATACACAGCTCAAGTCAGCACTCAAGGCCACACCCCTTCGACCTTCTGCTCAAAACCAATCCACCCCTTCTTCCGCAATCACAGAGACTCCTAAACCTGCTTCTCACCGTATCCCTCTCTCCGCTGCCAACAAAGCCCCTTCTAGCACTGCCAAGAAGGACAACTTCTCTGTCAAGACTTCTTCCGATCCCACAGCTCCCCGTGAACGCAGCTCGCTTCGTCAAGGAGCAGCCAAAACTTCGCGTACCCACCAAAGCTCTGGCAAGTTCAGCGCTTGGGACGAAGATGAAGAAGAAGAGGATCTACCGGATGCTAGCGAACTGGCTAAGATCAAGTTGCCTACCAATATGTTTCCTTCTGGCTTTTCTTTCGGTTCTTCTTCTTCCTCCAGCAGCAGCACTTCGACTGCTCCCGCAGCTGCAAGCAAGCCAGCTATCAGTTCATCTGACTCTTCAGCATCAACCGGCGGTTCTCTGCTCGGCCGATTGGGAGGCTTGGACTCATCTGCTGCCCCCGCGACAGCTCCTGAGAAGAAAGCTGAGGCGCATAAACCTGCAGCTTCATCGTTCTCCTTCTCAGCTCCTTCCAAAGACGCACCCAACACGATGTCCAAGTTCAGCTTTGGTGCTCCTGCCGCTGCCTCTGGCAAGGATCAAAGCAACGCCACTGCTTCTGCCGAGGCAAACAAGTCAAATGCTACTCCAGCCTCTGACTTCTTCAGCAAGCCTGCTGAACCTGCTGCTCCCACCTCGCTCAATGAGGCAAAGAAGGATGGTCCGGTACCCAACTTCTTCGGAAGCACAATGAAGAAATTTGAGACTGGTAAGCCTGCTGATGCTCCCGCTGCTGCTGCTGCTTCGAGTACCGGTGGATTCTCGTTTGGCGCTTCAGCTGCTGCAAGCAACAGCAAGGACTCAGCAGCGTCGATGGATAAGCCTGCTGCTGTCAGCTTTGATTTTAAGCCAGCCATCGACTCCACCAGCTCCACCAGCACTGCGCCCACAAGTAACTCTTTCGGCTCCTTCAACGCACCAAGACCAGCCGAGTCGACAGAAAAGGAATCCGAGGCACCCGCTAGCGGCAGCAAGCTTTCCTTCTTTGGCGCTTCCTCTAGCACAGCCGGTTCAGGTGGATTCACCTTTGGTGCCTCTTCTGCTGCTGCTGCTGCTGCTGCTGCTTCAACCGGACCCAAGCGTGGTGCAGACAAAGACAGCGAACCGGTAGCAAAGAAGAGTATGCATAGCTTCTCTTTCGGTTCCACTTCTTCCTCTTCCGTACCAGCTGCTGCCTCGTCTAGCAGCTTCAGCTTCGGCACCCCTACCACCGGCGAGAAGAAGGAAGAAACTCCCAAATCTGACATGCCAAACTTCTTCGGTGCAAAGGGAGACAGCAGTGCCACTGACGCAGCTTCAAAGCCTACAGCGTTTTCGGGTGAATTCTCGTTTGGTAAGCCAGCAGAATCCACCGCAACCTCTGCCCCTGCTTCTGCTTCGGGATCGGCAGGATTCAGCTTCGGTACGCCGAAACCCGCCCCTGCTACTGATGTTGCTAGACCTGCACCGAGTGGATTCAGCTTCGGCAGCACCACGGCGAGCAGTCCAGCACCCGAGTCTACGCCTTCATCCACGTTTTCATTCGGCGCATCCAAACCCGCATCCGAAAGCACCCCTGCTTCTGCGCCTGGGTCTGGTTCTACTACTCCCACATTCTCCTTTGGTGCTCCCGCATCCACCAGCGGTAGTGATGCAAGTAAGCCACCACCAGCAAGCACGGGAGGATTCTCATTCGGCACTCCCTCTTCGTCTAACACTGGCTTTGGCAGCACTACTGGTGGATTTGGCGGTTTCGGAGCACCCAAACCCAACCCTACCACCAACACCAACACCAACACCAACACCAACACCAACACCAACACCAACACCAACACCAACACCAACACCAACACCAACACCAACACCAACACCAACACCAACACCAACACCAACACCACCACCACTGGAGCGGGAGCGGGAGCGGGAGCGGGAGCGGGTGGAAACAGCAGCGAAATGATGGATGATTCTCCACAAAAAACCACCCCAGCTGCTAGTACGCCTAGTTTTACATTCGGCTCTTCAACCCCTACCCCAGCCTCCACTGCTGCTAAACCACCCTCCACCTTCACTTTCGGGTCATCCCCAGCCCCCGGCCCCGCTACCTCTACTGCACCGAACTCGGCGTCTGGGTCGACCTTCACTTTTGGTGCACCTTCTTCCACCGGCGCGGGCGGTGCGGGCGGTGCGGGCGGTGGATTTAGATTCGGATCCCCAAGCCCCAATCCCGCTCCTCCTACCTCTGCTGCACCTGCCAGCACCCCATTTAGCTTTGGTAGCGGTGCAACTGGAACGACCACTCCAGGTGTAGGTTCTACTCCCGCATCACCTTTCCTTGCGCCTCAAGGTGTACCGACTACTCCTGGTGGTTCACCTTTTCAGTTTGGCTCAAACCCTACCCCTGTCGCTGGTGGTGGAGCGACGTTCCAGTTTGGCGCTAGCACAAACTCTGCCTCTGCTCCTGGTGGTGGGGGTGGATTTGGATTTGGCACTCCTTCTGCTGCACCTACTTTCGGCGCGCCCAATCCTACTCCTGGCTTTGGGGGAGGGGGAGGATTTGGAACCCCGACAACTCCCAGCGCAGCTCCAGGAGGAGGAGGGTTTACATTTGGCGGGGCAGCAAATGGAATCCCACAATTACCCCAAACACCAGGAGCACCAGGAGGTGGAGCAATGTTCAGTATGGGTGCTTCCCCCAGCGGCGGTCCTAATTCAACGGCGAACTCTGCTGGTGGTAGACAGATTAAGCCTTTACGCCAGAGAAGACGCTAGATCTTGCCTTCACCTCAGCTCTGCCGTTTTGCCGTTTTGCCGTTTTGCAGTGAGGGGAACTCGGAATGTATTCGTGTTCATCTCCAGAACTCCTTTTGCATCTCCATTCTAATGTGATTTGTTTGATCGCCAGCGACCGACGTTCTCTTTCCTATCACCAGTATGGATGGGGGGTCGAATCCAGCCTTGGCACCAACGCAGAAGATAGACGTTCGCCTTCAAACCAACTTTCGAGCAATGGATTCGTATTCAATTCTGTATCTTCGCATCATCTACCATCTCTAAGTGATTTGTTTTGAGTGCGCTAGTGGTTCAGTGCAAGGTTGCTTTCCGGGTTAGAAGTAACATTTTTTCGTCAGAAAGCAAGTCGGACTCTTTTACATCTGCTTGACTCGCACAGCTGCATAAGTGAGGATCAGTCGGCGGACGATAGGAATGCAATTTTAGATTGTGGATCAGTGGGGTGGCTCGCTGGCTCAAAGGCTTTTCAGCGCTCTCGACAGAGATGGCAAAAATCGGTGCCGAAATAGTGAAATCACATGACCGCACGTCTATGTTCTAACACGACTGCAAACTTCACTCAGTGTTGCCACCCATCAACTCCCACCAACACTCAGCACCACCCACCAATGCCCCTATCTCATTCAACAGTGGCATATCCTCATATGTGTCACCTCATAGGCATACACACACACTGCTCAACACAGAAGCATATATATACTCATGATATTCCTTTGTACTTAGCTCTCAAAATGCCAACAATATTGCCACCCACTTGACCACCTTGACCATGCTTTTCTCAACAAATTAAGAGTCTGAAGCTCTGCTGTAAGAACACTGCCCTGCTTTGCCATGCTGTCTGATCTGTATCCTTGCCTGCCTCTGCTGCCTGAAGAAAGGGCCTGCCTCTGCCAAGCCTGATGACTCAGCATGCCTCCATGCACCTGCAATTCAGATGCTGAGAGCAGTGATCTGTCCAATGAACCACATAAGGAAAGAGCACCCACTGCACCACATAGGCAGATGCTAGTTGGTATGGAGACACCTTCTTGCTATGACTCTAATGACAATGATGATGGCAATGAAACTCACTATGGCATCAACACCAACTCCAGACTAAACTCCAAAATGCTCAAAGGCATGCTCATCAAACTTACTAAATGCAACAAAGCCAAAAACTCTGATGCATACAAGAAACCCTCATGCTGATCAGATTTCCACCAAAGACTCTCCTGCACTCATGATGCTCTCAAGGAGGCCCCCAAGCTCACAACCAAGAACTGGTATGCTTGGAACCCCCATTTCTGGGGCATCCTGTCCAATTGGCCCACAGCCATGAAGCACCTTGATGGTACTGTTACCCCTGAGCACAAGAAATATGATTGCACCCTTGACAGCAAACTATGCACTATCCTCCAAAGTAGTGCTTTGCTTGCTGGAAACAACAACATCAACTACCTATTTGTACACCCCACCAATTCAGAACCCTGGAAGTTGCAAGACCTCTACTGCAGACTCAAGATGGACCTCATGAAGATGAAAAAAATCACTGAGTCAACCCTGCTCAACAATGTTGGAAAAATCCACATGTTCCAGGCAAACATCCACAAGCTCATCACTGATATCAATGAACACTGGGCCAAAGCTGAGTTGATGGGTCATGCCCTCCCCAATATCCTGAAAGTCAAGACACTCATCAACCAGGCCAGATACATCACCTCATATCACCACACTTGAAGACACCAGAATGGCATCAAACTATGAAGTGCTTTGCACTGCACTTTTCAAACACCAGGACAGCATGATGGCCTGAACAGATCACAGGGCTGGTGACCTCAAGACTGCACAAGCAAACTTAGCTGATGGAGAAGTCAAGAACAAGGAGGCCTACTGTTGGGGTAAACCTGGACCTGACAGTGTTCAACATTGCTACCATTGCAATGCAGAAAACCATATCTCCAGGTACTGCCCAAGAAAGACTCAAGGAGAGGTGCCTGCCAACACCACTGCCTAGGATATTTGGTGCACCATTGCTTCCGCTTACCATGTATCCCTGGATCCACAACCAAATAACTGGATTTTAGATTTGGGGGCAACAGATCATGTCACAAATGATAAATCAAATCTTATTTCCTCTTCCCCTTGTACTGGCTTTGTGAAGGCTGCTAGTGGAACTAAGATTCACATTGTGGCTGTGGGACAGGCTATGCTCAAAGTGGCCAGTCATAAAGTATTACTAGACAACATACTTTATGTTCCAGACTCGAATGCAAACTTGATCTTAGTAAAAGCTCTAACAAACAATGGTGCACATGTGACTTTTGACTCCAAATATGTAACATTTGAGCTGTCAGCCAATGAGACAGTCATTGGCAAGCTCAACCTCCAGACAAGACATTACAAAATATCACAATCCCAGCATGAGGCTCTGGTGATTGGCCCTGATGAGGGGTTAACTGATTTACCTGAGTGTTTTGATAATGAGGCAAAGACAAGCAGATGTGAGTTCACCCCAGACTTCATGCATGAATGGTGTGGTCATCCAGGGCAGAACAAAACCCAGCTCATCGAGAAGACATACAAGGTTAAACTCATGGGTAGCAAATGCCAGGACTGTGTCATCAGCAAGTTGACCAAAGCCTGAATGGGATGCAGTAGTGGTACACATGCTAAAGACCCATTAGAACTAGTGCATGTTGATCTGGCTATGCACTGGTTGATGAAAACTGAAGTCACATGTTTGCTAATTGCTATTGATGATGCCTCTAGTTTTACATATGTGAAACCACTCTGGGCAAAATTGGATGCTTTGCAAGTCCTGAAAGAGTGGATTACATATGCTGAAATACAGATGGGTCATAAGCTCAAAACCCTTCACTCAGATAATGGAGGTGAATGGGTATCAGCAGCAGCCATTCACTGGCAGAATGAAACTGGCCTCTGCTGGCAAAAGACTTTGCCATACACCAGCAAGCAAAATGGCAGGGCTGAGCAGATGATCAGAATGATCAGAGAGATGATGATCACTATGATGCACACACACCACTTGCCACAGACATTCTGGCCTTTCACTGCTGAGGCTGCTGCATTCATGAAGAACCTCTGGCCAAATGTCAAAAACCAGATCCCATACCATGTTTTCTACTGAAAAGATCCCCAAAAGCTGTTTGACATGCTCCAGACCTTTGGTTGCCTTGCTTGGGTAAACATACCCTGAGCAAAATGCAAAAAGCTTGATGAGCCAGCAAACCCAGCAATCTTTGTTGGGTATGATGAAGAGCATAAGGGGTGGAAGTTCCTGGCCCCAAACCATAATCCACCAATCTTCTGGTCAAACTTGGCATGTTTCCTGCAAGACAGGTCATGGAATGACTGCACTGACACCACCCAGATTCAAGATACAGATGCCTTACATTACAACCCCAGAACCAATATCGAGGATTTCAGCTATGATGACATTGACATGCATGATGAAGATTTACAACAACCCCTCAATGACATCTACTGCCCAGCCCCAGAGCAAGGTATGGCGCTTGAAGGGGAAACCCTGCCCCTTGAACAGGCCAATGACACCCTCAAGCACCCAGATCCTCCTGGGCCAGCAAATACCATCCACAAGCATCTGGATGATGAACCAGACAGAGGACTTAGGTCAGTTTCATCGCCCATACCCTCAAACCAGGCATCTGACAGCTCCGAAGAACATGCATACTGATCTGAGATGCTGCCAAGCTCACCACTGCAGCTGAGGGCCCTTGCCCCCCATGCCCAAAACTCCACCTTCTCTGAATTCTCATCAATACAAAATGCCCAGTATTATCATAATAAGTTCGCCACCACATGCAAGAGATATCCTTGGCTGCACCCAACAACACTAGCTGAACTGCTCCATATTTACCCAAGAATGTTCCCACCCGCAGCAGAGATACATCAATTCCAAGAGAAACTCCAGTCCTGGTAGGAAAGCTACTGTGGATCTTGAACACCATCCAACTGGATGTCTCATATGCAGTCAATACCTTGGCTTGTCACATGTCAAACCCCACCAAGGGAGCAATGCAAGCAGCCCTGCAGGTGGTGAAGTACCTGAACTAGACACAGGATGAGGTCCTGCAACTTGGTGGCAGAAATAATGACAAGCCACCCATCACTGCCTACATGGACTCGAATTGGGCATCTGATCTGAACACAAACAGGAGGAGCACGTCAGGGTTGATCATTAAGGTTTTCAGCAGTGTAGTGACCTGGAGTTCACACATTCAGAAGTGTGTCTTGGAATCAGCCATTGAAGCAGAATACATGGCAGGTTTGACCACCACATGCAAAGCACTTTTCCATTGGCATTTGCTATGAGGGCTTGGTTTTGGAGACCATGTTCCAATCATTTTCACAGACAATACTGGATGCATCCAAGTTGTGAAGGACCAGGTGCTCCACTCAAGACTCAAGCATATTGACATGAAGTACCACATCATCCATAATCATGTTCTAGAGGGTGACATTGCCATGTGATATATAGGGACTGACCACAATGATGCAGACTACCTCACTAAGCCAGTGTCCCAACACTTACTTATGTGCACCCAGAGATGTCTTGGTAGAGTAGACCTCAACCCCTCTGCTCATTCAGTTTGTGATGGGGACAGTGAAATCACATGACCACACATCTATGTTCTAACATGACTGCAAACTTCACTTGGCATCACCACCCATCAACTCCCACCAATGCTCAGCGCTGCCCACCAATGCCCCTATCTCATTCAACAGTGGCATATCCTCATATGTGTCACCTCATAGGCATACACACACACACCACTTGACACAGAAGCATATATATACTCATGATATTCCTTTGTACTTAGCTCTCAAAATGCCAATGATATTGCCACCCGCTTGACTGCCTTGACCGTGCTTTTCTCAACAGAAATGAGAAGGTGGTGGTGGCAAGGTGGGAAAGGAATAAGGAGCAAACAAAGCCAATTGAGTGGGTTGCGATGCGTGTTAAGTCGAGCTCAGATGCGCACGCCTCGTCAGGTGCAACAAGGCTCATTGCATTGATCCTTACGACACTATGAGTCAGCTTTGTGACGGAATGAAAGTCTTTGATCTCCAAACGCAGAGTTTGCTTTTGAAGGATTGAAAGCTCCTCATCAGATATGCAAGATATGCCTGATTGGTTAGTCGTATCAAAAGGTGGTAAACGAGATTAGCAACATCCGTCCGACACTGAGTTGGTGATATCAATCAACGCTGCAAGACCTTAGGATAAAGCGCTAGCCGAAAAAAGTGTCATCCCATCATCATCTGCTCGTCTAGCCTACCTCTTTACAAGAGAGATCAGATGTTCGTTGGCTCAAGATGAACTTGACGTTGATGAGTTGTGAGGCTCCATGTTCATGTCTTGAAAAAGTCGGCCAGATCACTAGAATTCGGCTCTGAGCTGGTGCCGTTGACTACAGACTCAACAGCAAACAAGCCACATTGCACACGAATACAATGCAGAGCCTGGTGGAATGGTGTGAATGGTGATGAAAGGTTGAAGTTTTTGCCGAAGATGATCATGAAAAATGCTAATATGTGATGTCGTTACAAGTAAAGTACTGAATTCAACGAACAGGAACGCCTCTCCTCTTGAAGCACTCCCCTTTCTCCCACGCTGGAGTAGCGACAGGAGTGGACATCCTTCTGCCGAGGAAAGGCGATTCGGTAGGCAAATGCACATACTCCATCCCTGGACTGGGAACCGTATAGCCTTCGACACCGCCCCCAGCTGCTGCCCTTCTTGAAGCCAAAAAGCTGTTCAATCCAGCACCGATTGCAAGAATCAGCGTGAACAAGATGGATGGCAAGAGTGTCGACAGGGGTGGTCTTGGAGGTAGCGTGGAAGTCTTAGCCTTGGGCTTTGAGGATTTATCCTCTTCGAACAGCTTACTGATGGTAGGAGGGGCAACACGGTAAGCTACAGAGCTGGTTGCAGACCAAGCCATTCGTGCTGACCACAAGAATGCGTGGGCTGTTGCTGAAACTGGAGCCTTTGCTGCACTCGTGCTCTCCTTCTCTGCCTGAGTGTTTGAAGAGTTTGCTTCGGCCTGGGCGCTACTCTCCCGCATAGTCGAGCTGGCAGGCTTACTGGTAGCCCTGGCAGAAATATTGGTGGGACCCAACATGCTCATACCCCAATCCAAAGCCTTTTCAAACTTATGCTTCGTCTTGCCCGCCACTTGCCCAACCTTGTGACTTCGCTTGCTAACGTCATCCCAAGCAGTCAACACGTAACTTGCGCACAAGAAACATGCCAATGACAACACGGTGATGCTTGAGATGCTCAAAAAGAGTGTCATGTGAAACACCGGCCTCAAGGGTGCTGAAAGCTGACGAGTGAGCGTGAGAGCGAGGTTGCCAGCGGAGGCGAGTTGCTTGTGAGCGACATTGAGCGAGTCGAGTAGCATCGCGTCCGGGATCGAAGTAGATGGACGATGATGTCCGTGTGCCTCAGAGGAGAAAGGGGTGCTGGAGTGAGCAAAAGGCGATTCACCACGAATGGAGCCTCGTCGACTTCCGGGAAGCGAAAAACTGGTGATTCGACGACCACTGATTCGGATCGGCTGACGAGGACGACGAGTGTTGTTGGATCGTGGAGGTAGAGTGTCGAAGGGAGAAGTGGATTCGCGATTGGGAAATGTGCCCAAGTTGAATGCGGATTGACTGGATGTCATCATGGGTTCGGGGTAGTCGTGTACGCTAGCTCGACGAGGAGTCTCTGTAGACTGCTCGAAGCTGACATGACGATCGCGACGAGAGGGACTAGTCGATCTCGATCCTTCTGTCTTTTCAGAGCCGAGAGGGCAAAGAGGCTGGTCTGGTCGATCGAAATCCGATCGAAGGATGGTGGGTGGTGAAGGCGCATTGGAAGAGGAGCGCACTGTTGTCCTTGTCGTGCTGATTTCGCTCGTGCTGATTTTGCGATTGTGTTGCGTTGTGGTGGTGACGTCGTTCGCCTCGTCAGAGCTGAGCTCAGGGGTATCGGGAAGCAAGCGGTGTGTGAACTGAGCTCTGGTTCGGTCGGCTGTAATGCTGTTCCAACTGCTGCTAGAGTCGGTGTTGGTGTTGTTGAACTGATTGAGGTGCGTTGCTGAATGCGAGCTTGGCAGACGATAGGCCAATGATGATGAGGACCAAGAGGAAGACTGCTGGGAAGCAAAGATGGTAGAAGCCATCGCATCTTCACTCATCACCCTCATTCTTCGACCACCGGTGCTGCGAGAAGCGTTGCGACTAGGATCAAATGCACTGGGCAAAGGCGGTGGTGATGTTGAAGAGGAAGATGTAGCAAGCCAGATGGACGAGAGCTCTGGGCTATTGCTGGTGGTGTGGCGAGCACCGTGTCGTCTGGATCGGTGATGCTGCTGTGTTGAAGCGGGAAGAGGAGTAGGGAAAGTGTATCGAACACGACGTTCTGGGCTGTGCTGTCCTGCGGAAGCGCCTCCTGGGAGCTGGTCGCTGGAAACTTGAGCACTCGAGTTCGACTGGCTAAGATTGTCATAGTGCAGCGCAGAACGATCCTGGTGTACGCGGTAGCTGGCCTTGAATGCCGAGCGAGGCAGAGTTGCTGTTGAGCCTTGAAAGGAGGATCTGCGGCTTGAAGTTGCAGTTGAAGACTCTGATCGAGTTGGATCGCTCTTCTCGATCGGCAAGCCAGACAGTCTCTTCCAAGCGCTGCGCTCAGAAGGAGTAGCGTTGGCTAGAGCAGCGTTGCTACTACGTCGACGAGAAGCACTGGAAGAGCGCTGTGCTTTGCGAAGCCGTTCCGCCAGCTGACCTGGAGGCAAGACATGCTCCCACCATTCCTGAGCGTGAGGGCCTCGAGAAGAGGATGTGGGCTCTGAGCTTGCTAACATGTTAGTGTGAATAGCGGTGGTGTGAATAGTGGTGCCGCTAGTGGAAGCAGAACTGGTACGTCGACTGAGGTCAGCCGACGTAGCATACGAACCTCGCCATGTGCTGGCCGATGCCTCTGATGAGAGCGACGGTGTCGAGGAGCCAGAGCTGGTGGCTGAGTGCGGTCGCATGGTTGTCGAAGCGGCGGCCATGGTGGCAAAGGCCATAGTGGCAAAGGCCATAGTGGCAAAGGCGATGGTGGCAAAGGCGATGGTGGCAAAGACGAAGCTGACTAGTTTGGTGCGCTGACTGCGGCGAGAGGTTCGCTGTCACGATCGCGCAGCCTTATCTTTCGCTATCGAATGGTTCGCGAGTGCCTGCAATATTGTGAGATGTCGGAGATGCCGATGTTGGAGATGCCGATGTCGGAGAGGCCGATGTGCTGCTGTGTCGAAAGCTGCTGTGTCGAAAGCTGCTGTATGGATGCGTTGCAATAAGAGTCGGCGATGCTCCGAAGATGATGAGTGATGTTGAGATTGTGATTGTCGGAGCGGGGGCCGAGTCAAAATTGTGATCATGGAGAGAAGGTGGAGAGAAGAGTGCAAAGGCTTGCCAGCAGAATGGTATGCCCGAATGTTGCGAAAGGAATCGTGCTGTGCAAACCTAAAGCTGCAACCCGCCGAAGAAGGGGTCCGAAACAAGATGGTGTGATTGCGTGTTGCTCTGGTGATAAGCCGTTGGGTTGTGTAAAACATGAGCCTCTGCTTCTGCCTCACTCTGTTTCTTATCTGGCTATGGCCTCTGCAGGAACATCCGACTCGGCACAGACCCGGCTTTCCTTGTTGCACCATAGTTGAAGCCAACGATGCTGATCAGCAGTTGACAAGGCTGAGGGCATGCAATCCAAGTTTGGCTCGGCGACATAAGAAAGTTGTTTTCCTCACTTTGCTTCCCTTCGACAAGCCTGTGGCGGAAGAAGGGTATCAAAGGATCCCAAGCGAGCTCGCAACGTCTGCCCCGGTGCAGGTGTGTTTGCCCGTGTATGCATGGCTTGCAGCATGCTCTCTCCCTTTGCCGCCTTTTCAACGAGAAAAAAGGGTCCTGTCAAAAAGGAGCGAGCAAGGCGCTGCTTCTGCTGCCCTTGAGCCTGATTTCTTTTCTTTTCTTCTTCTCCTTCTTTTTCTCGTTCTTCCGCTGCAATTCAGGGCAAAGCTAGCTCTCAAGGCTCTCCTCCGCCACCAACCCTTTCACAATCTTAAGATTAAATAAAAGTTTCCTTGAAAGCTATCACAAGCAAAAACGTGGGCGTGGGAAAATCAAACTTGCCAGCAGCAACGCAGAGAGAGAGAGCACGTTCTAGGAAACTATTGGGTGTGACGCCTTATTGCTCTGCCTGCTTGCTGAGAGATGACAACAGTCGCCATCGACAGCCACTTGGATCGCATTGACCCCTTTCCACGCTTCCCACATTCCCATCCTCTTGACCGATGAGAGCAAGCCAAGAGGCACGAAACAGATCGCCAAGCAGACCAGATACCAGGAAATCCATCTGAGCACAGCCGGAAAAGATTGCCAAAGATAAGGCCTTCTCGTGGCAATTTCGCCTCACTCTGTCCGGCAAGATCCACAACCGCACTCGAGCTTTTTCTCTTTTCACAGCTCGCCATTTAGGTTGAAAGCCAGCTTCCTTTCATCCTCATCAAACGCTTTCTTTCTGTCCGCCAGACCTTTGTTAGCAAGGATTGCTTCTACTTGCTCGGCAGAAGTAAATGATGTTGTTCTTGGTTGCAAAGTAAAGCAAGCTCAGGTTCCGAGTTGGAAGAGAGCGGATATCGTTGCATCACGTGATCCTCAAAATTTTGCTCAAAAATAGTCAAAAATGGCGTGCCCCTCTCGCCTGGACTCAACAATCGAATTGCATGGGAAAGATAAGAAAGAAAAATTCGTCTAAAATTCAATTGGTTTCACTTCTAGGCGCCTTTTCGATTCTTTCCGATACACGGGTGCAGCCGGCACGCGCCAGGACCTCCTTCCGACAATGCTGATCCTCGCCGACTGCTGCTAAGCTAGCATGGTCGAGGTGGCCCCGCACGACTCATCCTAGTGGAACAAAGCATCGCCTACGCACCAACGGGAACGCTAATGTCTGTAACTATATGCTCCCACCAGCTTGCCAAGCGAGCGAGCTTAAACCTTCAATCGTCCATATTCTCGCTTCTCGCTCTATGGCACGAGTATTACGCGGGACTGCCTAGCAGCGAGCACCAGAGAGTTCCACTCAGACCAAGCGAAGAAACAGCGAAACAGAGAGCCAGAAGAGGGAAGCCCGTTCAGAAGAATCGGCAGCGAGAAGAAAGCGTCTGGGAAATAAGGGGGTCATGCCTCAGAAACCCTTCTACAAATGGACGCCAGCATCGCCATGGAACAGGGGCTCACAGTAACCGCAATAGCGCCAGTCCTTTCTGAATCCTTGTTCGCATTAACCGCTGCATAAGCCGGTAGAAGTGCACCTTGGGTGAACGCACCGGAGGTGGCGAAGAAGGATGCAGCATAACAAACATAGAGGTTTTTGGAGCCGAGGAACATAGCGTAACCGATGCACATCGTGATGGCGCCTGAGATGGTGAATACGGAACGAATCTTGAACTTGGCTGAACAGTATGCAAAGGCAAGGGTGGCGATTGCTCCAGCGACATTGGGGGGTACTGTGAGAAGTTGTTGTTGGATAACTGTCTACCTGGGAGCTGGAAAGATGCCGCGGACTACAGTTGGGGGGGGGGGGGGGGGGAATACAGCAGTGCCTTGGACGGCGATGTTATCCAAGAGGAACATCATAGCACAACAAAGTGAGGTGGTGGAAGTGATGCCTTTCCAGATGAGCTTCTTGTGTGTCTTGTCAACAAGTTCTTTCTGACCCACGAGCTTGGACTTCAAACACACTTGTAAGAAGGCTTTTTCCGCGTCAGTCAACCACCGTGAGGTGTGGATCAAGTCGGTGAGGGTGAAGTATCCAATAATAGCGACGATGATAGTGATCAAACCTTCGATCAAGAAGTTCATCTCCCAGGACTTGACTTCTCCAATGTGAGGAATCTTCAAGATACCATTAGCAAGCAGACCTCCGAATGCCCCAGCAGAAGGGGTGGTGACGAGGTACAAACTGAGTCGGAAGACAAGTTCATCCTTCTTATACCACCTCCAGAAGTTATTCTTTTTTCTCTTCACTACCATCATCTTCTCCAAAGCCAGGCATACGATAACCTGGTTTGTCGATTATTTGCCCTCCCTGTCTGTACGGCGGGCTGGGAGCCTCCTTGTCGAGCTTCGAGGACCTCACGGGTCTTCGCCTGCAATCCACCTAGTTATTAGTGTGTTATTATAGTCGGTTTAGTTTTAGTTTCATACCGTGCGATTGAGTCTAGACGGGATGAAAGGACTACTACGAGCGTCGGTCAGAAGCTTTACCAAAAAGGTCAGTAAAGTTGGCATGCCAGTGTAACTGACCTATCATGGTGTCAGCAAAATCTTTGAGAGCCTCTAAGCATGCCTCTTCCTTTGACTCCTGAACCCTCCTCAGAGCAGTTGTGGAAGCCAAAACTCTCCACAAGCCCTTTAGCTGATGTGGAGATGCTTTTGAGGGCAGCTTCTGCATGTGATCCCTTGACAATATCAACACTTCTGTAAGCCAAATTGATATTGCTCTGCAAAGGCACTGGCCTTCCGGGTGAAGTTCTATATCCCTGCAAAAGAGAGGGCCCAGGTTTGAAGGGGCTAGGTCTCATTTCACTGGGAGTCGCCAACCCAGCTTCAGCAGCTGTTTGCTTGGAACTGCTCAGAGTATTGGGGGCAGTGGTGGTGGTGGGTTGGCCTGTGGTGGTACCTTTGCCATGTTGGACCACCTCCTTGTATCCAGCTCCACTTGTCTTGCCCTGGTCTGCTTTGTTACTGCAAAAGGGGTTCTCAAGAGGCTCAAATTTGTCAAACTTGTTCCTGCAGTGAGCCCTTGTGATCTTGGGAGCAACACCAGCAATATAGACTTTGAGTGGTATCTTGTCATATTGCAGGTGGCCAAAGACTTTGAGGCTGCTGTATACCATGACATCAGCAACTATGTGGGTCTTGCCCTGGCTGACAAGCCCATCCCACTTTGCAACTAGAGTCTGATCCAGCCAGATCTTGTGGTGGCAGGGGGGATGAGTCTTTCCATGGCAAGACTTGCACTTCATCTTGTAGCTGCCAGAGTCAGCAGGCATGCAGTCAATGCTGACCTGCAAGCATCTTTTGCATGGCCCACAGTGCCTAGCAGCCAGAACCTTGTGAGCCCTGGCATGATTCTGAGTCTTCTTGAAGACATGCATGCCTCCCACTTTCTTTGCTGTTGCCACCTTGACACAACCTGAATGTCTGATGAGTTTGCTCTCCTTGCTATCAGCTTGGCTCCCTGCTGCTAAGGAAGTGCTACCCTGGCTTGCATCACTGCTGTCTGATTTGTCAGACCAGTATTCAGTGTCACCTGTATCTCGCTTACTTGCTTCACTAGGGTTCAAATCCTTGCTACCATTTGTACTTCCTACATTGGTGGTGGCAAATTCGATTCCAGCTTGGCTGCCTTCTCTGTTGCTACCCATTTGACTCTCTGTTACTGCGGTGGTGCATCGTTTGCTTCTAGCTTGGTGTAAGCGGTTGTGCACCTGAAACCAGGTTTGGTGTTTCCAGTTGATATTGGTGAGATCAACCGAGTGAGTTCTTTTTGGTATGTTTTGGCAAAAGTAACCAGATGGCTGAGTTCTGGTAGGTGTCAGCGGTCGCATGCCTGAAACCCGAGATCTACCGGATTGATTGATTTCAACCAGTTTCAATGAACTCTCTTGAGTGTGTGCCTGTTGGCCACTTTCACTGAGACTGCTTGGAGGCTGATTACCCAATGAGTTTTGGCTAACTGCTGTGAACACTTGGTCTAGTGGTAGTGCAGCACAGTCTAGCTCCTGTCTGCTGCAGGACACCTTAGTGTATGTGATGGTAACATTGGCTTGACACAAGTGTTTGAAGTGTCAACAACCAGATGGCAAATTGATGAGGAAAGCCCAGACTGCAATATGAGTACTGCCTTTGGTGAGATAGGTATCTGGACCACAGTAACTACTGCCTACAGATGATGTCAGTGAGGGGTGATTTAACACACCTGCTCAGATTAGTAGCAATGGCCTGTGATTGCAACTATGTGACAGAACAACTAAATATATGTTACAGTTAGAGTATAGTTAGTTAAGAATAGAGTGGATGCTGGATCCACTCATTTACCATGATGGAGGGAGCTGTCATGGGCCTGGATGCTCAAGAAGCAGGAGGGTCATGGGTTCATATGGAAGGAGCACAGGTATCGAAGACCTAGTCGATACCAGTAGAGAGCATGGTCGTAGTGCAGTCTCCATGGAGACCATGGACTCCTATGGACTCACATGCAAAGGAGAACCGAGCCACATGCGAGGAGGACCAGGCACAGCCACAAAGAGGACCAAGCTCAAGGAGCAGGCACAGCCACGAAGAGGACCAAGCTCAGATGGTTACCACTCAGGGGCTCGAGGGACAAGAGTCCTAGGACACTGGCAAGCAGGTCCTGAGGAAGAGGAGCAGTGTCGAGGGAGTCGACACCAGGTCATGAGGAGGAGGAGCAGTGTCGAAGGAGTCGACACCACTCAAGAGGCACAGGGGTGCCAAGCAGGAGAGGCCCCTGAGCAGTACTCGATGAAGAGGGTACTCTCTGGAGAGAGAGCAGGAGCAGCATCACTGGCGATGCTGTGAAGAGGTATATAACCATGCTTTCTCATCATCATAGGTCGAGTGGATCCTCATCCACTCTACTCACCATAACTAGTTATCACTTCAGCATAAGTATATATTAGTTTCAGTCAGCATAGCAGCAATCCATCAAAGGTTGCTCCTCATCGTAGTGTGTGTGTTGTATCACCACTACCTGACGTCCGAAGGCGCCCATAGCAGGTTAGCGGTCCGGATCAAGATAGAACCGAAGGCAGTAGTCCACTGCGGTCCGGGGATCACTTCAAGCATCAAGTCAACACACTGGACACTCGTGTTGACGCCACCAACCTTATCACCAACACCATCAACCTCATTATCATCGACATCACCAATCTCATCACCAACACCATCAACCTCATCATCATCAACACTCACACCAGCCCTTGGTGTCATCATAACATTGATATTGATCGTGCCGAGCTACCCCTGAACGGAGTGTCCACAGAGGTCAGCCGAAACCTATGATAGTATATACAACGAATGCCACCTGCTGTCACTGCACAACTTGATAGTCACCGATACCGAGACAATAGCTGTCGCACAGTTTGATAGTCACCGAGTATCTCGACAGACCGACCTGGGTTTCAGGCGCGAGACCCCTGACAGGAGCCTATATATATCTTGGCACCATGGTGTCTGTCACAGGGCCAGCGGGCCAGCGCAAGAAGGGTGTGCCAAATTGACCAACAGCATTCATGGTAATGTTGCAGGATCAACAGATCAACATATCAAGGGTATGCAAAATTGATTGGTGCCAAGTCATCAGGAATCAACAAAGCCAATCAGGCTGGTAGCACATATGATTTACAAGATCAACCAAACTCTGGGTTCCGGGTTAATCTCATGAGGATCGATCAGATCAGCATGCCCCAGCAAGTTGGCTGATACAAGCAAGTATCAGGAGATTCAGGAAGGAAGGTACTGGCATTAGAAGGAGAAGCACATGGAGATAACCACATGTAGGAGTGGGGGACCAAGCTCAGCATCATGCAGATGGTTACTGCTTGAGGGGTGCATGCTTATAGCCACACAGGACCAAGCACAGGGGGTGACCACATGACCAAGGGGTTTGGTCATGAGGTCCAACAGGTGGCTAAGGGGAATCATGAGATAAGGATGGGAAGGTGGTTGCCAGTGAAGAAAGAAGGAAGCAGTGAATGGATTGGTTAAATGAAGAGGAGGAGCTGTGTCGAAGGGGTCACACATCATCAAGCAGAAAGGGAGCATGAAGGCAAAAGGACAGTGTTGCATAACCAGTATGCTGTGCAGATGGTAGGGGTGCAGCATCAATGGGATCGATGCCAGTAGGAGAGACAGTGTTGAACAGGGGACAAAGGCCCCTCAAGGGGAATGGGATAGGTGTCACAGGCAACACCAATCAAATGCATAAATACTCTCATTCCACCATAGCATATGAGTGGATCCTCATCCACTCTACACACTACTTATTTACTTACTTACTTGACTCTTAGTTTTGTACCATTGCAATAGCAGTGCTCTTGCAACGACCCTCAAATGTGTGTGTTGTATCACCATTAGGTGTCAACTGTAGGTGGTGTCTTCCAGACACTTGTGGTCCAGTTCTCAACTGTAGGCAGTGTTCTTCAACACTTGCAGTCCAGTCCCTTGCTGTAGGTGGTGTTGCTCAACACCTGCAGTCCAGTTAGTTATTGTAGGCAGTGTCTCACACCTGCAGTCCAGTAACTCCTGTTCTCTGTAGGCAATTAACATATTGCAGTCCAGACAACATCCAAGAGCATTATCAACAGTACTGCAAACACTTGTACTGTAGGGAGAGGATATCACTCACTCTCCAGCAAACAGCATACATGCTGCACAACCTCTGAATGGAGTGTTCAAGGCAGTCAGCTGAGACTTACCAGTCAAAGATGTCTGGTTATGTTTAAGTCAAAACATATCAAGTAGACCTTACTCAATCAACCCCATCTATACTGAACAAATAACACCCAAAACTAGTCTCTGGTGTGCGACCGCTTACAGTGTCGACTTCACCACAACCCTCCTCCTTGCAGAGGTGTAGCCTCTCCATCCACCCCTGTCTACCTTGCTCCTACTCCATTCCTACCCTGTGTCAGAGGTCATGCACCTGAAACCTGAAATCTGTAGTAGAATTGCAACTACTGCTGATCCTATTGAGATCTGTGGTAAAACAGCCTTTATTATTATTCTTGCTGAGATCTGTCATAGAAGCCTTCTATGACTTTTCTCACTCAAATATGTGATAGCTTGAATGTTATGGCAGGTTTTGACTAACTGCTGTGGACACTCTGTCCAGAGGTAGCTCAGCACAATCAATAACTTTAGATACAATGTAATGACACCAAGGTCTGGTGCTGATGATGTTGTTGATGCAGACATGAGTGTCCAGTGTGTTGACTGATTGACTGAGTGATCCCCAGACCACAGTGGACAACTGCCTTTGGTTTTAATGATCAAGAGAGCTGGACTGCAGTATGAACTGCCTTTGGTGTCAATTGATATCTGGACTGCAGAATGAACTGCCTTTGGATGATGTCAATGAGCAGTGATACAACACATGCACTATGTAGAAGCAATGCTCTGCAATTGCAACTGTTGATGGAATACTAATGTATACTTATGTGAAAGCTATAACTAGTAAGATATGATATAGAGTGGATGGGGGTCCACTCAACTACCATGATGAGGAGCAAGTGTGTGTTATATAGATGTCCTTGCTGTATCGCTGGCGACACCACTCGTACCCCTTGTGATCTCCACCTACACCGCTCCTCCTCCTAACAGTCTTGCCTGTCTTCTGATTCCGCTCCTTAACACTATGACTCATCGATGTGACTGTGGAGAAGAATGGGAGAGTTGACATAATCCCCCTTGTCGGCTTGTCGGCTTCGTCAAGACCTGTATGTTTTCCTCCAATTCCGGCAAACCTCAGTAAAATCACATGACCGCGCACTCGCGGTCGCGCTTTAACGCGCCCGCCAACTTTGTTCATCGTCGCCACCCGTCAACTCCCACTAACACGCATCATCGTCCACCAACGGCCCCTATCTCATTCGATCACATCATGCAGTCATACGTGGCACCTCGCCTTCACACACTGACCATAGAAGCATATATACTCTTAACATTGCTGTATCTAGTCTTCATGTCATGTTTACGATTTCGCCACTCGCTCTATTGCCCTGGACTGTGGATTCCCTCAACAACCTCGCTCACCGTCGCCACTCATCATCACCCACCAACACTCCTCGCTCTTATTGCGATTGCGTACGATCATACGTGTCACTTCATTCCACATACGCACACACTGACCATCAGTTATATATTTGGCATTGCTTTGTACTTAGTTGTCTTCTGAACCATCGCAATCGCTATCCGTTTCGCCGCTTTTCGCTTGCACGTTCCTCAACAGGTACGGACGACAAGCTCTAGCGGAAGCTGAAAGCTATAGCTTGCATTGAAACGAGTCAAAACTGAGGAAAGACAGTAAGGACAGCCGAACGACCAAACGAGACGGACGACTGATAGGGGAACAAAAAAAAAACGAATGTATCTGAAAACCGAACAATGGTGAGAGACAGAAGGCACCTTCGACGTCAACACTTGACATTCCTTCCCACTCCTTGGCCCTCCATCACATAGGAATAGCATAGTCATATCTATAACACAACCTACCACCCCATTTGCCACTTTCATGATCCAGCAACTCCCCTGCCGCAATATTCTCTGCTAGGGGTTGAAAATTGATCACGTCCTCCTTCTTCGCATCCCAAGGTTTCCTCCCCATTCCTTCCTTCTGTTGTTGTTTTGGACCATGGAATGCAACTCTGTTCTCCGGCGTCTTGTTTTGCCATGTACTGAAGACGTTATCGATGAATCCATGATGGCTGTGAAAAACGTACTCGTTTGGACTTGTGCTTAACCAAGCCATGTTTCCGCCTACACAAGTATGCATCGCCAAGTGGGTGCTGATTTCTAGTGCTGCTGAAAAGTCAAAGAATCTCCCTTTGCCATGTGTCTTACCCAGCCCGGAGAGGAAGTTGGCATTCAGGAAGGTTGAGCAGTTCGAACCAAAATGCGGGTTGGGCTGAGTAGTGTCTAGATTGTTGAATTGACGGCATAGACGGTGGCGGAAAGGAGCGTTAAACCAATGATCGGAAAGTGCTCCATCAGTTACTGCTTTGCCTCTGCCCCAAGCACAGTCGTCTGAATCACCCGACCCATCCGTTCCCAAACCGTAGCGAGGGTCGGAATCGAAAAGGGCGTTGGTGGAGGGATCATCACTTGTTTTTGTCCAATCTACCCAAGGCAGACCCATTCCAGCGGGAAGACCGCATGCAACGAGATCTTGTTCGACAAGAGCGGTAAATGCACGATGGAAAACGGTAAAATAGGCTGTGAAATGGACGTATTTGACCATGCGAACGTGTAAAAGAGTCCAATCGTCGGCTGCGTTGAAGTTTGAATCGCTGCGGAAACGAGAGGGTTTGGTTTGGACGCATTTTAGGGCCGAGGCGTAAGCTGTTTTTTCGGCAAGGGTAAGGGTAGAGTATTCTTTGCGGATGAGGAAGGATTTGCATGTTGACCTGCGGTTGGTGTCCGAAGTAAGGTTGGGGTTTGGGGAGGTCAGTTGCAGTTTCTCGGTGGTGGCTGGGTCCATGGTGGCTGGGTCCGTGGTGGCCGGGTTGGTGGAGTTAGTGTTTGAGAGAGAGAGAGTTGGCTCGGTGAGACCAGGATTGGTTCCAGGTTGAGGCATCATCTTCTGCTGTGGGTCGTTAATGAGTTCGGGCGCGACTGAAAAAGAATCCTGACTAAGACCAGGAGGCAATTTGGTAGCCTTCACATCAGCAGAAGTCGCTTTCGGATCAGTGGAAAGCAGCTTGTCGCCATCAGTGGTCGGATCGGCTGTAGTCGGAGCTTTCTGACGGTCAGTAGTCAGTGCCTGCGTCGACAAACGATCATCAACTGGCTTTCCATCCCTTCCAGGAACCGTCTTGCTTGGATCACTACTAGCAGCAAGGTTCTGTTCATCACCAGCCTTCTGAGCACCCGGGTCCCCATTTCCACTCCTACCACCCAACGCACCACCGCCACCACTGATCGCATCTCTAGCAGGAGTCACACTTTCCGGACTATTCTTCGCCACAACCCGCTCCGCCATAGAAGGTCGCATCATCCCCTCACCCCCATTCCACCCTTGTCCTTGCTTAATCATTCGAAACCCGCTCCCACCCCACATATCCGGCAGAACCCTGCTCTCACCTCCGTTTTCATTAGCAGCATAGACCTTCTTCACGCACCCCAAAAGTTTCTGCCTCTGTCTCTCGGTTTTCTCCCTTAGCTTTACATCGCCAGTGGTGGGAAGGAACCAAGTGTTGGACTGAGGGGCATCGTGAGCGGTGAATCCCCAGGAACGAGGGGGGAGCTGGGTAAGCAATCCTTCGTCGACTAGGTTAGAGGGATGGGAATGGGTGTTGAGGAGAGAGGTGATCTGGTCGCGATCGGCTCGAGAGGAGGGGCCTTTGCCTAGACAGTGTAAGAGCGCATCGACATTGGATGAGGGTCCGGGGGAGGTTGTGGAAGGTGGGAAGGGGTTGTGGTCATCGGCGGCGCTGACCAAGGAAAGCGAGGTAAAGAGGAGAGTGGTGGAGAGAGTGGTAATGAGGAACTTCATCCTTGTTCATTACCACCGCTGTAATGGATGGAAAGGATGCGAACGTGACAGGGAAGGTATTCTAAAGTTGGGGGATGACAAAGGAATGTATACACTCAGAAAGGTCGAAAAGATGGTGGTGTTGGTAGTGGAAAGAAGAGAGGAAGAGCAAATGGGGCGGGTCGATCTTTGCTATCTGCCCCCCCCTCCCCCTCCGCGAAACTGAGCTTCAGTCGGCTGATGAACCTCGCCGAGCTCAGTTGAACAACACGCTTGCTTGGTGGCAGTGTAGAATCGAGCATCGACTTCCCCTGAGCACCAGCAGATGAAGGCACCTGTTGGTGGGCGACCAGCTGGTGGGAATCCAACAGCCCACAGCCACGACAAAAGGGGGAGCTTTGGGCGGATATGAAGTTCAGATAAGTCCGTGCCCACTTCTTATCGTCTTGCTCCGGCTTACAGTGAATGCCTCGTATCTCTGCATTGGGCTTTCAATCCGAACCCTAAAACACCGGTACTCTGACAAGGTCTGCGTCGGTTGTGGCGATGAGGTGGAAGAAGTGATAATCGCAGGAACCCCGACCTCAACTTCATCAACCGATGCAACATCCTACCACTCGTGCGTTGTTGCTGATGACGTGGAAGCACAGGTCCCCCCCATTTTCATCTGCTTTGGAACGGCATGCGATCGTCTGTGTTTCAAGAGGATCCGTGTCACTGTTTCATAAGGCGTAACACTGAGCGCTTTTTGCCATGCAGTACGACCGACACAAATGACCGTCAACCGTTCCTTTCGAGCCGCCACAATGAGCAATCCGGCCAAAACATGGTCATCACGGAGACTTCACTGGAAGATGGTCGAGTCAAGCCTGCGATCTGTGCGTTGACCTCCATGGCTGATACTGATGACGTTCCTGATCTCCTGACGAACCAAATACTTGCATCGATCCCTTCTGATCCATCGCCTCTGACCCTGGCATCGATGACCAATTCGCACAGATCAAGCTTGAAGATACCGCATTGTAGATTCATTGAACTGCATCACAAGATTCTTTCGTCCCTAACTCTGGCTTTGACGTGGGGCTTAAACGCGCTGCCATCGACTCTCTAACTCCATAATGCTGACCTCCTGCCCTGCCTGTTTGAGCACCAATATCAAAGCTTCATTAGTATTCGTTCCCCACATCTACGTCAAGCGGGTTTGCGACTTACTTTTTCATCATAATCCAACCACTCAGTGCCGTCTTCCTCGAACTCTACCTTATCAAAAACAGTACCCGAATCGGTCCCTTTGCAAGTCCACTGACCCTGAGGGTCGAACCCTACCGGTTCTAAACCTCTAAAATCCAACACGCAGAGAGTTTGCCATTCTGCTCCTGAGTCTTGATCTGCTTCGATTGTTTTCCAGAGAGGTTCCTTTTGGGTTGGCTCGTCAAATTCTGTTTGCCAAAAACGTCAGTTTCTGGCCCATAACAATGCAGAGTCTAAGTTGTTTCGCTTCGCATAGCTGCAAAACGAGGCGGAGGAAAGGAGAAGAGTACCTACTCGCGGAAGATTCTTTTTTACAAAACTATCCCACCAGACAAAGAAAAAAGCCAGAAAACCAGATCAGAAAGAGAAACAAGGGGGGCAGGAGGTGGTGGGAGAAGCTTACATTGCAGCTCATAACAAGATTAGCAGATCCACGTGCACCTTTTGTCATCTCATGTTGATCGGAAGGAGTAACACCGACTAGTTTGGAATGTTCTTCGTGACAGGATGAGCATTTGAGTTTGAGCATGAGCGTGTGGTCTGGATCGGAGGGGAGGAGGGAGGTCACGTTTGTGAATTGTGCTCTCAGTTGCAGTGCTAGGCGCTGTCAGCGAGCGTGAGCGAGCGATGCGAGTCCAAAGCCAAGACGAGACGAACAGCGATGCGAGTTGAGCCGTGAACAGGGATGCAGGGAAAGGATCTCAGTCAGACAAAGACTTAACCCGGGCGAAAGCGGGGGGAGGAGTGGACTTACAGGCATCCTGGGAGAGTCTCTCCAGAACGAGATGATGAAGGGGGGAATGAGATGTGGTGAATGTGAAGAGAAGAATGGGCCGAGAGAAGGCCTGAGCGCAAACGACATCCTTCATGAGGACTATAGAGATCCGAATTCCGAATTCTTATATTTTGACAGGGTCCGACTTCCAGTTGTGCACACGACACAACCCTTGTTCACACCCGCACTCATTTCAGCTGAGAGAGTAGTGATAGCCGTTACATTCCGATGCTTACGATTCATAGATGCGAGGAGAATAGTCAGGAGGAGGCATGTCGAAAATAGTACTGAGGGATCGTTTGACTCTGGTTGCTGCTTTGAAAGGTGATTCTTCCGAAGGGTTGGTGTCTTGTCCAGCAAGGTCAGCTGCGAGGAGAATGTGCTGCATATCCAGCAGATCCGCCCTTCACGGCATTCCTATATCAGGTTCTGCGCCGGATACCCTATCTCTTTCACTCAAAATCAAAGTACCTCCAATCAAGTCGGCTGGCCGACCCACCGCATTCATCGATCGGGATCGCGTGAGTGAGCTCGAAAGGATCATGGGAGGAGCTGCAAGATTGGTCTGTCTCGAAACCTTCGAGCCAGTCGGCAGTAGAGCTGCTCGATCATCGTCCGGCGGCTCGAAAATCTGCAGAACTTGCACGGCGGGGGAATGTGTCTGCCCAGGCGCCAAGTGGCCGCTTTTTTTCATTCGTAGGGAGGGAAAATCCTTCGTGAGCCTCTTCTGCATGGTTGTGTCGTTGGCCAGCATCCGAAGCGTCCGTCGATTCCACATTGGGGTTGCCAGACGAAATGACAGCAAATGTAGAGTGTGAAATGTCATCTGCTACTACTGAGCGTGATTGCGGAAGCGGCCATTTCGACTCGTGCATGATCTGCAGCGACGACACACTCCCTGCTGAACCTAGAATGGTTGAGCCTGATAAAGTTGATGATGTACGTGTCAATGTGCTTGTAGGCCCGGGCTGGATTGGTCCAGCTGCAGTCGGAGGGACTTCGACCTCGCCTCCATCAAGAAGAACCGTTGAACCGCGCCGTCCAAGATCGCCATCGATACCAATATCGACACGCTCTGCCCAATTCTCGTAAAAGAGACCGGGCAAGGGGCGAGCTCTCAATACTAGGTGGCCACCTATCTACGACGACTGTAGTCGTGTCCTCTGTCGTCTGCGTGTGATCTTGATCGACAACATCGCCAGTGTCTGCGTTCGCACTTATTCTCGGCGACGCATGCATCTCTCCACTAGCGCTCTGCTTCTGGACTGATTGCCTTTTCGGACGACTGAACCGATCAGATAACTGATTTATCGCCTCCTGCCAAACATCTTGCCTCTTCGTACCCAACCCACCGAGTGCTAAAGTGGCATCCAACCTTGGCTGAAAAGAAATCGAAGGCTGGAAGGATTGCGCTCTCGCCCTCCCCTGAAATGTCGAAACAGTCGGCGTGACAAGATCCATCGAGTCAAAAACATTCAGTTCGCTTGGACCGGAACTTTCCCGAGCATGTAGTAACAGCACTTGTGGAAGGTCTAGAGCCGAATTTTCAGCTGTTGAAATATCGTTGTCACCAGCTCTCCAGCCAGTTAGAGGCACCATTGAGCTGTATGCCCTACGTCGGCCGAGAAGTCCGGTCGAGGTTCCGGTAGGCAAAGTGAGAGAGGTTGGAGATACATTTACCGATCCTGTGTCCTGCTGAATTTCGCGAGAAGGCTCCTCAGCTTCCGTGGGAACGAAGATTCCCAAAGGACTAAAGTCGAATACTGAAGCACTTGAAGCTGTAGATGAGGCAGAAACGTTGCCTGCTCGACCAAAGCCTTCCAAGCCCGGAGCAGTTTTCTCGCGCGAAACCTGTTTGCCAAGGCTGGAGAGCTGAGTCCAGAAACGACTGCCTACATCTTCTGTATCAGCATCACCATCGCTTTCGACGTGCTGTGAGGGCGGACGAAGTTGACTACGGCTGCTGTGAATGCTGGTGGGCTGTGTCGGGTGAGTAGAAAGAGAGGTGGTGTGAGAAGGGAAGCTTCGATGGCTGGATCCTCGAGAAGACTGATATCGTTGGCGAAGTGATGGCGCCTCATGCTCTTCTTCTGGGTTTGAGACGATACTTTCTTGGAGGTCGGAGCCGAAGGCAAGTCCGCCTGCCGCCTGTATCTGCTTTGTCGACACGGGTTCGGTCGCGCTGAGAGGATGTGCAGTAGCAAGAGACAAGGATCGCAGCTTGTTGTCTTCTCCACCTCTGTATCCAATTTGTTGATGCGATTGAGACTGTGTCGTTGGTGAAGCTGTTAAAGTCAATGCAGCGCTGATCAAGGGGCGAACATTGTCGCGAGGAAAGGATCGCGTTTGGGGGGAGTAAGAAAGAGGACTTTTGCGTACCGGCGTTCTCGGTGCGCCAGGGAAGCTTTTGCTCTGTACCATACTTGACGAGATCCCTAGCCTGCCTGTGTTTGCCCGTGAGACGGTCATTTCCGATTTGCGGCGAGTCCAAGGGCTGCTATCGTGTGTATCAATCCCAGATCTAGCCGCGCTTGCGGACTTGAATGTGGACACTGCAGTATGTGACTTGCTGAAAAGGCTTGGCGATGGTCGGAGGGAATTCAAGGGCGGTGTCAAAAAATACCGAATCAGAGCGACAATGGGAAGACCGGTCTGGCGGAAAAGGTATGGCAGAGAAACGTCTCGATGCTTGTCGAAGGTGGCACCGCCTTTGAAGTACCGGTCGAAAGCGATCTTCCAGCTCTGTAGAGTTAGTCGGGCCATCGTGCTGGCCGGCAGAGCAGAAACAGAACTGAGATCGAGGTAGAAGTCGACGTCGCTATCCGAACGACATTTGGCGTTGAAGTTGGGGCTGGTGGAGAGATGAGCTTTGAGACACTCGATCTGGTCCTCAATCGAGCGTTGCAAGGGAAGAAGAATCGTTTCGTCGTGTGCCTGAGCTTCGGCGTTGGTTGAACTGTTGTTGTTGTTGGAAAGTGGGGCAAGCAGAATGCTCCACTGCGATGGTTGTGGCTTGTAAAATTGTAGTGAAGATGCATGAGGACGACGCGATTGGACTGGAGACTGACTACTGTTCGGTTGGAACTCTTGCCTATGGACTGGGAGAGAAGCGTAGCTCTGCTTGGGTGAGAGGCCTGAGGCCGAAGAGTCTGAACGTCGCTGACCGACCTGTCGATCGCTGGGATAGTCGTCTATTCGACGCTCAAAAGCACTTCCTGCAAACGGTGTCCCAAACAAAATCCGAGGTCGGGCATCTTGCTTATCCTGCTGTTCTACTTCGGCGATCGATGCAATGGAGGTAGCGCGTGACGAAGAGGAGAGGAAGGGCTTCGGATGACTCGGACCGCGGCTTGTACGAGGTGGAGCTTGCAGTGCTGGATCCCCAGGTGGTGTTGCTCCGAGCCTCTCTTTTGACGACGTGATCGGTTGAGACGGCAACAAGGGCGGGAAGCAGAAACTTGGATGGTGTTCAGTGCTGACTGGTTCAGTGGGATGGTAGTGGGGTGATAGCTCTTGCGGCCAAGATGATTGGTGTTGGATCTCGTGCTGCTGGCTCTCGCGCAGCCAGGCTCGCGAGCGTGCTGCGGATGAGATGAAAGAGACAGAGACGTCCTCTTCTTGATGAAAGCGCTGAAGTGAAGCGTCGAGGCTGAGTTCGGGTAGTGCTGGAGAAGAAAAGTCGGCGCTAGAAGTGGCGGATCTGATTGAACGAGATTCTCGATCAAGATTCATTGCTGGTCCCTGCATAGCGATTTCACCAAGTGCAGGGCGGAGAGTGATGTCGACTTGTTTGCGCTGTGACAGTTAGGTTGCTGACGAATCGCTTTATATCACAAGGTAGCAGCAGCCGGCCTGGAGCTGCGAGGTGTGGCTAAGGCATGTATCTAACCTGGGCTCTCCTAACTACTTGTAGCTTCGAACAGATCTGGTACGAGCTGTATGCAAGACCTCGATCGCGTAGACGATCATTGAGACACGACTGAACAGTCTCTGCCATACTGTCCAGCTAGTATGCATTCCAGTATCAAGGCCATGCAGTGTTGGAAGTGCAATCAGGTACCAAGGTCGGCTATCGAAGCGAAGGCGTTGGCATTGAAGATCCACTTTGGCGCAGGAGATAGCGTTTTGGGATGGAAGGATCGGCGTACCGACGCTAAGTGGGCTGTAGAAGGCCAGGTACCAAGCAAGTCGATGCTTCTAGACCAATGCGGATGCTGCTTCCATGTGGCGTGGACCACAAAAGAGGATCCAGATGAATAGCGGGGACGTAGAAGAGAGGCTATCCGGAATGGCGGAAAGAAAGCAAGGAAAGAAAGCAAGGAAGGGAAAGAGGATATATCTCGAGCTACGCGTTCAAAAGTGGTGGTTATATACTCTGCTCAGCCATCGATCAGGAAGCTGATCATCGGAAGAGCCGTCTCCATGCTGATTGTATCGCGTCGGCATGTCCGACACACTGACACATCGCTTTTCCTCTCTCTCTTCTGCCTCGAATGGCAAAGGAGACGGGCGGCTGATTCGTTGTCGCTCGATCATCGTTGCCAGCCTTCGCTCTGCAACGCTCCCCAGAAAAGTATATATATATATATATATATATATAAAGTGTTGTTCTCTTCTGCCACCTGTCACTTTGCTCGCTTGCAAGATTTAATTATTACGGGAGCATGGAGTCTACAATCATGAGTATATATATATATATACCTTTCCCGCCACTGACACTCGCTGTCTTGTTCCAGCTGAGTCATAACCATAGACCGTCCACTCCCCTTCATAAGCGTGGCCATGTCAACCTACCCATTGGCATACCTCATATCTCGCTGTCAACCCTGGAGAGTAAGCTGCAGATGCTCCCACCTCGCTTAATTTCCGTCTTCCGGTCCCCGACTAACCTTCCGATCTAACATCTTGGGCCCTCGAAATACCGACGTATCTTAACTGACCTTGTTGGAATTACAACAAGATCTTGTGTCGGTCTAACAATCAAAATTTAGCCGCCAACTTAGCCGCGCAAGGACCAACCTTGTTCCAGCCTGTATTACTTCTCTCACACAAACGCGCAACTTCCAACACAACCACATCGCTCACCATCCTCATCCTTGCTGGTCACCATCTCGAGCTCGTGCATCGGCAGACACTATACCCATCAGCTACACTGTAGCTCAATTCAAGCCTTATCGTCGCATCCTCATCACTCACTAATCTGTTCGGACAACACCCCTTTGGCGACTCTCTCATGCCCGCCGCATTCTAGCTTTCGTCATTCAACACTACTTACGGCAGCCGAATACCTCAAACACCTATACCGTCGCCACACTAGTCAGTTTATCGGCACTTTCGCCCCACACCATGGCCTCCCGCCAACGCAACCGACCACTAATCTCATTCGAAGCCCAACTGCAACAACTAACCCTATTCACCGACCTAGACGCCGAAACCGAAAACCTAGAACAACTCGGACCTATCATTAAACAACTCGACCAGGCCCGACAACAAGATGCCTTCCTTGGCCACCTCAAATCTTTCGTCTCTGCTAAAGACTCGGAGATTGAAGCAATCTGTAACAACAATCATAGCGAATTCGTTGCTGCTGTAGACAAGCTTCTCAAAGTCCGTTCTGGCACCGTTACACTAAAACATCGGATCGCAGAACTAAATGAAGATGTTCAGGCAGGCGGAAGCAGTTTAGGAAACAAGAAAAAGCAACTCTTGGAGACGCAGAGGACAGGAGCGAATGTAGAAGAGGCGATTGAAGCTATGAGGCGCTCTTTAAGGGTATTGGATTTGGCGGGCAGAGTGGAGGCGCTGATTGGCGAGAAGAAATTCTTTGCAGCCTTAAGGAGTCTCGAGGAATTGGAGGAGAGATTGAGAGGAGTGATGGCCTATGAGTTTGCAAAACATATGATGGAAGGCATCCCCCAGATGAGGAATCAGGTCAAGATGGGAGTTACCAAGGAGATGAAAGAATGGCTCTATGAGGTGAGGGAAAAGTCTAGAACAGTTGGGCAGCTGGCCTTGGAAGCGATGGAGAGTAGGCAGAAGAGATGGAGGCTTAAAGCGCAAAAAGATCCACTGTTGAGATTGGCAAAGGTGAATTCGGCAATAGAATTGGTCGTCAACGAAAGAACAGAGTACAATTTTGTGGATAATGAAAAGGTCAAGGTGGATTTTAGACCGTTGTACCAGTGTATACATATTCATGATGCCTTGGATGCAAGGGAGGAGCTGCAGGCGAGTTATCAGGATGATAGGAGGGCGCAGGCGAATTTGCTGCTTAACCAAGGAATCTCGTTTACCAATACCGCAGGTGGAGGCCGAGGTTTCCCGGCATTGCTAGAAGAGATGGTAGGATTCTTTATCGTCGAGCATGACGTTATATCCACCACTCCCTCCTCTTTCCGCTCAGAGTCCGAGGTGGATGATTTATGGGAAACCATGTGTACCCGACTCGTCGAGCTCGTTTCCCTCTCGCTGCGGGATTGTAAAGACACGCGAATCTACGTGTCTGCTAAAACCTCGATCCAACTTTTCATCCAAACCCTCGAAACGCATGGCTTCCCAGTAACAAAACTCAACGCACTTCTTCTCACCTTATTCGAACGTTACGCACATCTTCTACGAGACCGATTCTCACAAGACTTCCAGAGGGCGATGCAAGATACTCAACATCAACCCATGGTTGTCTCCACGCCTGAAGAACTTAACAAAGTTCTCTGCGTATGTTGGTTAAAATCTGGCGATGGGGAGATGCTTCGATCATGCGCTTTCCCACTCTCTCTTCCCTTTTCTCAAACCTATCCGCTGTGTTGTATGGATATAAGGAACCTGGTGGATCAGTATTACAACTTTTCCGAAGGGGTCGGGGGTTACAGGGAGATAGATGAGATCCTCAAACAGACGTTGGATCATCTTTTGATCCATCAGGTGAGCAACGGGATAAGGAAGAGTTTGGATGATACGAAAGGGAATAGTTTGGCTCAGATAAGTCAGATTGTGGTTAATGCTGAACATTTCAATCTTGCTTGTGAGCAGTTGGAAAAACTGTTGGTGGCATTGAGGGCTCCGAGTGGCAGAGGCGGTGGGGGCAAGTTGGAGCTGGGAGCGAGTAAGCATTTTGTGGAAACATTGAGGATTGCTGAGGTCAAGATTGCGGATGCTTTCCGAGGCAAGTTGGATCAATTCCTGGGCTTGGCCGAGTATGATTTCAGTCCAAATACAGCGAGCGGAGGAGGAGGGGGACATTCGCCATGGTTACAAGATACGCTCGATTGGTTGACGACAATGATGCAGTCGGTTCTGATTCTTCTTCCTGCTTCGGTGAAAGAGTCGGTCTATGCAAGCGCATACACCCATCTTGCGGTCTCTCTTTTTGATCGTCACTTGACTGGTCCCGAGTCTCCGGCTTGTGTCAACACTGCAGGTCTCGCCACTCTCTGCCACGACGTTCACTTCTTAGCACAGCAAGCCAAGCAGGATGGGGTGCAGGTGGAAGCGCTGGTAAAGTTCGAAGGTGTTCGACAGACTTTGAGATGCGTATTGGAGGATAAAGTGATGGATTGGGTAATGGCTCTTCAGTCTGGTAAAGGCGGCAAGGGTGAATGGGCGAGTGTGGAGGCAAAGAGGCTGCTTGGCCTATTGGAGAAGTTAGGCAAATGGGGTAGTAGGATAGGAGACGAGGCCGAGATGGCAAAGAGGGCAAGGGAAAGAGACGCTGCGGTACGGCTTATGAATTCAAATGCTGCCTTCCGGAGGTAGCGTCGAGCATTGCAATCCTAAACTACCCGTTGCAGTCGAGACATGGGTGTGTGCAATTGTGAAGGAGCATTGCATCCGTCAGAGAGCACGCAAACAAGGCTGGCACAAGCAATCCAAGTACGAGCAAGAGCCTCAAGAGCAGCAACATTGGTACGATTCATACTATTGAAACAGAGCATCGTCAAGTAAGACATGAAAACCGCGCATCGCTAGCCATGATCAACAGGCGCGTGCGAACAAAGAAAAAAGCAGAGAGCGCCGAGCTATGATCGACACAGCTCAGCATGGGAGCAAGTAGAAGAACCCAAAGCAAGGGTAAGGGCTAAAAGCTGCATAGTAGCAAGATCGGAAGAGAAAGGAAAGCCAAACGAAACCCCCGTGACTAGGACTAGGAAAAGTTGAGAGCAGTGAACCAGTGACTGCGATCTTTTGTACGTATTACTATAGGCGGGTCTCAGACGAATCGCCATTGGATACCATCCAAAATGCCCTTCTCCTTGGCGTCTAGACTCTCGAAGACCTTGGGGCTCATATCCAAGCTCGTCGTTTCGCAACCTGGGCATTCGTCTGTCGCGAACGCGTGAACAGTCTTGCCTTTCCAGGTGATCTCAACTTTTCGACCGCACAGGGAGTTGTGATTCGGGTTGGCGTCGGATGGGTTGTACTGTTCGAAGAGGTCACGCGAAATAGCGACGATAGGGTCAGAGTCCGAGTTGGTGATTCCGCATGCGCCTAGGCCTGTGTCGTAGTAGGTGGCACGGCCGGTGAAGGGGGTGGAAGAGGTGTAGAGGGAGGTGGTGGAGGGGGAGGAAGAGGGGATATCGAATTTGGGGCATGTGTAGCCGTCGATTGTGTGCGGCGAGGAGTTGCCGTCGTTCTTGGGAGGAGCCGGGTTGTAGCTTTTGGGTGGCGTGGCAGGTTGCGATCGCTGAGGCTCGGGCTTGGGCTCCGTGTAGTCCTGCGAAGGCTGAGGCCGAGTCTTCTTGGGCTTCTTGACCATCTTTGGCTGATGTTGCTGCTGCTGCCACTGCGACCAAGAGTCCTTAGAAGGACTCTGCTGAGACTGAGACTGATCGCCTTGCTCGCAATCTTGACCCTTCTCCTGCCCACCATTCTTGGCATCATTTTCACCATCATCTTTGCGAGCAGAAACATGATCGCCGCTGTTCGAAGCCTTGCTAGGATCATCAGTACCAAATCCCTTGAGATAAGTCTCGAGGCTCTTCGCATCTCCGTACTCCTCGTAGTGGTGGAGTGCAACTTCAAGGCTGTGCAGCTGGGCTTCGTAGCCGTCGTGGGCAGAGAGGTCGCCGTGGTCGTCGCCATGTGAACGACGGTAGTTGTTGACGATGGTGGTGTGATGATGGCGACGGACAAGACCGTAGGTGGGAAGACAGCTGACTTGGGCAGTCATGATGACGACTGCAACGGCCAGGAGGTGCGCGGTGGTCGGATTGAAGAACTTCATGCTTGAAGAAGGAATCGAGGTTGTGTACTGTAGAGGGAGAGGGCTCGATCTATGGGAGAGGGGTGGTAGGATATACGACGGAGCAAGTGCTGGAGAAGAGAGAAGCGGAGATTGATGTCAGTTCAAGAGTCGTTGAGATGGTATGGAAGAGTGTCGGACGAGTCGCTGCGGCTTCAGAAAAGAAAAGTGAGAGAGGGATCATGAGGAAGGAAGCCTGGTAATATATGTATCGATAGCTGGCTACAAGACAACCAAGCACGAGAGCAGCGCTACGCGGGACCGACGCGTTCGGCCATAGTGTCAACACGCGACGCAAAGATAGAAACGCGCGCGATGAGAACCGATCCGCCACCATGCCTGCAATACGCCAACTCACCTGGCTGTTTTCCGCCTTTGGGGGAAGCTCTGCGCTGTAAACAAAGGAAAGTGCAGAGAGAAAGCTATCGGATGTGGATCGTGCGCAGAGAAACAAGGGACCCCGAAAAACGAGGGTGATGGCGCAAGGCAAGCCGGCAAGACGTCAGTGATCGTCTTGGTCACTAACGATGCCCGGCATCTGCAGCTTTGACAACGTGCTGAGCTTCTTTTCTTGCTGATTACTCACCAAGCAGAAAGTAAAGTGTACAGGTCGGAGCGAGAACCAACAAGCGAGCGGAATTAGAAGCGGATGAGCAGATGGAAGGAAGAGGGCAAAGGGTGGCGGAGGAGGAGGAGGAGGAGGGGGAGGAGGAGGAAAAGTCTGAGCTTGATCAACAAGGTTGAGGGTGTCTTGCCTCGAACCTTGTGTGCTCCATTTTGACCACTCTTTATACTCCTTCTCGGTGCGCAGAGTCGGGCTGCGCACTCACTTGAACAAGGCAGAGAGGCAGAGAGGCAGAGAGGCAGAGAGGCAGAGAGAAGAGGTGGGGTGGGAACGTCGTGATGCCCACCGACTCACAATGCCTTGAAGGGATGTGACTTTGACAAAGGGGACTTTGATTGCGCAGATGAAGCAAATCGAGTTCGGATGTCGTCAAAGGTTACTCTTTGTCTCAGCACAGCTTACTGCCACTCCAGTTGAGAGCCAAATCACATGACCTTTTGCTTCGCTCTAACATTTCCGCCAACCTCGCTCACCGTCGTTACTCATCATCAACCCACCACCGTTGCTCAGATCGCCCGTCAACACCCTCCTGCCCCTATTGTGATAGCGCGCAATCCTCTGTATCACTGCATTCCACACACGTACATACTGGCTATCCGGAGGGATAAATATGCTTGGCATTGCTTTGTACTTAGTTGCCTTCTTACTATTCGCAATCGCTATCCCTTTGCCTGCTCTTCGCTTGTACATTCCTCAACATTGTTGTGGGCGCGGTGGGCTGGGTGACTGTTGGAAAGCGTGGCAACCCTTCTCAAGCGTCGCACCACTACTTCGACTGCGGATGGAGCAAACCCGCAGCATACCTCATCGATCACGCCCGATACTCCCCATCTTGCTTACAGCACCAAAGACTTGATGTACTGTACTGTAACTTTGTATTGAACAGAGATAAATCTTACAACGTTCTCATCTTCAGCGACGTTCAGGCAAACACCCACCCCTGCTGACCATCAGCCCACTCTCCCAGATCCTTACTGACATTCACCTCCTGGAACTTGATCTTTGTCTCCGCAGCATCCTCCTCCCCCTTTGGCAGTCTAACACCGAAGCCATCTCCGCCAACCCTGGTCTCGTAACACTTGAAGCCAGCATTGCTTAGCTCCTGGATCAACTCTTTCACCTTCTCCTCCTCAAACTCATCCGGCAGAAGCGTCACTGCACAACCTCCACCACCGGCACCGGTCAACTTAGTTGCAAGCTGAGCAGGAGCAAAGCTTTCGGTCTTGTTCTTGATCAACTCGAGCGAAGGGTGTGATACTTGAAGATCGACGAGCTCGGCATGGTTCTGCTTGATCAACTCTCCTAGTTGCGCGACGAGGTCATCGCGCGAAAGCGCACAAGTACCACTGAGGATCTGCTTTGCCGAATCCGCAATCGCCTGAATTCTAGCAAGGGCCGCGTTCAGCCGTTGCGGGTCAGCTTGCTTCTGTGCGGCTACGTGAGCGATCAATTTCTTGCCCTCCCTTCCTACACAGCTATCGACCAGCAAGAAGCGGAAAGAAGAGAAACCCTTCAACTTCTCCATCTTGTTCGCATTGAGCGTGTTGATCGGATGAGCACGAGTGAAAGCGATTGCACCTCCGTGAACTGCTACCGAGTTATCCACTCCGGATGGAGTACCGTGAATCACTTTCTCGGACAAGAAAGCCCATTGGTTGACATACGCCGAGTCATCAGCTTCCACCTCGCCCTTAGGAGCGGCAATGCGACCATAGAGAATGTTGAGCGCTGCTGCGAGACAAGAGCTCAAAGCAGCACTCGATCCTAAACCTGCACCGATAGGCAGAGCCGATCGCAACACGAACGCTTGAGCTCGCGCATCAGCTTGACCGGCAATGCACATGTACAGAACAAGGAAAGCAATTGAAGCAGCATGACTTCTCTCGCTCTCGTTGACTGTCTCACCTACCACCTTTTCAATTGCACCCACCAATCCGGCATCCAGCGAGTCGGGCACTGGTCCACCAGCCTGAATCGAATCAGGCACCGCACCCCAGGGCAATTCGCTGATGTTCCAAGCGTGCACGACACCTAGATCAGGCAAGTCGAGCGAGATCTTGCCATCCTTCCTGGGCGAAACATTGGCATAGCACCTAAGCGCCACCGACCCAGCAATCGCAGTGACACCGTGCACCACAGCGTGCTCTCCGAACAGTATGACCTTGCCTGGCGCGCTAACTACAATCGAGGTGGGGCTGTTCGGCGGCGGGTGGTCTTGAGCCAAGCCCGGTTCCCCCTCACCGCCGCGAGTCTCGAGTTTAGCCGTGTTCATATCCTCCACCAAACTAGCCACCTTATCCTGCTGAGCGTGGTCGGTATGCAAAGGAGTGCGTTCGTAGGTGATAAGATCTGGGGAAGCAGCACGCGAGCTCTCGATTGTCGAGGGGAAACGGCTACTAGATCGAGTGGAAGAATAAGGTTTGGGTCGAATGGCACCAGCTTGCAAAAGTGCATTCTGCAGATCATCGAGCAGATCGCGCTCGTCTTCGATACCGACGCAAAGACGGATCAAGTCCTCGGGCATACCACGTGCGGCCCGCACCTTGGGATCGATCGAAGCATGCGACATGAGACAAGGCATTGAGATCAAACTGTTGACACAGCCGAAAGAGACCGAGATACCCCAAAGCCTTGTAGCACCCACGATGCGTTCCGAAAGCGCCTTGTCACCAGTGACAAAGCTAAGCACCGAACCTGGTCCAGCAGCCTGCTTGTCGTGAATAGCCTTGGAGGGGTGGGATGCCAGACCAGGGTAGTTGACCTTGAAACCCAACGAGTCCAAGTAGTGGGCTACAGTGATTGCACTGGCCTGCTGCCTATCCATACGAACAGCGAGAGTCTTGATACCACGAAGCAACAAGAACGAGTCCATGGGAGTGAGCGCATTACCAATCGAATTGATGGTGAATGCAATCTGTTTGCCCAGATCGTCACGATCGCAAGCAATGACACCAGCCATGAGATCGTGGTGACCGGAAAGATACTTTGTACCCGAATCGTAGACGACGTCTACGCCCAACTCGAGCGGACGCATGAGGTAGGGCGACATCATAGTGTTGTCCACCACGACGACCGCATCTGGGGCCCACTTCTTAGCGGCAGCTGCACATCGCTGAAGATCACAGATCTTGAGACAAGGGTTGGTGGGAGTTTCGAGCAACACCATGCTGACTTTTCCGCACAAGCCAGCAGCAACATCACGGGCACGCTTCTGAAGCATCTCTTCGACCTTGGAAGCGTCGGTGGTGTCGACGTGATCGGTGTGGATGTTTTGGTGTGAAGCCAAATAGCCGAGCAAACGGTTGGTGCCACCGTAAAGGTCATCACCAGCAATAATGCGTTCACCGGCCTTGACGATGCGAGCGATGACATCGAGACAAGCCATACCGGAGGAAACGGCGAAACTGTACTTGCAGTTCTGAAGCTGGCAGAGATGATGCTGAAGCATCGAACGGGTGGGGTTGCCCGAACGTGAGTAGTCGAACTCGGCGCCGGGCAAGCCTTTGAAGGTGGCCGACATGTAGATGGGAGCAGAGGAGGAACCGTACTGGTCTTTATGGTTGGGGTCGTCTACGGTAGCACATTGAGTGGCGAAGCGGTAGCCGTTGGGACCACGACGATCTTTGTGCGAGATGAAGGGGAGCTGTTTGATGCCGGAAGAAGAAGCATCGTCGTCAATGTCGGAAGGCTCGGGGGAAGTGGGAATTGAGGAGTCGAGGGAGGCGACGTCAGAGGCGACGTCGGTGTTGCTGAACGGAGTCACCGTGGAAGCCTGAGAGGAGGAGACACTGTAGGTGTCGCGATGAGAAGTCATGCTGGTCTATCGAGAGTTTAGTGGTGGCCAAATGTGATGTTGATGCCAAAGCAGTTGCGATTAGGACGCCGGCTTAGCGTGATGCTGAGGTTGGCTGAAAGAGGGCCTCGACTGTATTCTGCCTCTCTTGAGCGTAGGGAAGAGCAGTATTGACGATGATGTATGGTGAGAAGAAAGGATGGCGAAGCGTAGTCAACTCTTTCCTCCCCTTGACCAACACAGGTAACACACGCAGGCAACACACACACACGCAATCCTCCTCCCGGCAAACGGCGATTGACGGAAAAGGGCGAAAGGCGAGTCATTATTTTGGCGGTGTGAAAGAGCCCCACTTTTCCTCTCAATGGCGTGCTTTCTGCCTATCGTATCGGGCCCGTGCAATCTTCCCGATCTTGCTCCACTCTCGGAACTCGGACACTTGTCCAACCCTTGCAACTGTTGATGCCACATACACACTCTTTAACGCCCTTCCAGCCGCTGCTCATCCCTCATCCATCCTGCCTTACTCGACCACGATTCACAATGGCATCTCAACCGCCCTCACAGACAGACAAGAGACCCGACTCTCGCCGGTTGGCAGACTTTGCAGCAAAAGCGGCCGAAGCCTTCGTCTCTGCCTACTACGCAGCATCAGACTCTCCACAACGGACGAACCTCGTACCCACACTGTATTTGCCGAACTCTTCGATCGTTTGGAACGGTACGCCTGTCAGTGGACAGCAGGAATTGACGGCCATGTTGAACAGTATGCCGGGGAGTAAACATGAGGTGCAGGCGTTCGATTGTCATGCTGTTGGAGGTAGCGTTGATGGTGGTAAGTGTCACCTTGCCGGATGCTGTACCTTTCTTTTCCCTTTTTTGGCCGTCGAAAACAGCCTCGGATGGCTTTGGATAGAAGGGAAACATGCCTGCGCTCGCTCAGCTTGATAGAGTCGGGAAGATCTACTTTCTTGGTCGTATCCAACAGCAACGCTCTCTCCCGCGAAGCTATGGTGGCTCCAACAAAAGTCAACAATGGCGCAAAGGCGAGAGCAAGAGGCAACATCAACCACAGACCCCAAACTTACCATCTTCTCTGATCGATGGATGAATACCTGTGCAAGGTGCTGTACGATCGGAAGACAGAAGTTCTGAAAGTCCGGGTCGCTTTCCATAAGGGTTCGATACTCATTCTAAAGGTTCAGCGTTGTATCGAGTAGTATATGAAGCAAACATCTCCTCCCCTCTCTCCCCTTTCCCCTTTTCCCCTTTCCCCTTTTCCCCTTCCCCCTTGCACCCTATTTAATCAGTCCCATATACTAACATACCCTCTCGTTTCTGTCGAAACCCTGCATCGGGGTCATTCAGCAACATTCGTCCCCCCTTCACTAATCCTCAGCGTCTCAGGCACAGTATCGCATCACACCCCCGAATCATCATCAGCCCTAGCGGCCACAACATCAACCGCACCGAAATCAGCCACCGCCTCCACCCACGGTGCGAATCGAAATCGAGGAAACTTTGACCCAGACGCACCGATAACTTCACATCCAAGAGCGTTCAGTCAGAACTTTGTGTTGGTGGATGCAGCACAAGTTGGTGCCGGAGAGGGAGGGGTCGCCTGTGCTAGTACAACGGGAAAGGATGGCAGTATTACGTTGAGCGGCAAGTTTTTTGTTCAGGCTGACAATTTCCGGTTTGTCGGCTGAAGGCTTTCCGTCGTCAACGTCAGAAAGAGCAGTAACATATAGAGAATGTTTGCACTTTTACCTCACCAGAGCGAGCAAAAGGCTACTCAGGGCCAAGGTCGCACTTGAAAACAAGGTCAGGTCTGGGAAGCAAAGGTGGCATAGCATTCCAAAGAAGCGCGAGAGAAGACAGAGTTCAGTATAGAATGATACCATGTACCAACAGCATTTGATCAAAACATCAAAAAGCCTCGTCTCTGGCGCAAATTGCAAGCCCGATGATCATCTGGCACCAAGACTATTCTCAGAGGTTGAGAAGTTGCATAGCCTAGACGAAAGCAGGCGTATAAAGTACAAAAGAACGCATCGTACTGATCAAATTGTCAAGAGCTATAAAGGTCGCAAGAGGAGCAGAGGAATGTCTAGAAGTTTGTACTGCTAAAATGTTGAGCATTGAAGTGAAAGCCATTTTGACCGCTTGTATCGTCAATCTTGCGTTCGGCGGGTTGCGAATAGAAGTGAATATCTTCATCCACCACCCCTTTCGCCATGATGCGGTTTGAGTCTGAGTTGGTAGGGAAGGGTGATACTGAGCTTTGACTTGTAGGGAAATCTGCTCTTATACCCAGCTCTGCTGATAGATTAGATACGGATGAATGGCAAGATGTTGTAGATGAGAATGAAAGTTGGGGTAAACCTCTAATTTGCCTTCTTTGGCCCATCTTGTCGCATTCTGGCATGTGTGATTGCGTCTCTTGTGTGTCTGACGTGGAATCCCTCCTGCCTCTCTTCCCCCCAACCACACTAAACGCGATTTCGTCGACCATACAAACATCTCCCCCAGCCACCCAGCTCCTTAAATCCTCAAAAGTAGCACCAATACTAGGAGCAGTAGCAACCCGACTCCACTCCCTTCTTCCATTCACAACCTCCCTCAGAACGTCTCTTTCGCTTCTAAACTCTCCCTCAACCTCCCCACGCCCGCCAATGCTAAAGGCGATGGATTGGGAACGGGAATAACCTTGGTTTACACTTGATCTAATCTTCCAACCCAGGTTTGCTAACGCATTCTGCGTATCCTCATCTATATCGCTTGTCCTGGGTGTAGGCTTTGAAGAACAAGAGGAAGAGGCGAAGGAGGAAGAGGCGAAGGAGGAAGAGGCGAAGGAGGAAGAGGGGGAGGTAGAGGAAAAGTGAGGGGAGAGTGCGAAAGCTGTCGGTCGATGCGAAAAGTGTTTTTTCACTGCCAAAGTGTAGGTCCTTTGTGATCCTGAGGCTGTGATTGAAGTTGATGATGGGCTGTTCATTTTGCGACTCTATGGAATGTATATCGTTCCTCGTTCGAAAGCTTATTTGGCGAGATGGATGCGGGTCTTCAGTTTGATGGATCGATGCAAACGGGTGTAGCCTGTGTGAATATGTTATTGTTTGAGCCGGCGAGAATGTCCCTTCTGGGGAAGGTGTAAGGTAGTTGCTTTTCCGTTGTCCAAACAGATGCCGAAGCTTGGAATTTGTCCTGAGAGCGAGTTGATCGAAGAGATAGGGTCGGGTGGCAGATGGTGGATGATGGGTGGTGGATGATATGAACTTCTACCCCTCAAAACGCGTTCCTGAGCCACTTTACGCGTCAACCGCGTCCAATTTACGCGCTATCGACACGTGCAAATGCGGTCTAACATCTTCCACTTTCCTCCTTCCACTTTCCTGCTTCCGTCACGGTGTACACTTCTCGCACCCTCGCCCAACTCATCATCCTCTCTGCCGAACCAAAACGAGATCCTTTTCCACCGTCACAGCGATAAGAAGCGATCGACTCTTGCAACACAAGAGAGTCTCGGATGGTGAGGAGTGGTTCGGAACGGGAGCAGTGTGTGAGATCCAGGAAGATATAGCTTTGCATTCGAACAATAAAGGTGTAGTAAGCGACGAGCAGAAGAGGAGAGAGAAGATCGTGTCACTTGAACGAGAACTGAATGTAGGTGTGCATGGATGTGTTGCGGTAAGCATGGATGTGCTTTGTCCAGCATCGTGGCTTGAAAGAATGGCAAACATAGGAGCCGAGTAGCTGCCAAGACTGCGACCACCATTGATACTGGTGCTGGTGATGCGGACACTGCAGTCGTCGAAGAGCAATTCTCGAGGCCGTCTCGCCCGTCCGACTATCTATGCAGACTACTTTCGGCCAGGCTCGACAATCACTCCGTCTTAGCAAAGTACTCAACCACCACCGCAGGCCTGTAGCTGTCATCAGGCATACTTTCCATCCTTGGATGATACTTTTCACCCCTTTGCACGAAAAACTTTGGTTCCCACTTGTCAGCGTTTTCCTCTCTCTCCTTTGCTAAGGCTCTCTGTTTCTCCTCAATCGCACTCTTACTCTCTGTTGCCTTGTCCAGATTTTTCTCCTTAATTGCCTGGGTCACCTTAGACCATAGTCTCCTCGATTCGTTTTCCTCCTGCTGTTCCTCGGGAATGACCTCCTTTTGAACAATTGTTGCTTTATGAGCATCGAACAACTCGTCGTGCTTACCGGAACTGCTGTCTTTGTAATCCATGGAATCACTCCACTTTCCGGAAATGTCACCAATACACTTGCCAGCCTTGGTAACTTTGCCACCGATCGCATTGTAGGTACCAGTAAAGTAACCCTTGGTCTTAAACTCGACATCACAACTCAAGTCGTTGGCCTCGTTGCGGATCTTACTCGTATCGCCCAACTCCAATACCATCCTACCGAACAAAATACCTCTAGCGTACATGTTGGGCATGGAAATCACGTACTCTCCATCCTGCTGTTTATCCAACAACACCACCCGATTCTCTCCTCCCATAATCGTAGCAGCCGAGTTACCCAAGAACTTGGATTTAGGCTTGAGTTCTCCATAGATCAAAAGATTGTTTTCCGGAGAAAGATAGTAGTAAGCGGAGATGGGAGGATGGTGGGAGACTTGCTCGGCGATGTAGTAACCTTTGGTACCGTCGGTGTAGTTGTAAGTGCATCTGAAAAACTCGCCCAAAATAGGGTTATAGGGTTTCTTGACACCTTTAGGTTTGATATGCCAACCAGAGAGATAGTAGCGGGTTACTTGAAGAAAGCGTTGCTCGGGGGAGGAGAGTTTACCAGCACCAAAGATAAGGTCGGGGTGAGACATGAAGTCGGTGATACGTTCTAGCATGGATCTTGGTTCGAGGACGAATGTGGGGAGTGTAACTTTGGAAAGGTCCATGCCTATGCGAAGTTGACCGATGAGGGAGATGAGAATGTTTCCGGCTTCTTCGTCGAGTTCTTCGGTGTCATCGGCGGAAGCACCTTCAGGGGGACGATCTTCTTTGGTGGGTTTGATGTGCGATTTGGCACCTGAGACGGCCGAGCCGACATGGTCGAGGAGGCCCATATTTGGCAACGATCAAGGCGGAAGAGGAAAGATGGACAAAGGGTTGAGGTAGGTGCTGTTGGCGAAAGTTGCTGAGAGAAGCAACTGCTCTCTATCGCTGATGCAATGCAGAGCTGAGAAAGGATTGTTGTGAGCTGGCAAGCGGTCCTACTTTGAGTTGGTTCGCACTTTAGCCTGGACAGCAAGGGATGGGATGGAATGGGATGCGTCGCTGTGCGTGTGGGCGTAGAATGAAACGCCAACAAGCAGAATGCGGGTGACGAGCTTGGCAGGCGGACAATCGCAAAGGAAGAATTGAATCTGCGGTATTGGTGTTCGCGATGATAGTTGATGGATGGTGGTGGAGGGCAGAAACGGCGAGGAGGAGGATGATGATGATGATGATGATCGTGACAAGCCCACAAGGCAGAGAAAGAGAGAGCAAAGGGGAAATTATTACTGTTTCCCAACTTGACAGGGGCAGCAGCGCACAGCAAAAGGCCAATCTGTCTCACTGGGGCGCAGCAGCAATATCGTCATCCGGGGCACAGAACCGCACCGTGCGTTTTTGGTTTTTTTTTTTTTTTTTTTTTTTTTTATTGTTTTTTTTTGCGTGCGTGTGTGTCGTCGTCATTTTTTGTCGCTTTGGATCAACGCTGGCCGCCTCGGCGATTTTTGGCTCAATTTCTGCACTTTCAAAGTCTCTCTCTGTGTATGTGAATGATCTATTAAAAGTCATCAAATACGTGCAAAATTGTTGGAAAGGAGCTGAGAAATTGAGGGAGAAAAAATGTTAAATTGCCTATCTCGACAGAGTCGCCTGCCAGCTCCCAGCCACACACACACACACACACACACACACACACACACACACACACACTGTTCAGCAGCTGATGAGTCATGTTGAGGAAAGTGCAATCAGGGCAGTCAAGCAAGCGGTAAATCATTGGCATTCAAAAGGGAACTAAGTACAAAGCAATAACAGAAGTAAATATACTCCTGTTGTCAGTTGATGTGTGTGTATAGATGAAAGTGACACATATGAGGATGTGCTGTTGTCAAGTGGGATAGGGGTATTGGTGGGGAATGTTGAGCATTGGTGGGAGTTGACAGGTGGTGATGCCAAGTGAAGTTTGCAGTTGTGTTAGAGCATGAGCATGCAGTCATGTGATTTCACTGTCCCCCTCACAAACTGAACAAACAGAGGGGTTGAGATCCATCATGCCAAGACATTTCCAGGTGCACATTAGGATGTGTTGGGATACTGGCTTTGTTAGGTAGTCTGCATCATTATAGTCAGTCTTAATGTATTGCATGACAATATCACCCTCCAGGACGTGATTTCGGATGAGATGTGTCACAGGACCTGCACAGGAGATCAGGTCTGTGCAGGAAGATCCGAGATGAAGATGAAGATGTGGTGCACCAAAAAAAAGGCACACGAAATGTGACATCAACTGTAAGACAGGTTTCCAGTTGATTTGTTTGAAGGATAGTGCAGAGTTTGCCATCAAGGGTGTGGTCAATATTTCTTGTGTTCAGTGGTCACAGTGCCATCAAGGTGCTTCATAGCTGCAGGCCAGTTGGACAGGATGCCTCTGAAGTGGGGGTTCCAAGCATACCAGTTTTTGGTCATGAGCTTGGGGGCTTCTTTTAGGGTGTTGTGGGTGTGAGAGAGTCATTGGTGGAAGTCGGATTGGCATGAGGGTTTCTTGTATGCATTGGAGTTCTTTGCTTTGTTGTGTTTGGTTAGTTCAATGAGCATACCCCTGAGTACTTTGGGGTTGAGTTTCAAGATGGTGTCAATGTTGTATTGGGTTTCATTGCCATCATCATCATTGTCAGAATCATAGCATAAAGGGGTTTCTGTGCCAATCAGCATTTGCCTATGTGGTGCAGTGGGAGCTCTTTCCTTGTGTGGTTTGTCAGACAGATTGCTGCTCTTGGCATCTGGATCACAGGTTTGTGGGGGCATGCTGGTTTGTCAAGCTTGGTGGAGGCAGGCCCTTTCTTTGGGTGGTGGAGGCAGGTGAGGATATGGGTCAGACAGCATGGCAGGGTGAGGCAGTGTTCCTACAGCAGAGCATTCAGACTCTTAATCTGTTAAGGAATGCACAATCAGGGTGGTCAAGCAAGAGGCAAAATTGTTGGCATTCAAAAGGATCTAAGTACAAAGCAATGGCAGAAGTATATATGTCTCTGCTGTTGGTTGACATGTGCATGTGTAGGAGAAAGTGACACATATGAGGGTGTGCTGTTGTCAAGTGGGATGGGAGTCTTGGTGGGGAAAGCTGAGCATTGGTGGGAGTTGACGAGTGGCGACATCAAGTGAAGTTTGCAGTCATGTTAGAGCATGAACACGCAGTCATGTGATTTCACTCTGATCACTTAGGTATCATCATATTGGATCGTTTCGCTCGGCATCTCTTGCCTCATAGCGTCCTTTCTGAAGAGCGGTGCGAGGGTAACAGACACCGGCCTTCGCTTGAGCTGTTAAAACAACAATCGCACGGACATCACAAGGCGACCAACAGTTCCTCTGAACAAAACTTTGCACAATCTTCTCGCCCTGACAAGTTGACCAGCTGCTTTCTTCGCTCGTACACCAACACAGACCTCGTGTGGAGAGAGAGGCGCTTGCCATCTAGGCACAGCTGAACGGCATTGTGAGATTGACAGAAACAAGTTTTTGTGGACGTAGCAAGAGTTGAGAAGGTTGAGATGCAAATGAGAGACCAAGAACCGTATGAAGAGAGCCAATGGAGCAGAGAAGGGGGGGAAAAAAAAAAAAAAGAAAAAAAAAAAAAAAAAAAGAAAAAAAAAGAGTATCAACCGAGCAAAGAAACCAAGTCTGTATAAACAGCCGGACTTCCGAGTGTGCATGGAGATCGGGACCAAGAGTGGAGAGAGTAAGTGGAACCGAGCAGCGAAATGAATAGAGAGCAGTGGGATGCGGTGGATAAGGATGCAGAGCTTGCAATGGAGATAGCAAGAATCGGAAACGGGGGCATGCGAGATGATAGCAAACCAAAGCAGAGGTCGGCTTTAGGCGGCGAGTTAGACAAAGAAATGCGTATAGATACGGCTACTGGGCGCAACAGCCATTTCCTCCATCTTGTACGTGTTGAGTTCCTCTTTGATCCTCTGAGCCAACAGCGGTGTCAGTCGATTGCAGGTCGCCTGTTCACCTCTTCGATCGTATATGGTAGCAGGCCAGGTCGAGTGGAAGATGCAGTCCTCGGCAAATGAGAGCTTCTTCTTGGCTTGACTAGGTGCTGTCACCGATCGCTGAGGCATAAAGTCGGTGGCTGAAGGGTCCATCATCAAGGACAAAGTAGGCATCGACGAGTTCGAGTGGTGACCCAGTACACCGCCTGCATGCTGAATCGATCCAGGCGAAACCGAACGAGGAGGCACCTCACCCGAACCAGATCCCGGTCGAGAGGAAGCGGGAGAGTCGCTCTTGGCGCCCACACCATCCAGACGCTCAACACCAGCTGTGTTGCCAGAGAGATGCGTCATCGTGCTCGTCCCGTACAATGCCGAACAAGCCGAAGCAGACTGCGGGGCGTCGTACGAGTTGGCTCGGATGCGACCGGCGAAAGGCTTCTCGAATCCGTTGGCGAACGAAAGATCGGGCGTAGAAGCCGTCTTCTTCAAGATACCTTTGGGGTTCTTAAACTGCGCTGCACTTGCGCGAGATCGTTCAATACCTTCACCCCAGTGACGCAGGCTATCCGTCTCAAACTCGTCGCCCGAATCCTCGCCACCTAGACCGCCAGCGGCAGGCATATGAGGCGGCTCCAACAACTCGCTGTCAAACGAAGCATCGAAGCCGCCCTCTTCGCCGTAAGGGATGGCAATCTGCGGTGCTACAGCAGAGACGATGGGCTCGCCATTCTGCTGTTGCTGCTGCTGGTATTGCTGCTGGTGCTGGTGCTGGTGCTGGTGCTGGTGCTGGTGCTGGTGCTGGTGCTGGTGCTGGTGCTGGTGCTGGTGTTGACCGCTGACTGCGTCTGCGTACGATTCTGGCTCGGCGTAGGTGGTCTCAAGACCAGTTGGAGCATCCGAAGTGATCGAGCCGATGCTGCCACCGTTGCTGCTTCCAAACTTCTTGCGCCAACCGCGTTTCGACTTGAGCCTCTCCTTCTCCTTTTCGATCATCTTTTGACGGTTCTCGCCTGCTTCTCTTGCCTTTGCTTCGGATTGCTGAGGTTGACGAGCAGCGCGAGCCTCTGCCTCAGCTTGTGCCTGCATCTGTAGCTGATGCTGTCGAACGTAGGAAGCGGCAGGTGTCATTCCGGCATCACCAAGACGGGCACTCTCGAGCTCGACGGTAGCATGCGTTATCGAGGCAGTAGCTGGCACGCCCTTTTTGGTTTTGGGCGTCTTCTTGGACTTGGTGTTGATGGTAGAATCGTCGGAAGCAGTAGGCGTGGCTCCCAACGAGCCGCCGTAAATGCCATCAGGTCCTTGGCGCTCCTTGTCCTTGTTGAACATGTTGGTCAGACCCATCAACGAGTGACGTCGCGCCAGTTTGCCGAGGTTGCCGACCTTGCGCAGCATGACGGAAGCACTCGATACGGTCGACGAGATCGAGATATTGTCTGTGGAAGAGTTGAACTTGCGGTTAAAGATGCTGCGCTTGCCCTCATTGTTGTTGGAAAGGGGAGGACGTGTGCCACGTCGAGAGGTGATGGAAGCACCTGAAGAGCCAGGAAGAGCTGCACCGTTGTCAGGCGTGCGAGGAGGCGAGGTGGAGCCAGTGGAGCCAGTGGAAGCGTTGGTGTCGCCAGACGAGTTGGGCAGACCGCCAAGATTGCGACCATAGACACCACCGTTACTCGGTCGTCTTGCTGCAGCCGCTGTTGAGGCAGATGAGCTACCAAGTGCGCCGTTCTCCTGCATGTCGTTCATGTTGGAGAAGGACAACGCCTTGCGAAGCTTGGTGGAGAGTCCGGTCTTCTTGGACTTGGGAGCATAGCCAGGCATTGGGGTGGAGCGACCACCATCGACGCGATCATCGTCGCTGCCACCGTATACAGCCTCCTCATCGTCATCCCTGCCGGCTTGTCGCGACAATGGAGAGGGCTTCTTGGAGGAAGCGAGGCTTGGAGGGTGTACGCGTTGAGAGCTGTTGATGGAGTGAATCGAAGTAGAAGAGTCAGAGCGTTGGTGAACGGGGGGCGGTTGCTGCTGCTGAGGGCCAGTTGCTGTTCTGGAGGAAGAGTCGGAAGCAAGCGAAGACTGGCTGTTGGACCGTGGTGGAGCACCACGCAAGTGTGAAAGACCGACCTGGGACGAGGCTGAGCCGGCTCCAGGCACCAGGTTCTTGGAGCAAGGTGTGCTGGAAAGCCCTGGTGCAGAAGCGGAGGGTGGGAGAGCACCAGAGCCGCGTTTGCGTTCAGCAGCAAGCATAGGCGAGGTTTCGCGCGAAGAGGACTGCGATGCAGCACTGGACGTTCGCACACGGGGCGCACCAGCACCTGACATGGAGGGAGTAACACTAGCGCCGTTAGAGGGAGAAGTTTGGCTGTTTGTGCCAACATCAGAAGTGCCACGTTGTGTTCTGCGGTAAGGATGGAAGGCGCCTGGCGAGGAAACTGAGGAGGAAGCCGAGTGGCCAGAAGGAGTAACTTGACCGAATTGACCCGTAGTCATGGGCTGACCACTGAAGCTGCGAATCTGGTTGAGCTGTGGCATACCGCCAGCATACGAGACGCAGGGGAGGCCCTGCTGGCCCTGCTGCTGCGCTTCTCTGCGGAAGGTGTCATTGTATGTGATGTGCTGAGGTCGTTGAGGAGTGGAAGAGGTGCGGCGACGGCTGTCAGGCCCGGGTGGACGCATATCGCTGCAAGGCGATTGCGACGGTTGTTGTTGCTGGCCATAAAAGTGCTGTGCCTGCAACATTTGCTGGTACTGCATCCATGCAAACTGATTTTGCTGTTGATGTTGTTGTTGATGCTGTTGTTGCTGTTGGGCGTTCATGTGTGGATAGTAACCGGGCGTGGATGTGCCAAACGGTTGCGTCTGAAATTGACTGCCAAACATGGGTATCTAGCTATTTGGTGTTGCGTTGAGCAGGAGGGTTAGGCGCGGGATGAAGTGCGACCAAGGGACGTTGCTTAGGGGAGAAATGAGGGGGGAAGGGGAGAAATGAGGGGGGAAGGGGGGAAGGGGGGAAGGAGGGAAAGGTGGAAAATAAGCGTTGATGGGGATGTTGGGACGATGTCGGTGGTTGGGATGGTTGATGGGAAGTGCTTGAATGCAGAGGGCGTAAAAAGCAAAGAGGTCGGAGCGAGAGGAAGGGCAAGAGTAGTGATGGAAGGAAGAGGTGCAAGTGGTCAAGAAGGCTGGATGAGCGAGAAGCGCGGGAGGATTACAAAGATTGGCAGATACTAGAGGGAAGACATTCAAGCCGGTGCACTAGGGAGTATACTGGCGAAAGGGTGCAAGATCAACTCGTGCGACGTTGGTGGAAGAAACGCAAGTGGAAAGTTTTGGCACTGTATGCAATTGACCAGAATGATGAGCCTGGTGACAGGTGGTCGGTGTGCGCAACGCAACCACTCTCGGATTGGCTACGGAAGCAGCAGCGAATGCGTCGAGTCAAAGTCCGATAGTGATCTGTGGTGGTGTAGATGCGAGGAGCAGTGTAATGATCCGTACTGGTTGCAGAACAAAGCCAAAGGCAGGAGCAGAAGTGGCGAGCAGAAGTGGCAAGCAGAAGTGGCGAGCGGAAAGCGGAAAGCGGAAAGCGAAAAAGGCAAAGCAGGGGTTGCCGCGCGCGTGGGTTTGTTATCTAGTGCGAGAGGGAGAAGGAGGAGAAGAATAGGAGGAGGAGGAGGAGGAGGAGGAGGAGGAGGAGGAAGAGAACCGAGTCGCAAGATGAGGTTGCGAGACACACAATACGAGAGATGGAGAGCAAAGGAAGAGGATCGCGAGCGAAAAGAGTCAGCGAGAGCAAGTGAGAGAGAGAGAGTGTGTGTGTGTGTGTGTGTGTGTGTTTGTGTGTGTTTGTGTGTGCGAAAGGGAGCCAAGAGTGTGCCTGTGTGAACCACGGAGAAGCGGTGTTGGGGGAGAGAGAAAGGGGGAGAAAGAGGGAGAGAAAGGGAGAGAAAGGCTGTGTGGGCTGAAGGCGAGGGAGAAGAGGTGCGTGCGAGCGTGTGTCTGTGCCTGTGTCTGTGTGACACCCTTTTTTTTAGTGTGAGATGGGTGGGGCTGAGGTTGCTTCTTTTTCTCCTTCTTCTTCTTCTTCTTCTTCTTCTTCTTCTGCTGCTGCTGTGTTGCGTGTGCGGGTGGGTGAGTTTCAATGCGAGAGTCGAATTGCTCGAGTGTTCGTTTGGATTTCTGTTTGTCTCGCTGTTGAGTCTCAATTGAATTCTGACAGGCGAGAGAGACAAGACAGCAACAGAGCAGTCTCATTCAAAAAAAAAAAGAAAGAAAGAAAAAGAAAAAAGAAAAAAGAAAAAAAAAAACAGAAACACACCATGGCAGGAAACAGGCAGTGAGTGTCGGCCGATTGTCGCTGGGATCTGGCGGTGGGAAAAGGGAATTATCGCATCTCTGGAATCGAGAAATCATTCGGACCAGCACAGTGCGATGTGATTGTGATTGTGATTGTGATTGTGATTGTGATGTGTTGTTGTGTTGCGATGTGATGGACTAGAATATTTTATTTTTGGAATATCTTTTTTTCTTTTCTTTTTCTTTTTCTTTTTCTTTTTTTTTTTTTTTGCTCTCGCTCCAGCGTCAAGCTAGCCGTTGGCTTCATTAAGGAGGAGAAACAAAGACAGCGTCAGACTCTCACGGTCTTGTGCTACAAGATTAGACTGGCACATGCGCACAGACACGACCAAAGCAACCTCCATCCTTGCAAACACGGCGTGTGGATATGAAACGAGATGATACCAGAGAGGCTGAAAGAAGCCAAAGCGGCTCGAAAAGCTACGCCTTGACTGAGAACAAAGAAAGAGACACAAACGCCATTCAAAGAGTCCCTTGCCGCACTGCTCACACCCAACTCTTCCCGCCAAGTATGGCGCCTCTCGGGCGTCACAGAGGCAGAGAGGCAGTAAGCGAAAAGTGTTACTTTAGCGAGAAGGCTCTTTTGAATTTGTAAAAAAAAGTGTGTCAAATTGTGTCAAATTGTGTCAAATTGTGTCAAATTGTGAATTTGTGTCGATTTAACATCCTTAGGCCTTGAGTTTCTCCTCGCTTCCAAAAGGAGCAAGAGAGAAGAGAGCCTTTTCTGTAACCCGAGACGAGTTGAAAATGCAAATGCAAATGCAAATGGAAATTTTGCCGCATCACGCATCACGTGATCATAAAGAAGGCGGCCCAAGCCAAGCGAGGCTACACAAGTGCAAGACGCCGGGCTCAACGAATCGCAATGTGTCCACAACCGATACACGCCCTGCTGCGGGCGTACAGCAGCTCTCCCCCGCCAGGCTCGAGCGTGGCAGCAGTAGTGGCAGTGGCGGCATTCACTGATCCATCTCTCGGCAAGAAAGCAACCGGTACCAACTGCAATCCAATTAAGCTACAACAAGGGCGAGGAGAGGGGTCTGCTTGGCCTTCTTTGCTGCTTCGTGTCAGCTCTGTGCTCTCCCTCAAGCAAGTCTTGAATGTTCAAACGGGTTGGAAGAAAGAGAGGTTTCACCTCGAACCCTCCCAGCAGCCAGCCCGACGCCATCCAATTGCGAACTGTGCGAGAAAGGGAGGTAAGCAGCGACTTAAGCAGCTAGTCACCATCACCGTACATCAAGTCCCATAGAGACTGTCGCCTTGCCATGAAGCATGACTTTCAAACCTTCAATCCGATCGCCATCGGGCTCTGTGTTTGTAAGAGACAGCCGATAACTTCCCTTCTGCAAAGGCCGCCGAAGTGCTAACAACAAACAACACTATCACCATCTTCTGTCCGCTCGACATTGACCGAACAGATGATGACAAGAAGAAAGCTTTTCAAATGCAGCATCATGCCCGAACGCTTTTATTCTAGGGTCCCAACCCTTCTTTCTTCTCGCGCACAGCCTTTCCCTCGTCATCCTATTCTCCGCCGCGCCCTTTTCTCTGTGAAACATGAAACGAAGCCCATCTTTGCCTTTCCATTGGCTACAGTCCCGTTCCTGATACCGCCCGGCGCTGGAAATCGTGTCACCTTTATCTTCTGGCCCCTCTTTTCCATCTTTAGGCGAGACCAACACTGAGTCCTGTGCTGCGGTACATACAAAGTCAGTCATTCAACTCGATTCATGGCCATGACTCAGTGGAGCTGCAAAGTGTTGCAAAGTGAACAAGTTTCGTTCCCGATAACTGGCAATCGCGCAAGAGTCTGAGTACGATCTCACTGCTGCTAGAAGACAGAAACATATATACTCAATTGACTAAAGAACCTAGTCTTCTCAACTTGATATACAGTATCCACATAAACTGTCCCAAGATTTTACATGTCACCATACATCACTCTAATGCTCAATAGCTATAAGTTGTATTGCCACACTGTCTGATATCATCTGAAAGCACTGCTTCTTCTCTCCAAGACTGTGGAATTGATATTGACATTGACTAAAAAAATTGTGCTATGAAGAAGAGCCAATTTTATTTTTTTAATTGTGGGACAGTTTATGGAGTGCTCCTTGAGAACACCTTAGTACTTTGTATTCCCTCCTTTGGCCTTCAGAACCACCTTGATGCAGTCTGGCATGCTCTCTATTAGTATCCTACATGTCTCTGGAGTGATCACTTTCCATTCAGCTTCACATCTCTTGAGCAGTTCATCCCTGGACTTTGCAATCATACTATACTGTGAAAGTTGCATTTTGAGATGGTGCCAGAGGTGTTCAATTGGGTTCAAGTCTGGTGACTGCCCTGGCCATTGCATAACCTTAATGCTATTGCCTTCCAACCACATTTTTGTCTTCTTCAACATGTGTTTCAGGTCATTGTCTTGCTGAAATGTGATGTTGGTGTATGCATGCTGAAGCTGCAAATCTGAGATTGTTTTCAAAAGCTTGTCATTCAGGATATCAATGTATTGGTCTGAATTCATTGAACCCAGCACCAAGCATATACCTCCAACCCCTTCCCATGTCATACAGCCCCAGATCATGATGGAGCCGCTTGTCACAGGAGCCGGTCAGCCGAAATGGAGTCTGCGCCATCTGTGCAGACAGAGAGGTTAAATCGGCTGAGGGCCAGTGTAAGAGCCTGACTCGGCAGATCCCAGGGAGATCCAGTAGATGACTGTAGCTCACTGGACATTGGGGACTACCAGTGGCAGGAACAGATGGGAGGGTTGTTGAGCAGTGCCACCCTGTTGTACATGTGGGAAGTTGACATCATCAATCAACAACAATTAGACATGTGATGTATTGCTAGGGAACAATCACTCTGGAAGTGTAGTTGGCTTGGCAGCTCAGGAAGGTGCTGAAGTCAGCATTACCAAGCAAGGCCTGAGCGGTGTCACATGCAGGTTGTGTGGTAGCACTAGATTGTGATGTCAGTATGGCTTTGTATATATACTATCTTTCCATGCTACTGGATGAGTGGAGACTCATCCACTCTACTATACTTTCACAGATATCATAACCGTATGTTATACTACACGAACAGTAACATTCTGTCATAGGCCTGGGTGCGCAGAGCGAAGGAAGACCGAAGTTCATATGAAGGTAGCACAAGAATCGTGGGATCAGGTAGATCATAGGAGCTGTGACAGAGTTCACTGAGATTGGTAGTAGAATCAGCTCTATGGCAGATCGCAGCGAAATCGGCATGAGCATCATTGATATCATGAATCCCACCAGAATCTGCAGCAAGTGAGATCATGTGGCAGATTCTGCAGAGATTGGTAGTAAGGGTGTCTGTATGATGATTCACATGCGAGAGGGACCAAGCTCAGTGACATGCAGTCAGTTACCACTCAGGGGCCCACAGGACAGGAGTAAAGGAGAACTGTTGCCAGTCAAAGGAAGGAGAGCTGTGTAAAGGACACCAGCAAGAGTGACACAAAGAGGAGGAGCAGTGTTGATGAAGTTGACACAGCTCAGGAAAGACAGGAGTGACAAGGCTCAATGCAGAGGAGGAGTCTCCTTGGAGATCCCTGTACAGTACTCAACAAAGAGGGTACTCTCTGGAGAGGGGGAGCAGGAGCAGTGTCACTGGCAATGCTGTGAAGAGATATATAATCATACCTTCCCATCACAAATGGTCAAGTGGATCCCCATCCACTCTACACACACCATAACAACTAGTATTACTTCAACATATAAGTATCATTAGTTCATAGTCAGCATAGTAGTAATCAATAGATTGCCCCTCATCAAAGCACATGTGTTGTATCACTGCTCCCTGATGTCCAAAGGCGGTTCTTAGCAAACCAGCAGTCTGGATAACAACAGAACTGAAGGCAGTTGTCCACTGCGGTCTGGGGATCACCTCAAGTGTTAGTCGACACACTGGACACTCATGTTGACATCATCAATTCATACTCACACCAGACCATTGGTGTCAACATCAAGTTCACTTAGAGTCATATTGTATTTTGATTGTGCCGAGCTACCTCTGGATGGAGTGTTCACAGTGGTCAGTTGAAATCTGTCATAATGTCTATACAACTACAGATTCCAATGAGAAAAGTGACAGAGATGGCTCTGTTGCATATTTCACTAGGAATCGAAATACCATTAGTGCTGTTGCATAACTCGACAGAATTGGTAATAGTATCAATACTACCACAGATCTCAGGTTTCAGGCACGCGACCCCTGACACATTCCTTACATGTCGCACATCGCAATACCATCTATTGCGATCATTACAAGTCTGAGTCTTCGTCATCGAACAAAGAGTATTGTATACAATGTCATCGACACCTACATCGATGCTGTAGCACCTCAACTACAGGTGGAACCTCCACCGTGGGCCTGGAACCTCTACCAGTCCCTATAACCCAACCACTGCCAACAACATCAACTGAGCACTAGCTCTGTCACTCTCAGTACTACATTGACATCTCGACACTCATGCCAGCATTGTACTACACCATTGCTAGGAGCTGAACTTGCTGCATTACCTCTGTATGGAGTGCTGACAGCAGTTAGTCGACATCTGTTCCCTGGGCCTCACTCATTGGGTATCACAGTTATCCATTAAGGAGAGCCTCCTCACTGGTTCTCCGAGAAGTACACTCAGTCAACTCTCCCTATCGGAACTCGCTGAGATCCGCTGAGATGGCCCATTCCACAGAGAGTCGGGTGTTAGGCACACGACCGCTGACACCGCTGCCGAACTTGACCGTCAGCCTGACAAGCTTGCTGTTGAAGCTGGCATTCTTAATCCAACAGAACTGCTTCCCATCCAGTCCAAAGAAGTTGATCTTTGTCTCATTGGACCATACCACATTCTTCCAATCCTCAACAGTCATGTCCTTGTGCTCATTCACAAATTTGAGATGTGCTTTGTAATGCCTCTTGAGTAGCTTCAGTTTATTCACTAACCTTTGTGCTTTGTAACAACAGTAATGAAGTGCTTTTCTTACTGTCATTGGGCATGCTTTGATGTGAAACATCTCCTGCAGTGCATGACATGCTTTTCTGACTGTGGACATTGAATTGAGCTTGAAATAGTGGTCCAGGAAGCAAACATGACAAGGCTGGAGTTTTCTTGGCTGGCCCCCCTTTGACTTTGGAGCATCAGTGGAGGCACTTTTGCTGATGCAAGACACCATAGACTTGCTCAGACCATGTTTCTCAGCAACTGAATGGGTAGATTCTCCATTTTGGAGGTGAAAGAGTGCTGATTGGTGCTTCTTGGGAGTGGCTTTTGTCATGATGGTATAAATATGAAGGTGTCAGACTGGAAGTGCTGCTGGATTGCTCACAGTCATCTGATTGAGCTGAAACTTTCCATGTCACTACTTTTGATGTGTATGAAGGTGCCTGTCATGGGCCTGAATGCTCAAGAAGCAGGAGGGTCACTGGTTCATATGGAAGGAGCACAGGTATCGGAGATCTAGTCGATACCAGTAGAGAGCATGGTCATAGTGCAGTCTCCATGGAGACCATGGACTCCTACGGACTCACATGCAAAGGAGGACCGGGCCCATATGCGAGGAGGGCCAGGCACAGCCACGAAGAGGACCAAGCTCAAGGAGCATGCAGACGGTTACCACTTGTCAGGGGTCTCGCGCCTGAAACTCAGGTCGGTCTGTCGAGATACTCAGTGACTATCAAACTGTGTGACAGCTATTGTCTTGGTATCAGTCTCGACGAGCTAGTTGTTCAGTGACTATCAAGTTGTGCAATGACAGCAGGTGGCATTTGTTGTATATACTATCATAGGTTTTGGCTGACCTCTGTGGACACTCCATTCAGGGGTAGCTTGGCATGATCAATATCAATGCATAGGTTATGATGACACCAAGGTCTGGTGTGAGTGTTGATGATGATGAGGTTGATGGTGTTGGTGATAAGGTTGGTGGCATCAACATGAGTGTCCAGTGTGTTGACTTGATGCTTGAAGTGATCCCTGGACCAAAGTGGACTACTGCCTTTGGTTCTATCTATATCCAGACTGCTAACCTGCTATGGGGCACCTTCGGACATCAGGTAGTGGTGATACAACACACACACTACAATGAGGAGCAACCTTGATAGATTGCTGCTATGCTGACTGAAACTAATATATACTTATGCTGAAGTGATACTAGTTATGATGTGTGTAGAGTGGATGAGGATCCACTCGACCTTTGATGATGAGAAAGCATGGTTATATACCTCTTCACAGCATCGCCCGCAACACTGCTCCTGCTCTCTCTCCAGAGAGTACCTTTGTCATGGGCCTGGATGCTCAAGAAGCAGGAGGGTCACGGGTTCATATGGAAGGAGCACAGGTATCGAAGATCTAGTCGAGATCAGTAGAGAGCATGGTCGTAGTGCAGTCTCCATGGAGACCATGGACTCCTATGGACTCACATGCAAAGGAGGGCCAAGCACAGCCACGAGGAGGACCAAGCTCAAGGAGCAGGCACAGCCACGAAGAGGACCAAGCTCAAGGAGCATGCAGATGGTTACCACTCAGGGGCTCGAGAGACAAGAGCCAAAGGAACTGTCACTGATCAAAGGAGGAGGAGCAGTGTCGAAGGAGTCGACACCAGGTCATGAGGAGGAGGAGCAGTGTCGAAGGAGTCGACATCAGGTCATGAGGAGGAGGAGCAGTGTCGAAGGAGTTGACATCAGGTCATGAGGAGGAGGAGCAGTGTCGAAGGAATCGACACAGCTCAAGAGGCACAGGGGTGCCAAGCAGGAGAGGCCCCTGAGCAGTACTCGATGAAGAAGGTACTCTCTGGAGAGAGAGAGCAGGAGCAGCATCGCTGGCGATGCTGAGTAGAGGTATATAACCATGCTTTCTCATCATCATAGGTCGAGTGGATCCTCATCCACTCTACTCACCATACAACTAGTCAATACTTTAGAAACACAAGTACTCATTAGTTACAGTCAGCATAGCAGCAATCTATCAAGGTTGCTCCTCATCATAGTGTGTGTGTTGTATCACCACTACCTGACGTCCGAAGGCGCCCATAGCAGGTTAGCGGTCCAGATCAAGATAGAACCGAAGGCAGTAGTCCACTGCGGTCCAGGGATCACTTCAAGCATCAAGTCAACACACTGGACACTCGTGTTGACGCCACCAACCTTATCACCAACACCATCAACCTCATTATCATCGACATCACCAATCTCACCACCCACACCATCAACCTCATCATCATCAACACTCACACCAGACCTTGGTGTCATCATAACATTGATATTGATCATGCCGGGCTACCCCTGAATGGAGTGTCCACAGAGGTCAGCCGAAACCTACGATAGTATATACAACGAATGCCACCTGCTGTCACTGCACAACTTGATAGTCACCGATACCGAGACAATAGCTGTCGCACAGTTTGATAGTCACCGAGTATCTTGACAGACCGACCTGGGTTTCAGGCGCGAGACCCCTGACAACCTTCTTCATCGAGTACTGTTCAGGAGGACTCTCCTGCTTGCTTGGCACCCCTGTGCCTCTTGAGCTGTGTCGACTCCTTCAACACTGCTCCTCCTCCTTGCTATCCTGCTTGTTTGGCACCCTTGTGCCTCCTGAGTGGTGTCAACTCCTTCGACACTGCTCCTCCTCCTCAGGACCTGCTTGCCGGTTCCCTATACACTGCTCCTTCTCCTTTGACCGGTGACAGTGTCAGAGGTCTCGCACCAGAAACCCAGGTCGGTCTGTCGAGATACTTGGTGACTATCAAACTGTGTGTCAGCTATTGTCTTGGTATCAGTGACTATCAAGTTGTGCAGTGACAGCAGGTGGCGTTTGTTGTATATACTATCATAGGTTTTGGCTGACCTCTGTGGACACTCCATTCAGGGGTAGCTCAGCACAATCAATATCAATGCTTCGATTATGATGACACCAAGGTCTGGTGTGAGTGTTGATGATGATGATGAGGTTGATGATGTTGGTGATAAGGTTGGTGAGTGTTGATGGTAATGAGGTTGGTGGTGTTGGTGATAAGATTGGTGGTGTCAACACGAGTGTCCAGTGTGTTGACTTGATGCTTGAAGTGATCCCCGGACCGCAGTGGACTACTGCCTTCGGTTCTATCTATATCCAGACTGCTGACCTGCTATGGGGCACCTTCGGACATCAGGTAGTGGTGATACAACACACACACTACAATGAGGAGCAACCTTGATAGATTGCTGCTATGCTGACTGAAAACTAATGAGTACTTATGTTTCTAAAGTATTGACTAGTTGTATGGTGAGTAGAGTGGATGAGGATCCACTCGACCTTTGCTGATGAGAAAGCATGGTTATATACCTCTTCACAGCATCACCAGCGATGCTGCTCCTGCTCTCTCTCCAGAGAGTACCTTCTTCATCGAGTACTGTTCAGGGGCCTCTCCTGCTTGCTTGGTACCCCTGTACCTCTTAAGTGGTGTCGACTCCTTCGACACTGCTCCTCCTCCTCATGACCTGGTGTCGACTCCTTCGACTCTTGTCTCTCGAGCCCCTGAGTGGTAACCATCTGCATGCTCCTTGAGCTTGGTCCTCTTCGCATATGGCTCGATCCTCCTTTGCATGTGAGTCCATAGGAGTCCATGGTCTCCATGGAGACTGCACTACGACCATGCTCTCTAATGGTATCGACTAGATCTTCGATACCTGTGCTCCTTCCATATGAACCAGTGACCCTCCTGCTTCTTGAGCATTCAGGCCCATGACACCACTCAGGGGCTCAAGAGACAAGAGTCAAAGGAACCGTCACCGGTCAAAGGAGAAGGAGCAGTGTATAGGAAACCGGCAAGCAGGTCCTGAGGAGGAGGAGCAGTGTTGAAGGAGTCGACACCACTCAGGAGGCACAGGGGTGCCAAGCAAGCAGGATAGCAAGGAGGAGGAGCAGTGTTGAAGGAGTCAACACAGCTCAAGAGGCACAGGGGTGCCAAGCAAGCAGGATAGCTCAAGGAGGACAGGAGTGGTGCTAGAGGGGCCCCCTGACATACAGTACTTGATGAAGAAGGTACTCTCTGGAGAGAGAGCAGGAGCAGCATTGCTGGTGATGCTGTGAAGAGGTATATAACCATACCTTCTCATCATCAAAGGTCGAGTGGATCCTCATCCACTCTACACACACCATAACTAGTTATCACTTCAGCATAAGTATACATTAGTTTTCAGTCAGCATAGTAGCAATCCAGCAAGATTGCTCCTCATTGTAGTGCATGTGTTGTATCACCACTACCTGATGTCCAAAGGCAGTTCATAGCAAACCAGCAGTCTGGATATAGATAGAACCAAAGGCAGTAGTCCACTTCGGTCCAGGGATCACTTCAAGCATCAAGTCAACACACTGGACACTCATGTTGATGCCACCAACCTTATCACCAACACCATCAACCTCATTATCATCAACCCCCACCAATCTTATCACCAATGTCATCAACCTCATCATCATCAACACTCACACCAGACCTTGGTGTCATCATAATCAAAGCATTGATATTGATTGTGCTGAGCTACCCCTGAATGGAGTGTCCACAGAGGTCAGCCAAAACCTACAATAGTATATACAATGAATGCCACCTGCTGTCATCACACAACTTGATAGTCGCTGAGTGACATAGCTTGTCAAGACCAATACCAAGACAATAGCTGTCACACAGTTTGATAGTCACCAAGTATCTCGACAGACTGACCTGGGTTTCAGGTGCGAGACCCCTGACAGTGCCCACCAAGTTACATTACAAGTTTCATTGTAGTCAAAAGCCCACAAGGTCAGGAATGGAGTGGTGTCACTATTTGGGAGCACACTCCATAAACTGTCCCACAATAAAAAAAAATTCAGCCCTTCTTCATAGCACAATTTTTTTAGTCAATGTCAATATCAATTCCACAGTCTTGGAGAGAAGAAGCAGTGCTTTCAGATGATATCAGACAGTGTGGCAATACAACTTATAGCTATTGAGCATTAGAGTGATGTATGGTGACATGTAAAATCTTGGGACAGTTTACATGTGTACTGTATATACATCTATGAGGCTCATACCGAATGTCTGTCCTTCCTACTTAATCACCATGTCTGACAACGAGCGGGCACTAGGTTCTACCCGATCTCTAGTCAGATCGACATCACCCACATCCCTCTCGCATCGTCTTATGTCAGCTTACATCACCATATTTGATTGTTCACTTTCAGCAGAAAGATCTTCCTTCCCATTTGTATTTTGCCGTCCCTCTTTTTTTTTGATCCGGATTTTGAAATTTCAAACTTTCATGAACAAGTTGCAGACACACTTTTTTTCTCATCCGCCCCTTACGAGCGGTCCTTGTTCAATCGCTTCCCTGCCAAGCTGTCTCTTCTCACCATCATGCCTCTTGCCTTCCAATCCGCACATAGACAACAACACAGCAACATTCAGCACTTTGAAAAGATGTTTTCACCTAGCAGCAGCGAAGACCTTTTTTAATTCTTTTTTTTTTTTTTTTTTTTTTTTTTGATGATGTTACAAACTGTTACTTCTTACCCTCATCTGCCTTGCTATCCTCATCTTCATTGATCTGCCCTTCCTCATCGTCATCAGCATTGTCCGCAGCGGCTCCCTCCTGTTTGCCTGCAGTGGTGGCCGGCGCAGGAGCAGGTGTAGAGGCAGTAGCTGGTGTACCAGCCTCGGCAGTCGAGTCCTTCACGGCCGTAGAGCTAAGAGAAGCAGCCTTCTCCGTCGCTTTTGAAGGCCAAGGTTCTCTTGGATCAATGTCCATCGGCTGAGCCCTGCTCTTCTCCAATCCATTGCCGTTCTTGACGGGCTTGGGCGAAGCGGAGGCGGTAGCTACTGGCTTGGCAGGTGGTGTACGGCCACCAACAGCGGTTGTTGCACTTTCCACTTTGCGTCCTGAGCTCTCTGAGCCTTCTCCTTCTGCCGCACCGGCTCCAGACTCGGGCTTGAGCGCACCATTGGATGATGCACTTTGAGCCTTCTCCGAATCACCACCTGCAGCTGCAGCGCTGCCACTCTTGGCTCGCTTGTACGAGTCTTCTTTTCCATCTGCATTCTTGTCCTCCTCAGCAGAGTAAGGTCGCTTACCCAGCGAGCTCTCTGCACGCTTGTCAGGGCTGTTGCCACGATCCCAAGCCGAAACCGAAGCCGAAGCCGGCGCTGGTGTAGCAGCAGCAACAGCAACAGGAGCAGCAAGAACAGGAGCAGCAGCAACAGGAGCAGCAGCAACAGGAGCAGCAGCAACAGGAGCAGCTGACACAAGAGCAGAGGCAGAGGCAGAAGCAGAAGCAGAAGCAGAAGCAGCGCCAGCAAGACCCATCAGAGCATCAGCAGCACCTTCGTCATAGTCCTCATCAACCATGCGAGACGAGGGCCCGCGTGCTGCAAGTGGCTCGTTGCTGCCATCCGAGCTGGCGGGAGATGCGTCGCGTTGTGGTGCTACTCCTTGTCCTCCTCGTACACCACCTGCTGGCGAGCCAGGTCGGGAGTCCACCTGGTCCTCTCGCGCACGCAATGGAGTCGATGCACCCTTCTTTGCCGCTGCAGCACCAACAGCGCCAGCCTTGCCATTCTTGCCTGCGCCACCACCCTTGGCGGACCAAGGCGAGCTGGCTCGCGAGCTTGTTGCTTTTCCCTTCTTGCCTGCTGCCGATGGTGCCGGCGAAGTAGGTGCAGGTGCAGACTCGAGCTCATCTTTGGCCTTGGCTCCTCGACGGGCCTTGCCGGAAGCGCCAGCAGCACCAGGTCCACCAGCACCACGACCTTCAACACCATCATGAGCACAAGTAGGGCCGTGCTCACCACCACGTGCACGCTCCCAATCAGGAGTAGGACCACGAAGACCAGGAGGACCTTGAGATCGTGCACCAGCACCACCCATAGGACCGTCAGGACCATCGCCGTAGCCATCATATCGTCCATCGCCAGGCGAACCCGCAGGGGGATGTCCACGCTCGTGTTGTTCAAAGTGAGGCGGAGGTGGCCCTCGTTCGTCGTGACGCATGCCGGGTGGGGGAGGCCCTCGTTCGTAGCCGCCACGTGGACCACCTGGACCAGCACTGGGATGACGGTTGTTGTAGTAGTCTCGTCCCGCCTCCTCACGTCCGTAAACGGGAGGTCGACCAAAGGCAGGCGAAGGCGCATTGCTGCCGTGATGCGATCGTGCATAGCCAGGCTCGTTCTTGGGTGTGATGCGACCGCTGACAGGATAGCCTGCACGGGCAGCCTGCTCCCTCTCGCGTTCGCGCTCCCATTCCAGCTCTCGCTCGCGCTCGCTCATGGGTCCACCCATGGGACGGCCGTAGTGGTCAAGCGGAGCGCCAGCTGCGAGAGACGGCGGCCCACGGAAGTCGCCATGACCAGGGCCGCCGTGACCGTGAGGGCCACCACCATGTCCATGTCTGTCGTGCATGTCTGGGCGCAGAGGTGGTGGAGGCGATCCACGCGGCGGCGAGCCCATCCTCCTTCCGTATGGGTCCATGCGTGGTGGACCAGGCGAAGGGCCGCGCGAGTGCGGGTAGCCGCCACGACCCAATCCATCTGGACTGACCATAGGAGCAAGAGCGACAGGAGCGGGGCCACGCGAGTCTCGATCCACCAACCCGGGAGGTCCTCCACCGGCACGGAAGGGAGGTGGCGAGTGCGATTGAGGCAGGTGACCGGGCCCGGGAAGATCGCGTTCGGAAAGATCGCCACGTCCACCTCCCGTACCGGCGAGCTGGGGTCCACCAAGAGGTGGAGGATAGGAAGGACCGGGACCGCCGCCGATTTGGGTAGGAGGACCGGGAGGGATGCCGTTGTTGTTGGCGTAAGCTGTAGGGTGGACGTCCTGAGGAACAGGAGCTTCTGGGAGCTCGCCGCCTTTGGCCTCGGCATTGCGAAGAAGCTGCAAGCGCTGTTGGATCTGCAAATTGTCGGGGTCGAGGTCGGCAGCACGCTCGTAGGCGTGAATGGCATCGCTGATCTGGTTGTTGCATGCCTCGTAGAGACTTCCAAGGTCGAACCACACTTCCGAGATGTAAGGATTGAGACGGATGGCACGCGAGTAGGCGTCGAGAGCATCGCGGTACTGATTGATCTGGTAATAGAGGACACCGATGGAGCACCAGAAGGTGGGGTTCTTTCCGTCACGGTAGACAGCCTGCTGGTAGGCCTCATAGGCCTTGTTGTAGTTCTGGCCAGCCATGTAAGCACGTCCAAGCAAGTACCAACTCTGAGCATCGTTGGGGTCGGATTCGAGACTCTTTGTGAGGAACTGAATGGCACGCTCCTGGTTGTTGAAGCCTGCATTGGAGAGGTGATAGAGCCATCCGAGCTGTTGAAGTACCTTTGCGTGGTTGGGGTTCTCGGCGAGGACACGCTCGTAAGCCTCTTTGGCGGCGTTGAACTCCTTCTGCTGCTCGTAGACGTGGCCAATCTGGAACCAGATGTCGATCTCGGTGAGCGGACGCGGTGGGTTGTCGAGGATGTAGCGGAAGCATTCGAGACTGGCAGGAAACTTGTTCTGCTGCTTGTATATGATACCGAGGCGGAAGTAGATTTCGTTGGCCTTCTCGTAGTTGGGATCCATGCGGACGACACTGGCGAATGCCTCCTCTGCATGCTCGAGGCTGCCGTATCGGTCGTAAAGGATACCAATGCCGTACCAAAGCTTGGGCTCTTTGGGATTAGGCAGGTGGTAGAGGGCCTGTTGGTATGCGGTGTAGGCTCGCTGCAAGTCATCCATCATCAAGTAGCAGTGACCCATGGAGCCCCAGGTGTCGCCATTTTCAGGGACAATGTTGAGCACGCGCTGAAAGTAGTCGACAGCCTTTTCAAAGTTATCCAATGTGCGATGAACGCCAGCAATGGCGGAGAGAGCAGGTACCGAGTATGGGTTGTGTCGAAGTGCAGCTTCATAGGCGGAGAGGGCGCGGTCGTAGTCTTCCATAGTTTCTGCAGCCGAACCGAGGGAAAGCCAGGCAGCCTCATTGGCGAGCGAGAGCTTTTGAAGGGCAGGAGACGAAGAAGCAGGAGGAGCAGGAGGAGCAGGAGGAGCAGCTGAGCCAGCGGTTTCCATGATGCGACTCTGAGCAGAAGAGGATCGAGGGATGTGAGGGGGAGGGGGCGGTGGTGGGCCACCTAGACCACCTGGACCATCGGCGATGACCATACGAGGAGGAGGACGAGCGTGAGCCGAGGGAGGGCCGTTGACGCCATTCATAGCATGTGGTGGCAGACCAGGAGGAGGTGGCATGGACTGAGGATAGGATGAATGTGGGTGATGCATGGGGGCGTTGCCAGGACCAGCTTGGGGAGCGGCGTGGTGAAGATCTCTACCACCGGCATGGGGATGGTGGGAAGGGTGGCAAGGGTGAGCGCTGTGTCGCGATGAGGGAGGCATGTCTGATCGATAGCCTTTCAAGGCGAGCTGAGCAGGGCTAGCGAGGTAGCTGCGCTGCAGCAGTAGGAGCAAAGACGATCCAGATCGAGCCGAACAGCAGAGATCGGATGAGCCGGCGTATGGAGTGATTCTGTGATTCTGCGAGTGGCGTGGCGGCTCAAGTGACACTGAGATTGAGCTTGTTTGCTGTGTCTATCACGGATGTGCCGAAAGCTATATTGCCTACTTTCGGCTGGTCCGAACCGTGCTGACTGTCTTCAGTTCGGAGGGTGAGGAATGACAGCGAAAATGCGAGGAAAGAGCTTCAGCCGAGACGAGATAGCGACAAGGAAGCTTAGCAGTTGAACTAGATCAGCGCCGTCTCGGAGTCGGAGCCGATCGTGCTAGAAAGGATTATCGTGCTAGAAAGGATTGCCGTGAATGAAAGGATTGCAAGCTGGAAAGAAAGAATGTGGTATGTCGTGTTGAAAAAGCGAAAGGGAAGGAGCGTGCTGGTTGACAATCTTCAACACCCTCTTCGCGATCAAAAGAGCAAGATGGCGATAGATGGAAAGAATGAAGGCCAAACGCACAAAGGAGACGGACGTTGAAGGGCGGACGTTGAAGGGCGGATGTTAAAGGGCGGATGTTAAAGGCGGATGGAGATGAAGAGGTAAAGATGATCGTTGAGACGAGAGACGGGACAAAAGCAAAGGTGAAAAGCGCACGGCACGAGTTGATGGATATGGAAGTGGTTTTGGTTTTGGTTTTGGTTTTGGTTTTGGTGTTGCGTTGCGTTGCGTTGCGTTGCGTTGCGTTGCGGCGGCGGCGGCAGAAGGGACAGAGTGGGATAGAGCAGGAAGAGAAAAAGCTCACTAACCCAGCGAAGCGAGACGAGGCTGTTCTGTGCGCTGTTCTGTGTGCTGTTCTGTGGATGCGCTTGGGGAGGCGCGTTTCGTGTGGTGGTGGTGGTGGTGGTGGTGAAAAGCGACCGACGAGAATCACAGAGAATTGACTCTCCACGAGCCAAGCGACAGAAAAACAGGAAAAATTAGGCAGACCGACACAAAGGCGGAAAGGCGGAAGAAGAGGCTCCACACACACTTGACAGAGCTGACCTTCGACACAGACATGCGACGGTCACATCAACTGAAAAGAATCGAACAAAAAAAGAAAAAAAAAAAAAAAAAAAAAAAAAAAAAAAAAAAGAAAAAAAAGGCGACAGACGAACACTAGGGCAAACAGCGAACAGCGCGCAGCAACGAGGAGCATCAGTCAACCGGTGCAGCATCAGCAGCAAGGAGAATTTAAAAAAAAAAAAAAGAAAAAAAAAAAAGAAAAAAAAAAAAGAAAAAAAAAAAAGAAAAAAAAGAAAAGAGCGAAAAAAATAAATAAAAAAATTGGATGGAAGCGAGCCCACCAATCAATCAAGCCTTTTTGGACGGAGGCGAGCTGTCGCATCTGGTCCCTTGTCTGGTGGCTGATCTGCTGCTCCTGCTTCTCATGCTTCTAGCCGCCTGCTTGTCAACCCTCAACCAAAAGAATAAATAAAATAAAATAAAATAAAATGCAACAAACAAAGAGAACAGAGGAGAGATGGCGAGCAGACACAACGAACAGAAACAAGACGCGTGTTAATATTCACCTTTCCCGATCGTGTTGATCTGAGCGGCTGTCATGACCCCGATTCCCGATTTGCCATGCCTTTGCACGGAAGACCCCGATGCCAAACGCGGGCAATTTCGGCAAGGACAGGATCCAAGGCGTCAAGTCACAGTTGCAAGTGTCACTGAGCCCTTTGCCACCTTCCTTCTCAACTTTGACATCTTGCTCCTCTTCTATCCATAACAACCTCAAGATGGCACCTGTCGCCCTCAACGACAGTCGCATGCCGCAGAATGGCGGTGCAGCCGCTGCATCCTCCTCATCAAGGCCATATCAACCTCTCGGCCATGTCCCTGTCTACACTGCCGCCGACTTCCCTAAACCGAGGCCAGTCCCAAACCTCAACTATCGCACTTCCACATATTGGAACTCGGAATGTCCCATCGCCATCGACAATGGCTCTAGCGAGCTTCGTGCCGGCTTTGCTCTCTCCGATGCCGCCGACCGAACCTCGCTCTCGCAGCAACCATTCTTCGCATACGACAACCTCATCTCCAAAGTTCGCGATCGCAAAAAGAACCTTACCATGCTTCTGGTCGGAACCGACGTCTACGCTGACGGTCTCTCCAGAAGCTCGATCCGCAGTCCATTCGATAATGACGTCGTGACCGGATGGGATGCCATGGAGATCGTTCTCGACTATACCTTTTCCAATCTCGCCATCGACACGGACAGAGTACAGCATCCGATCTGCATGACCGAAGCGCTCTGCAACCCAGCTTACAGCAGAGGCATCATGAACGAGCTCATGTTCGAAGCGTATCAGGTGCCATATGTCAACTATGGTATCGATGCTCTCTTCTCAGCTTATCAGAACAATGTGGGGCAAGATGCGCTCGTAGTATCTTCAGGTCGATCCAGCACTGTCGTCATCCCCACCGTCGCAGGAAAAGGCATCCTCAACAACTCCAAACGTCTTGCTTGGGGTGGCGCACAAGCTTCCGACCTCCTCTTGCGATTGATACAACTCAAATACCCCGGTTTCCCTGCCCGTGTCACACCTTGGCAAGCGCAGAATATGCTCGAAGAGCTCTGCTACGTTTCCGAGGACTACGCATCCGATATCAAAGGCATGGCTATGATGCCTGCCTCTCACAAATCCTACAACCCTACCAGCTGGACTCCTATGGAAAAAGCCGACGTCATCATTCAGTTCCCCTTCCAAGATGCACTTCCCGAGCAAAAGTCACAAGAAGAGCTTCGCGCTCAAGCTGAACGTCGTAAAGCTGCTGGAGATCGTTTGCGAGAACAAACTCGCAAGATGCGTCTCGAAAAGATGATGCAGAAGGAAAACGACCTGAAATATTACCAGCAGCTAAAAGAGTTCAAGGGCAAGGAACGTAAAGCCGAATACCTCAAACGTCTCGAGAATGACGGCTTTGATAGCGAACAGGCTCTGGACAAGATGATCAACAAGATCGAAGGTGCTCTCAAACGATTCCGTGCCAAAGAACTCGGCGAGGAATACATTCAAGATGAGAAGCAAGAAGTGCCTACTTTTCCTCTCGTCGATGTTCCCGATGTCGACCTGGATGAAGAAGGAATCAAAGAGAAACGCAAACAACGTCTCATGAAAGCAGGCTATGACGCTCGACTTCGCGCAAAAGCAGAGAAAGCCGAAGAGAAGCGTCTCGAAGAGGAAGCGCTCAAACGGGACGAAGATGAACGAGTCAACAATCCCCGCCTCTGGTCCGCTAAGATGCGAAAGGAGTACGACGATGCGATCAACAAGATCAAAGAGCGTAAGCGAATGAAGGAGATGCTTTCCGATCGGAAATCGCTGGCTGCGCAACAGAGGATGAAAAATATCACTGCCCTCGCTTCCGATGCTCCAGGAAGTGGAAGTGCAACACCGACAGGAGGAAGGAAGAGGAAGAAAGGTGGAGATGAAGATACCTTTGGTGCCAATGATGATGATTGGGCTGTTTATCGAGAGATCCAAAACGCCGATGATTCGGAAGAAGAGGAAGAGGCGTATAACCATCTTTCGACAATCGAGAATCGATTGTTGACGCTCGATCCCACTTTTGGACCTGACGACACCTACGCCGCCAGATTGGCGAGGAAGAATCGACTCACGCTTACATTCTTCAATGGTCCCGGTGGAGGAGAGCAAGCCTCCGTTGCACCCACAGGCACTCTTGCCACTGCAGCAACGGCAAACGACACTGATCCGACGAAAGCGGACACAGATCCAGAATGCATCAAACGACAGCACCAACTGCATCTCAACGTAGAACGTATTCGTGTTCCTGAAGTACTCTGGCAGCCGTCCATTGCAGGCTTGGACCAAGCTGGGTTGGATGAGATCTGTTCGCATGTCGTGCATTCCTTTGATCCTGATGTACGCGCGAGGATGTTGCAGAACATTTTTTGTACTGGCAGGCATACCGGCTATAAGGGATTCCAGCAGAGGTTGTATTCGAGTATCAGGGCAATTCAGCCCAGTAACGTTGTCGTCAAGGTGAGAGCGGCGAGAGATAAGAGGTTTGATCCCTGGAAGGGTGTCGCGAAATGGTGTGTGTGGGAGCAAGACTTATTTACACGTACAGCGGTGACCAAGGCCGACTACGAAGAGAAGGGCAAGGAGTGGTTTAAAGAGCATCCATTCAGTGCTAACTGGAAGTGATACCTTTCACTCTTTCCAAGTCTGCAAACACACTTCATCTTTTTCTGCTTGAGTCTTGAGATAGAATGTATACCAGTCCCCGCTCAGGAAGGGAGATGCACAGACAGCATTGACGACGATCGTCGAGTTTTCTGAACAAAACCGAGTCTGCATTGCGTGTAAAAACAATAAATCACTCATCATCATCATCATCATTATCATCATCATCATCATCATTATCATCATCATCATCATCTTCTTCTTCTTCTTCTTCTTCTTCTTCTTCTTCTTCTTCACTTTCCTCCTCGGCCTTTTCATTTAATCGATCCTGTTCATCCCTCCACAACTGATAGAGCAACCTCCTTCTCGCTTCCGTTGCATCTTTCCTACTTGCTGCAGTGAACAATGCCTGGAAAATTGCTTTTCTTAATAAGAGTGCTACGTCCACCTCTGCCTCCTCTTCTACATGCTCTTTAGCTGATGGTATGGGTACGGCTGAAAGAGCTAGTAGGAGTGGGTGTTTGACATCGTCTTCTCCCTCCGCTTCCTCATCCTCTTGGTCAGAGTCGGAATCTGGAATGCAAGATTCGGATTCGGATTCGGAGTTGAGGGTTTGTTCGTCTGCGAAACTGTGGAATTCGGTTCCATTAGCTGTTTCATCCCCTCCTTCCTCCTCCTCTTCTTCGCTTTCTGCTGGGCGTTCGACTTGGTCTTGGTCATCCGAGACAAGGTCCTCGTGTTCTTTAGCAGAAGCACGAAGAGTATCTTCGAGCAAAGGACGGAAAACATTACTCCAAATCCTTTCGTACATGGCTTTTGACTTTGCTGTTGCCAATGCATCCACAAATGGTTTCAACAACTCCAAAGTTGGAATCAATGGCAAATCCTCTTGCTCTTCTTGCTCTTGCTCTTCTTGCTCTTGCTCTTCTTGCTCTTGCTCTTCTTGCTCTTGCTCTTCTTGCTCTTGCTCTTCTTGCTCTTGCTCTTCTTGCTCTTGCTCTTGCTTCTCTTCTTCGTTCTGTGAATTGTCAACTTGTTCAATAACCTTCTCCAATTCATCCAAATAGATATCCGACAGGTGGTAGGTTAAGCTATCAGGCACCTTTGGATCGTTGGTACTGAGTACTCCCCCTTGGAACTTGCCCAAGATCTGCGCAAAGCGTCGAGTTGCGTCAAGATTCCATCCTTCTTCAGCTAAGAGTTGGAATCCGGAAGCAACGAATCTTCGAACCAAAAGATAAAATTTGTCGATACGATGTTTGTCCAGCGCTCCCCACTCTGAGACGATTGTATCCCAGAATGCTTCGAGGAATTTCAATCCTGCTAGAGCTCGCTCGGACATCCCTCCCTCTTCGCCAGGCGAGGTAGTGCAAGTAGAGGAAGTGAAAGAGGTAGAGCAAGAGGGGTGTACAAGGACAAGCTGTGCGAGGTCGTTAGCCAATCGTTGTTGAATAAGAGGTTTATCACTCATCCAGAAACAATAGAATAAACCTTTCCACAGCTTCTGCAGTTCGAGTTCGGGGATAGTATGTGCTCCGTTTGTGGCGAGGAAGGAATGCAGGGATCGGACAGCGGAATCGCGAATTCGTTTTTCGGTTGAGGCTAGGGCTTTGCCTAGAGGTATCGAGGCGTCTTCCTTCGTGGCGGTCGTGGCGGTCGAGGAGGATTTGGGCTTTTTGGATTTGGAGCCTGAGGCAGTGGGTGCTGGCTTTCGCTTCGAGCTCGAAACTGCGACTGATGTTGAGGCCAGCATGGCGACTAGATGCCTTGAGGCTGCGGGAGGTGGTGGAGAGGTGACCAAGGAAGAGGTATGGTATGAGAAGAAAGCTGGAGCACAAGGAGATTTTCCAAAGGCAAGAAGAATTGCAAGACAAACGAAATTTCCCACTTGTTGGAAAATTTACGCTGGTGGACCCTGGTGTATTTGAAATGCTTACATAACCATCATTCAACCGTCACTTGCATCTTGTCCGCATGCCATACACTTTCGAGCGGTGGTCGAGCTCACGGATGTCTATAGCGCCTGCAAGGAATGGTATTGATGATTGCTTTCGAAGCTGCATTGAATGAGGCAGGCTAGTTTTCGAATATGGCCACTTGTAAACCTACTTGACACCAAGAGCAGCAGCCGGTGGGGGAACATTAGCTGTTGGTGCCCCCCTGCATCGTTGCACTTGGTCCCAGTGGCCCAGTCTGACCAACCGCCCTGATCACGCCGATCAACTTGGTTTTCCCTTCTCTCGTAATCAGCTTCATCCCCGGCTTTACCCACTCGGGATACCTTATAAACTGCAGTCTCAACATTGCCCTATCACCAGTCCTGACCACGGGTTTACCTCCGTTCGCGTCCGCCCCTGCACCCGGCCCAATCGTCGGCTTCCCATCCAACTTGGCAATGCCAATAATGCGCACCGTCTGCCTAATCGATGCTGCATGAAGAACCATACAGCTCCCCACGGAAAGTGTTGTTGAGTGATAGAGACATAGGATCTCTGCATCGAACTCCATATGTGACTTGGGAGGGGTTTCGGTTCGAGCGAGCATCACCATTCCTTTCCTGACTTGATTTCGCCTGATCTTCTTGAGCGCAAATGAGACGGATTGACCGGCGATCGCACCGTCAACATTGACACGTTTGCGCTGGATGCTGCGGATCGAGGTTGTTACGAACTGACCTAAACTGTCAGGCCCGAGGAGAGCTGTGTCGCCGACTTTACAGCTTCCAGCAAGCACAACACCCGAGACAACGGTGCCTACGAAAGGAACCGAAAAGATATCGCTAATCTGGAACTCGAATGGCCGGTTGATCTGGAACTTTGCCGCGCTTGCTTGGGGTAAGATATTGAGGAAACTTCGCAGAAGGTCAAGATTGAGACCGGTGACATTGGAGATCTGGAAGATTGGGCAGATGCGCTCGCTCTCCAGTCTCAGTGCCGACTCGACGACCTGTCGGATATCGCTGATGAATACTGGGGTCTTACGACATCCCGGCGACTTGAGAATCTTGGTCAACTGCTTGAGCGTCGTCTGGAGAACATGAGCAGGAGTCATGTCGATCTTGGTGATACACACCACCACTGGCACTGACAAAGCCAAGGCAATCCCCAAATGCTCCTTTGACATGCCAATCAACCCGGCATTCGCTCCTACCATCAACATGACAAAATCAGGCAAACAACCAGTCATACCAAACACGGTGGTCTTCAAGTACCTCTCATGTCCCGCCAAATCAATAAAGCTAATCACCTTACTCGACTTGGCACATACTTCTTCCCAAGACATCTTTCGACCTGGCTCCTGTCCTGGACTGGCGGTATTGTGAACCGGTTTACCTTGGGAGTCAAAACCCATGATCTCCATTCCAACCGAAGAAGTTCGACCGGATTCAAGTTCGTGCTTGTGACGGAAAAGGTTGACTCGTGCTTTGCCTCTACCGTCATCGAGAGCGCCTTTGGTGAGAACACCGAGCATGGTGGATTTACCGGCGTCGACGTTGCCGATGACTGCGATGCGGAGTTCGACGAGCTCTTGGGCGCTAGCGGGTATTCTGCGGATGAGGATGTGGGCTGATTTGGTACCGTCTTTGAGAGTTTGGTGGTCAAGGAGGGATGCGTCGGCGTCGGAAAGGTTGGAGGCTTTGACGACGTTGGCGGTTGCTGTTGAGAGTTCCTCTTTGGTGTATGTGACGTTGGGAGGGGTGGTGGTGTTTTCGAGGAATGGTGTTCCAATGCGAAGGACAAACTCGCCACCTTCGTAGGCGACTCGATCGGCGATGTACTTGACCAGACTTTTGGCTTGGGGTGCCGGAGGTGCGGCAGTTTCCTTGTTGGTGGCATCGCCGGTAGCTATCGCAGGAACGGCGGCAGCACTTGCATCTTTCTGACCGTCGGTAGGCTGTGATGGTATTGGTATTGGTATTGGTATTGGTATTGGTGCTGGTGCTGGTGCTGGTGCTGGTGCTGCCACGGCCTTGTCATCGATGTATGCCAGCAGGAGTTCCTTGAGTTGGGCAGGGGAGACGGCGCTAGGGTCAAAGGCAGACTGGTCCGGGTTGCTGATCGTGTTGGAATCAAGGTTCGCAGTGAGGGCGTCTATTGTCGGGCCCTTCTTCTGCGAGGCAGAGATGGTGGCGGACATGATGGCGATAGCAGCTGGGTGCTCCTCAGGGGGTTAAGGGAATCAGAGCTCGATACGATAAGTGCTAGACGAGAAGCCGAGCTGCTGGACCGAGCCGTGATGTTCGGAACGGCGCGAGTGGAAAGCGGTCTGAAATCTTTGTCTCGACGGCGAGGCGATGGGGGCGATATCGTTGCGAGAGGGATTCCGAGATGTCTCGATTAAGCTTTGACGTCTGGCGCGAGCGAGCTGACTACGCAGTTGGCAGTCTCATGGCTCGAGCGTCAGACGAGGATAGCAAAGATACGAGAGCTTCTTCGGTAGAGCCGATGATGAGGTGATCAAGTGTTGCAATCTTAAGCTCAAGGTTGGTGACGATGGGAGTGGCGCACCTGAGACGGTGACCATACGAAAAGGGTCTCCATTGCATTGCTCAGCTGTGCGGATGAACCGACAGCGACGACGTGACCATCCAACGGTCCGGCGGATGATGATGATTATTATTATTATTATTATTATTATGATTATTATTATTATTATTATTATTATGATTATTATTATTATTATTATTATTATGATTATTATTATTATTATTATTATTATTATTATTATTATTTTTCTTTTCCAAGCCGGATTCTTGCCACCACTCTCAGCTTACAGTAGAGAAACGCATATCTCGTAACTGAGAGTTGAAGATGCATCAGCATCGCCAACACGTGATGTATTGAACGGGAGTACACAGGATTGGGAAATCAGGAAGAGACAGAACAATGAGGAAAGACAGGCAAAATGTGAAGCTAGTGGGGACTAATACATTGACATGACAACACTCATGAAAGTAGATACATGGCATATGGGAATGACTCGACAAGGTAAGCACAGACAAGTGCCCAGAGCATGTATATATACTCCAAGTCATGTCACTATCATACAATAAGTAATACAAGCCTTTTTATCTGAGACTATCCGATTTAGCAAGCACCTGCTAGTGGCCTCTGTATCGGTGTACCTAAATTTAACTCTGAGCAGCAGCTACAGAAAGCACAGGAAATTAACTCAAGCAGTAGCGCAGCACTGACGAACCAATGCAGGTTTTTTCCCCAGATCAGAGAAATGCAAGGCTGTAGAAGAGCGTCAGTGAGCGGGAGTCACCTTTCCTGGAGGAAAGGAACCTTCTTGAGAGGCTCTTTGATGGCGAACTCAGTGGGTGAAGCATTCTTTCTCTCTCTTTCTCTCTCGTTGGTTAGCAAGCTATGCGACAACGCTCGACGCTTTTGACGGAGGAGCCGAAAGAAGAAAGCAAGCTCTCCTGGCTCATGAAAAGGCGCGGTTCTTGGCAGCTGTCCAAAGTGGTAGCCAAGAGGCAGAAATAGAACGAAAGCGCTGAATGACGTTCCGAGATGAATCAGCACTCGCAATCTTACCCTTCACCAAGAAACTCTTCACCAAGAAACCCTTGACCAAGAAAGACAGAGCAAGAAGCTCGCTACCGTTGCAACAGCCATGTGGAGGCCAGCCTTACTCATATTCCTTTCTCGCCCGCACCAACGTTTGGTCACCATGTCTTGACTGTTTCCTCACTCAGCAGTCCCCACTTGGCGCCGACTCTGGAGGAATGACATCGCTACTGGGTGCGACCGGCCCTCGAAAAGTTTCAGCTTTGACCCGTGGGACGCTGACAAGGGTCTTGTTTGCGTCGAATGATCATTCCAGGAGCCATATATACCTCTCCTCCGCGTCTCCGTGGTCTACCCCCCTATACTCACAACTCCTCCTCTATGAACGCAGCAGGGCCAACTCTGAGATTTGGCACACTTGCTATATCCAACCTTCGCTCTCAGCTTCGAGTCTTAACCCCATCCGCATCAACCCGAAACCGCAACTTCAACATGTCTTCATCTCAGAAGGATGACAATGTTATCACCGCTTACCCCAACTACTATCCCGACCGTCAAACGCAAGAACTTCCCGGTAAGGACCAGGCCATGGACCCCATCGCCGAGCACATCAAAGTCGAAAAATGGGACAAAGACGGCAAGCCTTATCTCGAAGATTACAAGGGCACTGGCAAGCTCCAAGGCAAATCTGCCATCGTCACTGGAGGTGACAGTGGCATCGGTCGAAGTGTAGCTCTCTTTTTCGCTCGTGAAGGTGCCAACGTCACCATTGCTTACTTACCTCAAGAGGAAGCTGATGCTGACAAGGTGGAAGATCTGGTGCGCAAAGCCCCCATGGGAACCAAAGAGATCCTTCGTGTTCCCGTCAACCTCGAAAAGGAATCCGATTGCAAGCTCATCGTCGACAAGCACCTCGAGAAGTGGGGCTCGATCGACATTCTCGTCAACAACGCATCCAAGCAGGTCCCTTGTCAGAACTTTGAGGAGATCGATCTCAACGTTGCCGAAAGCACCTTCCGTAGCAACATCCTCGGTGCTTTTGCCCTTACCAAGTTCGCTTTGCCTCACATGAAGCGCGGCTCGGCCATCATTCAGTCTACCTCGGTTACCGCCTACAAGGGCAGTGCGGCTATGATCGACTACAGCTCTACCAAAGGTGCTCTTGTTTCTTTCACTCGTAGCATGGCTTCCCATCTCGCTCCCCGTGGTATTAGGGTCAATGCCGTAGCTCCAGGTCCAATTTACACTCCTTTGCAGCCTGCTAGTCGCAGTGCTGACAACATGGAAGGCTGGGCTATTGGAGGTGCTCCTCTGCACGGTAGACCTGGTCAGCCTGCCGAGTTGGGTGCCACTTATGTCTACCTTGCCGATGCAGGTGCTTCTAACATCATGACTGGCCAGGTTCTTCACCTTTCTCATGGAAGCTGGTTCGGTTCTTAGTCGCTCCTCAATCTCCACTCTTGTAGCTTAGCTTAGCTTTGCAAAGCATCCTGTCGAATTCGAAAATGCTTCTGTGTCCCTCATCCTTGAATGCATGCTTGAGATGATTGTCTCAAAGACTGATCCTGTTTGATTTTGAGAGGTCCACGTCTTGCTCTACCGCCCGTGTTGGGGAAGATAAGTTGGCCTTGTGTTGGTGTGGGCAAGTACGATGTCACTGCTAGTTTTTAGACAGGAACATATATACTCAATTGACTAAAGTGAGAATGTCGCGGGTGCCTCGAGCTCCCCGCTAGATATATATACAAATGTGCAGCACATGCCGAAGGTGGGAGCACTCCTACTTCATGATCTATCTTGACAACGAGCGGGACTGTGTTGTACCCGATCTCTGTACAGATCTGCTCCTCCATGTCCCGATTACGTTTATGTCAGCACGTATCATCATATTGGATCGCTTCCCTCGGCATTGGCGCGTGTTCCTTTCCCTTTTTCCGAGAAAGTTACACGCCCACTCACGGGCCACATCTTGCATCCCTTTTGAACCCCACCATCTTGAACACCACCATCTTGCTTCTCTTTTCGGACCATCTTCTACATCGGCGCCACGGAAGGCGAAATCTTGGCCTTACGTAAAGCAATCTCGAGGCTCCTCCGACAATATGCACCCGTAGACCAAACCCCCGCCGCCCTTCAACCCTGCAACTCTGCAAGCCAAGCGACCATTCTTGCGCATCGATACATCATGAGCCTCCAAACAGCAGACATAAGATCGATCAACACGGATCGATCCACCGGATCCTCCGAGTCGGACATTCTCTTCTTCCCTACCACCTCTTCCTCCTCCGCTCGCAACTCTGCCGATGTCCCTCCCAGCAAGCTCTCATCCGACACAATACGAGCCTCCTCTCCCACTTCCAAACCAACTTCACCCTTACGGCACACAATCGACGATGGCGCCGAAGAAGATCTTGTCTACGTTGCTGAAAACCAGCCCCTAACCTCACACACACCGGGCAGTGGTCCTTCCAGCCCGTACCACGACGGTCCGCCCCCTTCATCCGGCACTGGCCACCGCACACCATCAAGCACATTCGGTCATACCCTAGACCCAGGCGCATATTGGCGATTAGCAGAACAAGCGTCTACCATCCCTTCCACTCGCTCACTCGAACGGTCCACTGGTGGAACATTAGAGGAGAGAAGAGATGCGTATTGGAGAGCCTCGATCGTCAATGTACTGCTGATACTAAGCTGGTATACATTCTCAACGTTGATTTCCGTGTATAACAAATGGATGTTCAGTACAGACAACAAGAACTTTTCTTTCCCGCTCTTCGTCACGAGCTTTCATATGCTTATGCAGTTCATACTCTCTTCCACTGCTATGCGGCTCTTTCCCAAGCTGATACCGCGCAAGCCAAATGGAGCGACATCTAGACCATCAGCAATAGATTGGACTACGAAGGTGGTCCCTTGTGCACTCGCAACCGCTTTGGACATCGGTCTTTCCAACACATCCCTAAAAAGCATCACTTTGACGTTTTATACGATGTGCAAATCTTCCAATCTCGCATTCGTCTTGTTCTTCGCCTTCCTGTTTGGCCTCGAAATCATCCGATGGTCCCTTATTGGCATCATATCGCTCATTACCGTGGGAGTAGTAATGATGGTCGCAGCAGAAACCAAGTTTGTCCTCGTCGGTGCAGTTCAAGTCCTCTCTGCGTCCATGTTGGGCGGTTTACGATGGGCATTAACGCAAATGCTACTAGACAGGGATGAAATGGGGATGAACAATCCTATAGCCACCATCTTTTGGCTTTCTCCCATTATGGCCATCTCCCTCATCTCCCTTTCGGCTGGCTTTGAATCATGGCATAGTATCTTTGCCAGTAAATCAGGATATTTCGATACGTGGGCGCACGGAGCGGGGACGATGGGATTGATTGCTGCACCGGGAGCGTTGGCTTTTGGGATGAACTTGGCCGAGTTTGCTCTGATTAAGAGGACTAGTGTGGTAACACTGAGTGTAGCCGGTATTTTCAAGGAGGTGCTGACTATTGCGCTGGCTAGTAGTGTCTTTGGGGATGAATTGACGCCGATTAATATTACTGGCTTATGCATCACACTTTTCGGTATTGGGCTGTACAACTACCTCAAGTACAGGCTCATCACACGAGGAGCAGACTCAGTAGGGCAAGAGATCTCAGGTCTAAATGAGCTCGGGGAGAGCATACGTAGTCGCGCTAGCTCGATCTTCTGTGGCACCGCCAACACCTCCTCCAACGCAAGAGGCGGAGCATCACGAGGCTACCAACATCTCGGAGGCGGCGTTGGCGACGATGAAAGTAGCCTGCTTTTCGATCAAGATCAAGAACGTGGGAAAACAGGAGTCAGGCGGAAGAATACAGGAGAATCAGATGCGTTGGAATTAGACACTCAACGTGTATCTCAAGAGATCATCTCTCGACCTTATGCTCCACCTACGACGGAAGAGGATAGGGAGAGGGAGAGGGAGAGGGAGAGGTTGAGGAAGATAGAAGAAGAAGCCGATCTAGATGGATGGGGTACTTCGGGAGAGACGCTTACGGGACAGGGATTGGTTGAGGAACACCATCATGCGACATTCAAATAGGTTTATCTTGGCAATGACAATCGCTTCTTTGGTTTTACACAGCAATAATTGAGGTGCGTTGGTGTATTGGTGTGCCTCGCCGGCAATGTCAGAAGCTGTGATTTCTGAGCTGAAACCCTACACACAATGTTATTTGGAGGTGGACAGGCGAATGTTGGCCAGGGAACTTGTCCTTTAAGACGGAACACAGATGATGGGTATTAATGATACGGTGTTTCTGAATGGGGTATATTGCGGCCTAGTTACGGGCCAAATTGCATCTCCTTGGTCTGCTATTGGCACCTCTCCACCTCGTACACAATTCTATACCGCTTGTCCATCCGTTCCCTCGCCATCCTCCTCCTTCTCCTCAGTATCCCTCCAAGTAGCCCAATGACCAATCTGTTTCGCCATGACCTCTCCCACAAATCCTGGATCTCTCAACGCCATTCTGAACTCCTCCTCATTCTGCAGTAGATCCAAAAAGTGTAACGCTTGAGGGTATTGCAGGTATTTGACATATTTCGGGTTTCGAAAGTAGTCCAAGTACTTGAGATATCGTTTGAATGCGGGAGAAGAGAGAACGCCGGATTGGGCGAGATGGTTGAGGTAGTATGGATTAGCGAGGGAGGAGAGGAACTCGAGGTCGCGTGAGAAGGACGTTTGGTTTTGTTGGCGTAATGCAGCGTCTGGGGGGGTGCGGGTGGTGGTAGTGGGGTCCGTAGGTTTTTGGGTGGTAGTCATGGCGATCTTAACCGCTAAGGTCGGGTTGATTGAAGGCGTGGTAGTAGTGAGATGGTGATGCAAGGTGTCCATGAAGCCTCTCCTCTGTGCAATTAAACTTCTGAGAAGACAGTTGGGACATTGGCGTCATTTTGCCCTTCTCTCTCTCTGCACGGACAAGTCTTCCCATCATCATCACCTCCTCCTTCCTTCTCCTCCTCCTTCTTTCACCTCCTCCCTCCTTCTCCTCCTCCCTCTTTGTCCTCTTCACCTCGATCACCATTCACACTTGCCTCTCTTCCTTTTCTCTGGGAACTGTCAAGATGGCCACCTCTACCTTACCATCGTGGCCTCCCACCCTCACCCCCTCCCAACTCACCCACCTCTCCACCCTCGCAACAGACTACGCCCTCTCCCATGGTATAATCTACCGTCCACTCCCCTCCTCGCCCTGCACCACCCCTGCACTCGACTCTGCAATCCACGCCCCATTCTCTCTCTTCCCCTCTCCCTTGCCTGAATCCCTCTTCACCCGCGCCACAAACCTTCAACCATCATTCGACCTACTCTACGCCTCGATCTCAACCAACCACGCCTTCCTAACTCGCGTAATCGGCCAATCCGTAATCCACGTCGACGAATTCCAAAAGCAACTTTGGCATATCTTCATCTCAGTCAAGCACGATCTCGTGCAGAACTTAAGCTTGGGTCTGTTTAGGAGCGATTATCTACTGCATGATGAAGAGAGTCATGGCCTTGTTGGCGCCAGGAGGGGAGAGTTGGCATTGAAACAGGTCGAGTTTAATACGATTAGTGCAAGTTTCGGTGCATTGTGTACCAAGGTGGCTCGTTTGCATGGTCATTTGGTTGATACGACCGGGTATTTGGGTCTTTCGGAGGCGTTGGAGGATAAGCAGAGGTTGCCGGAGAATAAAGCGCTCGAGATTTTGGCTGGGGGACTTGCTGCTGCTCATAAGGCATATTTGTCGCAGTTTTATGCTGGGGCAAGAGGACAGGTGAAAAAGAGGGTATATGTGCTGTTTGTTGTGCAAGAAGGCGAACGAAACGCATTCGATCAACGTCCGCTGGAATACGAACTTCAGAAAGAATCTATCCCCGTTTTACGAGAGACGTTTGCAGAAATCGCCGAGAGGATGATCGCTCAAACCTCTTCAAACCGGACGCTAAGACTAGCTCACCCTGTGTTGGGCCAAGTCGAAATCAGCACCATTTATTTCCGAGCTGGATATGGTCCTTCCGACTACACCTCCTCTCAAGCTTGGGAAACCAGAAAACAACTCGAGCTGAGTAGCGCTATCAAATGCCCTAGTATCTCAGTGCAACTAGCGGGAGCTAAAAAGGTTCAACAAGTTCTCGCCGAGCCGAACCAACTCTCCTGCCTACTCGCTGCTATCCCTAGTCAGGAAGCCAAAACTGAAATCTTGAAAGAGACTTTTTCGGACCTATACCCACTTGACGATTCCCGGATAGGTGAGGAAGGATACAGACTCGCACTGCAATCTCCTGAAGGATATGTTATGAAACCGCAACGAGAAGGTGGTGGGAACAACGTCTATCGTTCTGACATTCCTCCCTTCCTCAAAGAATTGGAAAAACAAGGCGAGAAAGAGGCGGAGGGGACAATCAAAAAGAGAGCGGCTTATATTTTGATGTCTCTCATCAAACCTCCCTCTGGGTTAGGCAATTATTTGGTCAAAGCCGGCAGTGGAGCAGTGCTGGGAAAAGACACAGTAAGCGAGTTGGGTGTATACGGAGCAATTCTGTTCGAAGATAAGGGAGAAAAGTTGCCCTTACACGTTTTGCATCATGAATCCGGAGGCTTCTTGTTAAGAACCAAGGCGAGGGAGAGTGATGAAGGAGGAGTGGCTGTTGGCTTTAGTGTTATCGACTCGCCCCTACTCATTTAATGCCACACTCAGACAAAGCAATAGAAGATATATGATTCATGACCAAGAGTGCAACAGAAACAAAAGCGACATCCAAGAAGGCTAGATTGAAACTGCGCTTTAACGCCAGCTAGCAGAAACCAACTTACCCACGGTATGAACCGCATAATACTTGACATTTGCATCAGGATGAGACATTAATTCCATCACCCTCCCCTTGGCGCCTAAATCACTCACCCTCTTCTTTCCCTGTTCGAAGAAGTGGACGAACTTACCTAGATCACTACAACCGACAGCAAGCGTCGTCGAATCCTCGCTCTCCTTCAAGACGGTTACTAGCTGCTTTAGGACTTTACCATCTTCTTGGACGAACTTGGGAGCGTTTTCTTTCCAAAACTCATCCAACTCGTGAACCGGAGATTCGAAAGAAAGTTGTCCGGATTGCAGTTCGGAGAGGTACTCGTCCCAAGTAGTCATCGTCTTTAATTTCTCCGTTAGTTCATCGCTGATGTAGTTGAGGTCTTCTTCGATTTCTTCATCGGACCATTTTCTGCTGAGAAGATTCTCCGAGAGTGTGAGACACTTTGCACCGAGCATTACTGGAGCGTTCGCTTCAGGTGATTTAGCTAGAATGTTTCGAAGCGTAGCAACTGTAACTCGAGTGACCTTTTCTTTAACCGCACTTCTCGCCACGTCGGCAAGGAGAGGGATAAGGCCGAGCTTGACATTGAGTTCGGCAGCGATCTCGGGATGGAACGAGAGCAACCAGAAGCAGAGAACTGTTTGATAGATGATCTGCGTTCCAGCTCTGTTCGTTGCGTTAGTGGCACCTGCGACGAGAGTTGAGGCGGCAGAAGAAGCAATACCGGAGCGAGAAGGAGTGGCAGACCCAGACCCAGCGGGAGAGTTGAACGAGGAACTAGCAGGAACATTGGAAAGACGGAGGATGTGGGCTAGTTCGGAGAGAAATCCTCGATCGATATCCTCGCTTTCTTCTTGGCCTTGGTCTGAGTCGGAAACGGCTTTAGCTTTGCCCGAGGATAAGGGTGTCTGGCCCATACGGCCTACGTCATATTCCCAAGCTTCCTGGCGGTACTTTTGCGTGCGGAGCAGTGCTTCAAGGAGGACAAGGGCGATTTCGGGGCCATTGCCTTCAGCAAATTCAGGAGAGGAACGTCGGGAAGCAGGTGACGATGAAGCGTTGTTGCTGTTGTTGTTGTTGTTGTTGTTGTTACCGCTGGACTGGTTGCGAGTGTTGTCACCACCACCACCACCGTTTCCACCGTTGTTTGGCTTGACACAAGCAGCCTTCAAGCTGCTCGAAAGGAAAGTCAACAGCCTTGGCAGCACCGAATCCGGAGGGTTTGGCTGATCAGAATGACTAGCTGAAAAGACCAACAACAAGGTCAAGAACTGAGCCGACTTGATCTGAACAAAGTCATCCGGTACATCCAACAGCTTCACGAAAGGCTTCCAAGGGAATCCTACTCCATCTTGTTCCTCTTGTCCATGGAGCGACAAGAAGAGTTGCAACCTATCATCTCGATCCAAAAGCATGTCGTCAATGAGCACCAGGATTTGCTGTAGAGTGTCAGTGCGGCTGAGTTTTGAAAGGAGGCGAAGGTAGAGAGAGACATAGTCGGGACCATGTTCATCAAGAAGAGGATCCAGCTTGGAACGGTTTTGACCGATGACAATGGCATCGACGGATTTGATCATTTTGAGTTCTTCAGCCGAGAGAAGATCGGCCCGATGGTAGCCTTCCCACGGGATGGGGCGGGCGCGGATGCGCTGTGTGAGTTCTTGGATCCATTTGTCGGTAAGGTAGACTAGAGGTGGAGATTCGATCGAGTCGTTCTTCTTGTTGGAGTTCTTCGACTGACCATTGTCGGGTTGTTGAGAGCTGGACGACATGGTGTGTGCAGATAACCGCCAACGACAGGCTCAAGCTTCTGCCGGCGAGTTCTTCGCTGCTGCTGGTGTATGCGACTACCTGCTGATCTAGAGTCGATGTGGGTATACAGGTGAGCGAGAATGAGCGAAGAGGAGGGGGTGGAGATAGCAAGTGCCACGCTTCTCAACACGAAAGCTCTGAAAACGTCTACGGTTGCACACACACAGGGGCTCGCACAGACCAACATCCAAGACAAAGCTGGCTGATGGAACTGCACGCGTTTCCTCAACTTAACACCGGCGCCAATTTCCTCCACACCACGATCAACTGATCTGCTGCCTGGCTCGCAATTCGTGATCGATTTGGTAACTGCAGACCGCAGAGTGGACTCCAAATTGAGCTTGGGATCAAATTGTTAGACCGTTCCTAAATGTCTCGTACGGTAATCGAAACTGTCAAAGGTCATCCGAGCAAGAAGAATTGAGCCGCCCATTTTTCTCTGAAGCGACATTTCCTAAAAAGTCGTTGCTAAGCTACCAACACCATCTTCACCTTGTTGTCCTCTGTCTACCCTCGATCGCCACCACATCAACAGAAGCGCCCAATCAACTGCCTCTCAGCTTAAGATACGGCTTTCTGCATTCATCGACCGCTCAGCATCATTTACCACACCATGTCGGCAACAAGAGCCGCCGCCCCTCGATTGCGGCTTTTGCGCTCCACAAACCGCACCCAGCGTCTCATCCACTCTTCAAGCAGCTACTCAACCTCTAGTGCTGCTCCATCCACCTCGGTCTCCACCTCGGTCTCCAGCTCTTCCGCCAGCACCACCACCAACGCACCTTCATCATCCTCGACCAAGATCATCAGCTCCCTCATCCTCTCTCGTCCACCCATCGTCCTTCGCGAACCGACCAAATTCGAGGAGGCTTATCACGAATACAACCGTCAACTCTCGGAAGCACTCCAACAACCTTTCCCTAAAGACTTTTACTTTAAGAAAGGTTCAGCTGCCGAAAAGCGTTTTGAAGAGGATCAAGCTGCTTCTTCGCAAGGATTTTCCGCTATCGCATCTGCTGCTGGTAAAGGAAAGGATGCTAAGAAAGGCCAAGCTTCTGCTGCAGGTGCTTCGGAGGGACGCACAACAGGCAGTGCGGAAGGAGAAGATCACAAATTATTGCCAAAAACAACTGAAGCAGATGCCAAAAACGACGTTCGCAGTCTGGAGCGCAAACTTGATAGAACGCTGTATTTGGTCGTCAAAGGAAAGGGTGGGTGGAAGTTCCCTGCTAAGGCGTTGATGGATACTAAGCATGAGAATCTACACGACGTAAGTGTTTCATCCCTCAACATACCCAACCTTAGACCGCTCCAAAGTTATACTGACTTGCTCCGATTGTGTACGTTGATGCTGTGCAGGTCGCACCAAAATCAGTAACAGAAGCATTGGGAAACCAATTGGATATCTGGCTCGTCTCTAATCTCCCCATCGGCCTCTACAAGCCTAGTGATGCGGAGAAGACGTACTTCCTAAAAGGACACGTTATGGCAGGCAATGCAGAGTTGAACAAGGGCGAGGTGGAGGAATTCCAGTGGTTGACAAAGGAGGAGATCGAGGAGTTGATGAACAAGTCGAAGGGTGAAGCGTATTGGAAGCGGGTTGAGGATTTGCTTGATCCTTGAGAAACCCAGAGAGCCTTGATTGCCAGCTTTTGGACTTATGTATTACTACACAAAACAAGACGTCGAGATCATTGCATGTCGAACGTCTTGGAAGGTGTGCTGCTCAGAGGTTGTGTTGAATTGCGAGTGCTGCTGAGTATGTTAATGTTGGAGCTGTTCACAGTGTTTTTCCACAGACGAACGATGACAGCAACGATAAAGCAAAGTTGAATGGGCTATATCAAGGGGTATCAAAAGTTACAGTTTCAGACCTAGTGCAGCTTTGGACTTTAGTGCTTCAGGGCTTGGCCTCGGACTTGTCCACCATGTCTCCTCCCTTCCCATCTTGGCCCGGCTGACTGGAGCTCTGCCTCCTCTTTCTCACCTCCTCCAACCACATGGTGCCATCATTCATCTTTTCGGCCTCCTCATTCATCCTATCCAACCATCTTTGGAGCAAACTCGCGTTATCCTTCTTCAAATCTTCATTCCTCGCTTCGATCTGACTCAACTCTAAACTCAACGTTGCCAACTCATCTTGTAGAATCTGCATCCCTCTATCTTTCTCCCCGATAGTATGTGTGAGGTCCTCTGCTTGGCGTTCGAGCTTTTCGTGTTCGAGTTGGAGTTTGGCGAGAGATTCGGTTTGATTGCGGAATTCCTCTTCTTGGGTTCGATGGGATTCCGACATGAGGAGAAGTCGTTGGGCATTTTGACCTTGCGTTTTGTAGAGAGTTGCGATTTCGTCTCTTAGGGAAGAGAGCTGTTGTTCGAGCGAGGTTATGTAAGCGACCTGGACTGGGTTCGCAGGTGAAGTGGAAGGGGTGGGGGAGGTGGAGGTGGAGGAGGAGGAGGTGGTGGTGGTGGAGCCAGGTACTGATGAAGGGAAAGAGGGAGCGACGGCGGCTGCGTTGAGTAGGGCTCGATTGCGCTGTTTCAGCAATCGTGTCTGCTCGGATAGTTTGCGATCTATGAGACACGAGTGATATGGATAAGAAGGTCAGTCTCAGTATGGTTGTCGTAAGCATCGGCTGGCGGTGACTCTGTGGGAAAGACTTACACTGAAGGCAGATGAGATCGTGCTGCTTTTCGAGCGCATTTCGTTCTTGTAGCCGTAAGAAGATGGCCTGATGCCAGTTTGGAACAGTCTGAGTCTGCATCGTCTTGATTCGCAGCACCAGGGTTACTTTGGTATCGACGTCGTCGAGAGCAAGGAGAGAAGGTGGAGTTGGAGAGAGAGAGAGAGAGAGAGAGAGAGAGAGAGAGAGAGAGCACGGTTCAGGGTCCAACCAACACCAAAATTCGAGAGGAGGTGTTAGATTGGTGGTGCAACATTGATAACTATTTCGAAAATGAATTTAGGCCTCATTTCGTCATGGAATCGGCGGACAGTCAAGCGAAACGCGGTCCCAGCCAATAAAAAAAAAAAAAAAAAAAAAAAAAAAAAAAAAAAAGAAAAACCCCTGAGGCTCAGGCCCAGCCGATTTTTCCGACTCGTTTTGCTCAGCTTTGTGTGTGTGTGTGTGTGTGTGTGTCTGTGCGTGTGTGTTGGTGCGTGCCTAAATGTGAATTCCGCGCCCGCAACTCCACATCTCTATCTCTCTCCCTCTCTCATGTGGGTGTTGATCTCGACCCCTAACCTCCATTTCCATCACTTTTACCCTCTTCGTCGCGACACTCAACGCTCAGGAGGTCACATCGCATCTACTTGGCTGGCAGGCTCTACCGTTCATCGACAATCACACCGAACCTATTTCTAAGATGGCGTCCCGTAAGAAGGTCCTCCTCAAGGTCATTGTATGTTTCCCTTGACACTGTTTCGCGCTCATCCAAACTTGGGATGGCATTTGATGAGCGATAGAAGGACTGACACCTGGATCTCTGCTGCTACTTTCACAATCTCGCTCGTCTGCTCGCCCGCTGCAGATCTTGGGAGACTCTGGTGTCGGAAAGACATCATTGATGAATCAATGTAAGCCAACACCCCTCCGGTATCTCTTTCAACTTGAATGAACCACGTTTGCTGACCCCACCTCTCTCTCACGCTCCTCTTCACTGAATATAGATGTCAATAAGCGATTCTCCTCAGCTTACAAAGCCACCATCGGTGCCGATTTCCTCACGCGCGAAGTCATGGTAGACGACCGTCTCGTAACCATGCAACTCTGGGACACAGCCGGTCAAGAACGTTTTCAATCCCTCGGTGTTGCCTTCTACCGTGGAGCAGACTGCTGTTGTCTCTGTTACGACGTAAACAACGCCAAGTCCTTCGAAACTCTGGATTCGTGGAGAGATGAATTCTTGATACAAGCTGCACCCCACGATCCTGAAAACTTCCCTTTCGTAGTTCTGGGCAACAAGATCGACGTGGAGGAGAGCAAGAGGATGGTTTCCCAAAAGAGAGCTATGACTTGGTGTCAGAGCAAAGGCAACATTCCCTATTTTGAGACTAGTGCAAAGGAAGCGATCAATGTCGAACAGGCTTTCCAGACAATTGCCAGGGCTGCATTGCAGCAGGAGGCCGAGGCGGAATTGTATGCTGATTACCCTGATCCAATTCGGATCGATCAGGATAATCAACAGAGCGGATGTAATTGTTAGACAATTTCCTTCTAGCGTACAAAGCGTTGCTTTCTTCATACCTTTACTCTATGCCTGACCGTTTATGGGTCATGTTCATGTTTTTCGTTTTGTCGCTTTTTCATTTCATGGTAATGCCGGATACTCTTGTTGCCTTTGCTTGCTCATTTGTGTGTGTGTGTGTGTGTGTGTGTGTGTGTGTGTGTGCCGGGATGTCAGGCTCAGAAGACACAATGTCACATCGAGCTGCTTTCTCTGGAATGAGTTGAAATGAGCATCATGTTGTACATTGCATGGCTATGAGTGTGTTGCAAATCATGTGTCTAATCGAGACCTTTTCCGGTCCGATTCTTCTTGACCATGTTTTCTACTGCTGCTGCTGCTGCTGTGACGATGCTCACGATCATGGTCACCTTCTCTCTCCCTATCTCGCCTCTTGTACCTCTCTTTCTCCCTGTCTTGATCGTCTTTGTGATGTCGAGAGCGGTGTTTGCGGTCGTCTGTGTCCTGGTGTCGATCTGATTTAGATCTCTGGTCGTCGTCGTCGTCTCGATGAGATTGGTGAGAGCGGTGTCGATAATCGTCTTTCTTATCGCGATGACGGCGGCTTTCTCGATCATGTTCGCGATCGCGATCCTCTCTTGACCGATGGGAGCGAGAGTCTTTGTCGTCGTGGTGCCGAGATCGTGAGCTAGAAGCGCGCGGTTCACGTTCGTCCTCATAGCCTCTTGAATCTCGTTTTGGACTTCTGCTTCTCTCCCTCGTCTTCCTCTCTCTTTTATCTCCATTGTTCTCCTTGGCCTCTCCCCAGCTTCGACTCCCACTCGCAACCTCCGCTCTATTCGCTCCGCTCCCCTCACCCCCCTCACCACGATCCCTCTTAGGACAATCGCGTTTCAAATGATCGCCACCACAAACAAAACACCCGCTCCTATCCCCCTTCCCCCCTGCCCCCATCACATCCAACCTGATCGCTGATGTAGAGGTATCTTCATTTGCCAAGTGCGTCCATTTGCCTCTCCCCTTCTCACCCCATCCCCTCTTCTGCATCATTTTCGGTAACTTACTCACATCAACCTCCTTCTCTGTCTTCTCGCTGTAATCCCTCTTAAGTATATCCATATCTTGAAAGAAACTTCCTTTATGATAGTATTTCTGCAAGAAGCCTCTCTCCCCGCGCTGCTCCATCTTCTCTGTTTTCAGCTTTGCTGCACGTTCTCGACCAAGCCGTTCTTTTTCGGATTCGGGTAGAGATTTGAACTCTTCTATCTCACGCTGTTCGGCTTGTTTGGCTAGGAGCGCATCTTGGTCGCGCCGGAGGCGGGCCAGCTCTCGTTCTCGCCAAGCGGCAAATTCAGCTTCTGGGTCAAGGCCGTCTGTGTCGTCCACCTCGGTGCTTTGGGTGGACTCGTGCTGAGTTTGCAGAAGGGAACGTTGGATCGTGGCTGCAGCTAGATCGTGTGCTTCCTTTCGGCGACGTTGGGCTTCAGCTGCAGCTTTCGCTTCTGGATCCTCCTCTGCTTGACTGGTTTCAACTTCGGTCTTAGCAATAGTTGAACGGGCCGATTTGGGTACGAATATAGGCTTGAGCAATGGTTTTGGTGCTTCTTGCTCACTTTCCTCCTCTGAAGAATCTGTTTCGTACTCTGAGGAACCTTCTTCCTCCGCCGGTGGGGGAGCGGGCGCACCAGGCTTACGAAAAACAGGCTTAGCAACTGCCGCCGACTCGGGGTCTGTATCCGTTTCGTACTCTGACGAACCCTCCTCTTCCTCCTGCTTAGTAGAGGTGTGGAGGCGGAGATCGAGCTTTTTTGTGCTTGGTCCGGCTTCATTTAGTACTATCCCTGCTGTTTTTCGTCCTGCTGATTGGGATGCTAGTAATGCTGCTGCTCCGGAGGAAAGGTCGGCTGAAGCCGGTGGATGTGCAGCTTGGGCATCGTTGTGGCTCGTATCTTGGTCCGAGTCGGAGAAGTCTTCTGCAGAGGCGCCAAGGGGGGCTTTGCCTGGTCGGTATCGCGCGGCTGCGCGAGCTACGCGGGGTACGACTCTTGGAGCTGGCGGTGGCGCCATTGTTGATGCCCGCGGAGAGAGTAGGGTTGGTGCGTGTGATGAGGAGAGACAGTCAAGAACGTTTGAGTGTTGTTCGAGAAGAGAGAGGTGTTGCGAGGCAAGTCGGAAGTGGTCGTGAGAAATCTCCACTTGTAAAATTTGTGGTTGACATGTGACATATTGCCGGCGTAACACGTCAACTCGCGATGGAAATCCAAGATGAAGCTGGCAAGATCAACACCAACACCGATCGTCAAGCATGCCATATCTCGATGAGAACGGAATTGCTGTGAAAGCTTACTCTCAACGTATCCACCTCTGATTGCTGTCATCTTCATCAGTGCTGGAGCTCAAAGGTGCTGTCTAGGTTTTGCTGTCCAGTCCCGCTCATGTGCACACCAAAGTGGCCTCATACACATTGCTTTCCTCATCCGACCTTTTGCTTGAGATAAGAATCTGTCCCTTTCATCATGACGGCTCTCAGGAAACTCATCGGACAGCCGGTAACACCATCCCTCCCATCGTCAGAGAAGCAGCTAAAGGCCTTCGGCAGAGTCATCAAAGCAACAAACCCACCTCCAGGTCCTCAAGCACATAGTCGCACGTTCATCAGCGTCGACAGCAAGCGAAAGGGAGATAGGGAACGCAAACTAGGCAAAGGCGGCGTCTGAAATGAAAGCAAAGGTCCAGCTTCAGTTGTGAGTGTCTTACCCTTTCCTCTCCCGTTTTCTAGATCGATTCTCTCTCTACAAGGCAGAAGAGCAACTGTGTTGGCGGAGGGTGAATGTCGCAACAGTCGATCGGGGCAATATAAAAATAAAAACAAAACGGGAGAAACTTGATTCGGATGCGGAAATTGGCAGCGGCTAAGATGCTGCTTTCTTTGACAGGCAGGCTAGACCCGTCACCTTCGCGACTGTTATCGACATCCGTCGAGTCCTCTTTCCCCTACCACTTGCGTCTTTCTGCATCGAGTAGCATTGAAAGGGTAGTGATAGTTGTGCTAGTGTAGTTCATGAATTGATTCAAGAGGAGAGAAAGAAGAAGGGTGTGAGATAGAGGCGAGCGGATGTGGCAAAAAGCAGCATAAGACTGGTTCGCTGCTGATTCCAGACCGCGACTCTGACATCGCGTTAGCGAGACATGGCACCTTCTGCGCCAACAAGACCAGCCGTCATCTCTCGCCTCTCTCTCCCTATCCTGCTCCTGATTCCGGTCCTTTCTTTCATTGTTTCGCCACTTGGCAAAGCTCTTACCGCCAAGTCTCCGGCCATGCATTTCATTTTCTTCATTTGGACCCTTGATGCCGGCTTTTGGTTGAGTGGTGTGGTGTAGACAAGAGATGTTTCAGCCAGTCCTTTCACCGTCGTTGTGCTGTATGTGTAGTATCAGTTTGATCCCGCTCCTCTCTTTATCCCATTGCTGTCTGCTTTGTGCAAGTATAAGTAGTAAAACTCCGACCGCAACTTGGACACGACTCCCCTTCGTCTTTAGGCCATCATCAACCATCACCTCTTACTGCGCTAGGCAGGGGTGGGAAGAGAACTAAGCCGGGTCACGATGTTATCCATCTCCGTGGCAGATTCCCGGTCAATGCGTTGACGGGCGATAGAAGCAGTGGGATTGTAATCGATGATATCCAGATTCACGCTTTGTCGCGGATCGGATCGGATGCTGGATTCAGTACTACAACCGAAGAAGAGCCTGAGAAAGGAAGGAGCGCGAGAGGGATTAGGTTCGAAGATGACCGTTACACCGGAGTCCCAAACAGGAGTGCAAGCAGGATGAATGTTCCCAACGTCAACGCGAGTAGTAGTGAGGCTCATCTGTTTAGACCTGTTACGTGGAGGAACGATGGTAGGGATTGGTAAGCTTTTCAACTACTTTCTATTGCTTATAGCTTATGTTGATTATACAATATGATACCGCTTCCATCTATTCTATGTGCTGTCTGTTGTGTGGTTAGAGGGATCGAAGATAGCTTTCGAGTGAATCGAATACAAGTGAATGCCTCCAGATCGGGTCTCCCTCTTTCAACATCTCAGCTTTATATACCTTGAGCGCATTATCCTCAGTCACCCCACCCAGGCTGTCTTCGACCTTATCCTCCGCATCCAAACCTTTCTTCTCAGGTAACTGGCCATCTTCGTTCTTGATCCTAGGCTGTTCTTCTAGCGCCACTCGCTTTCTTTCGAAGGCGGCGGTGAGAATCTCTTCTAGCATCGCGCGGAGTTGTTTTCTCCATGCTTTGAACTCTCCTAGTCTGTGATGTCCTGCCTCTAATGCTGAGGTCCAGAGGAGGGGAAGGGAGCCTTTGACTAGGTCGCGAACTTGAGCCCACTCGGCGGTGCCGTTGGAGTCGTTGAAGTTTGCCCTGACTAGCAAATGTAGAGAGAGAATGAGGGTAGCGTTGGTTTTGATAGCTGATACGAGAGGGTGGAAGATGGACAGATGGACATCTGAAGTGGATGCGACGATCTTGGAGACTTGCCACAGGGCTTCTCTGCACGAGTCAATTAGGGTTGATCGAGATGCGGCTAGAGAGGGCGATTCTTCCAGCTGTCCGAAATATGGGCGAAGCAGGCGAATGCGAGTCCAGTGGTGTATGAGCAGGGAGAAGTGGTTGAGCATTGTTCTGTCGGCTCCGATCTGTTCTCGGATGCGGGTCAGATGGGTTTCTGCGATTCCGTTCCACTCTGAGACCACGTCCAAAAGCTCTACTCGAACAACTTGGGATATGTGCGGTTGCTGTCGTTTCTTTCGGAGTAAAAACTGGGTTGACGCTGCGAGAAATTGGAAGAAGTGCGTAGAGATCGAGCTGAGTGTTGGACCAGAGGGAAGAGAGGCAGATTCGCCATCAGGGAGGTGAGCTTCATCGATAGAGCCGAGTTCAGTGGTCCAAATCGAGTCACCGATGGCGTCGGCGAGGGGTGGAGATGGTGTGACGAGCTCGAGATGCCATGTGAGAGAGACAAAGAGCATTCTTGCTGCCTCTCGGACTAAGTGCGTTCGGTCGGGGATGTTGGTTTGCAGAAGCTCCCTCCGACGAATCGTACTGGAGGAGGAAGAAGAAGAAGAAGAAGAAGAAGAAGAAGAAGAAGAAGAAAAAGAAGAAGAAGAAAAAGAAGAAGAAGAAAAAGAAGAAGAAGAGGAGCGGATGGAATCAAGAAGAGTTTGTTCTTCACTAATCGCAAAGACTTCACCTCCCTCGAATTGAGCTTTGCGCATGGCGGTAACTGCACCTGTACGAATCGTCAGATCATCACTCTCGGAAGTGGCCAACCAGCGTGTTGCGTCTTGTTGAGCAGACGAGAGTTGGTGCATGCAGATCAACTTTGCCCTGGAAAAGGAGCTTTGCAAATGATTCAGTGCCAGCCTGCTTCGTCCTCTGCGCAACTCGTACAAGTAGAACAAAAACTCGGTGCAGACGGTGTTCATGTTGGGTTCATGCACAAAGTTGCTCATCGCCAAGAGAGCTTGGCATGTGGCGTGCCAACGGTCTGTCATCTCTGGGACCTGTTCGGGTGTCAGAGCGATTCCTTCACTGATGATCTCTTCTATTGGCTTGCAGTCGATGGCAGAGACCATGAGGTCAAAGAGCAGAGCAAGGAAGCTGAGATCGACATCAGGTTCTTCTACCTGACCTGTCCTCCAATCTGAAATATCACCACGCAGATTGATGAGCTGGATGCGAATCAAACGCCAGCTGATCCCAAGCGGCGATTTGCTCTCGAAAGTGCGTAAGCTGTCGAGAAGGACATTGACGACGTGATCATTGGGTAGAAGACCGAGGATGAGTTTTGTTCGTTCATGTGTGGGTTCAGAAGCAAACGGAAAGAGGTTCGCAGGTTCGAGTGTGCGCATAGTCTCAGCTGCTGTCTTGGCTGCGGCGCCGGCACCATTGGGGCCTGCAACCGGAGTGGTAGCTAAGATTGTGCCGGCTATTGCTGGATTCAGGTTGCCGTCGCTTGCTGCCGCAACAGCTGCAGCAGCAAGACCATCACTATTGACCGTACCCGGAGCTTCACCTTGACGAATCTCTCTTGTGATTCTATCCAAAACTGCCCTCGCTTGAGGATCTTGGAAGGCCAACAAGTCGCTAGCCTGAGCTACAGTGGACTGAGCGTTGAGTTCGCTCAGATGGTAACCCTGTTGTGCGAGATATTCTGGGCCCAAATAGTGCTGTAGTGTCTCTGGATCTGCTTCATCGGCAAAGACACAGCGATCGGCGGGGATGCGTCGTCGTTGACAAGGACCGCAGAGAGGTCGAACCTTGTCGCACTTGACTTTGCGTGCTTTACATTGAAGACAAGTGTTGACTTTACGGCGTTTGTTGCCATTGAGTTCCTCATCGTATGGCCGGGAATGGTGTAGCTGCGACATGATTTGCTTTAAACCTGTGGTTCCTCGTCTATGGTCTCGAGCTCGCTGTCAGTCGTTGTCGACCTTATGATGGCGTCTCAGACCGGACCTTGCTTGACACAATGGCTGCTGCTCTTCCCAAACTATGTGATCCCGTGGCGGTATCGTGTTGCAAAGAGATTTGTAGCCTGCCGACGTGCAAGCTGAGCAGTGCAGTTGGACGCTGCGACGAGGGTGGTGGATGGAAAAGCTATGCTTGCGCTCTCGTTATCGCTATCTTGCCGAGATGGGATCGCCTTTGCGTCAATGGCTTCTCTTCCGCTGCGTTGTCGATCTGTTGCTGTGGTGGAATATGGTCGTCAATATTCAAGTCGGCCGACGTCCCCTCGGCCGGTGTGAAGAGCAAGATGATGCTCTTCTTGCGATCCGCTTTTGTCGTAAGGATCGGAGGGTAAAAGGTCTGTCTCTCTTTCAGCTTCAGCCTGCAAGGTGCTCAAATCTGCCTTTGCCAGGTGGAGAAGCGCGACGCGAAGCTGACAAAGCATGACCAAATACAACTTTTACTATTTGAGTTGCAGAGCAGCTTTTCTCTCGTCCGAGTCAAGGGTGGTCTATGAATCAAGGGTCTTATTTTTAGACTTTCAGACTTTCAGTCTGGACGGCAACTCGAACTCGGTCTCCCTCCCTCTCGCTCTCTCTCTCTCTCTCTCACACACACACACACACACTCTCTCTCTCTACTAAAGGACATCCAAAGCACGCCTTCGAATCACTTGGGCTGGCCTGTTTGGACGCTGCTGTTCAGCTGACGTGCAAGCGACACTTTCGCTGTCCGTGCTCTACTCTTCAGGGTGTCTAATCAAAGCTCATTTGAGTGGTAGTTGGATACCGTTGCCGCCTGACCCGCAACCGGGTTGGGCGATTTTAGTTTGATTGACAAGGACTGGTGGTGAGGATGTCTTGTCTGGAGACTCATAGCGGGAGGGATAGCCAAATGAGACTGTGATAGGAGGCCATCAATTGCAGGTCTAATGATCGGCGGAGATGTGGCGCCTATTGTGATGCTTGCAGTGTTGGGGCGTTGGGTTTGATGTGGTGGTGAGGGATAGCAGGCCGAGGCTCGATGATCTCGGTCAGGAAGGTCTTGATGTTGGGGCGACCTGGCAACCAAGCTGAATGATGCAAGTGTCGCGGGCGCCGCCTGAAGTGCATCCAGGGACTTTGGCCTGGAGCTTTTAAGCCTCGGTGCTGTCACTTTGCTCCAAGGAGATGGATCGAGGATCGATAGCAAGGCAAGCTCCCGATACGAGAGTCGAGGCAGAAGGCGCGGCTGTTCGACATGGCAAGGTCTCGGCATGGACATCCCGGCGCCTGGGTTAGAGTAGCACCAAGCTGCAACAGATTGTGAAAGGAAAGCTCCTCCAATTTGACTCGATGCACGAATGCTGCCGAAATCCGAGACGGGAGCTTGTGTAGAAGGCTCTAGTGTCATGTGAGCACAGGGCGGTTGCCTGAAATGAGACGAAATGAAGTGGAAGCCACCGGTTCCTTCGCTGTGCACTCGTAGGGGCTCAAGCTTATCATGATTAAAAAAAAAAAAAAAAAAAAAAAAAAAAAAAAGCTTTGCAAAGAGCAGCGGGAGGCAAGGGTGGATGGGCAAAGATGGATCGCGAGGATCAGAAAGGGACGCCTGGATTGATACAAGCAGCTTCGCTACTGTTGATAGGCCGACATAGGCACGGCAAAGGCCAGGAGGGAGTTTCGCCTCGTGCGTATGCGAAGATCAAGCGAGATGCTGGAGCTTGTCGTCGACCTCAAGGTAAGAAGGATGGTCCGCACTTGAGATGCACTCGCTTGCTCGCACCATGCAAGAGGGCCTAATCCAGTGAGGTGGCAGTAGACAAGTAAGAACGGGATAGACTAAAGCTCGGCTGCGGAATGCATGATACTGTATCATAGCAGATCTTAATGAGTCAAAGCTCTAAAATGAGTCAAAGCTCTAAAATCAGCCGAACGACAAGAGGTCTTAAGCCTAACCCTAAGACCCACCAAACGTCTAAGAAAAAAAAAAAAGAAAAAGAAAAAAAGCTGTAAAAAGGCCGCTTGCAGACAAGGCAGAGGGAAGGCTACGCAGGCGCGCCTCTTCTCTGGCTGATCAGTGCGCGAGGATGATTACGTGAAGCTCGCATCCTCGTTGGTTGTCTCTCACTAGATCACTGTCGTAAATTAGCCCATCGCGACGTGGACTATCTTGTGTCGGCCCAGCCGAGCAGCGAGGGCCTAAGCTAGCTAGCTAGAGTGGTATCGCAGTGAGAAAGAGGGCAGAGTGACTGAGGACTGAGGACTGAGGACTGAGGACTGAGAGCAGAGTGACTGTAGATGCGAGAAACAAAGTTTGAAATGAAAAGACCAAGAGGGTGTGGGTGGAAATAAGCTTTGGCAGGCTCAGCTCTTTGGCCTTTTCAACTTGCGCTTCTGTTCATATCGGAAGCGACTGAAGAGGTTAGAAGGCCGAAAAAGTGGGTTGTAAGATGTGCTGTGATGCCAAAGAGAGTTTCAATTGCTTCACGGGGTTGGCCGATCGGCGCACTGCTGGAGTGAAGGAGAGACTTGGGGCCGTCGGCCTGCTTGCTTGCTCGCTTTTACAGATGGCTGTCTGATGGCATTCCGTGCGATCCGAGACTGCTGCTGACTTGCGCTGTGACTCTGAGGCAAAGCGAAAGCGAAAGCCCAGAGAAAGATATAGAGATCCACACCTTAACTTTTGGCTGCAGGGCTCATGATCCAAGAGAAGAATTATCATTCGTCCCCTCGCCTCTCTTTCTCCGTCGTTGTTCGGCCCCTCACCTCTTCTTTTATTATTATTATTATTATTATTATTATTATTATTATTATTATTATTATTATTATTATTATTATTATTATTATTATTATTATTATTATTATTATTATTATTATTTTTATTATTTCTATTATTATCGGCTGTTGCGAGATCTCTGAGCTCTTTGCCTGTTCTCTATAGCCAGAGGGAGCGTTGTGTGTGTGTGTGTGCAAGTGTGTGTTGTAATGTGCTGCTGCGGTATGTGCAGTTCGGTCTCTCGCTAAAGTGTCGCCCTTGTCTGCTGTCTTTCGACCGCTCTTTCGGCTTGTCCCTTTTATTCTCTCTCTTTCTTTCTTTCTCTCTCTCTCTCTCTCTCGCAATTCTGGCTGAGTCGAGGCGAGTTTTCCTTCGTCCTTGGGGACTGACTGTTCCTGTTCGGTCAACTTGCAGCAGACTTTGCCTTGAAATGTCAATCTCCCTCTGCCTCTGTCTTCTTGCCTCGGTTCTTTGCCCTTCTTGCCTCGCTCTCTCTTCTCTCATTTCCATCCCACCCAGATTCTGGGTGCTGGGCCCTTGATTTTGCTCAGCGTCCTGATCAGATCTATCCATCTCTCCCTCTTTTCTCTCTCTTTCTCTCTCTTTCTCTCTCTCTCTCTCTCTCCCCGTTAGACACGGCTTTCAGCAAAAGATAGGGGCCGTGTGTCGCTCTTCGCTCTGCGCTCTCGGATCGGTGTTGGCGTCGCTGTCACTTACCGCTCACTGCCGCCACGTCTCGGTCATTCACCTTTGTGGACTATCATCCCATCCGGCCTTCCTTGCCTCTTGCTTCCATCGTCTGCCACTAGACTATACGACACAACACATGTTCCGCATCCTATCCCCTTCACCCTAAGCTCATCTTGATCTTGATCTTCATCGTCATCTTGATCTTGATCTTGATCTTCACCTCTACACTCAAAAAAGTTAACCTGGTTCCCTGCCTCCAGCCTTGAATCTTCTCAACGCCATTCGCCGCTTTGATTGCGCAGTACACGTAGATGCAATCACCCTGGCTCACTCAACTCTCCTCCTCTCTTCTGACAGTGCTCGTCTGTCTGCACACCCACTCTGGGCATATCACCCCTCCTCCTCTTCCCCATTTGCACGGCTCCAATCTCACATCTCTTAAGCGTCTCCAAGTTCAGCTGCCACTTGCAGCCTTTCTACCGCAACACCGGACCCTGAACCCTTCATTGCTTCCGCGCACGCGCGCACTTGTCAGCCTTCTGCCTGATTTGTCTTTCGCTTGAGACACCAGCTTGCTCATCCGTCAGACGCTGCTGAGTATTCGCAGTTGCTTCTGTCTTTAACTTGTCCCATTTCCATCTCTGCAAACTTTCACGCAACACTCATGTCTCAACACCTGTAGTGCCTTGCCCATATTCTCTTTGGACGAACATACACGCATCGACTAAAGCGACCCCTTTCTCTCGCTTCTCCTACTTCTACACCCTTTCCGCCTACGCCTTCCCCACACCGCACCCTACCAATTCACTTGCCATCGCTGACGCCACTCCTTTCATCGTTCTCGTTGTCATCACCGCCATTACCACCATGGCAGCTTCCAATCCTCTCATCAACTCCCCACATACTGGTCTTGGTCGACACTTTAATATGCCCTACCTCACTCGATCTAGACGATCCCACTCATTCCAGTTCGACCCTACCGGTGGTCCTCGCGGACTCTTCGACACCGCCCGAATGCAAGAGCCCAATGAGGAACCCACCTTCATCCCAACATCTCTCGGCGAGCATCTCTTGGAACGTACCTATCTCGACGATGTTGTTCGACCACTGGTTCGAGCTCTGGTCAAGGCACGCATGACATATGGTTCTCATTCTCAAGGTGCACCTGAAAGCTCGCAAGCCTATGCTGACCTCGAAAAGCTTCGTCGTGAGCTCGAACGATCAGCACAACGTGCTCGCAACGCTGAACTGGAACGCGATGATCTTGCTCGCCGTCTTGACCTTGTAGGTTCATCCGAAGTAGCCTTGCATGACCGACACGACCGACAACCAGTGGTGCAACACATGCATCTTGCCGATCAGATTGCCGCCCCTGATTCTTCCAGAGCTGGTACTGCACCCACTATCGGCTTGAAACCTCCTCGTCCCAGCGATGTCGACTCCATCCGTGGCGGCGGATACGACCAGCGATCCAGTGTACCAGCTTCAACAGGTGTTTCTCTCAATCTGGCGCAAGGTGAGGGTCCCGCTTCCATCATCATCGCCACCCAAGGTCCCTCCGGTGCACCATTCAACTCGACTTCTCGACCACATCACGCTTCTGGTGCCGAACACATGTCACCGGCCACGTCCTACGCTCATCCTGGCGCACCTCGACACCCTCCTTACCCTGCCGACATGCACCATGATCCTCACGACCCCGAACATCGTCAAATGGCCCGCATGCCTCACCACCCTGACGCAGAGTATGCATACGCCGACGAACGGGCCGATCGATACGGCTTGCCTTCTGGACAACCTCCTCACCGCCACAGTCTCTCACGATACAGCGGTACAGCCCGTTCACCACCCACTTCGAGCTCCTATCTCACCTCTGCAAGCGAACGATCCTCCATGCCTACTCTCACCAACTACCCTTCCACTTCCTCCAGCAGCTCTTACTCCGCTGCCACCCCTTACTCATCTGTTCACCCATACGACAGCCATGAGATGGAAGAAATGGAACGATCTCGTAAACTCGCTCGACTCCGACCCGGAGAGCCTATCGACCATCATCACTCCCTCGGCCACTTTGGTCGACCTTTAGGCGTACCCCCTTTGAGCAACTACGTCATCACCCCGACCTCTGAAGTTCCCTCCGCCTACCCCATCCGCAAACTCGCCTCTACCAAAAACCGCACCTGTTCCAACTGCGCCGCTCCTCACGATGCAAAATTCCGTCGAGGTCCCAATGGACCAGGAACTCTCTGCGATCGTTGCGGTTCGCGATGGAAGAAGTTTAAAGAACAAGAATCTGCTTCTCAAAGGGATTCGCTAGGTGCATCGGGAGGTCCAGCAGCAGCAGCACATGCTAGGTCGAGCTCAGCAAGTGCGTCTTCGGAAAGTCCGGTGGAAGCTAGTTCCAGCTCGTTGGCTCCTCCTCCTGCCACGACGAGCCGGGAGAGTAACAGGAATAGTGATAGTAGCATCCCTACCTTGGCTTCGACGGAGGCTTCGGCAAGTAACGGTAATCGGAAAGATATTTCGCCTAGAGATGGCGAGCGGCAGGGAGCGAGGGAGAGAAGTGCTAGTGTTGATCAATTGATCGATGACTAGAAACCCATCACAACATGTTTCCCACACAGAGGGAGCAATATACATTCTCATGTAACCTAGTCTCTGGAATACTCGACAATCTGTAGTGCCCGACAATCTGAGAATTCCAGAAACGGCAAATGTCCAGTTTTGTCTTTGCAAAACCACCAACCCTCGTTCTGCCTGTCTGATACCTTTCGACTTTCATTGAGGTACATGTCTTCTTCATGCCTTTTTCATGCCTTCTTGCGCATAGTTTTCCAAGCGGACACTTTAGACATTTAGCCTGCATGTTGAGTTAATGGTGCTTCTTACAACCTGCTTGTTCATTTCTGCTTAGGCGATACTCACCTCTTGGTGCGTTGGCTAAAGTCTGCTTGTAGAGCTTTGAGGACTTTGGGCCGGGTTTTGGCCTGCAATCCACTTAGTTCGTTGGTGTTAGGGTTGTATAATTTCGGTTATGTTTCGTGTGGTTAAGTTCAGAAGAGTGGTTAGATTGCGAAGACGTTTTGAACAATTTCATTACACTTTCTTAGATACAACTTGTGTGTGATTCTGTGGTTTATGAACCAAATCTTACCGGGTGTCTATATGTCCTCCTCTATCTTCCTCTCTTCGTTGGCCTTCTCACCTGACCCACCAGCTGCTACCCCTGCTGCAGCTAATCCAGCATAATACCCAGCAATCCACCAACCATTCAACTCCTTCTCCCTCTCCTCACCCTCCTTAACTCCAACCGAGTTCGGCGTAGTCTGAACAGTCTTAACCGCCTTTTTCCAAGCCGTGTTTCCCTCCAGATGAGCGCTTGGAACGATCGTTACTATTTCCTTCCCCCTCCTCACACTTTCCATGTTCTGTTCCTCGGCTTCATTCTTCCCTTTCTTTCCTTTCTTCTTGCCTCCATGAACTGCATCTGGCTTAGTGGTAATTTGCTTCCGTTGGGCAAGGATCTGTTCCGTATCTTCTCTAACCTGAGTAGCCAAAAGAGAGTTATGGAGGGGAGCGTCTGTCCATAGCGCTGACTTAGCTTCTTCCCCAGACCAATGCAGATTGTGTAGGTGGCAGTATTGGTGTAAAGCGGCGTTAAATGCCGACGTTAGGGTTGAATCCGACCATATTTCGGTGTGGGAGAGGGGTCTGCCTCCTCCACCTACTTCTATTGGTGGTCGAACGGCATGCGCTGGTGCTGATGGGAGAGTGTTGGAAGTGATGAAAGTTTGGGATGGAAGGGTTTTGGCTGCCCATAAACGATCGAATTCTGCGACATCTGGTATGGCGAAGTTTGGTAAGAGGTCTTCTTCTTCTTCTTCTTCTTCTTCTTCTTCTTCTTCTTCTTCTTCTTCTTCTTCTTCTTCTTCTTCTTCTTCTTCTTCTTCTTCTTCTTCTTCTTCTTCTTCTTCATCCTCCTCGGAGTCGTGTCCTTTAACGTATGCATCGCTTTCTTGATTTTTCGAGTCTTCGTCAGCACCTTCGGGGTCTGGCTCGACTGAAGCTGATGTGTTTGCAACGTAGTCGGAAGGATGCAAGCCGGTGTAATGTCGATGAGATCGATCATATGGTTCTGCGTATTCGTCGTATTTCCATCCTATAAACGAGCCCTCCTCTTCCCCTTCACCGTTTCCGTTCAAGGATCGATTATCTTCTTCTCCGCCATGTGTAGCATCGTAGTACTCCTCCCCCTCCATCTCCTCCTCATCACCGTTCGTAGCGATCCCCCTGAGATGCGGACCTTCATCGAATCCTGCCGAGCTAGAAGGGTTGTATGAAGGATCGTCCCGATGCAGGCCATTCCCCCTGCTCCTCACTGGATCTTTCGAATTAGCGTGTTTTTGATGCTGACCTTTTTTGCGCTTCTTCCCATTAGACTGTGGGTGAGTTTTGTACGAGCAACTAGCTTCTGTCCCACCCTCAGTGGCCGTTGACGGTGGTGGTGGAGGGCAATCCTCGGTCAAGTCGCTGTACGACACGAGACGCCGCGACATCCCTGTTTCTTTGTCAAACTGTGAAGACCGAGGTCGGCAAGTAGATGTGTCGATAGGGTAAGTGATGGAGCTGAAGAGGAAGGGGTTGAGAAGGAAGCTCAAATAAGTCAGTGTTGGCGCAGGAGGAAGTCCGAGTTCCGAGTTCCTTGTTCCTTTTTTATTTTATTTTTTTAAATATTTGGTGGCCTCCGCCTGCAGCCAGACCCTAAAGACAAACCCTCTTCGCAACGTTCTTCTCACCTGTCAAACACGAGGCTTACTCTTCGATCCATCGCAACTCTCCCGGTCCATGCTTTCACAGTTCAAGCTATTGTCTTGGTGAATTGAGACTGAATGATAGTGATGCTTTTATGGATAAGTATGTGTAGATACTGGGTATTGAATATGTCTTATGCTTCTCTTCTTCCCACCACTATGGGCGACTAGGACCACCATCCACCTTCATCAACCTCGACTTCCTTCCTACTGCCCGTAGACGCGAACGAAAAGGATCTCACCCCCATCACCAGCTCCCCTAAAGTATCAGCCGAAACACTACCGTTACTGACCCTCAAACCGCCCTTCGATAACTTCGGGGCGTGCATTGATGCCCAGGCACCAGTGGGAGGCTGGAGCGACTCGACTGCTTCCCATTCTTTTTCAGCTGTTGTTTGCTTTTGTATAGCTTCAATTTGAGCTTTGAGCTGCTCGACCAACTTCTCACTTTCCTGCAACTGCTTTTGGGTCTTCTTATGCACCGTCTTCTCCACGAACCCGTCCTTCAGCGTAACAAGATCGCGTTCCATCTCGCTGAACCTCTCGTCATACCTCCTGATCTCCTCTCGCATGTGTGTTTCTCGCTCTTCGCCCTCTGCGAGTTTCTTCTTCGTCTCCTCTAGCTCGACAGCTTTGACTTCAAGCACACCGAGTCGAACAGTAGCCTCCGATAACTGATCAGCTTTAGCCTCCAGCTCCTTCACCCTCTTCTCTCCCTCAGCGAGCTTTTGGTGGCTTTGTGCAGCTTTCTGCTTCTGAGTAGCGGATAGTTGTTGCAGGTTGGCAATCTTGCTGTCTTGTTCAGCAATACGCTTTTCGAGTGCTCCCACTTGACCTTCTGCTTTGGATGCGCGTTCCAGGACTGATTTCGCGGACTCGTAAGCTTCCCTTTCGGCAACGGTGGCTTGTTCGAGCAGACGACCCATACGGTCTTGTGTTTCGGCGGAGGCGGACTCTGCTCGGTCGGCTCGTGCGACTGCTTCAGAGACTGCTTTGTTGGACGCATCGAGCTCCTTAGCCCGCTCAGCCTTGGTAGCGGCCAGCTCGGCTGCCATCTGCGCGAGCTGGTCACGAAGCGTAGCAGATTCCTTGTCGGACGACGTGACCTTGGCAGCAAGTTCAGCCTTTTCAGCTTCAGCGCGAGCAGCCCGTGCTTCAGCCTCTCTGAGCTCTCGTGCCATCGCAGAGCTTGCTTCGGCTTGCTTCTCGAGCTTGGTGGTGAGCTCTCGGTGCACCTCCTCCGTCGAAGTGTACTGCTTCTCGAGACGCTCGAGTGCCTCATAAGAGCTATTGAGCACTTGATAAACACCAGCAAGTTCAGACAGCGTCTTTTCAGCAGTCTCTTGCATCAGCCCCCTGCCCTGTGCTAGATCTTCAAGCTTTTCATAAAGCTCCGGATTGTCACCAGCCGCAGAGACTGTACCCAAAGCACTTGCCTTCTGTTCGAGCTCCGACTTGATCTCTGCGATCTGCTGCAAGATGAGACCCTGCTTCTCGCTCGTCTCGCTAGCACTGGACAGAAAAATCTCCGTCTTGGCATTGATCGCACCTGGAAGCTCCGACAGTGTTCGTTCGGTGTCTTCTTGCTGCTGGAGGATTTTCTTGCTCATCGATCTAGCATCTTCTTGCTTGGAGATAAGCGGCTCGAGAAGGGCCAAGACGGGATTGAGATCGACCATGTGCTCGATAGATTGCTTGCCAATCACCTCTGCAAGTCTGGTGACTAGCGCGTCCGAGTCGACGGGTTCGCTTTTGAGACTCTGCACGATCGGGTCCATAAGCTTGACGGTCGACTGAGCGATTCGGAGGGGGGACGGCAGAGCCTCAAGGAAGAGGTCATGACTGCTCTGGGTGTCTTCCAGTAGACCTCTGCGTTCTTCTGATAGCAAAGGACCGAGAATTTGACCGAGCTGGCTGGCAAGACGATCTGCCAAGCTTGTCTCGTTGGCCACTTTATCCTCGAGCAGAGGAGGCAAGCACTCCTTCAGGGCAGACTCTAGTTGCTCCTTGACGGAGTCGCTGACTTGGCCGATGGAGCGTTCTAGACCGTGCAGCTCGGATTCGAGCATCTGCTGGATATTGGATCGGTCTCCCGCGCTCTTCTCGGAAAGGAGGAAGAGGTTCTCGTCGAGCTTGGCCTGCATCACCTGTTGGAGCTTGGTCTCGGACTCGGACTGCACTTGCTTGGCTGAGTTGGTGTGTGACTCGAACAAAGTAGCAAGATGGGTCACAAGGCGCGAAGTGACAGCTTCCACCATGTCACCGGAAGTGTTGAGTCCCTTCAAGCCATCGATGTTGCGCTCATCCTCTTTAGCAGAGGTAGCGAGGTTGTTGCGGCTCAACTCCACCTTCTGCATGACCTGCGCCATGGTCCCCTCAATCTGCTGGCGGAACTCGCCAAGCTTCATCTCGAGGACGTCTTGCACGTAGTCAAAGTCCCACTCGCCAGGCGCATCGACCAGACCAGAAGCAGCCATCTTCTCATCTGCGGAAGGGTTGCGGCGTCGACCGGGTCGAACAGTAGCTTGCGTTTCATCTGAAGCGTCAGTGGACTTTCGTACGTGAGCTGAGAACGTAGTAGCCAGCTGATTGTCCAGAACCTCTTCCATGCGCCTCGAGAGTTCGTGCACAATCTTGTCTTGGTCCAAGGATAGATCTGCTGCAGCTACAGCACCACGTGGAAGCGGACGCACCTGACCCATAATGGTGACCTCATCAAGTATCTTGCCGGCCCATCCCTCCAGTGCCTTATCGACGCGCTCTACGATCTCCTCGACAAAGTCGGTGAGGCTTTCGTCCTCGTCGTCTTCATCGTCGCCGTCTCTGACAATCCTTCCATGTGAATCACGGTCCGATCGTCGCAGTCGCCTATCTACAGATGACATGCCAATGCTAGACGAGGGGCGTCGGTCGCCCCATCGCACCGATAAGCCTGCGCCGATGTCGGATGCCAAGGAAGCGGCTGAGGACTGGTAGCTGTGAGGTCCGGCGGGGATTTGTATGGGTCGTGATCGCTCCGCTGGCCAGACTGACTCTGGTCGTGCAGCTCGACCCCACGTCACTGGAGCTCGTAGCGTCTCTGTTGAGTTCTGGCCCAAGTCAGGGTTGGCGACAGTCTGGTTCCAGTTATCTTCAGCTGAAGCAGCCGAGGAGGCTGGAGCGCTCTCGACTGAGAGCCTGTCTTGCGAAGCCTGGCCCTGCCCGAGCGCGCAATCCTGTTGCGGCGAACGACTCGCATTGTTGGACTCTGACTGATCGTTCTCGGACGGTCGCCGAATTGGAATGGCCTTGGTTCCGGTCTGTCTGGTGAAGAAAGAAGGATCCCGAATCGAAGGAGTTGCATCCTGCTGGGTAACTCCCTGTGCCTGCTGACCCCAGTCAGGGAGTGTTGGACGCTTGAAGCTGGTCGAGGCACTGACCTCAGATGCACCTCGAGCCCATGTCGGCACGAAGGAAGGAGCAGCCGGGGTGAAGCGGGACTCGTGCGATACCGCACGCTGCTGCTGCTGGAAACCAGGTGGCAAGAAGGGAGGTGGACCTTGTCTAGACAGAGTGCTGAAGTCTCGCATGGGTCCTTCGATACTTGCTGCCGATGTCTTGGGTCTGGGAGGACTGTTGTTGTACTCGGCATCTCGCTCGTCTTCGCTGTTGTAGTCGATAGGACCGTAGCGGGTGCGCTTCTCACGACCTTGCTTCTCCCGATTCTCTGCTTCATCGTCTCCAACAATGCAAGTGATTCCTATTGATGCGCCTTCCGGTCTGGGTGAAGCACCTCGTTCCAAGTCAGGCACTTGCAGACGCACAGCAGACTTGAATGTGAACGAACCGGGCGTGAAAGAAGGGGCGCCGACGTTGAGGTGAGGAGCATTAGCTGGTATGTCGCCAAGCGCGCCTGATCCAAAGCTTGAAGTCTTGATGCTCGGCAGGCGGAAGTGTCCTGCCTCTCCATCGCCATGCGTATCTTTGTTGCTGGCAACAGGTGCCGACACGGCTCTGTTGGCAACATTGCCGCCCGTGTTTCCACCAAACTTGAACTCCTTGGCTCCAGGATTGAGCATCGACATTCCGGAAGCTCGTCCGAGAGTGCCGGACATGGGTGCACCATTGGTTGAGGTAGAGTTCCCACCGTACGCTTGCTGCTGCGCGTGAGATGCCGAGGGTTTCGGCGGCGGGAAGCGGAAGTCCTGGCTCATTCGTGTCCCTTTGTCCGTGCGTCTGGACTGATCGGTGTGACCAAAGGTTTCAGTGTCGTCAAGATCGGATTGAATCTCGTCTGAGGGATTGCTGATGATGTCGGCCTGCATCGAGCGTCGAGCATGTGGGTTATATTGCAAATAGGCAGAGCCCTCTGCAAAGTCGTAGCGAGTGTGCCCGTGCAAGTCGCCCTCACCGATGCTGCTGCTGGGAAGGGTGTTGTCTGTGTTGGCGCGACCGCGCTGGCGGCCCTTTCGCTCTCGGCGAGCAGCTCGTTCATCAGCGCGAAGTTGACGACGTAAAAAACGCTCTTCCTTTGCAGCTTCTTCGTCCGAAGGATTGCTGAACTGCTCGTCGGAAGGCGTCAGCGAGTCTCTCAAGCTGTCATCATCGCTGTAATCCGACATGTCGTCGTAGTTGTGACGATCGTGAGCATCGCCGAAAGCAGAAAGATGGGCACTGGTGCGACGAGCATTCCAGTGCTCAGGGCCATACTCGTCGAGGTCCTCTTCAAAGTCAGAAGCGTCAGCGTCCTCGCTAGGATTCGTGCGAATCTCGACGTTATCACCATCCGAGGGGAGCTCGTCGCCGTTCTCTTCTCCACCGCGGTGAGATGTGCTCACCGAGATTCTTGAAGCTTGTCGAACATGCCTTCGCGACCGGCCATGGCTGTGAGTAGCGCCGGCTTCAGTCTCTTCATAACCGAAGCCTCTGCCCAAGTCTTTCCAGTTGCCACTGCCTGAATGCTTTGCCGCATCCAAGGGAGATTGCACAAGCTCATCCTGTCCTTCTTCCTCGGCTACATCTTCGACAATTTGGGCTAGGAATGGCTCTGTCTTGCCAAATATGGCTTCTGAGTCGGAGAGAGGCTTCTCTGGCAGGTCATGCGTCTCGGAAGGTGACTTGGAGGGACCTTCGTCTGAGTTGGCTCGGATCATGTCCAGGGCACTGAATACTTCAGGACCGAACGGACCACCGGAGCTGGGAAGGCCAAGCGACATAGTATGGATGTGCTTGGGCGAAGGTCGGACACCCAGCTCTGTCGTGTCCTCTCCACGACGGCGAGCAAACGCGTCACGCAAGCGATCCGGCAGATCCGATTTGAACCGATCAAATGGTTGATGCTTTGCGCCGTCCTGTTGGTGATTAGGATCGTCGGTGTCGATAGGCTTGTTCGGATTGTTTTGAGACTCTTGCTGCAACTGCAAGAAACGGTTGAGCTTGAAGCTGACCATGCTTGGGTCGGCCGGACTGGAGATGGACAAGCTGCGACCCTTGTGATCTGCGTTGAATGTGGCGGATTGCGATGGCAGCAATGGCTTGGGTCGAGGCAGAGACAAGAGGGCCTCTTGCTCAGCCGCTTCAGCTTCCATCTGCTGCTCTTCGTAGCGCATCTCTTGATACTCGTCCCAGGCACTCATCCCCGGCAGATAGATATCAATGGTGTCCGGCAAGCCAAGCGAGTGTGGCCATGGCTCAGGGTGAATCTCGCAGGTGATGACGGCATCGTCCGGCACTTGGATGCATGGAACTTGATCATGCTGCTCGGAGCTCCAAGGTTGGCGCTGTACCCACTTGTGTCGCGTGGCAGCTGCTGCACGAGCATGACGACGCTTGGCAGCTTGGCGCTTGTCGGAGGTTGCATCGTGTTCTTCGCCAATCTCTCGAGATTCCTGTCGATTCTCAGCATGTTGCTCCTCCTGGGCCAGAAGCTCTTCATCCTCCGGCAGAGGCTGCTCATTCGGCACCGAGACAAGGACCTTCTTCTTAGCCTTTAAAGCTGCCAGACTGGCGGCAAAAGCTGCTGGGTTCATGGATATGGAAGGTGTAGAGTTGTGGCCGGTACTTTTGAGTGGAGTGACTGGTTGTGGGCCCTTGCCTTTTCGTGGCTTGATGCCATTCATGAGCCCGCCAGGATGAGGCAAGCCGAAATTGGGCTGTCCTTGAGGCATCACAAATGGACTTGGAGGTACAGATGCGTGTGGTGAAAGCGGAGAGGGTGGACCTGCAAAGCCAAGAGCCTGTGGTGGTATGTTGGTCATAATGGGCGGTGTCGCAAGGAAGGCGGGCAAGCCGGTAAGATGTACGCTTGCTGGGCTGATGCCATGGCCTAGCCTGTGAGCTGGCAGAGGCGATCTGGAGACATTTGAGACGGAAGGAGGTCCAGGGTGATATGGGGTGGTGGGCGTTTGAGTCTTGAAAATCGGCGCATTTGCACCTCCTGGGACAAAGGGTCGAGAGTTGGCGCTCAAAGAGATTGTGCCACCAGGAATTCCGCCGCCTGGGACCATCTGATTCTGGATCTGCGATAGCTGCGACAAAGTGGTGGTGCGACCGAGAGAGTGTCAGCATGCTGCACAAGCGAAAAGTGATTCTGATGTGTTGCGGCGGTGCCAATTGAGCTGGACAGGTCTGTGTCGTTGGCGTCTGTGTTGTTGACAACTTACCATTTGCTGACCATTGCGTTCCTGTAAGGGCGTTGCTTGACCTGATGCGGAAGGTGGCATCTGTAGAGGTAAAGGTTGACGAGCTGTGGGAGGATTGCCGCTGAAGCCTCCGCCAGGCTGAAACGGGGGTGCTGCGACGTTGAGAGTCGTGGCTTCCATCTTGTCGAGGCTAGGAGCGACACCACGCTGCTATGGAAGATTCCAAAGAGGGCGATGGGAGAGAGCGAAACCACTCTAATGCAGCAGATGTCGGCGCTTGTATTTGATAGGAGTCGCTCAAAGACCTCACGACGAAGCCATGGATGGTGATTTGGCTATCTGCTGGATAAAACTGATGAAGTGGTCGAATGTGAGGCGGAGCCTTAGCTGGGCTACTATGATGGAGCACAAGAGGTCGGGGGGGGGGGGGGGGGCAGTCGCGGTGTCCTGCTTGTCCACTGGGAGCGGAGATGGCGGGGTGAGAGCTTGTAGATCGTAAGCGTAAGCTTGATGAGGGTGATGAAAGGTATAGTTGATGCGCAGGGACCAGTTGCGTCTTGGGTCTGATGATGATTGGGGGAAGGGTGGAGGAGTGGAAGGTCGCAACCAAGATACCCACGCATGCACACAGAGAGAGAGAAACACGCACTTGTCAGACATGCGTGTGTGCATTTCTGTTCTACTTTCAGCCTCTCTTCTGTCTCTGTCTGTGTCACTTTGCCAGAGAGAGCTCGGCTGTCACTTTTGAGATCAGCCTTCTGAAAGACACAGACACATGTTGAAAAGTAAAGACCTTGGGTCCCGATAACTGGCGATCGGGGAGAGTCCGAGTACGATGTCACTGCTGCTAAAAGACAGAAACATATATACTCAATTGACTAGTGAACATGGTGAGAACCTAGTGTTCTCAGCTTGATATATATACATTCGTGAGGCTGATGCCTATCGTGCGGGTATGCTCTTTCATGACCTAGCCTGACAACGAGTGGGACTGTGTTGTATCCGATCTCTAGCCAGATCGGCCCCGTTGGATTCATGATCAGATCTCCTTTCCCGATTACGTTCTAGATCGATCTTGCCCGATCCTTGGCTATATTGACTTCCTACTGGATCGTTATCTTTAGCATGTGCCTGTCTCCCTCTCTTTTGTGTCACTTTCCTTTCGCTGACGCGAGTTTTTACAACAGAAACCCATTGTTAGAGCCAGGCAAACTTGTACGCATTCGTTGCAAGGAGATCAAGTCATGGCCAAGGCTTGACGCCGTCGACAATGACACACAAGCAGCTCATCTCATTGCTCTTCACATTCGTATACAATCAGTGTGGCTGTGCGACTGTAGTTGCATCGACAGGCTATATCGAGTGATGGCGTTTTGCTCTATCTTGTGTCAGAACCGGAGGCGGTTGACTCGCTCGATGCTTTAGCAAGCATGCTTTTGAGCTGTTCCACACGTGCTCGCATGCTTTCGCACCGTCTGTCGAATTGGACCAGGAGCAAGTATGTCAGTATTCTCTCTTTTCTGTGTGGAAGGAGACATGTTCGCTGTGGCGAGCTTACTCTCGTATCAATTGCGTTTCCTGCTTCCTCCTCTCCAATTGCATCTCCATGATCAGCTTGAGTGTCTCTTTCGCCTGCACTGGTCTCAGCTCGTTGACCAGGAATTGCATGTTGACCACTACATTCTGCATGTGTTTCAGTCGGTCCTTCGCTTCGGTGGACTGCGTCCAGAATCCAGGCTGCGTCGCCATTTGTTGTTGTTGCTCTTCTGGCATCAAGTTTGGGTCTGGCACTGCTGGTACCCAGACATCGTATGGCTGGGCAGGCTTGAGCAAGTCAGCTGTGATCTCGCGGTATGTTTGCAGCAGTGTCTGAAATAGTGTTAGCAGAAGCTCTTTGCGGTTAGTCCCTTGCAGAGGATAGAGGACTGGAATGCCGAGTTGTTCTAACGTCGGCGTGACATCAGGAATGGGCCATAGCTGACCAAACACTGTGTACCCGCCATCTTCTTCAATCCAGTCTACATTTGGTGGCTCGAGCTCTTTCTTCAGATCAAAGTCTGGCAGGTCTCTGATCCTTGCTTTTGTGTCGTCCGCTCCAACTGCTGTCATCTCTACATCTTCCCCCTCCGAATCCGTCTTGCCTTTGGCGCTATCGAGATGCTGTCCAAGTATCGCATTTTGCCTTTCCATCCTCTGTGATAACGTGAGCTGATCCCAAGGTGCTTCGTCTTCTGCTAGCGTGTGCGATTCGAGCACTTCAAGGTATCTCAGGTTGCGTTTTGTGAACTTCTTGTAGATTTGCGGTGGGGGAGGGAAGAAGGAGGTGCTGATCTGATTCGAGTTGGAGGGTCCAGCTACAGCAACATCGTCTCCAGCTTGTTGCTGCGTGTCAGCGTCCTCGTGTTCGCCATTCATTCTCAGCCGTTGGACTCCAGCTTTACTGGCTTGTGTGAAGATCGGGAATGCAACTAAGTACTAAAGAAAGAGCAGACACTAGAGAAAGAGCAGACTTGTTGAATCTCCAAGCTTGGCCTCCACGACCGTGCGCTGGCAATCCCGAGATCCGAAAACTTTATTATCGCGCCGATATACAAACTTCCAAGCAACCTCCTGAAAACGAGTCACTGCATCGTATGCATACATGAACTGGAAACATCAACGTCCATCATCCCCCACCCGACGACCATCTTCCATCCGACCATCTTCCATACCACCGCATCACCGATTTGCAGTATGAGCAAGACTCTAGACACCTCCAAAAGGGAGCAGACCATCAACCTCGGTGCTGGTCCCAGCTGCCTCCCCACCTCGGTCCTTCTCGAAGCCGCACAAGGCATCCTCGACTATGAAGGCACCGGCATGGGTCTCGTTGAACTCTCGCACCGATCCAAGACTTTCCAAAAGCTCATGGACAAAACTGAAGCTGATCTTCGCGCTCTTCTCAACATACCTGACACTCACGCCGTTCTCTTCTTGCAAGGTGGTGGCACAGAGCAATTCTCCGCCACAGCACTCAACCTTCTTGCCGCACACGCAGTCAAGAATCCAGATTACTTCAAGTCGAACGGTAGCAAAGGTCCTCCCTGTGACTACGCCGTCACTGGATCTTGGACTGCCAAGGCGGTGAAGGAAGCTGCTCGTCTTGGAGCAACTACCAATGTTGCTATCGACTCGCGCAAGGTTGAGGGAGCAAACGGCAAGTTCGGTTCGATTCCACCCATCAGCGAATGGAAGTTGAGCCCGGTGGAGAGTATGCCTGCCATGCTCTACTACTGCGACAACGAGACTGTTGACGGTGTCGAGTTCGCCAACCCTGGCTTCCCTATTCAGGAGTTGCCAGAGGAATACCGCAAGCAAGTGCCGCTAGTTGCCGACTGCTCGAGTAACATCCTTTCCCGCCCAATCGACGTAGCTGCACATGCGATCGTCTTTTTTGGCGCGCAGAAAAACGTCGGTCCCTCCGGCACCACTGTCGCTATTGTTCGCAAAGATCTCATCGTAGACCCAGACCAAGGCGTTCCCAACGGAGGACCTCGCATCCCAACAACATTGGTGTACAAGAACATGCTGGACAATGGATCGCTGTACAACACTCCACCCATGTTTGCCATTTATGCTTCTGCACTCGTCTTTGAAGATTTGCTCCGCAACAAGGGCGGTGTAGCAGGTGCAAGGGAGCGATCAGAGAACAAGGCCAACTTGATCTACGGCTTGATCGACAACAGCAACGGTGTCTATCTGCCAACAGTACGACAGGCTTCGGCGAGAAGCAGGATGAACGTCACCTTCCGCATCTCAAGAGCAGGAGAGAACAAGCCGGACTCGGCACTCGAGGAGGCTTTCGTCAAGAAATGTGCCCAAGAGAACATCGTTCAGGTCAAAGGACACCGTTCGGTGGGTGGTATTCGTACCAGCTTGTACAACGCCGTAACGGTTGAGCAGACTCAGAAGCTCGCCCATGTTATGACAAGATTTATGGAGAATGTCAAGGCTGGTAAGTTCTGAAGTTGCCAATCGTCTCAGTCTTCTACACTGCCTCAATAGATGTCTCATTACACACTTTTGCTTAGTACTGTGTGATGCTTGATGAGTGTTGTATTGCGACGGAGCTCTAATCAGTAGATGATACCGGTGTATCTGCCTGACCTTTCTCCTTCTGCCGCTTCTTCTGTTTCTTCTTCTTGTTGATTTTCTTTCTTCTTTCCTTCTCGATTTGCCTATCGATTCGACTGCCACCGCGCTCGCCTCTAAGGAGCTTCTCCAGCGTGAGACTCAACCTGCGACGTGCCAGCTCACGATTGCGGTCTCGTGACCGTGTTTCTTGACATGTGACTTTGGTTCCTGTTGGTATGTGGCTCAGCTGGACGTTGGTGGAAAGCTTGTTGATTGCCTGACCGCCGGGACCAGAGCCGCGGATGAATTTTTCAGCTAGGTCCTTCTCGTCCAAGGTGAGCGGATATTTGCGTGAGCCTGGTTGAAGTGTATAGCTGCCGGCAGTGAACCATTCTGGCAGCTCCAATTCGGAGCCTTTTGAAGTTGGCGAGCTGGGTGTCGCCGACTGGTTTGATGAGGTGGTATCGACTGCCCTCGAATCTGCCACATTAGTATGGAAAAGTCCGTCATCTTCTTCCTCTGCCTCTTCAAATAGACCGACGTCATCTTCGGCCATAGAGCTCGTGCACTCTTCGAGACTACCTGTTCTTGACGTCAGAATCGAGGCGTCAGTGGATGTTCTTGTTGTTGAGTGTCAGGAGGAAAGGCAGCACTTACACACCAACTTGGCCTTCGAGCCACTCTTGCGTTGTCTCAGCGCCTTGCTTTTCCGAGACATACGTGTACCGATCCAAGCTCTCGTCTGCCTCTTCCTCCCTCTCGTGCTCGATTCGGTGCACGTGATACCATGGCACGCTATTGTCTTGCTGCCTTTGCAGCTCCGCTTGACTCCAGAGGACTCTAAGTGGGAACGTTGCCTCGAAGTTGAACTCTGCCAGATCGTTTGGAAGCAGCTCGGGCCTGTCCTTGCGCAGATACTGGTTGCTGATTGGTGGGTCGATGAGTTGCAAGGCTGTGAGCGGCCGAGAAGAGACGTACGTCTGAGCGATCAAGGCAGCTGGACCTTTGGTGATCATGATAGGTGGCAAGAACGGTGTCTCTCCTGCTTGGCGCAGAGTGTCGATTGCATCATTTTCGAAGAGCTCCATGAGCGCTGCCGAGTCTCTGAAGTCAGCTATCGGCTGATCCGGGTCGAGGTCGAGCAGCAGAGACCGGAAGCCTTGCTGCGAAAAGTGCTTGATCCATTCTGAAAACGCATCGGCCGCTGGTGGGGACCATGTCCATTTGGAAGCTGTGAGGAAGAGAAGAGGCGTAGGCACTTCTCGAGGAGCGTCGGAAGCGGCATTGATCACTTTCAAAGTTGACTTGAAACGTCGGCTGCTCCGACTTGTCGACGCAGTATTACTTTCGAGGCGGCTAGTGGAAGCTGCAACCCGACGGAAGCCGGTTGTGGCTATTGATACGGCTCGCAGCATTTTGTATGATCCCCTCCAAATCGACTGAGCCGAAGCAGCGTTTTCAGCGCCGACTGGTGTAATAGTGACGAGAAGGAAGAAACACTTGAGCGCCGTCGCAAACTGGCCGATCCTAACCGAGCCTCGCCGTGGGAAAAAGAGGCGCTTCAGGGTCCAAAATTCCCGACCGGCCGATCTGAGGCTCTTTCTCTCTCTCTCTTTCTCTCTTTCTCTCTCTCTCTCTCTCTCTCTCTCTCTCTCTGGCAAGCAGATGCTCACTCTTTTGCAACCATGACCGACCCAACTGCCAGCACCATCACGGCGACCGCCGCCGCCCCAGCCGATAGCGCCATCGGATCAGGCAAACGCGAACGCGATCCCTCATCCCCGTTCGCTCCCGGCTCCCCACTCACAGAAGATAATAAAGAGACCAAAAGACTTCGGCTCACGCCAACTCAGCCTACCAATGGATTCGCAGCGCAAGAAGGCGAGGTTACTATCCTTCCTAACCTCCACCTGCCTCTCAACGAAGACGTCTTTCGCACCTTCTTCCAATACGCACACGACCGTCACGACGTCTTCCTCAAGCGTCAACGGGGAAGGACGCAAGAAGAATGGACAAGCGACCCCGTACTGTGCACTACCAAGTTCGCTAACATCTATCGAGTGCTCGACCGGGGCACCCAGTATGTGCTCACACAAGTTGTTCAGGACGGCCCTCAGGACTTGGAGGAGGTCTGCTTCCGTATCTTTCTATTTCGCTCGTTTGCACGAGTCAGCACCTATGAAGTGATCAAGAGCGCGCTCGGTAGCCCACCGACGCTCAAGACCTTTTCGCCTGCCGCTTATGAAAACATTCTGCTGCACCACATTGGTGCTGGAAACCCCGTCTACGGAAGCTCTTACTTCATCCCCGCGCCGAGAGAATTCGGGACACAATACCCATTCCAGTCGACACTGAGGCTAGTCCAGCTGATGCTCAGGACCGGACTGCCAAAGAAGCTCGCCGACCTACATCACATGCGAGATGCGCACTCGCTGCTCGCCACTTTCCCGAGTCTAGGGTCTTTCCTTGCTATGCAGTGAGTTCCTCCCAGTTCCGCAGCACATCGACTGGCACAGTTTAATAACCTGCTCCTCTGTTCATTTCGAAACCCACCACACAGGCTCTTGCTCGATCTCAATCTATCAGACCACTTTGACTTTAGCGAAGAAGAGTTTGCTGCCTGCGGGCCTGGTTCCAAAGCCTGTCTCGTCGAAATCTTTGGCAAGTTTGTCACTGGCTTCGAGCTCGAAGCGATGCGATGGATCCAAGCGAACCAGGATCATTACTGGTACAAATACGGCATCACCGATGTGCCACACCTGTGTCCTGCTCGCAAGCCAGGTCTTAACGTCGTTGATATCGAACACACGCTCTGTGAAGTGTTCAAGTACCGTCGAGCCAAGAAACGACTCAATAAACGTAGTTTGCGTGTCAAACGTGGTCGCTGTCGACGTGCATCAACTGCTCGGCCCGACTCTGTTGCTGCTACGCCCACCGCTCCGGTGACGCCTTCAACCCGTGCTGTCACTGTCAAGCAGGATGACGATCAGGACGGTGTCGACGGCCTCGACTTTGAACGTATTCGATCGAATGGCTCAAAAACCTCCTCCACTACCACCGATAAGGTCAAAACCTTTGCTCCGACCACAGACTCAGTCACAGGTGCTCTACCAGCAAAGTGGCTCAAGCCGCGTCCAGCTGAATCGTACGAGCGACCTGAACCAATCGATGACAGCGAACAGGTCTTCGAAGTCTCACACATTGTCGCCATCACCCCGACCCACAGCAAGTGTTTGGTCCGCTGGAAAGGGTTTGGTCCAGAAGACGATACGTGGGAGAACACCGACGAGCTCGTCAACAACGGCGCAAAAGAGGCAGTCGAAGAGTACATGAAATGGATCAACAAAGTCCGTGACGAAATCAGTAAGATGCTCGACGAAGAGAAACAGCAGAGGATCAAATTGGAGCAGATGTCGGCTGAAGCACTCATAAATTAAAGTCAACAGAATACAACCAGGTCCGAAAGAACTAGTGATCCAGCATTGCCTTTTGCCAACCTTCCACTCTCACTTGCTTTCTAAGAAGGCTCACACAGTCAATTCTTGTAACCATAGCGCTATGTATGAATGGGTATATCGTCGTCAAAAAAAAAAAAAAAAAAAAAAAAAGCTATTGACATGACTCGATTCGATCCAGTTCAGCATCATCTGCCTGGACTTGCTCTTTGAACCAGAATGGCAATTTCTCCTCCTCGGGGTAGGTTATGAGATCCGTATCGAACATCTCGACGAATCTTTCGTTTGTTGCTCTTGCCCTATTACCGGCAAAATGGAGATACTCGAGTAGAATGGTAGCGAAGTTCCATCGTTGTAGTTTGCGAAGACAGCCGAGTAGGACTCCGATTTCGTGGATTCCTGAAGTGTCGGTGACTAGAACCGGATGATAACTTGAGTTGAGCAGGATCTGCAACGAGTCTTTCACCAGTCCTTCTGTTAATGTTGGGCTACTGGAGGAGGTAGAGAAAGGAGCTGTGGTGGGAGAAGATGTGTGAAGCGGCGCAGAGGGAGACTTGAACGTGTGTAAAAATGAGAGATCTAGTGATCCTGTGTCCTCCTCTCCTTCGTCCCCTGATTTATCGCTGGTGGTTGGAGCAAGGGAAGGGCTGTAAGAGGAAAAGTCTTCGCTACCCCACCGTTTCAGTCCGAAATGGAGGAATTTGATGCCATTGTTTTTGCAAAATGCCGTAAGGCTCGGCGAGGGTAGCTCTGCGGTCAGGGAGAGGATTGTTTTAAGCTGTAGAGTGCGTAGGAAAGTGTGGTTGGATGGGATTGGGGTGGCAGAACGATATATTTGTGGTGCGACTGAGGCAAATAAGGCGGGAGGTTCGACTAGGGATGCTGTTGGTATTGCTGCGTTGGAGTGGTGGTGGTGGTGGTGGTGTGAGTGGGATGAGGAGTGTGAGGAGGTGTGTTTGGAGGATGAGGATGAGGATGAGGAGGCATGGTTGTGTTGGGCGAAGCCGGAAGAAGATGAGGCTGGTGGGGCTAGGTGCGAGCTCGACATCTTGAGTAATGCTTCACAAAGAGGTGCAGGATGATGGAAAAGGTGAAGCGAGGAGGAGCGGAAGGATGTAAAGATCTAAGTCAACTTGGACCCTTGAAAAGCTTCCGACTCGGATCTCGGACTTGCACGGCCGCTCCTATTGAGAATGACGTTCCAATATGATGATATTGGCTGACGTAAGCAGATACAAAAAGGGATCGGGTGGAGGACAGTCTGATCGGGGATCGAGAATCGGGTACAACATGGTCCCGCTCTTTGTCATAGTTCGTCATTAAGTAGGATTTTGCCACATTCGGCAAGTACCACTCATTTGTATATATATCAAGCGGGGAGCTCGAGGCCCGCGCGACATTCTTTCCGCAGTCAATTGAGTATACACGTTTCTGTCTTAAAACAGCAGTGACATCATGCTCCGACTCTCACCGATCGCCAGTCATCGGGACCCGTGCGATCCACTTTTTCTCAGCTCCATGCTGAGATCTTCCTCGACTTTTGTGAATTAGCTCTTCTTCCTTCTCTTCAATCTCGCAGACCTAGACCACGATTCTCATAAGTGATCTTCACAAGCGCATCGAGCTTGGCTGGGAAGACACCATGCTATCCTCTCCTCGTAGATGCTTGAAAGCGCATTGTACAGGCAGCTTCGCATGAATAGGGTACAAAGCTCGATCTTGTTGAAGCGCCTGGCAAATGGCCGCCTGCTTTCTGCCCTACCACAAACGCGCTGCCTATCTTTCCTGTACCCATCAAGAAGAATGTCTAGACGCTCAACAAGGCTCAGTGGTGGGCCGACTACCTCGGACTCTCCCGCTACTGCCGGACCCTCACGATGGACCAGCAACAGCGCCACGAATCGTTCCTCAACCTCTACACAGTCCGAAACGAACGGCTCGACACCATACTTGGAAGAATGGACAACAGAAGCATTACAGGCCCAAGTCAAGCGGTATGGCTTCAAAGTCTCCCGCAAGCGTGCCACTCTAATCGACCAGCTCAAGTCTGTGTATGAAGCTTTGCAACGTTCAAAGATTCCTTTTGAGCAGCCATCTGATGTTGCTCAAGATAGCCCACCACGAAAGTATACACAGGCTGAGCCGGCAAAAGCAACAAGAACGAAGTGGAAACTGGTACTACCGGAAGCCACGGCAGACAGCATAGGGAAGGGAAAAGGCAAAGGTCGAAAGAGTGACCCATTTGTACTGGACGACATCAGCTCCGACTCTTCTTCCTCCTCTTCAGTTTCAGTGCTAATAGCTACAAATGGAGGAGAGCAAGAGCCAAGGGACTATACAGCGCAACTCGAGCTCGAAGCAGCTTCTGCTACCGATGGCGAGCTTTCCCCTCCCCTCTCTTCCGTCTCTTCATCCTCTTCGTCTCGCTTGCCTCTGTCTGCTTCTGCTTCACCGACCAAGCCTCGTCGTCGGCGATCTCATTGCACAGCCTCTTCATCTTCAGCAGACGCCCCACTGTCAACACTCACAGCACCGCCAGAGGACGAGAGTGCAGCAGTAGATCCATCTCCAGCACTAGCAGAAACAATGACCATCGCTATCCGATCTGACCCCAGCGTCTGGAGCCGAATCCTGCGCTACGAGCCGATAAGCTTTGACGAAGTAGTCAGTATCGCCACTCAATCCGGATTAGCCATGGACACGGGCAGGAGGAAGGAAGAGTTGAGGACGTGGCTTGATAGACAGTGCATTTGTTTCTATTCTGCCGATCTCACCGGGTCTCGTTCTAGACATTGACAAACGCACACACGCCATCAAAAAAGCATTGGGAAGACGAAGGGAGGATTAGATTTCGACAAGCAAATGCAGAACAAACGCTAACGCATCAAGCGTAGACCGTAACAAAGGGGCAATTTCGAAGGCGAAGCATAGGACAAGGGCTAGATCGATGACCGTAGGGAACAAAGGAGCGGAAGCAGGGGCAACGATGAGGAGAGAAGGATCAGGCATGGATCTCGACGGAGGCTTTGCCCTTTCCCTTGTCCTTTTTGTCCTTATGACGAGCGTCGACGTGGGTGGCGAGGAGACCATGATGCTTGAGACACCCAGCAAGCTTCTTTCGCTCCTCATGGTCGAGCTTGCCTGGAGTGTCAATACAGAGATGCTTGTCATCGACTTGAACAATGCCATGTTTCTTCCTGTAGTGCTTCTCTACCGAGTTCAATCGCAGTTGACACTTGTAATCGCAGTGTTCCTCATCGTACTGTTCGTGTTCAGCCTTCTTAATAGGCTCATCCTTAACCACCTTCTTGAGTGCTTCAACATGATCTTCCTCACCTACAGCACGTTTGGAGATGCCAGTAAGACTAAGCATCGATCCACCCGCCGAGTGACTTGCCCACCAGAGCAAGTCTCTTGCCGAACCATCACCGTTAAAGTACGAGTTGAGACTGTTTGGGTAAGGATCGGGTTTCTGGTTAACAGGGAAACCACCCAACCAAGCGGATCGCTCGACGTAGCCTTGTTGACGCATCCATGTAACAGCTCGTTGGTGGAAGCTCTTGATGTCGCTCTGCGATCCACCGGAGGCTTGGGTGATACCGTACTCGGTAACCCAGATGGGCAAGCCGAATGCGTCGTGAACGGAAGAAATCCACTTTGTGAATTTGTCAAAGTCTTGCCATGAACCGTACCAGTGTACCGCGACGAAGCTGATGTTGCAACCCAACTTCTTGCATTCCGACATGAATTGCTCGAGCCATTGCAGATTCCAGCATACCTGAGGGGATGCGACCTGGACGCCTCGATCAGCGAATGGCTTCAACTCTTGCATCCACAACTTTGCTGCTGCTTTGGGCCCGAGATCGGATTGACCCTGAACATCGGGCTCGTTGAATGCAAGGAGATACTTGGGAAGAGGACCCTTGTTCATCTCTGACTTGACTGCGTTCCATTTGTCCCATTTCGAAGGGCCCCAGAAGGTTGGAACGTACTCGAAGCCGAGTTTGTCAAGATCAGGAACACAGGTGTCTTGCCAGTGATGGTACCAATTGAAATCAGTATGACGGGTCGACTTGAGACCCTTGATGCATGATGGACCACAGCCCCAAGGAATCCCGACCTGGTGACCTGATTTCTGACCCCGTTGTTCGATAGCATGGTGCTGTGGGTGTTTGTGGTGGTGGTGGTGCTTCTTGTGGTGGTTGTCATGGGCATCAACCATAGTGGCCAGCGCAATGGTGAGCAGGGAGGCGAGGAGGCCAAAGCTGAACTTCATCTTGACGACCTGAGGCGATCACAGAAGAAAGCAGGCTTTGTGATGACGAAGGAGAAGGGATGCCAAAAGGGCACGGTAAGAATCTTTGCGCAGCAAAGTAGAACGGAGGAGATTCCTGGGATGAGTGACGAGATCAAGACGAGAAAGGAGGAAAGGTGAGGGAGGGAGGGGTGCGGACAAGGGTTGAAGAACAGGTGGCAGTGGTTTTATGTGGGAGAGGAAGCAGGTCCTGAGGGGTCTGGAGTGTTTCTGTCTTTGTGAGCATGCAGCGCTGGATTGTGGTTGTGAGTGGAGCTGTGTGACCTTCGATGTTGTAATGCAGGCTCAAGGCTCATTGCAGGGCATGAGTGGCTGTTGCACGGGGGGAAGTCGCTGTTGAGTGGGGTTCGCTTTGGTGGTTTTGCTCACGGTGGGATGAAGTAAAAGCCAATGCTTTGGGAGTGAGCTTGAGTTCCCACGCCAGTTCTTACATGAAACCCACTTGACCTTGCTTTGCCAGCACACCGACAGTCGCACGGCTGGACAAAGGGCACTTACCCAACTCGCCCCTACGGTGAAGCTCTACTCATGCTGTGCTGAGCATGATGATTGTAGGCACTGGACAAAGCGTTCTGCTTGGTTCCTTTCGAAGAAGAACAATCGGCTTGGGCAACGCTGTGGTGGGAGTTCCTCCTGCGACACGAGGCGATGCGGTCCTCTGCAAACTCGAAAGTCGCTCTTCGCCCACTCACATTGATGCGACAGAAGCAAGCTCAAAGCTTTCCTGAGAGGAGTTGCAACGGTCTAGAAGGGATCCGAAGAACGCTTTCTAGGGCAATGAAGGCACAGACCCTCTCGGCACGTTTCATGTCGCGTCCAAGTCACGGGTCTGAGCGTTCTCAATGCATTGCAGATCGGGGCCCGAGCCACGCAAACACCCCTTTCTCCACCAAAGCGAAAACATGCTGCACCTGCGGTCAATATCATTGTTCGTGTCGACCGAAGGAAGAAACATTCGCCGCTTAGTTGCATGGAAACCTTTGCTTAAAGCATCGCATCACCGCCACCAACGAGCACCGCAAAACCCGCTCCGATGAAAGTGCAGCCTAGCACACTGATCCACTTGAGCTTATGTCCAAGCAGCACGTCTGCAATCTCGACTAAAATGGTAGTCATCAGACAGCTAACCGATGCAAGCACAGGTCCCCAAAGCGAGAGCAAGATCATGAATGCCGCATTGAAGAAGATTCCGCATAGCACGACCATGGCAATCGAGACGTAAGTGCGAAGATTGTGCGGGAGCTCGAAGGTTTCCCATCCCAGCTGGTGAGCGATGATGATTCCAACCCAAAAGGTGGTAAAGGTTGTGACTCCGATCCCGGCGGTCATAACGTTGGCATGAAGGCCGAAGGGTAGCGGCGGAGGGATGGAAGGATGGGAAACTTTGCGATAGCACGACGTCCTGCCGCTGAGTCCCGGTGCTGGGCCGGCAGACAATGGATCCTCAAGCGAGTCGTCTGCATAAGTGGACGCTAGATGCGAAGTGGAGAGGTGCGAGCGCGTACGATGCAAGCGAGTAGCACCAGAAAGCACCAGTTGTTCTTCCTCCTCGTCTAGTTCTGATTCTGTCAGTTGGCTCTGCTCGTCTTCGTCCCTGTTGTCCTTAGCCCCATTCGAGGCACGAACCGCTTTTGCATGCACGCGCACATTGTCCGCTTTGGCCTCTTGCTTGTCATCGAAAGAGGTGGAAGGCTCCGGTGGAGGGGTGATGCTTTGGTAATCAAGGTGATCTTGCTCAATGAGCTTGTCGACCACAGTTGAGTAGGTCCGTGCGTCGCTCGAGACGCGTCTCTTGTCATCATCGTCATCATGGCCGCCGAGAACGTGCTGACGCGACTCTGTATCGTCGTGAGAAAGGGTGCCAATATCGGCATTGAAGCCGCTACGGTGTCCTTCTGACGTCGAATTGCGGAGAAGACCCTCGCTTTCGTGTCCAAGCTGTCGACAGTCCTCGTCGGTATCTTGATAGCGGACGTAGCTGCGTGATCGTCGATTGCGACCGCGGGGAACAGCCGAGTACATCTCAGCTTGCTTTTGTTCGTCGGGTAGCGTGCCAATCAGTTTAAATGCCATTTCAAAGGCCGCCATCGTGACTGCACCGATGAAAGCCAGCATGTCACCGAGGACGGGATTGTAAGCGCTACCGACGGGCGGCTCGGCATCTTCTTCTCTCTTTCGCAGCAACCTAGAGAGAAGGGCTTGTATTGAGCGACGGACGACCTCACCTGCAGAATCTCCAGACGTTGGCGGTTTGCGATGCACTGGGTCGATCGGCTTTGGCAACTTGCTATGATCTGCTCCACCATATGCGACAATCACGACACCAAGACAAGCCAGCAGCACGGAAAAGACCTTCCTCTTCTGCCATTTCTCTCCCAGAAACCAAACGGAGAAGACAAGCGCCCACACGGAGAAAGTGTTGTAGATGGCTGTGATATCAGCCATCGAGGTCATCGGCACCGCGCAATACCAGCTCAGCGCCGGTATTGTGATTCCAACCGTCAACACCAAGAATAGACCGGCAAGACGCAGCACGTTGAACCCAAACTTTTGCTCCAGCGCAGATATCGGCCGCCTTCCTAAGCTCTCTGGCTCGCGGTCTCGAGCATCCACTGCACTGACCAGCCGCCTGCCTCTACCTGAAGCCTGGCTGGGTCGATGCCGAACAGCGTCGGGCCTTGGGACGGGTAATGTTGAAGCTGGAGTCTCGAGCTGCCATCTCAAGTTCTGAGCAATGAGATGGAGATAGTGGGCGATAGGACGTTTTGTCGTCCATTTGAGAAAGTAGAGATGCAAAGGGAAGAGTAGCAGAAATCCACTGTGCCCGAGATAAAGAGAGAGGAAAGGTTTGCGGTAGTTGAGAGACTGCTGGACGTATTGTGCAAACTCTGTTTGGAGTGTGTAGGCAAAGAGACTTAGAACGAAAGCAGCAATAGCTTTGCCTCCACCGGCGAGGTTCATGAAGCTTGCCTTCTTCGGCCGCCGAGTGGCAGATGCGCGGTCTTCATTGCGCTGATCGGCATAGCTGTCTCGAAAGATGTTGGCTGACATGCTCTGCTCTTCTGTAGCGTCCGAGGCTTGTTCGGAAATGGCCCGGAGGCAATCCTATTAAAGTAAGATTAAGGTTCGAGGAGAGGCGTGAGAAACAGGAAGCCCGCCTGTCTTTCGTCGGTAAAGGTATCGGAAAGGCCGATTTCAAGAAAAAAGTCGCAATGTGCTTCTGTGGTCTGGCATCAGAGTGTAGTGATGGGAAGCAGAACGAGTGTGGCGCGCGATGCTGACTTGCACCTTCGGAAAGGCCGTTTGGTGGGGAATGACATGAGTTGCAAGAGAAAGTTGTCGAGCTACAAGGGCCTTTATATGCCATCTGTTGTTTGCTTTGGTGCCTTTCTGAGAAAAGCCGCAACACGAAAGAATGTCCTCAAATTATATTCACCCAAGCTGCTCTCTCAACACGGGCCATGCCTTTTTCCTACACTTCCACGTCTCCTATTCATCCCTTGGCCATCCCCCGCCTCCCATCCCACACACCTCATCACATTGGATCGGCAGCGCCAATCTACGGCTGCTACGACTATGGCCTCCGCTTCAGGCTCTCGTTCGCTCGTCCCTCCAGATCTTCTAGCTGTCCACGCTTCGTTCCAAAGATATAGTCAGGATGTCACCAACCATCAAATCCCTCGATTGCAGACATGCAAATGTGCCTCGCTCTTAACAGACTACGAAGCTGAGCTCATCTCTTCTATCGATGGTCTCAAGCGTCAAGTCAATGATCTAAAGCTTGCTGTTGACGAAGCCGAATCAGAAGCTGAACGTCGAGAGATCGCCTCGCTGGTCCTCCAAGTGAATCAGCAGCTCGAAGAGTGAGTAACTCGACATGCTGCCCTGCGCATCTGCCCACCTCGTTAGCTGACATGTCTGCATCTAAATTCTTGTGTCGACAGGATCCGCCAATCCGTCCGCAGAGCTCTCCTCGCAGCCCGACGATCCATTGAAAACGTACGCACAGCCGAAGCTCGTGCCGGCCTCCAACTCGCCGCTGACTCGGCCAAAGAACGGACCGGCGGCCGTGGAGGAGGCTCCTCTTCAGAAGACAAACTCATGACCGCCTCTCAAGACGTAACCGACGCTCTCCGTCGCACTGTCTCTCTCATGTCATCTGAACTCGAAAAGTCAGCTATGTCATCTCAACTACTCGAAGAATCGTCACAAACCATCTCCTCGCTCTCATTCCAGTACGGATCATTGACAACACTCATGACGAACTCTGCAAAGATGATCAAGACGATGGAAAGGGAGGATTTGATCGGGAAAGGAGTGGTTGCGGCCTCATTTTTGTTCTTCTTGGCCTGTGTAGGATACATTGTCTATGTGAGGTTGATCAGTAAAGGTATAGGATTGGTGGGATTCTTCTTTAGGTTATTCGGCTTGAATAAGTTATTGCCTGGGTCAGCAAGTCGAGGGGAGGCCGATTTAAGGGAGAAAGCAGAGTTGTTGAAGGATATGGGGAAGGCAGTAACGAGTAGTGAGACAGGCAAGTTGGTGGCGGCGGCGCTGACGACGGCGGTTGCCTCTGCTGTTTCGTCTGCTGCGGCGAAGAAGGCGGTGAAGGAGAAAGTGGTCGATCTACAGGATGATCTGGGAGAGCTGGTGGAGACGGTCATGCCTGAGGATCCGGCTAAAGGACACAGAGATCTACCGAAAACGAAGGCAAACACACTTCCTGTCGAGCACGTTGAGCTATGATCCTCGCTTCATCGCTTTCCCTTCATCACTAGCATTGTATTTGTGCGCTCATCCCAAGCACTCTGTGACGCGCTGACACTGAAGATGCAGCTCAATCTGATCCTGAGTGTGATCAAGAGTCTATGCAAAATGAGTGAAACAATAGTACAACGGCATTTTGGCGCTTTGTGGAAATCAGAACGACGTTGCGGTGGCAATAGCAGTCTCGCTAGAGCCATCGGCAGTGACCGTTGCAGTAGCGGTAGCGGTGACAGTTGTGTCAACGAGCTGGTTGCCGATGCGAGGTGCCGACCCCCTGGTCACAAGTTCGGTAGGAACGGGCAATTTGGCAGCTGCGAGTCGAAGTGCCTCCTTTGCAACTTCAGGTCGGATCTCGACAGGTCCACCAATTTCAAAGATGACTTTGCCCATGTTGGCTCTGCAATACACAAAAGCAAATGTAGAAGGTCAGCGGCTGTCACGCGTGAGCTTGTCAATAGAACCAAGGATGGAAGGGGAGAGATGCTTACCTGCAAGCCCAGTATTCAAAAGCACCCTTACCCTTACCCATACGAGTCTCGTTACCCTTGACACAAACGGGGATATCTGGGAAGACACGCAAAAAGACCTGTGCACCTTTGACCACCTTCAATTTACGCTTGAGCGCTGTCTCTGCTGCCACAAGCTGCTTGGCTGACAGACGAGTAGGTGCGAGTAGTCGAATGCCGTAAGCGCCTTCCTGGACAGTGGTGCCTTTCGTGGATCCACCGGTGTTGAATGGGATGGTGATCTTGTGTGCTTTGCGGTACTTTGTCCTTCTTGGTGCAAGGTCACCCTTGTGACGGATGGAACCAAGCTGTAATGAGGCTGAAGTGGAGTTTGGAAGAGTGGGACGAGAAGACGAGGCCATGTGAAGAGAGCCGACCGAAGAGGACGAGAGTCGCGAGGCCGAGGCGAATGAAGATGGTCCTCCAGAAGCGGCTGAGCCGACCGTGAATCTGCCAAAGGCGGCAGTCAGCGAGGAGAACATGATGCGAGATGCGAGCTGATCAGAAGTGGTGGTGGTTGAAGGCGAGGGGGAGTGGTGATATGCAAGATGTGTCCAAGCCGTGCGATGAAAGTGTGCAAGATTGAAAGATGTAACCTCGAGACAAAAATGTCGAGCTCGAGCATTCTTCCGAAAATTAGGGGAAAGCATCGGGCCGTCCACTGCCCGATGGGCGTCCTGATCTGGCATCATTGGCGATTGTCACCAGTCAGATCAAGCTCTGCGGAATGCGTGTGTTTGTGTTTGCTCTCTTTGAAGGCTGTAAATCTGCACCTAACAAGCGGTGCTCACTCGCCACAACCATAACTCTGTGAGTCGCATCCCACCCTCATCGCGCAATAGCAACACTTGCCTTGCTAGCTCGCATCATTATACGGATTTACCAACCAGCAGGGCTGAAAGGCTAGATGTCCACCTCGGCAGACCGAACATACGAGCAGCAGAACGACTCGGCGCTCGACGCACTCTACTCAAAAGTCTCCTCTCTTCGTTCGCTGACAATCGACATCCACAACGACTCGGAGAACCAACGGTCAGGTCTTCTATCACAGACTTCAGATCAGTTCGATAACTTCGGATCCCAGCTCTCGAGGACATCAAATCACTTCTCGGGGACCATCATCAACGGCGCGAGACAACATCGATTGGCGTTATACATCATCGGTGGATTCGTAGGACTGTGGTTGCTCTACAAGCTCTTCCTTTAAGTGACAAGATAGTGACAGGTATGAATGGACCTGCGCTCCGGTCAACGGCCGGTAGCCTTACTCGTGCGGTCTCCCGACAGGCTATTGCCCCTCGCTGTGTCACCAGAGCGGCCTTATCCGCAGGTTATAGCACGGCAACTCGAAATCTTCAGCGTCGATTCCCATCACCACATCCGGCGGCACGTCGTCTTATCAGCCAGCCATCCGCTGTGATCTTGATGTGCTTGTCATACAGCACCTCATCCAACACAGCACCGCTCAAGTCGTGCCCGAACTGCTCGGAAGCACAACCACTCGAATCGCTTTCTTGTCCCAAGTGCACCACGCTGCAACCGCTACCATCCGAGGTTGACTTTTTCAAAGCGATGGATCTCGACTTTGCTTCTGTTCCCAAAGGCGGTTGGCAAGTCGATACTAACGCGCTGAAACGAGCTTGGCGTCTCAAGATGGCTGTCACTCACCCTGATCGCATGGTCGGTCGGTCCGAGAAGGAACAGCAGATTGGCGCCCAGCAGAGTGCACTCATCAACCGCGCTTACGAGACGCTACTCAACCCTCTGCCACGAGCTCACTATTTGCTCGAGCGACATAATGCTCCGGAAGTGTCCGAGTCTGATTCACTCGAAGACGCAGAATTGCTGATGGAGGTCATGGAGCTCAGAGAGAGGCTGGAGGAAGCAGAGAATGAGCAAGAAGCTGCAGAGGTGAGGGCGGATAACAAGAAGCTCTTGGACCAGACAGAGGAGACTTTAGCCCAGGCATTCGCTCAAAATCCTCCTGATCTTGAGACGGCACGACAAGCTGCTGTGCAGTTGAGATACTGGACGAATATCGAAAAGGCTGCAAGAGAGTGGTCGCCTGGAAAGAGGGTTGAGCTGCAGCATTGATGGCGTGCAGGTGTTCCTTGCCATCAAGAAAGTTACTACTACTCGACTTTGTACATATCCGAACGGTCGCAGCACTGAACACGTATAGATTTTCCTCTAGCCAAGAGTGTGAGGTAATGACAGCCTTGAACAACAATCAACAATCGTGCCTGTTGTGCCTGTTGTTCAAGGCAATGAGACACGATGCAAAGCACACTTGCATTCTGGATCTCTTGCAAAGGTGGATGACGTGAGACACGGAACACATTCTAAGGGGCTCAACCGGCAGGGCGAAAGAACAGCCCTCGGCGCCACTCGGAACGTAGCTCGTTCATGCCCTTGTATCGCAATCGATCGCCATGCTCGATGACGGACATACAGAAGCCACAAAGAAACGAGTAAGAAGGCATCAAGACGCGCCTTTTCTTGAGCCCACGTCTCAGCAGCAGCTCAAGGCACGGAAAAGAGGTCGACCTGCCAAGCGCTCTCTTTGTGGCAGTTCCATTGTTCAAAGCGCACGTACCTACAGGAATTAGACCCTCGAAATGTGGGGGGGGAGGGGGTTAGCCTAGGCGAATGCTGCAGATTTCGTTGCGCTGCGCTGCGCTGCGCTGCGCTGAGAGCTGCGCTGCGCTTCGCTTTGCGATTGCATTCGAGAGAGAGGGCTTAGGCGGCGGCGGCGGCCACATGCAATCTGTCAGTCATCAATTTGATGTCAGTGAGACAGTCAGATTGTGAACATAGACCCGAATCAATCAACCTCCCCGGATGGACCTCCCTTAGCCTCTTATAACATGTATTTAGTCCCGCTCTTGGGCAGGAATGTACATACACACACTACACTTGAACAAGGCGCGTGATGGCGTTGCGTCTCGTTTCGTTTCGTTCCCCGCTACAACTTGGCAATGCAACTCTCGACTTCATATCAACCTGAAATGAGAAGCGAAAAGAAAGCTCGAAGCAACTGCAGAATGAGCTTCAGTAGTCGGGCGTGATTGATATGAGAGTTGCGCTTCTTGCGCTTCGTTACTCATCTGCCCTCCTCTTTCTTCCTTTCTTTCTTCCTTTCTTTTGTCCCACCACCTCCTTCACCTCTTTTCCCTTCACCTCTTTTCCCTTCACCTCTTTTCCCTTCTCCTGTTCCATGTCGATCATCCTCGCATCTCGCCCTGATTCCTTATCGGATAACGTCAACAAAGACAAGGGACAGCACCTTTAATCTCGCCTCCATTCCGTTTCAGCTCCCGTCTCGTCCACCTTTTCATCGCCGTTGTAACGCCTCATTCCCAGTGCCTTTCCGTAGCATAGAAGTGACGTCTCCGATCGTCCAACACTACTTTTTCCTATCAACCCGCCCGTACCCGAGACGCTGTTCGGAGCTCGTCCAATCAACACCAAGGGTGCCATTCTCGACGCCATCCTCTAGCGACGACGACCTCAAGCCCGTGCCAATAGCTACACTTGTTGCTGCTGTCACCAGCAAGATAACTTGATCGTCAGTCAATCTGGCAGGCTAGCATTTGCGAGGTCGCTCGTCCTGCCATCGCCATCGTGACCTATGGCAGCCGCGAAAGCTCGCTTCGAGACCGCGCATAGTGGCCCTCGCCGTCCTGCTACCTTGGTCCATCTTCAAAGTGTTTCGGAATCGATGAAAGCTTGACGATTAGCAAGAAGAAGCTCCTTTCCTTTTCCGCAAGGTACCCTGCAGTAGACATACTTTCGCCGCGCATCCCGTTTTGTTCGTTCAAGAGAGCTTCCAAGAGTCGATATAGCAGACTTTCCATGGACTCAAACAAGATAAGGCGCCGATACAAATTCCAGCGATAAAGATCCATAGACCAGACCCGTCAAGAAAGACTATACACGCAAACGTCGGCAAGATTGTACGCTTCCAGTAACCGGTCATTGTTCGTCAAGGTCGACCTCAGATATACCACATAGACACGGGATTGCACAGGTGAGTCGATTGATCCAATTTGACGTGTTCGAAAGAAGAGAGAGGGAGAGGTGTCCTTGGTGCGTTTCGATTCCGTTGGAAGAGGAAGAGGTATACGGCAAGTAGCAATGATTGGGATGGGATGAAATTGGCATGCAAGCCAGAGATGGTCTCGACTCCTGAATCGACGTTGGCGTAATCGAGTCGAAGTTGTTGCTTTGCTCTTCTTTGCTCTGCTTTGCTCTGCTTTGCTCTGCTTTGCTCTGCTTTGCTTTGCTTTCCACCAGGCTCAGCGCAGTGCAGCAATGCTTGGCACGGCTCTTCCGCCTTCTCTTATCCCTATGCACCCAAGTCTATCGCAGTGAGTGACAAGATGCGGCAGCTGAGCCGGATCGCGACACGGGATGCTTCCGAACCATGACCGTCCTTGTGTCCGTGTCGCCCTATCCGTGACAAGGCCAGGCCAGGAGCGGGCGGGCGGACCATGGTGCCGTGCCCTGGGCTGTAGGCGAGTCGCCGAGGCAATCACAACAACAATCACAATCACAATCACAATCACAATCACAATCACAATCACAATCACAATCACAATCACAATCACAACGACAATCACAACGACAATCACAACGACAATCGGGACGCATACAGCTGGTCTATGCTCGCATCGACCTCGGTTTGGCACGAGCAAGCCGCGGTCTCTGTCTCTCAAGCTGCTGCTGCTGTGTGTCCGGGTGGCACAAAACTCTAAAGGCGACCCCTTTCTTCTTGTGCTCCCATGCAGGGATTAGGCTGTTATGTCTCTGCTTCGCTTGCCGGTGCTTTTGCTTTCCTTTGGTCCGGCCTTCACGATCATCCCGTCTCAGCTGGGTACCACAGAAACATGATTCTCGCATCGAGAGGCTGACGAGAAGGGAGTTCGCAGCGCCGATCAGGATGCCATTTCCCTTGCGCGACCTCAACTAGCAGTCATTCGAGCCCGCTGTTGAGATGGACGCTGTTTTGTTTTGCTTTTTCTTTCCACGGAAGCGCCGCCTCGTTACAGTTTCTAGTCTCGCACACTATCACATCGTCACATTTAGCCATGCCTGGCCAAGAAGCCGGCAGCAGTCAGCCATTCAGCCGGATCGAAAGGGTTCAGCGTCTTCTGGCTGGCGCGCCCGCCCTCCGGAAAATTTTCCCACGCCTGAGGCTCGAGTCAGGTCGGCAGCCGTGCTCTCTGCTACCACTGCGGCTGTCTATAGTCATCTCTCGGAGATCCTGTCTCACAAAGAGAATGATCCCTTGTTCTCCTCTCGATAAGATCACATTCAGAAATGCCAAAGACAGGACGAGTCTGCTCAAGGTGCGGCGCTCTTGTCCTCGATCTGGCTTCCTTGACATGGGCGAGGAAGGAACAAATGGCCTTCTTGCCCTCGGACCCAGCAAAGTTGATGGTCCTTGGTCACAACGGCTCAGCTTCAAGATCGCACGAGCCAATTACATTCTCAGCATCAAGCTGCTAGTACGGTGCTCTGAGGCAGAAATGGCTGAGCCTTTGGCTCCCGACGAGCACCGCCCCTTGCAATCGGTGCGCTTGCCTTGTTTCTTGGCGCTGATATTTCTCCGTTGCTCTGCTCATCTGCTTCAGCGCATGCGCCAACTTGAAGGAAGAAGAGCAAAGCAAAAGGCTCCAGAAGCCCAAAGTCCAGATCAACTTGAGCCGGGGCGAAAGCCTAAACTCGGCTTGGCTTGGCTTCAAGCATCGTCGGATACTTAAACTCCTCCATTCTTGGCCCTTCCCGCCCTCGAGCGACGCTTCGGCGCTTCTTTCCTCCTCATCTTCTGCCATCTTTCTTCGATTCCTCTTTTCGCTTTGCAACTCCATAGTTTGTTCCTCCTCCCTCAGTTGTTCCTCCTTCCTCAGTTGTTACTCTACACCATCACCATCCAGTCTTGACGCCACTACACAAAGACGTCGCTATTGGTCATTTTTCTCTCCCTTTCTTTCTTCGCTTTCTCTTTTGTCCTTTGCCTACACTGAAACTGATTCGAATCTTCTCTGACTGACCTCCCCGAACCTTTTTCTTAAACACGATTTGCGTCCACTGCCCAGCACCGACTCGCACGTCGTCAACCATCGTCGCAAAATCAAGCAGCCGCTTGTTTCTGCCGAGACCTTCCCGCGCAGACCTAGAAGCAGCAGAACTCCATTGTGACCAACGACAGGAGCTGTCCGGCCTCAGCGGTCCATTTCGCAACATCAAGCGGCCACCATCAAGCCGATCGCTCTTGACACAGCCTCACGCCAAATTTACAATTCAATCTGCAAAGCATTGCTTCCTGTAGGCTTTGCGCTACTAAGAGTCGCTCGTCGCCACGAGCAAAGCACCCCAATTTCTACTCAGCCTTGCTCCGAGCCGTAAATACAGACGCCAGTAGACGCTCTCTGGCCTTAGACCTAGACTTTCCACAGCTGGGGAAGGGCACATGTCTATACGGAACGTGATCTCCACCAGTCACATCTGCTTCGACCTTGTTTCGATCGGCACATACACACACACACTATATCTCGTTTCATACAGTAACAGCCTGGTCTGAGCGCAGGTCCCAGCGAGCAGCATGGCGGAGGTCGATGATCCTGCTCGGGCTCGCGCTGTCCAAATTGCTCCTCCAAGCTCTTCGAGCTCCCCAATGCCACACCAAGATGACGGTGAAGACGGCCGCCGACGACAGGTCTCGTCGAGCTCGCCTGGCTCTTCTCCTTCGCCGCAGTCGAACCCTTCACACCCAGCCTCGCTCAATGGCGACGACGCTCGACACGGCACTTCGCCTGCCACTTCGGTCGACGTTCCATCCATTGCGCCAGCTTCTTTTGGCCTCAAGCTCGACATTGGCTCAACCACTGCACAGAGCCGCCAGGATCAGTATGCATCTTTCAACCGTGCTTGCGTCGCTCGTTCGCCGCATCCGCTTGATGGATCGCAAGAGGCTCGAGCCTCCCTCGCAGCTCGATCTGGAGGCATCTTAGCCACGATGCAGGAGGAAGGCTCGGAATCTGGTTTCAATGAAAGCCGACGCGAGTCGACGCTTGGCTTCGACACCCACCAACCGTACACTAACATGGAGCAAGCCCTGCCTGCCTTTCGTCATCGCTCCGCGTCCAGCGCTGCAGCGCTAGCTCTCCACGGCAATGGCTCTTCCTTTGCAGATTGTTGGGGCAGCAACGCAGCTGGACGCATCGCGCCTGCTACAGGTATGCCCTCGAGGACCATCTGGGAAGGCCGCAATGTCGATGCAGTCGCGGACAACGGAAGCTCGATTGGCAACGCATCGCAGCGACCCATGCCTCAGCTTCATCGTGGCTTCTCTGTCTCATTTATTCGCAGCAAGCCAGAGTCGTCGTCTCCTTCACCCTTACTGAGCTCGCCCGCAGGCTTCCATGAGCTTGGCTTCGACTTCATCGACCCTTCACTGCGATCGTCACGCACCAGCATCCATGCCGTATCGTCTCCCTTCGGTACTGCACCTGATCTTCCCGAGCTGTCGTCGTATCCTGACACAGCTGCAGAAGAGCTGCAGCGTTCAGCTCCTGGCGCCGAGTCGCGACGTCATTCCGTCGCAGGCACAGGCCCCACCCGAGAGTCAGCCGGCGTCATCGGAGGACATCGACGCGCCATTGGCTTTGACGTGGCTGGCTCTTTCGGTCAAGACAACAGCGCTCCAGCCTCAGCAGCGGCTGATGGAAGATGGCCTCGTGCAACCGGCCCCCACAGGAGGGATCGTAGCGCCACCAGTGTGACGCCTGGCTTTAACCCTTTTGCTGGCGGCAGTCTTGCCTTGTCGATGGACGACCTCGCCGGTGACTTTGACTTCGAACCTACCCCGCGAAAGGATGGACAGCGTTCGAATGCAGCAGACACCAATGCCCATGCAGCGTCGATGCCATCGGCCTTTGACGACCATGGCAGTTTCCGCGCCGGATCCATGGGCTTCGCCGATGCACAACGCATCAGCCGCAGTGGTATGGATAGCATCTCGGCTAGTTGGGACATTATGACACCTTGGCAGATGGCAGCTCGCTCCCCTGGCGGCGGTGAAGGTCAGCGAACCTTGGCTGAGATGACGAGACGGCTGCGACAGATGTCTATCGGCGGTGGCGACGACGGACGAAGCAGGCCACATGCCTCGGGCTTTGCCTCGATCTTGGACGGTCAGGGTGAGGGAACTCGCACGGTGCGAGCTAGTCCAGGCACGTCGCCAACTGGCGTTCGCGGCTCGTCGAACGCAAGCGGTCTGTCAGCCCACGCCAAGTCTTTCACGACTTCTCAGGCCATGCCTTGTATGATGCAAGATCAGCTCGACGGCATGACAGGGAGTGGATTGCCCGGCTTTGGCTACGGAGCACCATCCGCAATGGCTCCAAGCAATCGTCCAGCAGCACAGATGTCGATGAAGTCAGCCCAGCTGCCGCAGCCGCAGCTCCCTTTCGCGCCTGCTGCGATGGGTCTTCCTGCTCTCGGTAGTATTCCAGCGCTGTCGGCGAACGATCTTACCTTCTCGAGTCTGGCTGCGCTTGGTCCTATGCCACCGTCGTCGATGGGACCTCCTGGTGTCGGCTTGGGACGCCTCGGCGGACCTCTAACAGGCACTGGCGTTGCAGGTGAGCTTCAGGATCTTGGCAAGGGTGTGCCGCTTTCCAATTTGTCGAAGGACACGCCACTGTACATTGTGAAATTCAAGCAAGGCCGCACCGATCTGTTCTTCCGATCGACCTCGCCTTCGCAGTCTCCGTCCAGCCGCGATCGCGATCCCATTCGTCGCGGCGACCTCGTTATTGTCGAAGCCGATCGCGGCAAAGACCTTGGCACGGTGGTCAACGATAGCATTACGGTAGAACAAGTGCAAGGCTTTCTCGCTCATCAGTCGGATCTGACTATCGGGACGGCAGCAGTGGGAGCAGCAGCGGGCATTCATGGTCAGAACAGCAGCAATAACAATAGTAGCAACTTGCTGACCGGTTCTGGCAGTGGCGATGAGACAGCCTCGAACGCCTCTGGTCTCAGTGGCTCGCCCGCTTCGACGCACGCTTCAGCGTCGACCAACAACAATTGGCAGCCAGCAACGGGACCTCGACCGATGCGCACCATCAACCCGAAGCGCCTCTTCACCAAGGCCACGGCTGCCGACACAAGCACGCTCTACTCGAAGGCGCAAGACGAGGAAAGAGCTCTGCAGCTGTGCATCTCGAAGGTGATGCAGCGCGGCTTGCCAATGAGTGTGGTGGCCGCAGAGATGCAGTGGGACAGGCGCAAACTCACTTTCTACTACACAGCCAGCATGCGAGTCGACTTTCGGGATCTGGTTAAGGAGCTCTTCCGACTGTACAAGACGAGGATCTGGATGTGCCATCTGGGCCATCCGAGCAGCGCCGGGATGGGTTGAGATGGTGTTGCGAGCCCTGGCGCCCAATGGTGACAGCATGTCCAACAGTGATTTCTAACTCTCGTATGATCTCCTCAAAATCGACCCCGAGGCTGTAATTATTGAATGCCGTATCATTTCTATGAAGCTATTGATCGCGACTGTTTGATGTTTGTGATTCCCTTGGTTGTCAAGCGTGCCAAGTGGATATAAGGAACTCTCTTTTAAAATAAGCATCAACTCTGTGTGAATTGACGCGACAAAAAGTGGCATTGAAATTGCTCAGAAGCAGTAGCCAAAAATCGAGATGAACTTACACGGCGAAGGCTTGCATCACGTGATCCGTCATGAAGGCGTGCCCGTCTGGGCTGGACTCGTCCAGACGGGACGCAGAATAGCACTGCACCCAAAGGCGAAAGCTACTTGAGCGGGACAGATTCAACAAAGCATAGCCTGTTGATCATCATCAGAAGCGACCAGAAGCGATCAGTAAGGGAAGATGGCCAACTGCTCACATCAAGTTGCAATCGCATGTCCGGCACTGATGGAGCGACCCCGCACGAGCCACGGCGAAAAGTGCGTGGAGGATTTGAGTGTGTATGTAAATGTAGTTCTGTCTGATGGAAAGTCGCCTAGAAATTCGCCTAGAAATTCGCGTCCCGATCTGAATCGGCCGCTGCTTTGGGACAGAAAGCGACAAGTGAGAAGCGAGAAGGTTCACTGATCTTGTCCATACGATTCGGCAGCGAACAGTGTCATCCGTCATCCCGCACAGACCACAGCCTTTCCTCGAACTTGCAATCTGGAGAACACCATCCGATCCGCTTTCCATCTCCACCAACTCCATCCGCTTTGTATCGAACGAACTTTGCCATCCACCCTGTCTTGCCTTAACTCTCAATCCTTCTTGACTACCATCCGGATACCTTGCATCGACTCCAAGTCTCGCTGCTCTACGTTCCTACCTGCGGGAACCCTCTCCACACTCTCGACAGTCCAGTGCAAGGACGCTCTTCCTTTGTTTCTCGACACTTCCAGAAACTGGTCGGGCAAAGATTGCAGCCATGCAGAGCCCAGCACCATCAGGCTCGGGCGGGCCAACTCCTCCTATCGCTCTCTCACCTGTAGAAAGGAGCGCCTTTGCCCACCTCTTCAATCTCGCCGACCCAGAACGCACAGGCATCGTAACCGGTGATGCTGCCGTCTCCTTCTTTGCCAAGTCCAAGCTTCCCCCTGCTGTCCTCGGCCAGATCTGGGCTATGGCCGACAGCGCCAACAATGGTTTCCTCACTCCTCCCTCCTTCAGCATTGCGTTGCGACTGATCGGCCATGCTCAGCGTGGAGAGACCATCACCGAAGCTTCGATCAAGCGTCCTGGTCCACCACCCACTATGGAAGGCGTCAACCTTCCCCTCACCGCCCAGCTCACAGGACCGCAAACAGGCCCTGCTGCTGCCACCAACATGCCAGGTGTCATCGAGATCAAGCCCGAGGATCGTGCACGCTACACACGAATCTTTGCCAACTCTGGACCTGTTGGAGGACTCATCGAGGGCGACCGTGCCAAGGAGATCTTTGTCAAGTCCAAACTTCCCTTTGACAAGCTCGGTGCCATCTGGAACCTTGCCGATACCCAAGCCCGTGGTGCTCTCGACCTCACCGACTTTACTATTGCCATGCACTTCATCCAAAACACGATGAATGGCACTCTCAATTCGATTCCTGCAGCCCTTCCTCCTGGTCTCTATGAGCAGGCCAAGGGTTCAGGTGGCGTTGGCTCTCGTGTCATCCCTGCTTCACCGCTTGCTGCTCAAAACACTGGTGGTTCCGCTTCCGGCTTCGGCTCGTCCGCTATTCCACGTCAGATGACTGGGTCTGGCTTCCCTGCTGGATCTTCGTTCCAGTCTCCTCAACAACCGACTTCCAACCTTGCCGCCAGCGGAGCTGCCTGGGATGTCACACCGGAAGAGAAGGCGCGCTCTGATCAGTTCTTCGATGGCTTGGACGTATCCAAGCAGGGCAAGCTCGATGGTGCTGCCGTTGTTCCCTTCTTTATGCAGAGCAAGCTTACCGAGCCAGTCCTGGCACACGTCTGGGATCTTTCCGACATCACTCAGAGCGGCACACTGTCCAAGGGTGAGTTTGCCGTCGCTATGCACCTCATCAATGACCAGCTGGCCGGCAAGCCTTTGCCCCAGGAACTTCCTTCGAGTCTCGTTCCTCCTTCAATGCGCAACATGAACCTGCCTGCAGCTGTCAACCCGCAGCAGTCCGACACACAAAAGGATCTTTTCTCCCTCATGGATGACGACCCGCCGCCTCCCACCATCTCAGCTTCTTCTGCTTTTATCACTCCGTCATCGGCTGCTCCCGTTGTAGGCAACACGCAGAGCACACCCTTGGGCACAAGCAGCCCTGCTCCAGCAGCGGCCCCCGCTTCAACTTCTGCACAACGCTCTACTCCTGGTCCTTTCGATGATGACTTCTTCGGCGGTGATACTGGATCTTCGAGCACCCCACTCGCTGCTTCCCAGCCCAGCCAACCTTTTGCTGCTGCTCTATCACCATCCGCTACCGGTGGAAGCTTTGGCAGTGCTGCTGCCTTCCGATCGCCCGGTGTCATGTCTCCCACAGGTGCTGCTTCCCCTTCTGCTTCAACTTCTCGTCTCGGAAGTGCCTTCGGAGGTACCGCCGCAGGTGTTGCTTCGGGCGCAGCTGCAGGTGCTGCTTTGGGCAGCGGCATTGGTGGAAATGACCAAAGCGTCGAATACGGAAACAAGTCTATCCAGCTTCAGAGCACCGAGAAGGCTCTCTCCGATCTCCAGTCGAAGCGAGGCCAGCTCGAGTCTTCGGTCGCTACTAACGCATCGACCATCGCTGAGCTGGAGTCGCGCCTTGCTACTGTTCGTGGTCAGCACGAGACCGAGTCCAAGCTGGTCAAGGACCTTGAGGAACGTCAGCAGAAGCAAAACCAAGAGCTCAAGACGCTGCGCGAAAACGTCATTCGTGAAGAGAGCGAGCTCAGTGCCCTCAAAGCTGAGAAGGACGAGCTCGAACAAGCTCTTATGCGCGACCGTGAGGATGCGCGCGACATGAAGAAGCGCATGAACGATGTCCAGACTGAGACCAAGTTACTCAAGGAACAGCTCGAGAAGCTTCGCAAGGATGCTCGACAGCAGAAGGGACTTGTTGCTATCAGCAAAAAGCAGCTCGCTACATCTGAAGCTGAGCAGGACAAGGTAGCAAGCCAGATTGAGGCGGTGCAGCGAGGCGAACTGGACGACGATGAAGCTGGGGAGCACCACACTGGTAGCAGAGATGTGGCTAGTGCTGCTGTAGCCCCTGCTCACGGATCTGCTGCTGAATCAGTGACGAGCCCAGCAGCCAGCGTTCGCAGCAACAACCCCTTCGACCGCTTCGGCCCAGGTGCCGCCGCATCGTCGCAGCCTGGCACTCCTGGCACTAGCCACCAGCCATCGGTCGGTGCATCGCCTGCAGCCGGAGCCAGTGCCGGTGCAGTGCTTGGTGGAGCCGTTGCAGCCGCTACCCACCACCGCGATAGCGACGGAGCACAACAAGGTTCAGAGGCGCAAGCTTCTCGTGAGGTCGACCCCTTCGGCATGCCTCAACCCGATCAGCAGCAGCACCAGGAGCAACAGACTCGCGATGCCTCGAATCTCGGCTTTGACGACGCTTTCGCCATTCCAGGCGAGCCCACCAGCACGTCGGCTGCTGGCCAAGGTCATACTCAAGGTGTCTCCGCTGACTTTGACGACAACTTCGGCGATGACTTTGGTGCTTTGGCCACCACAGCGCCGGCCACAGCCGCCGATTCTGCTGCAATTGCTGCGCCCGAGACATCTCGCAATGTGAACGCCTCTGAGCTCGCTGCTGCCGGCGGCGTTGGCGCCAGCGTGATTCACGTTGCAGAGCCCTCGCACCGCACTGATGCTCCGATAGCCACGAAGCTCGAGACTAGCGTGGACAACGACGCCGATGTCGATGGCCCCTTTGGTAGCAGTGCCGCTACCGCCGACAAGCAGCGTCCTGACGAGCCTGATGCAGATGAGGACAGCTCCGACGACGAAGATAACGGTCCCGAGGATCTCGAAGGCTACAAGGGCAAGAACATCGCCACTCCTATCGGAGGTGCTGCTGATCGCTTCCCCGACCTTGAAGCCTCAGGTGACGACGCTGCAGCTGGTACTGCTGCTCACCCTCTAGCTGACAGCGAGCGTACTGTTCCAGGTGGCCTTGAGGATGTCACTGCCACCACAATGCCTCCCTCTTCCGCTCCGGTCGATCCTACTGCAATCGGAGCCGTGCAGGACCGCACTTCTTCGACCACGTCGATCGCATCCGTCGGTCGTCATGAGACGGGCGATTTCGGCGAGGCTGCTACCTCCAACAAGATCGGCGACAGCCACGTTGGCGCTGGTACAGCTGCAGCTGGCGGAATAGGTACCGCAGCGCTTGCTGTGGGCGCTGGTGCGCTGACGCTGGGAGACCGAGGCCACGGCGACACTGAGCCTGAGCAGGCCGTCACTTCTCCTGCGGACGACAACGTGCCTTTGAGCCAGCTCATTGCTTCCAATAAGCCTGCTCTTGGCTCTACTGCTACCGACTCGACTGCTGCAGCCGACCCTTCGAGCAGCCCTAGCTTGTCCACGAAGACTCGACGTGCGCCACCTCCCGCCCCAGTGCGCAGCGCAACGTTATTGTCGACCACATCGGCTGCTCCACCTGCTGCTCCTACTGTGCTTGCCGCGGAGCCCACGGGCACCTCTGGCACTGCTGCTCCTGTTCACCCTGTAGACGACTCTGGTGCCTCGACCAACCCCTTCGGTATGGACGACTTTGGTGCGGCTCCTGCCACTACTGCGACGCAGTCAGCTGCGGGTAGCGGCGTGCAGCAGAGGGCGACGAATGACAGTGGCAGTGGAGGCAGCAACTTTGATGACTTCGATTCAGCTTTCGAGGACTTGGGTCCCAGTGAAACTGTTCCGACCGCGGCCACAGCAACTGCGGGTACCGCAGCTGCTGGTGGAGCGAACGCCGGCTTCGACGATGCGTTTGACAATGACTTCGATTTCGTGCCATCGTTCAGCGCTCCTGGCGCCGGTACCGCTGCTGCTCAACAGGACGCCGCGAGCCGTGCTGTTCCAGCCACGAGCGGAGTAACAAGCAGTAACCACGCTGCATTCGACGACTTTGATGCAGCTTTCGACAGCACTCCTGCTACCACCTCTGCTGCTACTACCTCTGCTGCTACTACCTCTGCTCCTCCCACTGGTGCTGCTGCGATCGCTACCCCAGCTTTCGGCTCCAACACCGCCGCCACTGCTGCCAACACCGACCGCGGCACAGCATCAAACACAACCTCAGGTTTCAGCTTCGAAGATGCATTCGACCCCACCACCAGCCAAATCACCTCAACCGCTGCACCTGCCCTCAACACCACCTCCATGCCCACCGCTGGCGCTGCCTTTTCAACCTCAACCTCGAACCTCACCTCCCCGACAGCTCCCGCTGGCACCTACGCTCCACCACCCGGTCCTCCCCCTGGTTTCACCTTGCCTCCTCCTTCGGTCCCATCTCGCTCCAATGCTGGCACTGGAACAGGAAGCGCCGCCCTTGAACAAGCTCCTGATTTCACTGGTGCATTGCCAGACGACGCAGGCCAGGTCAAACAGCTTTGCGGAATGGGTTTCACACGTCAAAAGGTAATTGAGGCTTTGGAGAAGTCGAACTATCGTACTGAGAAGGCTTTGGAGCGATTGCTTGCTTCTACCTAATCCACCGAGCCCTCACAAGGAATGTAAATATGGTTGATCACCTCACAGCATGCATGTGTGTTCTTGGGTTTGGGACTGTGTACAAGTGTGACTAGGCGTACAGAGCAGAGTTTGCTGGCTGACCGAACAGCGCTGACCATGAAGCTGGCTCTTTGAGCACCTTCTCTCCCCATCCTCTCAATTTTGGTTCTGACGAAGGTGTTAGGAGGTTGAGCAGGACCACATTTGCGAGATTGTGTGCGTCTTGTCTGGTGTCACCTTCAGCTGCGAAATACAATAACGCTCCCAACTTGACTTGGTTGCCTTCTGAGCTCTCTCCGACACGACGCAGCAGCTTTCGTGTCAATAGGGATCCTGGAATATGTGGCACCTTTGAGCTCTCTACCCTTTCATGTGAATTCTTTGGAGGCTTGAATGCTGGGAAGCGCTTCGAAACTGTGCTCAGCAGAGGTGTTGAAGCTGAGGCGTTAGGAGGAAGGAGATGCAGGATAGGCGTGGAAAACTCTTCATCCGTTCTTGCAGCTGCATCGATTGAGCTCAGCCATAGGACCTCGGTGAAGTTGGACGAAAGTATCCATTGGGTGAGAGCAGAGATGTACTCGGTGTCGCGCGATTTGTATACTGGTGAACGCTGTTGCATCACGGTCAAGGTTCCGTTTGAGAAGACTGTCCAGGCATGAAGGATGGGATCTTTAGCACGAGTTCATGGGACAGGCTGCGTGTGAGACAAGCTTACCTTCTAGCGCAGTCGTAAGGTCATCATCATCTGCAGAGTCGAAAGGTCCGACAAATGGGAAGCAGAAAGAAGGGTCGAGGCGGCCAACTTTGCGGAGCTTGAGGTCAGGGTGGTGCAGGACCAAGTCGATGGCCAGCTGGGGCACTGAGCCGATAGAGACTGCTGGTACAAGGAGCGTTGTGCCCTCGAGAGGAGGGAGGGATGTGCCTTGTACGGCTGTGAAGAACGGTGTCGCAGTCATCGTGCTTATGAAGAGGTTGCAGGAAGTAAGATGGTTGGTCGAGGTGAGGCTGTCCAGGAACGCTTGCGAAGACCTTCCAAGCGTTCAACGGACAGTAGCGTGTGGAGGCGGATTTTCTCAAAATGTTACACCGACCTAGCTGTTTCTCATTGAAAATGGGCCTGTGTGTTGGTCTTTCATGTTGAAGTTTGTAGACGTTTGGGTCCCGATACTGGCGATCGGGGAGAGTCTAAGTACGATGTCACTGCTGCTAAAAGACAGAAACATACATATACTCGATTGACTGAAAGAACGTGGTGAGAGCCTAGTGCTCTCAGCTTGATATATATACATCGTGGTGGCACATGCCGAGTGTGGGAGCATCCTACTTCATCACCTAGCTTGACAACGAGCGGGACTGTGTTGTACCCGATCTTTGGTCAGATCGGTCATCTAACCGGATCGGCTCTGCCTGATCTCCGATCAGATCGGCCCCGCGTCATCCTTTGGCGTCGCACTGGATCGCAATCTCCAGCACGTAACTGAAAGCCGCGTCGGTGTGCAGCTGCGTAAGTTGTGTGCCTTTCTGGAAGGCCGATCACTCCACATGGACACTTCCAATTTCGCGCCGCTCAGCACGCACTGTCCATCTTCGACTCCTCACTCTCAACAACATCGACCTTCTGACCAACTATACGCTTCACCTCAACCTTGCTCATCACCTTTGAAACAGACTAACGAGCACCAGCAGTCACCTTACGCTTCCCGAACATCTAAGCGCTGACAGCGCATCACACTACCACAATGGCAGCCACACTCAACCCGTCCGGTTCGACCTCCAACTCCGGCTTCGACTTTTCCAACTACTCACGTAACACCTTCCTCTCCAATTCCGGTCTCGGTGGCTTCACCGCCACTTCCACCGGTACCACCATTGTCGGATGCATCTTCAAAGATGGCGTAGTCCTCGGAGCAGACACTCGTGCTACAGAAGGTCCTATCGTAGCCGACAAGAACTGTGAAAAGATCCACTACATCTCCGACAACATTCGTTGCTGCGGTGCCGGTACAGCTGCAGACACCGAATTCGTCACTCAACTCATCTCTTCCAACATGCAACTTCACGAACTCAACACCGGTCGTCAACCACGCGTCGTTACAGCAATGACAATGTTGAAGCAACGATTGTTCCAGTATCAGGGAAATATTGGTGCAGCGTTGGTGTTGGGAGGCTATGATGCAACCGGACCGCACCTGTTCACGGTTGCTCCACATGGTAGTACGGATAAGCTGCCCTATGTCACTATGGGTTCGGGTAGTCTGGCGGCTATGGCGGTCTTTGAGAGCGGATGGGTGAAGGATATGGAGAGGAGCGAGGCTATTCAGCTTGTGGCTGCGGCGATCAGCAGTGGTATTTTCAACGATTTGGGTTCGGGTAGTAATGTTGACGTATGCGTCATCGAGAAGGGTAAGACGGAGTACTTGAGGAACTATGAGACTCCAAATGAGAGAGTGAGGAAGGAACAGAGGTATCAGTTCCCCAAGGGTACTACGGCATTTACCAAGGAGCAGATCTATGATATGATCAGGAAAGAAGGTAAGCTCGAGGCCATATCAGACACTGAGACTTACACGATCGAAAACAAATGCTGACCACTGCTCATTCTCTTTTGTTGCCACTACAGACGTGCTCGAGGTTGGAAAGAACGCGCCAGTACCAGTAGCCGCAACTGCCGGCGAAGAGCGCATGGACACATCCTAGACGTCTCGACTCTGTTCTCGCTCGTTTCTCTTGTACAATGACATCGCAATCCAGATTTGCATCAAACTAAAGCTAGAGACTGAGTTCGGGCTGGAAAGATGGTCCATTCAAACAAGTTGTTAGGCTCCCGAGCAGGCTGTTCAGCAGCAGTGCTAGACCCTCTAACTGTTGACATTTCTGCAGCTTTGCACTCACTTTCGAGCAGTCGATCCTGCTGCTCATCTCACACTCACCCGACAAGCCAAGCACAGACTCATGCGAGCACATTGTGTCTAGTATCTTTCTGATATTGTGATGCATGAGACAGCATTAAATGGGAAGCTTAGATCTCGTCAACAACAACACTCCACGGGTGTTCGACCTTACCAAGCTGAATATCCGTCATCCTCTCCAACATCGCCTTTGCAATATCACCGATACCGTCACCAGCAGGGATCTTAATGTCCTTTCCATTGTAACCCACCCTATCCACAGGAGAGACAACAGCGGCAGTACCAGCACCGAACATCTCGACCAACTCTCCACTATGTTCTGCCTTGATCACCTCATGAATGCTAATCTCCCTCTCCGAAACCTTCAAATTCTTCGGCAGCGAATCAATGGGGTACTTTCCACTAACGTGATCCTTTGCAATATGCAAGATCGAATCCCTCGTGACACCAGGAAGAATCATCCCATTAAGAGGAGGAGTGACAAGTTCGATCTCATCCCCCTTCTTGAGCGCTACGAAGAGGTTCATCGTTCCGACCTCCGTCAAAAGATGTTCTTGGCCAAACAACCAAAGGTTTTGCTGGTACCCACGTTTCGCAGCTTCCAATTGAGGAAGGATACCGGGAGCGTAGTTTCCACCTAGCTTGTACTGTCCTGTTCCACCAGGCCAGGCACGGACCTTGTTGGGATCAGCTTCAAGCGCAACAGGTTTGAAACCAGTCTTGTAGTAGGGTCCGACAGGAGAGCAGATTACGAACAGCAATGCATCTTTGGTTGGGTGAACACCGAGAGCAGCCTCGGTTCCGATGAGAGCAGGTCGAATGTAGAGCGAGTGACCGGGATCGCTAGGGATCCAGCCTTTGTCGAGGGCGACGAGCTTTTTGATGAGTGTGATAAGCTGTTCTCCTTCGAAGGTGGGAAGGGCGATACGTGAAGCGGAGGTGTTCATACGCTTCATGTTCATATCGGGACGGAAGAGACGAACTTTGCCGTTAACGTCTTTGTAGGCTTTCATGCCTTCAAAAAGGGATGGAGCGTAGTGGAAGATCACGGCGCTGGGGTCGAGCTGGAGGGGAGAATAGGGGTGGATTTTGGGTGCGTCCCAACCAGTAGCACTGTTCCAGGGGACGGAAAGCATGTGGTCGGAAAAATTGGCTCCGAAGACGAGTGACTGGGAAGGTGGTGGTGTACGGGGTGCATTGGAGCGAGTGATGACGAGAGATGATGCATCGAGGTGCTTTGAGCCGGTAGCTTCGCCTGTCATAGGATCATGCGAGACCGAGCTGGACTGCCATCGAAGCGAGACGCTGGGAGCAGCGGAAGCACGCAACCTCGTTGCGACCGAGCGCGCGCGAAGAGCAGATCTCGCCAATGTGATCATTGTGATCTATACTCTGCTGGACTTGTTGAAGAAGTGAGATGGAGGTGACGATAACAAGGGAAGGGCGTTGCTTCCGTTGAACGGCGGAAGGCTTGCTGCACGACCTACTCTCTAAGCTGTCGGTCTTATGACTCGCTCTGTCTGCCACTTTGCTGTACGGTTATTCGGGTATTTCGGATATTTGTTCGGCTTCACACCTTTACAGTACAGGTTTACCGTATCGGCCGACTCGAAGAACGCGTTCTCTCTCGCTCCAACACTTTTGGGCGCAGCAGTCACAAATCGCCTCGCAACTACAACACCTTGCTATACCTTCACCCACCGTCATCACCCATCCACCCATCCACCCATCCACCCATCCACTGTTACGACCACCACACTCATCGCTTCGAACAGCTCAAGCAGGCGCTGCTTCACTAGGTCGCTTGTCACAACTCGTTCGTCGCATCGGTCGTCAGTGCGGTCTTTCCACCAACCCAGTTGAAAAGCGATCCGCTACAGCCCTTCGATAGTCGACCTGGCACCCGACTCAGCCAGCCACTGCGTCATCGACCGCATCCTCTTCGGCATCTCCTTAATCAGTGATTGCCTCTCCCTTCTCCTACCTCACATCACATCGCAACCATGTCTTCACTCCACTTCTGCGCAGAATGCAACAACCTCTTATACCCGGAAGTCGATCGTACAAATCACGTCCTCCTCTACGCCTGTCGCAATTGCAACTATCAACAAGAATCCCGAGAATCTCTCGTCTATCGCAATGACTTGATGTCCGTCACAAAAGAACAACCTGGTATCGTCGACAATCTGATGAAAGATCCAACATTGCGTAGAACACACGATCTGAACTGCCCGGATTGCGGTCATGGAGAGGCGGTGCTGTTCCAGGATCAGAGTAAGAGGATCATGAATAGGATGATCCTGTTCTATGTCTGTTGTAAGTGTAATCATCTGTTTAGGGATCCGGCTCAACCGGCACCTGCTGCTGGTCCGGGGCAGGTTTGGAACGATAGGAAGAAGAAGTAGATGATTCGAAGCAGGGCGAACGAGCAAAGAAGAAGCCCAACAAGGTTGAGCAGACCTGTTCGTCAAAGCATCAACATACGCAAAACCCCATCAAGCCCAAATATTCAGAACTATCCCACACGTCCTTCCGAGTTAAGGACCCATTGTAAACTTTCACCCCGAAACGCTGCTACGTCAGCATCTGTACTTGTATCTATAGCAAAACTCATCAAACTAAATCAACAAGCATACTTATCTAAAAAGGACTTGATTTCAGCCAGACTACAACAGGTTGGCTACATGCTCAGAGCTCTCACCTTGAACAGCCAAAATAATGAGAGGGCGGGACGGGTTCTGGCATTAGTGTTACATCTCGGCACTACATCTCGGCACTACTTGTACTTGTCTTTATGAATCCAACTCAACCCAACAGTATCATACCCACCTTCCTCCGCCATTCTATAATACATCGCAGCCTTCTTCAAATCCTTCTTACATCCCTTCCCAGCCGCATACAGCGCCCCTGCCTCTGCCTGAGCATCAGCATCGCCCAACTTTGCCGCCAATTCAAAATACTCCAAGGCCATATGCTTGTCCATCTTGACACCCCATCCATAACACCAGCATTTACCCAACTCATAAACACTTAACTTGAGTTCGCTCTTGATAGCTTTCAACTCTGACTCGGTCTTAGGTGTGGTAGTGTTAGCCATCATCTCGCCAGCACGGGCAGCTGCACGTTGAATCCAAGAAAAACCTTTCACTGGATCTTTTCGTGCACCCCAACCTTCGCGCAAAGCCATACCGAACATACACATTCCCACTACACAACCTCCGTCGACCTTTGCGGATCGTTCAAAGTAGAATGCGGATCGGGCTAGGTCTCCTTGTTCGTGATAGGTGATTCCTTGGGATAGGAAGTCTTCTGCCGAAGTGGGGCCTGTGCGCGTGTCGACGGCCGGAGAGGCAGAAGGGCGGGGTTTCGGGATGGAAGGGTTGGGATTGAGACCAAGACCGACAGGAGGGGCAGAGGCAGTGGCTTGCATGCCTACAGAACCTGCAGCAGTGGTTGTAGAAGGGAGGGCGTTGCTTGATTTGGCGTTGCGTAGCATGGGCGGACGACCCGTGGTGGGCGTGTCTTGAGTTCCGAAGTTAGAGTTGCTGACTGTGCCCTGCACAGGTTGCAGAGATCGGAAAGAGGCTTGCGATGCTTTTGCCTGTATCGACGGTTGCTGTTGGGATCTTGGCGAGGCGGCTTGTGGCACGTTTGGCACTGATTGGTCTTGCCAGGATGCGTTGGACTGCAGAGCGAGTGGGCTGTGATGGACACTGCCGACCGACATGCGCGAAGTCATAACACTACCAATGGTGCTGGTACTGTCACGACGACTGCTTCCATCCAAGCGAAGTGTTTCGACGTCGAGATCAGAGACCATGCTTTCCCTTCCATCCGCTCGTTTGATCGCTTCAGCACGATTTCGACCGATGATAGGTCTGTCTATTCCATGGAAGTATTGATTCGGGTCGGAGTATCCTAGCTCACTGCCTGGAGTTCCAGCTCCCGGCGGTGGAGGCGGTGGAGGAGCACGTCCTGCAGGATGTCCTGAAGATCTTGGTTGATGTGACCCAAGTGCACCAGCAGACGCACTGCGTGGGTTAGACAACAGACTGGATGGCGCCAATGGTGTGCGTTGCGCGTTGTCCTGCGGCAAAGATTCAACGGTTTCGATCTGAGCCGAAGTAGCATGAGGCATAGAGGCGTATCGCTGCTGACTTGTACGATTCGGCATGGAGTTGCAGTGTTCGCCGCCGCTGACCCTTGACGCTTCTGAACCTGAAGGGCTCGGTGGGTACACATAGACTCGGGCGGTCGGCGGGCTGTTTGTGTTGCTACCTGTGATTGTTGATGTCGATGACGTGTTGCGATGGCCAAGGTAGCGATCCGCAGAGGCCATCGGTGTTCGGTCAGACAGCTGCTGTGCGTGCTCGGCATCGTAGTCCTGAGTCTCAATCTGCGGGACGTAGCTATGTCGAGGGTCGGCATGCCCATAAGATAGTGAGGGCTGCTGAAGATGTGCCGTCGTCGTTGACGTGGGAGGTGGTGCGGATCGAATGAGACTAACGATCTTCTCTTTGCTTTGCACCTCACGGATGGCGGGAACGGGGGCAGAACTAGACGAGCTTGAATTTGGACTGTGCCGCGATAATGCTGAGGACGACGCCTGATCCAGCTTCCACTGCTTGGCTACCGAAGAAAGACCACCATGCGATGCCAGCGGTCCCCGGCTGGGATCCAAGTCGATGCTGTAATTCATTAGACTTGATTCATCACCATTGAGGTCGCCATCATTGTGATCGTCGTAGATATCGCCATAAGTGCTTTCAGCATATGCGCTCTCTTCATCATCAGCGCGATTTGCCCAGGCTCGGCCCCACCTGCCATCTTCGCCAAACTCTGAACTGCGAACGGTATCTATTGACGCTCTGCGAGAGAGCGAAGAGTCGAGCGCATCACCAGTGATCGAGTTGAAGGAGATGTCCGAGGCAATGGAGCTACGAAACGCATTGCTGAGAAGGTGCGACGACTGTCTCTGCCAGCTATTGTCTGTTTCTGTCGGCAGGTAGGAATCGCTGCTGTCATCGTAGGACGCTTTGTATCCACGCTGTACCGAGAAGGAGCTGTTTGATGATTGCGGGTTGGGTGGAATTGAGGATGAGGAAGGTGCCGAGCCGCGAGCACTGCGCGAGAAGCTGGATCCGTCTTCAGAGAGCAAGTTGACACTGCGAATGCTGCGAGTGTCATCAAAGTCATCTGGGTCAGGTGATGGCTGAATTGGCGGCTTGCGGACTGATGTTTTGCGTGAAAGGGCTGAAGCACGCTCGAAGATGGGATGATTTGCTGCGTCGTGCGTGGAGTCAGCTATAGGTTCGAGAATTTCGTGCTGTACCTGTTTGCCCCTTTTGACGAGGAGCTCTAGTGGCGAAAGGCCTTGTTGTCCAGAGCCGGCTGCGGGATCAGGAGACGAGAGTTGGTGTGCGTGAGGACTTGTTGCCCATTTGGCAGAATCTGAGGATGAAGCGCCCCTATCAGAAAGGGAAGGGCTCGTCGACGGGGTGTGAACTGCGTCTTGGGCTGTGTGTGACGACGAAGCGGAGCCATCTGATCCGTAAGACCCAGCGGAGAAGGAGCGCATAGCTGAGGAGCCATACATGGCCGGCTGCAGTCGATCCATCCTGATGTCGGTTTCAAGCTCGAGGTGGTCCTGCTTGGAGACCTGTTTGGCTGCGTAGTTTCACGAGTGTTGACTTCGAATGGGCGCGAGAGTGAAAGAATGTCTTTATGTCTGCGGCAGGGCGATCTACAGGTGCATCGTGGTTTTGGCCGCACAGCACCGGAGAGGAAGTAGCATGAGATTATGAAGCCGCTATGTCGAAAGGAAGCTCGAGATCTGGTGAACCTGTGATGGTCGGGAAGATAGTCAGAAAGCGTGACCTTTTGATCGACCTGTGGTTGAAGTGAGAACGTGCCTGTCCTTCAACAACAACGGTGGTGGGCGTATTCAACGTGGCGTAGCGAGAGCCTTGCTGTGTGTTCAAGGCGTGGGAAAAGTGCGGATCCTGATGGACAAAGAGAAGGAAAGGTGTGATATGTTGAGATGAAGGCTGTGGGTGACAAGGAGGAGGAAAGAGGAACGCCGGAACCGGCTGCCTCTTTCTCCTTGGATCCGCTCGCCATTTCTGTTCTAGTTACAGAAGCAGATAAAAGCATCTCAGGGTCCAAACACACACACACACACACGCTTTAATTCAGATTTCCTGCGCTGAGGGAGCGAGAGTAGCGTTGCGCCTGTTGAAGATTATGATCCAGTGAGACGCTGAAGGATAACGCAGAGCCGATCTGATCAGAGATCGGGTACAACACAGTCCCGCTCGTTGTCAAGCTAGGTGATGAAGTAGGATGCTCCCACACTCGGCATGTGCCACCACGATGTATATATATCAAGCTGAGAGCACTAGGCTCTCACCACGTTCTTTCAGTCAATCGAGTATATGTATGTTTCTGTCTTTTAGCAGCAGTGACATCGTACTCAGACTCTCCCCGATCGCCAGTTATCGGGACCAAACGTCTTCAAATTTCAACAGCGCCACGCCTCAAAGGTTCTTTCCGCCTCTCATACAGACACAAACCGGCACAATCTCTTTATCGGCCGGCTGCGCGTCCGGATGTGGAGATGAAGCATGGAATCAAGACTTGGGCCTATTGGCGATAGCTTGCTTCCTCTCCTTCCAACCTCACCCACACCCTCGCCCTGCCGACCGGTTCAACTTCACCATAAACGCCAGGAAGCATGACCAAGTTGGTACTGTCAGCAGCCAACTCGCAGCTGTTGAAGCAGGTCGCACAGACTGCCGATGCTGTTCAGTCGCTCAAAGCGGCATTTGCCGATCAACCGGATCAGCGGCTGATGACCACACACAGTCCTGCTGTACCTTCCACGAGCAGCAAAGATACTCCAAACTCAGTCGTGCTCGATCACAAGGTCCTTATCACCATCGCATCATGGGCGAGTAACATCAACCCTTCGGCTCAACCTTCCTTAGACCTCGAAAAGCTTAGACTATCCTCGCTGGTCCGAGGCTCGCAGGTCTACATCCCACCCAAACCTGTCTTCCAACGCTCCGAAGAACTTGAGCAATCTCTTGCAGCCATTCGTCGAGCCCAGGAAGAAGCCGAATATCAACGCATGTCCTCTACCACAACCTCGAACACCTCTGGCGCATACAGGATCCCCTCGTCCTACACCAACATTGCCGGTGTCGATCCTTCTCTTTCCCTCACACAGCGTATTCACGCACAAACTGGCTCGCCCCAGCAGCCAAACAGCTTGCTGGGTGAAGGAGAGGAACAGGCTTGGAAAGATGCACAACGACTACTCAGCGTCATTCTCAACATATTTCTCTCTACAATGGCTACAGCGACAGCGGCTTGGTGGGCAAGTGGGAATGCCAGTGCGGGACACAAAGTGTTGGTCAGTATGCTGGTGGCCGTGGTGACGGCGGTGGCGGAGATCATATTGTACATCAGATATAGTGTCTATGTGAAGGAGAGCAAGAAGATCAAGGATAACAGGATGAAGGGTTCAGATGTGAAGAAGGGCCTGCCCCGGTTCAAACCGCTACAACTAGACAGAGCTGGAGCTAAAGCGACATCGACAAGAACCAAGTCGGCTCAGGAAGAGAAGCCTTCATGACCACCTTGCAATCACAACTCATGCACGCACAGAGACACAAATGACTCTCTTTCAACATAGCTTGTGGTATTCCTTTGAGCGACGAGCTGAATCAAGCAGCACATCTACAGCCAACGTCTACTTTTGCATCTACTGATCCTTAGCACAGTACTGAACAACAGCCCATTTGCCATCGACTCTCCACTTGGGATCCTCCTTCTCCACCTCAGCCTCTTGACCAGGCTTCAATCCCACACACACATCCGCCTTGTTCGTCCTCAACGCCAAGAGCTCCACCGTACCGGCCAGAGGTCCCAATGCCTCACGGAAGCTCGTGTCCGACTTCCAGGTGGCATCCGAAGTGAGTTTGCGGTAGTTGAGATCGCCCTTAAAGATGACCAAGTCGCTCTTGGTGGCCAATTCCTGGTGCAACTCGGGAGCGTAGGTGGCCATGTTGGCGTACGAGACCGGTTGTGTCCAGAAACCGTTAGCTGCACCTGTGTCGCCACCCAAGGGGGTGTCGAGAGGGACCGAAAGCTTGAAACGGCCGGATTCCATGTGCTTCATCCATCTCCTGACCATCGCTTGGACAGGTGTCTGCGATGAGGGAGTCTCATCCTTGACGGTGGTCGATCGTCCACGGCCATGGCGCTCATCATCGGCGCTTGGCTCCTCGTCATGAATAGAGAGCGAAGAGAAGCGTGAGCTGTCCATCACGTACGATCTGGAAGGAGAGATGGTCTGAGAGCGTGCGTTCTTGAAGTAAGCAGGATCCATCTGGAAGTTACGGCTGCCGGCTGGCATGCGTCCACGTCCAGCCGAGTCAACACTACCGTCTCTAGCCTGGAGGTGCAAGCTGCCAGAAGGGTGAGGCGAGCGACCACGCTCCTTGCTGTCAGCCATCTGAAGCGAGCGAGATCCTGCTGGCTGTGCCCCCTGACCACCGGAAGCGTTGAACGAGTACTTGTTTGGGTCGGCCTGAAGGTCTCGGCTACGGCTGACGCTGCGGTGTCGTTCTTGGCTAGCATCGTCTTGTCGAGCGAAGAAGCTGGGCTCGAGAAGCGACTCGATGGTGTGTCGGAAGTCGGGCGGCGTCACGTCTGAGACAAACCAAGGCATATTTTTAGTGTGGAAGACGACCTCAGCCACGTGGGGTGTGGTGAGAAGCCAGTCGGCAAAGATCATGTCGGTGATCAGCTCGAAGCCAGCGTTGTCGAGAACGATATCGATTCGTCCATCTTTGAGCGAGGAAATCTTCTTCCATGCCTTGCCGAGGTCGTTAGCGAGGATGAACTTGCTTCGTGCTTGCTGCTGCTCCTTGCCCGTGGTCTGGAGAGCTTGGAGGTCAGAGTAGGAAAGGTTGGTGAGCAAGCTGAGGTCGGTGGCATTACCCCAGAGAGACATCTGAGCCATCTCGTGAAAGAGAATCTCGCGACCCTCAGGGGTCGACTCGGGACCTTGCTCGGAGGAAAGCGACTTGGCGACAAGGTCCTCGATCGTGACAGCAAGAGCGCTGATGGCGGTGCCGGAGCTCTTGAAGGTGTCGAGCTTGGTTTTGGAGAAGGGATCGTACTGCTTCCAGTGCTGGCTGCGGGCGAAGAAGCTTCGGAGCAGTCGGTAGAGGTAGCATTCGGCGAAAAGCCATGGTGCTTTGAACCAGGTCCACTTCTCCTTCTCAATAGTGGAGTCGAAGAGCTCGGTCGAGGGCCCATTGTCCGCATCCTGACCAGCAACGACACCGATGGGTTCGAGCGGACGGTCACGGCCCATGTCATGCTTGAGCGCGGCAACTTTTTCAATGATCTGCTTGCCCTCTTCGATCTTGGCAGATTGGTTGGTGCGCGAGTAGGAGAGGGCATGGTTGGCGCTGTAGATGCCGTCGATGACCTGAGTAAGAATAGCAGGCCAACGGTGGACAGTCGACTGATAAGCAAAGCTGCAGTGCGATAACAAAATGGATGGAACAAATTAGAGATTGTGAGTACTGGTGCATTTCTCAGCACTTAGAATCTAGTTGGGTCACCTACCTCGACTTGTCCGTGGCCGACGACGGCGCAACGGGAGGAGACCAGACCATTGTTTGTATCGTTTGTATGGAGCTTGTATGTGCTTGCGTAAGATGATGAGGTGAATGAAAGTGCCACTGTACTGATCAATGAGGGAGTGGTGCAGTTGTGACAGGAAGATGGTGGGAGGCAGGAAGATGTCCAATGGAAGGATCGCACGGGGCAGCACCAGCAACAGCACCAGCAGGGTCACGGGGCTCGACAGTTGAAGATACGTCGGAAAATTTCCAGGGTTTATCCAGACTGCTGACAGGGCGAAGCTGGTGAAAGCGAACGCCGCTTATTTACGAGTTTATTTAGACACGTGAATGCCGAAGGAAGCGATCCGATATGATGACGCATGCTGACATAAACGCAGTCGGGGATCTGAAGGAACAGATCAGTCTGGAGATCGGGTGCAACATAGCGCCGCTCGTTGTCAAGCTAGATCATGAAGGAGGATACTGCCACATTCGGCAAGCACCTCATAGATGTATATATATCAAGCTGAGGACACTAGGTCCTCAGAGTATACATGTTTCTGCCCTAAAGTAGTAGTGACATCGTACTCGGACTCTCCCCGATCGCCAGATATCGGGACCAAAACTTCTTCACTTCTATTAGTGAAACGCATCAAGGTTGCCATGTCAACGGCTCAGGAGCTCTGCAGGAGAGACACTCGACTTATCTAAGCCTGCTCGATGTTCTCAGAGACAATGTGAAGATATATATACTCATATTTGTAGCCTTGGTCCACTTGAATACATAAAAGCATTGCAGTTGCTACACGCCTGTACGAAGGGAGCCTCATCGTCGCCTCAACAAAGTGGTGTCTATATTCTCAACTTCGACGCAGCTTTTTGTGCGGCGCTGGGCTTGGAAAACAAAATCGCGAAACCTAACAAAGAATTTAACGCCTTTCGGTGAATTGAGCAAGGTGGAGCAATTCGGACCCTGAAAAGGTCCATTTTGAGCTCTCTCTTCGTTGTTGTGATCAGAAAAGCAAGCATCACTTACTTCACAACAGTCACTATGACTAGCTAGGTGCTTCAAGCTCTCAGCAGAATAAAGCCAATACCATGGATTCCGCAGAGTCAGGTCAGAACAACGAGAAGAAGACGGACAGCGAGGCACCGCTCAGAAGCATGTCGATTGCACGCTTCATCCCGCGCTTCACCAAGCCGCGTCTTCTGACCAGCAACATCCCGACCTACCGACATTCGTTCTCCTTGCCCGCTCAGGCAGCCAATGTGGAACTTGGAGAATCTAGCAAAGCCGAGTCGTCAAACACAGAGCCACCTAGCAAGGTAGAATCACCCGAGGAGCCGGAAATCCCTAGCAACGCATCATACATCGAATGGAACAAGTTACTGCCGGTACCATCGAATCTACTCGACTCGTTTGAGGCGCTATGGGTCTCTAAGCGGAAATCACAGAGGGCGTCAACGGAGGGATCCGACTATCTTCAGGCCCGCAGCCCCGCCACCGGCACTTCTTCGATCGTATCGGCTACTTCGCCGCCGCGGCTGGTCTTCTTCGGCGAGCAACACCATCAGCCTGAAGTGATGAGGGCTCAACTACAGACTCTGCATGCACTTCATCAGCAATGCCAGTTCTCATCGAGTCCTCGGATCACAACGGACGGCAACTCGGCATCGGAGCAAGCCGAGACAACTTGCGCTCAGAAGCCAGCTTCAGCACGAACACCAGTCTATCGCCTCCATCTTGTTCTCGAGCACTTCTCAGTGCTAGATCAAGACATGCTCAACTCCTTCTCGCAGGGCAAGCTTGGCCCGGACGAGCTTGCAGAAACATATCAGGCCCAGAGTGAAGAATCATTTCATATCGGACAATACATGCCCCTACTGATGCTGGCAAAAGAGCTCAACGTGCCCATCTGGGGCGGCTTCCCGCCGAGGCAATGGGCAAGGCAAGTCTTCAGAGATGGAGTTGATGCTGTCAAGCCAGATGAAGAGAGACGTGTTGGTGCAGCAACGCAGACTGAGGCTTCTCTAACGCAGGGTGAAGAAGATCGCCCAGCTCCACCGAGGACTGCCCCAAGGTCGTTCATACAATCGCCACTGTTCACATCTTGGAATTCGGTGACCAAGATCAGTACCGCCCACCGTAGCTATCTCTCCGGACTCATGCGACCTGACTTGCCACCGCGCTTCCCGCAGCTTCCAGCCTCAGAAGCCGAAGATTCAAAACAGCAGAGCAGCATAACGGAGCGAAGTAACTGCGAAGCAACAAGGCATTCGCCAATATACCCGACTCGGCTTCTAAAGCCTCATAACATCGAGACGAAAGGCTTTGGTCCGGCACAAGCTCTCAAAGACTCCTACCTAGCCCATGTCACGGCGTGGATTTTACGAGGAGCTCGACAGGAGGTCACAGCCGCAAACAAGCTGCCTGACGACTCGTCATCGAATGCGGTCGAAGCTTCAACCCATCCCAGTCAACAGCCTTTGCCACCCACGGCAGGCAAGTCGAGCGATGCAGGTCAACCGATCGTCCACGTGGTTCTGGTGGTATGCGGTCTAGGGCATTGCGAATATGGCTTCGGCGCGCCCGAAAGGGTTGTCCAGTTGCTTTCACAACAAGACGCACCATCCAGCCACAGTCTGATCCCGATGCCTTACATCATCGCTAGTAAGCCTCTTGACTCAGGCATTTGGCTAGGATACGAGCATCCTCTCCAGTCTGTGACATCGGAGCAAGCGACCGCGGACGATGGAGCCGTCACGCAAACTCACCCTGTGACAGAAGAGCCTCAGACCGTTGAGTCCAAGGAAGTCACCCGAGATGCCGTCAAGCAATGGCTGAGCAGCCCCTGGGGCAGAAAGATGGCCGATGCAGTGCTGCTGTACAACTGGATTGACGACCAACCGGCCTAGGAGGCCAACACCAACGCTGATCAAGACCAACCCACTTCGAATCAGCTGAAGCAAAACCCATGAAGAGAATGATCCCATATACCACTGGGTTGTTAAAAATGTAGATTACAGATTCAGCATTACAAAGTGGAAGCAGGACTGACCATGATCCATGGTGTGGGTATAACTAGAGTATTGACGGACCCGTGGCAACTGACAGTTCGAAAGTGAGCGCAAGTGCGATCAGCAGCACTGTAAGGAGGCGAGCGGCAGTATCATGCTTCAAGGTCGTAATTGCAACATTTGACGACCCTTTTCCTTTCGACAGAATGTTGCTCGTATTTGGTGGAACTGCACCACCAACCCCCAATGTATTGTAATATGCTGGGCAGCTAGCATCGTTCCCACTCGGGGGCGGGCTGTTGGGACAGCAAGCCGATGATTCTTGACTCCAATCGGATCCTAATGCCGATTTGTCCTTCCATCCAGCCCACTTCTCACACGACACGGCGGCATAAGTCACATTCCAAGCACCGTAATCTCTTGACCCAGGGAAGAAGTTCTTCGATATCGCCTTGGATGGCCAAGCCAAGTCGAAGTGTACATCGAATCCTAGACTATTTCCTTCCACGATGCCATTGGTGAGCGAGGTCGCATTACACCAAGGTCCACCTGCGCCAGGACATAGGTCGATAATTTTGACAACGAGGCTTGGCGTGGAGCCAGAAGAGACTTCATCGGGGTTGTAAAAGATGCCGTCTCCCCACGGATCGTTTGTACCTGGTCGAGGCGGTGGCCGAGCAAGAGGGGTGGACACTAGACGAACTTCGAAGCAAGAGCCGCAGGAAGGGCCGAAGGAGGTGTTGGAGCCGTAAGCATAGCGATTGAGGGCAGCAGTGGGGTAGAAGGTCGATCTTCCAACACAGCCGCAGGATGCAACGTAGTTAAGGGGGAGGTCATAATGTGTGAGTGATGCGTAGCCTTGAGGTGTGAAATCTACCACTGCTGAGACTAGGCCCAGACAGAGAGCAAGAAGGAGCAGTAGTGTTGTTCGAGCCATCGCCTATGATATCGGTTTGGGTGGGTATAAATGTGATTCTACGGGGAACAGAGTCGCTAGGATCGTCAGAGGAACATGTTGAAGAAGGAGTGGCGGCGCGGGGTATTTAGGTGTGGAGCGGGTATGATGGTGGGAGGAAGCAGGGCTAGGTTCGCATCTGTGTTCTACCCTTTGATTGCGATAAGACAGGCACAGGTGAAGGGATGCCGGAAGAGTTAAAATTCAATGCATGCACTTCATTTGCCATCAGTATCGGAGTCTGCTCTATTTTCTCATTCCCATGATTCCCTTTGATTCTCACTTTTCCCAATTACCTTTGTTCCTCTGTTTTGCCATATTTTGACAAGAAACCCCATTTACAGTTGCGGCATTCTCATGCAACCATATTCCCTTTGTACTCATTGTTTCTCTTTGTCTCTGAAAGACCTCCCCTTCAAACTGTACATGATAGATTCACTTGACTTTGCCATATTTCACACACACACTTGACAGACTTGTCATCTATATATATGCATTCTATTTCATATATTTACTCTTCTAAAATCATTGACTCAATTATTCTCGAATAGATACTGCCTGATCCCTTAACAGGAAGAACGCTCCCCGCCGAGTTCATCCAAAAGGGTGGGGTCATGCAGGGCCTGCATTTTGTGGTCACCTTTTTTTCGACATTTTTTTTGACTTTTTTTGACAAAGTACTTCAGAGTGTGCTGACCAACTCAAAGTGGGATCGTCGAAAAAGTCGAGATTTTTGACGCGTCCGGTAAGCAATGTTAGACCTCCCGTCAGCACACGCGCGCCAGACACTTTTTCGACTTTTCGCGTGCGCGCATCAACATGTTAGATCATCGTGCCCATTTCGACTTTTCGAGCGCTCGCATCGACGTGTTAGATCATCAAAAGCTTTTCGACTTTTCGACTTTTTGACTTTTTGACTTTTCGACTTTTTCGACTTTTCGACTTTTCGAACGCTCGCATCGACGTGTTAGATCATCGCAACCTTTTCGATTTTTTCGACTTTTTGACTTTTTGACTTTTCGACTTTTCGACTTTTCGACTTTTCGGCCTTTCGACTTTTTCGACTTTTCGACTTTTCGAGCGCTCGCATCGACGTGTTAGATCATCGAAAGCTTTTCGACTTTTCGACTTTTTGACTTTTCGACTTTTTCGACTTTTTGACTTTTCGCGCGCGCGCATCGACGTGTTAGATCTACGCGATATTTTCGATATTTTCGACTTTTCGACTTTTCGCGCGCGCACAAATGTTAGATCCTGTGAAATATCAACTCCAAAAAAAGTCCGAAATTCCGATGTGGCGCGCAAGGGTCCAAAAAAAGCGTGAGCACCCCACCCCCTGGCAGGGAACGAATTTCCAGGTACCCTTTTGGACCAGTTCCACAGACTCCCCTACCCTGGGATATACGAAAGAGGAGCAAATAGCTCAATGACGAAATCGAAAGTGCAAGCAGCTTAGGCGGCAAGCATCAGTACAAATCGGCAGCAACTGTGAACTTCTCTTTCCTTGAAAATTGGGGCAAATAGCTCATTGACGAAATGGAAAGTGCAAGCAGCTCAGGCGGCAAGCATCTGTACAAATTGTCGGCAACTGTGAACTTCTTTTTTCATGAAAATTGGAGCAAATAGCTCATCGCCGTAATGGAAAGTGCAAGCAGCTTAGGCAGCGAGCATCAGTACAGATCGGCGGTGACTGTGAATTCTTTTTTTCTTGAAAATTGAGGCAAATAGTTCGTCGACGAAATGGAAAGTGCAAGCAGCTTACGCGGCAAGCATCTGTACAAATTGTCGGCAACTGTGAACTTCTTTTTTCATGAAAATTGGAGCAAATAGCTCATCGCCGTAATGGAAAGTGCAAGCAGCTTAGGCAGCGAGCATCAGTACAGATCGGCGGTGACTGTGAATTCTTTTTTTCTTGAAAATTGAGGCAAATAGTTCGTCGACGAAATGGAAAGTGCAAGCAGCTTACGCAGCAAGTATCTTTACAAATCATCAGTGACTGTGAACTTCTCTTTTCCTCCTTTCAGATTGAAGTCGCTTGCCTTCGGGCTTGCTTGATGTCTCTGGGGAAGATCTTGGCTTGGTTCTGACAGGCTCTACTGTGCCGTTTCATCACCACTCGAGCGAGCTCGTGGTGAGGACTCGAAACAGTTTTGACTGCTAGATTCAAAGTCCTGATGTGTTGTGTTCCAAAAAACCGGGAACCTCACCTCGCATAGAGTTCTCCGCTTAGGCGTATCGACGAACCAGGCGAATAGTGTGGAGCCCACGCCTGCTGATCCCCTTTTGTGGTTGAACGGTAGAGGCGAAAACATTAAAGTCGGGAAAGTCTTTTTTAGTTTTTCTCGCAATGGCGAATGAGGTGAACATCCTTGCCGATGGCTAGTCCAAAAGCATTTATGTAACACCAAATTCACTCAGAGGTGCGGACGCTTTGGAGTTTTTTTCTTTATGGAATCAACAAAATCGCATCTAGCCTCCACCAAGGGGTGGCCTAAGCTACGTTTTGTCAGTCCATTTGAACAGGCAACTGTTTCGAAACTCCGCATAGCGTATATTAAAATCTTTTTCGGGGCCCAAGTATTATTTTGTCAGTTTATTCACTTGGGAGGACTAAGGTCCAGAAGCGTTGATACACTCATCAAAGTTTAGCAGTGCTGAAACTTATCTATTCCTTCTTAGGAGTCCTTGAAGCGGTCCGGAGGGCTCAGTACGGGGTGATTCCCAGAAGCTAAAGGTGATAAAAACTGTCTTAAATTAAGGGAGAATTCTTTAGCTTGGGCCTTAAACCCCCAAGTTTCATGATGCCTTCCAAAAATGCCAATGTGACGCAAGTCACATATGAAGGGGTTCCAGTGGAGACAATCTTGGACAGACTGGTTTTGAAGCCGGAGAGCCCAATCGAAGCTGGGAGCCCTTCAATTGTAAGGGGGAATAAGAGAAAACTGAGTGGGTTGGGAAACCCCCAGTTTAAGAAAGGAAAGAATCAGTCGTCATTGGATTCAGATTCATCTGAGTCCAGCTCTTCTGAGTCTGACTCCGATTCTGACTCTGATTTCCCCCAAATTGATGAGCCTTCTAAAGACATAGATCAGCTCTCAAAATTGGTGGGCAGTCTGGAGGTGAGGGAAGCAGCGATGGAGTCAGCACAAGCCAACTCCACAGCCTCACTTTCAGCTGGCAATTCGCCAACAACAACCAAGTCATGCAGTGCCCTTCCCCCAAAGGATCCTTTTCTGGAGGTGTTGGACTGGGCTGCCCAAGGTGGAGATTGCAGAGGCCAAAAAGGCCCGCAACGAAGCCTGAAAAACTGAGCACAAAGATAAGGCAGCACAGGTGAAGCAGGCTGACCTCCCCTGAAACGGAGGCCTAAAAAACCAAGTCCTTGAGTGCTGGCAAATGCAAGCATACCAGGGCAGAAATTGAGAATGCAGGAGGGCCCTCAAAAAAGGGGAAGGGGCAAGTCTTGAATGGGGACTTTGGAAAAGGTGTCATAATTAGGGCCATTGTGGGATGTTCTTCATCTTGTAAACCAACCTCAGGGTTTCAGGATGGCACTCATTGCTACCTGAACCTCTCCAAATTCTCCAATGAATGGCAGAAGGGGAAATCCTTGGAAAAAGGATTCTCTGTTATTGAGTTGATGCAGGGCATGTGTGCAGCAGGGCTGGTCCCCATCTGTGCATCCAACCAAAGTGGGGCTTCTACTTTGGAGTGGTTGATCCACTTTGGATCTTCCTTGGATGCTGAGGAAGCTGTAGACAAGCCATTCACTCTTCAAGGGGTTGAGGTTCGCCCTAGCCCCTTTTTCAAAGAGGGACTGCGGATCTTCATCTGCAAAACCTTATTCCTTCCTTTTTTTTGGTGGGAGTGAATGTGAGGTCTACATTTCGCACAGGCTTGGGTCTAAGCCATATTTCACACACACGCTCGTCAGGCTTGTCATCTATATATATGCACTTCATTTCTTGTCTATGTCGAGTGAATCTGTCATGTACATGTTGAGGGATCAGGCGGTATCTATCAGAGAAAGATTGAGTTGATAATTTCGAGAAGAGTAAATACATTAAATAGAATGCATATATATATATGACAAGTCTGCCAAGTGTGTGTGTGAAATATGGCTAACTCTGTTAAGGGATCAGGTGGTATCTATTCGAGAATGATTGAGTCAATGATTTTAGATGAGTAAATACATGAAATAGAATGCATATATATAGATAAAAAGTCTGCCAAACATGTGTGTGAAATATGGCTTGTTAAGGGATCAGGCAGTATCTGTTCGAGAGTAACTGAGTTGATGATTTTAGATGAGTAAATACATGAAATATAATGCATATATATAGATGATTGTCTGCCAAGCATGCATTTGAGAATATGGCTAAGTCAAGTGAATCTATCATGTATGGCTTGAAGGGGATGTCTTTCGGGGACAAGAGAGAACATTGAGTACAAAGGGGATGGGGTTGCATGAGAATGTTGCAACCATAAATGGAGTCTGTTGTTGAGTTTTGGTGAAATGGAGGAACAAAGGTATTCAAAAGAAATGAGAATCAAAGGGGACTTGTGAGAATGAGAAAGATATGCAGGCCTTTGAAATCAGTTGGCAAAATGAGACACACATGTCGAATTTTAACTGTCCCCCTCACCATCTGAGGAAGTAGGGCTTTCAATGGTTTCAATGGGACTTTGGCAAGTAAAACCTAATCGCTGTCATGCAGTAGTCATTAGGTGTCGGCTTACTGGCTTAGTTAAGAAATCTGCAACATTATCGAGGGTTCTGACATATTTGATATCTACTTCCTTTTCTTGGACCAAGAAGTGAAGAAAGTGGTATCCAGTGTCGATGTGCTTAAGCTTGGCATGATTTACTGGGTCTTGTCCTACTTGTATACAACCAGTGTTGTCTGTTAGGATCTTGGGTATGAAATCTCCTATATCCAAGCCTTGTAAGAGATATCTATAGAAAAGTGCCTCTCAAGAGGCTTTGGAGGCTGCTACAAATTTGGCTTCAACAGCTGATAGGGATATGCATTTTTGAACATGAGACTTCCATCCTACCAAGCTCCCAAATATTAGGGTGATGGATCCAGAAGTGCTGTGTCGGTCAGTAATTGGGTCAGAGGCCCAATTTGCATCTGTATATGTGACAATTGGGGGGGCATTGGTCTTATCATTTCCTAGAGTGAGTATCTCATCTTTAGTCTGGTTTAGATACTTGACAACTTTGAGAGCTGCTTGCATTGCTTTGGGGGAGGGCCTAGATATGTGTTGAGCAAGAGTATTCACTGCAAAGCAAATATCTGGTCTGACAGTGTTCAAAACCCACATTAGTTTGCCAACTAATGATGGGTATTGTTGTTTGACATCTGCTGGGGGTGTGTAGTTGGGTGGCATAATAGGGGGTGATACATCCATTGGACTTCATGATTTTTCTCCATTTGGTAGCCATTCTTTGATAATTCCTTCAATGTACACTTGCTGATCAAGACTAATTATTTGCAATTGACAGTTGTGAGTAATTTTGATTTTGAGGAATTCCCTGGCTGGTCCATTGTCTGTTATTTTCCATTTGTCAGTAATTGACCTTTTGACAGTGTCAATTAGGCTCCATTTTGGCCCTGTGATGAGCATGTTGTCAATGTAAACAGTGATGATTACTTTTGTTTCACCAGTCCCCCTGAGATAAATGCATGGTGCACAAGGGAGGCTGAGGAAACCCATGGATCAGAGGTGGGCATCCAATTCTAAATTCCATTCTTGGCCAGATTGTTTTAATCCATAGCAGTGAGGATTGTACAAATGGCATCTTGTGGAACAACCAGAGCAAATATCTCGTTGTAGTCTATGCTGGGTCTTTAGGAAAATCCCCTGGCACAGAATTGTGGCTTATACTTGATTGGTATCATGTTTGTGTCAGTCTTGATGGTCAAAACTAATTTAGAGTCAACTAGATTTGTGTTTGGAGGTCTGTCCACTATTTTCCAAATGTTCATCCTCTCAAGTCCATCCATTTCTGCTTTGATTGCTTCTTTCCAATGGGCCTGATTTTCACTGCTTAGAGCTTGCTTGACTGTTGGTTGGAGTACTGGTGATAACAGTTGTGCTTTGGCCTGGTATATTGGGTTTGGTAGGTCAACCAATAGGCTGTGCTCCCTTAGGCTTTCTTGGAAGTTTTGTATGGTTTCATCATCTGGCCAGCACCTTGGGCATTTTTGGAGTAGTATTGCAATTGTGGTAGGATGCATCCAGGGTCACGATTCCCATGTGCTATGGAATTGGTTGAAATAGTTTTGGTATTTCTTTAGTGTTTCACTCGAATCCAAGTATTGCTCACTGACTTGTCTGGAGAGAGTCTTTGGGTCCAGCATGGGTGAAACTTCATGAGAGGGTCAGTGCTCGAAATTTGTTGTTCCATCTGAGGCTTGTCCTGTTGGTGTTGTCGATATTTCAGAGGGCTCTGAGCCCTCTGGTGATGGGTCAGGTGAAAAAAGGTCCCCCTCGAGCATCAGATCCTCTTCTGAAGGGGGGTGGTAAATGTCATCCAGGGGTTGGGAGAGTTATAAAGGTTGGAAACTTTTATCTCCCAATCACAATCCCAGCATATTCTGGAGCAACTCAGTAAGATTCCTGGAGGATCAATGCTGGGAAGACAGGACCGACGCAATGCCAATTAAAGAAACGGACGCCATTTTCTATGACAACACTGCTGACATTGAAGATCTCTCATACTCAGAAGAGGATGAATTTGATGAAGGCTCCTCATCATATCCTACAAAGATAGCTGGGATTGCTGAGTCCTTGAGTTTCTTCCTTTTCACCTTGGGTATATTTACCCATGCTAGGCAGCCAAAAGTCCTAAGTAATTTGAATGGTTTCCTGGGATCTTTATTGTAGAAAACCTGATATGGGATTTGATTCTTGACATTTGGCAGCAAGTTTTTTGTGTAGGCTGCAGCTTCAATTGCATATGGCCAGAATGTTTGGGGAAGTCAGTGAGTGTGTAGCATTGAACTCATGATGTTTTGGATCATGCGTATGGTTCTCTCAGCCTTGCCATTTTGTTTGCTGGTATAGACTGATGATTTTTGCCATCTGAACCCAGTTTCATTTTGCCAATTGCTCTGATAATGGAGGAGAATGGTGCTCAAACATCACCATGCTATGGTTTTCAATTGACATCCAGTTTGAATCTCAGCATATTTGATCCATTCTTGAAGGACATGGAGTGCATTGGCCTTCTTGCATAGGGGTTTCACATAAGTGAAACTGGAGGCATCATTGATTGCTACCAGCACACAGGTGAATTCAGTTTGTTCTGAGAAATGGGTCGAGAGGTCAACATGGACTAGTTCTAGTGGGTAACTAGCAATAGTTCTGTCACCTTTGCCCATTCTCACCTTGGTAGATTTGGTAGCTAGGCAGTCGTGGCATGTAAGGGAGTGGTTGGGTTTGGCATTTACTCCATATAATTTCTTAATTATGGAGCTTTTATTTCATCCAGGGTGCCCAAGTCGTTTGTGCCATTTTGCCTGTGGCCTTTTGTCCAGACTTCTTGGGGGTGCTACAGCATCAAAGTATTCAGGTAGATCTTTGATTATTTTGTCGATATTTGTGAGAAGGGCTGAGGGTTGATTTCTATGTATTTCCCATTGCTTGCATTTGGGGTTAAAAGAGGCAATCATTTTTGATTTGTTCAGCCAGGTGATAATGGCCTTGGTTAGGTTAAAGGTCACTTGTGCACCATCTTTCAACAGTGTATGGATGGAGATTAAATTACTGTTGGCCTCTGGAACATAAAGTACATCATGAAGAATTACTTTATTTCCATCCAACATTAATTCAATCTCTCCTTTGGCTTTGATTCAAAGCTTGCGATCTCCAGCAGTATTCACATACCCTAGACAGGGAGTAAAGGAAGAGAACATTGATTTATTGCAAGCAACATGATTGGTTGCACCTGAGTCGACTATCCAATCATGGATGTTGGTCAGCTCAAGTGAGACTCGATAAGCTGAAGGGATGGTGCACCAAAATTCCTAGGCAGGAGTTGAGTTGGTTTGGTCATTTGGGTAGGTATGGGGTCAGTGAGGCTTAGGGCACTTCTTGGCAATGTGTCTGGTGTCAAAACAATTGTAACATTTAGGGGCTTCTCCATTGGGTCCTGCCTTGCCATTCCAGTAGCTGTCAGGATAATCTTCAGTCTGTGAACTTTCAGCTACCCTGATGCTGCTAGAGGCTGTTCCAGAGCCAGCAACTTGATGAATTGGCTTGAGCTGCATCTGTTCTTGACATTTGAGTAAGGCAGCAGCAACCCAATCAAAGTCATGGGTGTTGCCCATGCATTCAAGAGTGTTGATATACATTGCATAAGATGCATTGTATCTGGCTGAGTTGATTAATGTTTGTATTTTCATCAACTGGGGCAAGGGATGTCCCATCGTGTTGGCTTTGGCCCAGTGATTTCAAATGTCTTCAATGAGTTTTCAAACATCATTGTTGTACATTCGAAGATGGCCAGCATCTCGAAGTATAGTGGCTTGGTCTAGATCGTTGTTCTTGAGGAGGTTAGTTTTGATTTGCTCATAGAGCTTGTGGAAGGTCCATGGCATAGAGTCTTTGGGTCTAGCCAGGATGTAGTTCAGGTTGTTTGGTCCTTCAATTTTGCAGACCCCAATCAGGATCATCTTGAGTCGCCCATCAAGGATTCTGTCAAATTTCTCATCACCAGGCTTAACTTTTCCTTGGAGGTGTCAGAGAGTGTCATTCCAGGTGTCAATAGCATCTAAAAATAAGGGGTTCCAAACATGCCAGTTCTTGATGTTGAGCTTTGGGGCTACTCCGATGGTAGTTGAGAACCACCTGAGTAGTCCCAAGAAGTCATTGCACTTCGAGGGTCTTTTGTATTTGTTGGGTTTGTGGACTTGGCAGCTCATAGCCATGAGCATTCCTCGCATAGTCCTTCAGTCCATGTTTTCGATTTCTTCTTTGGTGATTTGGTTGAACTGGACAGGACTAGTAACATCTTCGGGATTCCAGAGAGATGGGGTCTCTGGTCCAATAATCATCTGGGGGGGCAGGTTGGTGTCAATGGTGGGTAGTAGGTTTGGTTCATTTTCATTGTCTTCTTTGCCTCTGGAGGGCGGTCTTGAATTGGTCGGATTCATCTTTCATTTTGCTTGAGGGAGTAGTTCGATTTGGTCTTGTCTGGTTATCGTTTGTTGAGGTCAGGGTGTCTTCATTGGTTTCGGTATTCTTGAGGTATCGAGTTGCTGTCATTTAGTTGGGGGCGGTGTGGTTGTGGTTGGCTTTGCCTTTGTCGATTTAGAGCACTCAGACTCTTAATCTGTTAAGGGATCAGGCAGTATCTGTTTGAGAGTAACTGAGTTGATGATTTTAGATGAGTAAATACATGAAATATAATGCATATATATAGATGATTGTCTGCCAAGCATGCATTTGAGAATATGGCTAAGTCAAGTGAATCTATCATGTATGGCTTGAAGGGGATGTCTTTCGGGGACAAGAGAGAACATCAAGTACAAAGGGGATGGGGTTGCATGAGAATGTTGCAACCATAAATGGAGTCCATTGTCGAGTTTTGGTGAAATGGAGGAACAAAGGTATTCAAAAGAAATGAGAATCAAAGGGGACTTGTGAGAATGAGAAAGATACACAGGCCTTTGAAATCAGTTGGTGAAATGAGATGTGCGCATCGAATTTTAACTTGGCTAAGTCAAGTGAATCTATCATGTACAGCTTGAAGGGGAGGTCTTTCGGAGACAAAGAGAAATGATGAGTACAAAGGGAATATGGTTGCATGAGAATGCTGCAACTGTAAATGGAGTCTGTTGTCAAAATATGGTGAAACAGAGGAACAAAGGTATTCAAGAAAAGTGAGGATCAAAGGGACTTGTGGGAATGAGAAAATAGAGCAGACTCTGATGCAGATGGTGAATGAGGCACATGCATCGAATTTTAACTGTCCCCCTCACCAGCTGAGGAAGTAAGGCTTGCTTCAGGATTGATGGGGTTTTGGCAAGTAAAACCTAGTTGTTGGCATGTGGCAGTAATTAGGTGTCAGCTTATGGGCTTGGTCAAGAAATCTGCAGCATTGTTGAGGGTTTTGACATATTCAATATCCACTTCCTTCTCTTGGACTGAGAATCGGAGGAAGTGGTATTGAGTGTCAATGTGCTTGAGCTTGGCATGTTTGACTGGGTCTTGTCCCACTTGTATGCAACCAGTATTGTCAGTTAGAATTTTGGGTACAAAATCTCCTATATCCAAGCTTTGCAGGAGATACTTATAGAAGAGTGCCTCTCAAGAGGCTTCAGAGGCTGCTACAAATTTGGCTTCTATAGCTGATAATGATACACATTTTTGAACATGGGATTTCCAGCCTACCAAGCTCCCAAATATTAGGGTGATGGATCCTGAGGTGCTGCATCAGTCAGTATTTGGGTCAGAGGCCCAGTTTGCATCTGTGTATGTGACTATTGGGGAGACATTGGCTTTACTATTTCCTAGACTGAGTACCTCATCCTTAGTCTGGTTTAGATACTTGACAACTTTGAGAGCTGCTTGCATCGCTTCAGGGGAGGGTCTAGAAATATGTCGAGCAAGGGTATTTACTGCAAAGCAAATGTCTGGTCTGACAGTATTTGAAACCCACATTAATTTGCCAACTAATGACAGGTATTGTTGCTTGACATCTGCTGAGGGTGTGTAGTCAGGTGGCATAATAGGGGGTGAGACATCCATTGGGCTCCATGATTTTCCTCCATTCAGTAGCTATTCTTTGATAATTCCTTCAATGTATGCTCACTGATTGAGACTAATCATTTGTGACTGGCAGTCATGAGTAATTTTAATTTTGAGGAATTCTTTGGCTGGTCCATTGTCTGTTATTTTCCACTTGTTGGTAATGGCCATTTTGACAGTGTCAATGAGGCTCTGTTTGGGCCCCATGATGAGCATGTCATCTACATAGACAGCAATAATTACTTTTGTTTTGCCAGTCCCCCTGAGGTAAATGCATGGTGCACAAGGGACTTCGTGGTGCAAGTTGGTGTTGAGATATGCTTGGGTGACATCAATAGAATCTAGTTTCCAGTCTTTTTGGGCTGCAACAGTGAGAATTGTGCAAATGGCATCCTGTGGAACAACTGGGGCAAATATTTTGTTGTAGTCTATGCTGGATCTTTGGGAAAATCCTCAGGCACAGAACCATGCCTTATACTTGATTGGTATCATATTTGCATCAGTCTTGATGGTCAAAACTAGTTTGGAGTTGACTAGATTTGTATTTGGAGGTCTGTCCATGATTTCCCAAATACTCATTCTCTCTAGTCCATCCATTTCTGCTTTGATTGCCTCTCTCCAATGGACCTGATTTTCACTGCTTAGGGCTTGCTTGACTGTTGGTTGGAGTGTTGGTGATAATAATTGGGCTTCAGCCTGGTAAATCAGGTTTGGTAGGTCAACCAGTAGGCCATGGTCCTGTAGGCTATCCTGGAAGTTTTGTATGGTCTCATCATCTGGCCAGTGTCTTGGGCATCTTCAGATTAGAATTGCAATTGTTGTCAGGTGTAACCAGGGTCATAATTCCCATGCACTGTGGAATTGGTTGAAATAGTTTTGGTGTTGCCTCAGTGCTTTGCTTGAATCTAAGTATTGTTCAGCAATATGTTTTGAGAGGGTCTTTGGGTCCAGCATGGGTGAGACTTTGCAAGAGGGTTGGTGCTCAAAATTTGTCATTCTGTCTGAAGCTTGTCCTGTTGGGGTTATTGATATTTCAGAGGGCTCTGGGGAGGAAATGTCTGGGACTGTTGATAACTTGTAGTGCTCTGAGTCCTTTGGTGATGGTTCAGGTGAAAAAGGGTCCCCCTCGAGCACCAGATCCTCTTTGGAGGGGGGGTGGTAAATGTTGTCCAGGGGTTGGGAAAGTTCTTTGTTGAATTCATCCTCTTTGGAGTATGAAAGATCTTCAATGTCAGCAGCATCGTTGTAGAAAATGGCATCAGTTTCTTTAATTGGCATTGCATCAGTCCTGTCTTCCCAGCATTGGTCCTCCAGGAACCTAACTGAATTGCTCCAGAATATGCTGGGATTGTGATTTGGGGATAAAAGCTTCCAGCCTTTATGCTCCTTGTCATATCCCATGAAAAAAGCTGGAATTGCTGAGTCATCAAGTTTCTTCCTTTTTGCCTTTGGTATGTTCACCCATGCTAGGCAGCCAAAAGTCCTGAGCAATTTAAATGGTTTTCTGGGGTCTTTGTTGTAGAATACTTGTTATGGGATTTTATTTTTGATGTTCAGTAGTAAATTTTTGGTGAAGGCTGTGGCTTCAATGGTGTATGGCCAGAATGTTTGGGGAAGTTGATGGGTGTGCAGCATTGAATTTATGATGTTTTGGATTGTGCAAATGGTTCTTTTGGCCTTGCCATTTTGTTTACTGGTATAGACTGATGATTTTTTCCATCTGAAGCCAGCTTTGTTTTGCCAATGCATGGCAACATTCGAACTCCATTCTCCTCCATTGTTGGAGTGTATGATTTTCAATTGGCATCTGGTCTGAATTTTGGCATATTTGATCCATTCTTGAAAAACATGGAGTGCATTGGCTTTTCTGCATAGGGGTTTCACATAAGTGAAACTGGAGGCATTGTCAATTGCCACCAGCACACTGGTGAATTCAGTTTGGTCTGAGAAATGGGTCAAGAGGTCAACATGGACTAATTCAAGTGGGTGGCTGGCAATAGTTCCATTGCCTTTGCCCATTCTTGCCTTGGTGGATTTGGTGGCTAGGCAATTGTGGCATGTTAGGGAATGATTGGGTTTGGCATTTACTTTGTATAATTTCTGAATTATAGAGCTTTTATTTCTCCCAGGGTGTCTGAGTTGTTTGTGCCACTTTGCCTGTGGCCTTTTATCCTGACTTTTTGGGGGGGCTATGGCATCGAAGTATTCAGGTAGGTCTTTGATTATTTCATTGATATTTGTGAGTAGAGCTGAGGGTTGATTTCTGTGTATTTCCCATTGCTTGCAGTTGGGATTAAAAGGGGCAATTGTTTTTGATTTATTTGGCCAGGCAATAATGGCCTTGGTTGGGTTGAGGATTACTCATGCACCATCCTTCAATAGCATGTGGACAGAGATTAAATTGCTGCTGGCCTCCAGAACATAAAGTACATCATGAAGAATTACTTTACTTCCATCCAACATTAATTCTATCTTGCCTTTGGCTTTGATTTGAAACTTGCAGTCTCCAGCAGTATTCATGTATCCTAGGCTGGGAATAAGGGAGGAGAACATTGATTCATTGCAAGTGACATGATCAGTAGTGCCTGAGTCAACTATCCAAACATGGGTGTTGTTAGTTGGCTCAAATGAAATTTGATAGGCAGAAGGGATAGTGCACCAAAATTCCTAGGCAGGAGCTGAGCCAGTTTGGTCATTGGGAGTGGGGTGCAGTTGGCAAGGCTTAGGGCACTTCTTGGCAATGTGTCTGGTGTCAAAACAATTGTAACATTTAGGGGCTTCTCCATTGGGTCCTGCCTTGCCATTCCAGTAGCTGTCAGGATAATCTTCAGTCTGTGAACTTTCAGCTACCCTGATGCTGCTAGAGGCTGTTCCAGAGCCAGCAACTTGATGAATTGGCTTGAGCTGCATCTGTTCTTGACATTTGAGTAAGGCAGCAGCAACCCAATCAAAGTCATGGGTATTGCCCATGCACTTGAGGGTGTTGATGTACATTGCATAGGATGCATTGTATCTGGCTGAGTTGATTAGTGTTTGGATTTTCATCAATTGGGGCAAGGGATGTCCCATTGTGCCAGCTTTGGCCCAGTGGTTTTGAATGTCTTCAATGAGTTTTCGAACATCATTGTTGTACATTCGAAGATGGCCAGCATCTCGAAGTATAGTGGCTTGGTCTAGATCATTGTTCTTAAGTAGGTTAGTCTTGATTTGTTCATAGAGCTTGTGGAAGGTCCATGGCATAGAGTCTTTGGGTCTAGCCAGGATGTAGTTTAGGTTGTTTGGGCCTTCAATTTCACAGACACCAATCAGAATCATCTTGAGTCACCCATCAAGGATTCTGTTGAATTTTTCATTGCTGGGCTTGACTTTTCCTTGGAGGTGTCAGAGAGCATTGTTCCAAGTGTCAATAGTGTCAAGGAATAAGGGGTTCCAGACATGCCAGTTCTTGATGTTGAGTTTTGGGGCTACTCCGATGGTAGTTGAGAACCATCTGAGTAGTCCCAAAAAGTTGTTGCATTTCAAGGGTCTTTTGTATTCATCAAGCTTGTGGACTTGGTGGCTCATAGCCATGAGCATGCCTTGCATAGTCCTTTGATCCATGTTTTCGATTTCTTCTTTGGTGATTTGGTTGAACTGGACAGGACTAGTAACATCTTCGGGATTCCAGAGAGATGGGGTCTCCAGTCCAATAATCATCTGGGGGGGCAGGTTGGTGTCAATGGCAGGTGGTAGGTTTGGTTCATTTTCGTTGTCTTCCTTGCCTCTGGAGGGCGGTCTTGAATCGTTCGGGTTCATCTTTCATTTCGCTTGAGGGAATAGTTTGATTTGGTCTTGTCTAGTTATCGTTTGTCGAGGTCGGGGTGTCTTCGTTGGTGTCATGGGCCTGAATGCTCAAGAAGCAGGAGGGTCACTGGTTCATATGGAAGGAGCACAGGTATCGAAGATCTAGTCGATACCATTAGAAAGCATGGTCATAGTGCAGTCTCCATGGAGACCATGGACTCCTATGGACTCACATGCAAAGGAGGACCAAGCCCATATGCAAGGAGGGTCAGGCACAGCCATGAAGAGGACCAAGCTCAAGGAGCATGCAGATGGTTACCACTCAGGGGCTCAAGAGACAAGAGTCAAAGGAACTGTCACCAGTCAAAGGAGAAGGAGCAGTGTATAGGGAACCAGCAAGCAGGTCCTGAGGAGGAGGAGCAGTGTCAAAGGAGTCGACACCACTCAGGAGGCACAGGGGTGCCAAACAAGCAGGATAGCAAGGAGGAGGAGCAGTGTCGAAGGAGTCGACACAGCTCAAGAGGCACAGGGGTGCCAAGCAAGCAGGAGAGGCCCCCTGAACAGTACTCAATGAAGAAGGTACTCTCTGGAGAGAGAGCAGGAGCAGTGTCACTGGCGATGCTGTGAAGAGGTATATAACCATGCTTTCTCATCATCAAAGGTTGAGTGGATCCTCATCCACTCTACACACCCATCATAACTAGTTATCACTTCAGCATAAGTATATATTAGTTTCAGTCAGCATAGCAGCAATCTATCAAGGTTGCTCCTCACTGTAGTGCATGTGTTGTATCACCACTACCTGACATCTGAAGGCAACCCATAGCAGGTCAGCGGTCTGGATATAGATAGAACCAAAGGCAGTAGTCCACTGCGGTCTGGGGATCACCTCAAGCATCAAGTCAACACACTGGACACTCATGTTGATGCCACCAACCTTATCACTAACACCATCAACCTCATTACCATCAACACTCACCAACCTTATCACCAACACTGTCAACCTCATCATCATCAACACTCACACCAGACCTTGGTGTCATCATAACCTATGCATTGATATTGATCATGCCGAGCTACCCCTGAATGGAGTGTCCACAGAGGTCAGCCAAAACCTACGACAGTATATACAATGAATGTCACCTGCTGTCATCATGCAACTTGATACTCGCTGAGCAATTAGCTCATTGAGACTGATACCGAGACAATAGCTGTTGCACAGTTTGATAGTCACCAAGTATCTCGACAGACCGACCTGGGTTTCAGGCGCGAGACCCCTGACAGCATCCTCTGTCGATCGATCTCCTCAACCTCTCGGTACCACTCCCATCTCTTCCTGGGTGGATTCCTCTCGAACTTCTCCTGTATGCTGTGAGTGAGACTACCTCTGAAGAGATCAATCACTAGCTCATTGTCATCTAGGTTGACCTGTCCCTCCAAGTCTCTGAACCACTCTACATGACATGTGGCAGCACCAGGAGCATCACTTGTGAGCCTGAGAGCTAACAGCTTGTTGTATGCCTCCATCCTAGCATTGCATGGGTTGAACTGCTCTGACAGTCGCTCTGTGAAGTAGTGCCAATCATTGAACAACCTTCCTTCTCTAGCTCTATCAATACAGAGCTTTGAGGTCCACCACTCTCGTGCAGTCCCTTCTAGTTGAGCACCCATGTGGTTGATCATCCTAGACTGCTCATACACCTGGTTGAACTTAAACCATGCTTCAGCTTCTAGAATGAAGATCTCCACTTCTCGGGGATTGAACTTTGGAAAGGGGGTGGTGATGGGCTTTGACCAGTTAAGCTCTGCCATGATGCTAGAGTCCTCCTCCTGATCAAGAGTGTAGTGTTCTGTCCTGCTCTTGTTGTATGGATCCACCCTGGACTTGACATATCTTGGCCCAGTGGGTGAAGCATACTTCTCGTAGTTGATGTCATCCTGCTCATCCAGGTTGATGAATGAGACTGATTGTCTTGGTCATGGAGCCAGAGTAGGAGTATGTGGGTCTCCTATCATAGACTCATCTCCTCCTCCTGCTTGGTCTTCTGAGTGAGAGAGGTCAATCATCTCCTCCCTGCTCAGATGAGCTCATTGTAATCGTTCCTCTCATTGTCCCTGCCTGGTAAGCTCTAGCTGGGCTTCCAATAGAGTGAGTAGTCTATCAAGCTTATTGTTGAGGTCTGGGTCCATCATGGTGATCGTGAGGCGCTGCTTGAATGATCCACTCTAATGTCAGGGGTCTCGCACCTGAAACCCAGGTCGGTCTGTCGAGATACTCAGTGACTATCGAGTTGTGCAACAGCTATTGTCTTGGTATCAGTCTCGATGAGCTAGTCATTTGGCAACTATCAAGTTGCACAATGACAGCAGGTGGCATTCGTTGTATATACTATTGTAGGTTTCAGCTGACCTCTGTGGACACTCCATTCAGGGGTAGCTCGGCATGATCAATATCAATGCATAGGTTATGATGACACCAAGGTCTGGTGTGAGTGTTGATGATGATGAGGTTGATGGTGTCAGTGACAAGGTTGGTGAGTGTTGATGGTAATGAGGTTGATGGTGTTGATGATAAGGTTGGTGGCATCAACATGAGTGTCCAGTGTGTTGACTTGATGCTTGAAGTGATCCCTGGACCACAGTGGACTACTGCCTTTGGTTCTATCTTTATCCAGACTGCTGGTTTGCTATGAACCACCTTTGGATGTCAGGTAGTGGTGATACAACACACACACTACAATGAGGAGCAACCCTGATAGATTGCTACTATGCTGACTGCAACTAATATATACTTATGCTGAAGTGATAACTAGTTATGATGGGTGTGTAGAGTGGATGAGGATCCACTCAACCTTTGATGATGAGAAAGCATGGTTATATACCTCTTCACAGCATTGCCAGCAATGCTGCTCCTGCTCTCTCTCCAGAGAGTACCTTCTTCATCGAGTACTGTTCAGGGGCCCCTCTAGCACTGCTCCTCCTCCTTGCTATCCTGCTTGTTTGGCACCCCTGTGCCTCCTGAGTGGTGTCGACTCCTTTGACACTGCTCCTCCTCCTCAGGACCTGCTTGCTGGTTCCCTATACACTGCTCCTTCTCCTTTGACTGGTGACAGTTCCTTTGACTCTTGTCTCTTGAGCCCCTGAGTGGTAACCATCTGCATGCTCCTTGAGCTTGGTCCTCTTCGTGGCTGTGCCTGACCCTCCTCGCATCTGGGCTCGGTCCTCCTTTGCATGTG